AAGAGTTTTAATTTCGAGGTTCTACAGCCTGAACGCACGGACTTTTGTCCCCATGTTCGTTAAGTACAAAACCCCTAAGCTAAACGAAGGCCACGTGACAACAGGTCACACTCTAGAGCTGTGACAAGCAGTCAGTCTGAGATGTTGTCACGTGTGGCAAGGCCAACTAGCGAATCACAGAGTTTCGCACAGGCCAAGACATATAAAGCCTATTGATAGTATGTTTTCAACCTCAGGCTTCAAATATTAAGCCTCACTTCAGACTTTGACCTCAAATTTCAGGCCCCCTGATCTCCCCTAATCTCCACAATCCTCAAGCTCCCCCAATAGTAGACGGGCAGACGGTTCTGGGCAGTTCTGGGAAAGCCTAAACTGTGACCACCCAATTATGACAGTCCTTTAAAATCTATAGCCGTAACCGGTCTAAACGGGTGGATCTTGTCGGGCACGCTAAAACCACCTACCCATCGAGAGCGCTGGTTTCGCACCGTGATGCGATTCTTGACGACTGCGTTTCAGCCACACAGCCTTATCACTTGTGATCGTTCAATTTTTTCGTCTCCCTTCCTCTTTCAGCTCTGACGAAGAGACTGTGTGAACCGTTATATCGCTTTCAGATCTCCATCGCAAGCTCCTTCTTTCAATCCGTCAGTGCGTCCCAAATTCGTGTTTGCATTGCGCATTGCATTTGCGTTTCATGGCAAAAGACCCAAGCCTTGCGTACCTCAGACAAGGTAAGCTCCCCTGAGATGACTTAGAGAGTTTGAAGTAGCAGGGACTTCGCTCATTCATTGTCCAGAAAGCGATAGACTATTCACGATCGGTTCGCAATTCTCCATTTCAAACGACAGTGGATCCCATTCCGTCCCACGAATGTCCCCAAGTGACACGACAGCAAATTTTCGTATCCTAAATGGAGAAGTGATGGGGAATTCCAAGAAACGGAGCATGGAATATTTGATGGGGGAACCTGCACCCTCCGTCTATGCAGCGAACAGAGACACTCATTATACTTCTTTTCAACCTACCACAACTGGCATGGGACGAAAAAGACCAAAAATTAGAAGCGATTCTGATGAACAAATACCCGACATGAGTGGCGTTCTGAGCGATGCATCTGACATTACCACGTATTTCCAGTGTCCATACTACTGCAAAGACCCCGAAAAGTACAACCTCCAAGTGAGAAAGTATAGAAGTTGTGGGTCCAAAGGGTTGACAAATATTGCCAGACTCAAGTAAGTCAAAGCAACAATGTGCGCATAGCAAATCTGACGAATTGCAGGGAACACTTGTATAGAGTGCACCGCGTATTGCAGTGTTCTCGATGCGTGACTAAATTTCAAAAGTATGAGGAGCTTAATTTGCACACCTGTCCAGGAAATATGCACCAGCTTTTCTCCAGCTCAGAGCTGAACATCGACGGTATCACAGAAGAGGTCATTTGTAGATTGAACAAAAAAACCATGTCATGCCGGCTTAGTAAGGAGAGTTGGGTAGACATATGGATGACACTTTTTCCAGGGGAGGATGTACCAAAGAATTGTCAGTGTCACCTGATGGTTTGGACGATCTTTCGCTGAATGCTATAGATTTTGTTCGCGAATTGAAAGAATGCAGGTCTCTTCTCGGACCATTGGAGAAGTATGAGGATTATCTTCGTCGCGAACTTCCAGCTGTCTTCAGATCTACGCTTGAGGCAACAAAGAATGCCCCCATGTCCATACCTGATCGAGACATTGCCGATATTCTGCGAGATTGTCAGGAACAAGTTTTTGTTCAGTACCAAATGGATCGATCCTCACGTCCTCCACATTTTACGACACCCCTTCATGTTCCCGACTTGCCTGATTCGTACTTTATGCCAGTCGATTTATCGAATTCGAGCCAAGATGAAGGGCCTCGAAAGTACCAAATGAATCCATTCTCGTGTCCTTCACGTTATACGCCACCCCGCCTTACCGACTTGTTTAGTTCGTACTTTTTACCATCCGTTTCATCGTATTCGAGCCTATTTGAAGGATCTCGAAAGTTGGGAGTCAACGATACAATCCCAGGATTAGAGACTGCTCCGGTGTATAGCTCCATTGACGTGGATAGTGCAGACTTGTCTCCTGAAATCCGATCCACAATTCGTGCAGAGTCACTCTCTAGTATACCATCCCAGGAGCGGGGCATATCTGAAGCAAGCTCCCAGGAGCCCGAAATATCAACGCAATCAACTTCTTCGGATCTATCAACACTTCAACCGCAGGGAGCTATGAAAGAGCCAGAAATAACTGCAGACACAGCTGATCACGAAGTACATGAGACTTTGGAGGATGTGACACCCGGCCTGGATCTTGTTGTGGATAGTACGAGTCCAACTCGTGACCTACGCTTTGCATGTCCGTATCGCAAGTATTGTCCGTCAAAATACAACACTAAGGACTGGGGATCATGCGCATTGACTCCTAGGTCTACGATTGCTCGAATCAAGTTCGTAACTATTCTAGCTTATGCTTCAAAGGTATACTGACTCGCATCAGAACTCACCTATACGATTGCCATTCCATCCACCAGTGCCAAAGATGCAAATCTATCTTCGACAATGAAAGATCCCTCAACGATCATATCAAGTCTATACAAAGTTGCCCAGTCATCGAAACAGAGGAAGGTGGTAAGGACGGTATTAATAGATCGCTCAAGGACGCCATTCACGGCAAGAAAAAGAGGTTCAAAGGCCAAACGAAGGAACAAGAATGGGAACACCTTTACGGATTATTGTTCCCAGGAAGTTCGTTGCCATCTTCACCTTGTAAGTCACACACCTCACATCAGATCTAGTCTCTCGATATATAGCAGGATGCTAACAAATGTAGATTGGGATGATCCAGATCAGCAAGGCGACCTAGACGTCAAAAAATATCACGTGTATCTTGTTCAAGAGCTTCCACCGGCTGTCAAGAGATCCTTGGAAAACCAAATGGGCAATGATCTAACTGCTGAGGAACAACGGTTTTGCGATCAAGCTGTCGAACTGCTTCCCATTGCTCTCAAGATATTGCATGATACCTATCGAGGTGTTTACGATCCCAACCCAAGTCAGGACGATCTTGCTACCAATAAATTCACTCTCGGCTCAAGTGGGGTAGGAACAGAGCAAGATATCATCAATGCAAGTCCGGACATCGACCTCGACATTGACTGGTCATGCCTCGAGTCACCGCAAACACAGAAACCTATGACTTCGCGTGTTCCATTCTCATCAGACTCTGCTTACTTCTCGAGAAACTCAAGCACTTCCGCTTCCAGCCCGTCACAGAGTACCTCGAAGGAGCGGAGCAGGAGCAAAAGACTGGGAGATACGGATGCTGAACGTCAGCTTAGCAACCAACCCTTGCTGTCCCACTTCTCAGTCACGGATGCCATGTCTGGACAAGACTTCTATCCAGTTTGGACGAATGAACCGGGAACCCTCACCAGTCCTCCGAATCCCATGATCGATTACGACAGCGGTGCAATTCCTCTATCAGGATCATCTGTTGTAGGAAATAAAGCAAGTTCAATTTTCATGGACAACACCCTGGCAAGCAAACTTTCGGAAATGTCTGATGAAACATTGGCAGGCGGTTTGGACGGATACCCTCTTGGTTGCTACTGGGGTTCCTTTCTGGACTCCCATCTTTTCTAGTGGACGATGTACCTTTTTGCTTACGTGTAGAGCTGCGGGTTGATCAGCCTTCACATAGAGTATTCAGCCTAGTCTAAATTTAATAAGTGTTTGATTTCTGACCCTGAGATGATATACCTAAGTTTAAGGTAAATGATATTATGCGAATTTGTCTAGTGGAAATTTTTATACCTCTTTTGAACTTACGACCATATTAATACACTAGGATTACCTGCGAAAAGCTACTAATAAGTTGCTACATATTACTAAATCAAAAGCAATTTGTAAGAAATTAAACTTGTTGATTATCAAGTCGAGCGATTAGTTTTGTAAGGCAATCATTGCCAATCAATGAATTTCAATTGATTATATATCAAAAGACAAGTTCCAGATACAATCAATGTCGATACTCATCCCATACTCTCCACGCCGAAAGCCTAGCTATCAACCTTCGTTTTCTTGCCGTCCAGCGAGCAATAGAATACTGCCTAGTTCTTGGGTGCGTTCTCAATAACAGTATTAGCCCCCTCCTCCGGAAGCTTATTCTCAACTAGCTTACCAACTAGCTCCTTCATCCAGGTTTGGCAATTTTGAAGGTCGACACGCGTTCTCGATCCGTGGGGGAGCATCTATCAATGTGTTCAGTTTGGTGTTGTTGGACTACCAAAGACTAAAATGCGGCCGCTACAGTAATCGTGCTCCGAAATTGGCACACTGGATAGTATCAAGGACGACCTTCGAGTACTCCTCACAATGGCTCCACGCGACATGAACCAAGCTCTGTATCTTCTGCCTTCTATGCTTCCACCCTCTGAGGATATATACTTCAGAAATACAGCGTTCTTCGCCAGTGGAAATTCATCTTTACCCACTCCTGCCGATGTTCGCCGAGCTGCAGGACCCAAAGCGACATCGAACAGACCGACTCCTGTCGCATTTTCTGCCTTGAATCTCATCGTCAAATACGGCCCAACAATAACTATCACCGAGGGACAGTGTTTATGGGCGATAAAACACTTACTTCCCAGTGTGCCCGTTCCAGAAGTATATGGCTGGTGTCGGGAGCAAGGGGAGACGTTTATCTACATGCAACTAGTCGAGGGCGTCACCTTGGAACAGGCCTGGCCAGATTTTGACATAGAACATAAATATGAGATTTGCCTGCAACTGCAACGGATTCTCGATGATGTGCGCCAGCTCAAACAAGATCCAACTTCCCCATTTATCGGTACGTTGAACTAAACTTTCTGACAGAAAGAGGCTCATCGCAATTACAGGAGATATCAACCAAGAGCCTCTGCATGATGTGATGTTCCAGACCAATCAACCAGCCGGTCCTTTTTCAAATGTTCCAGCGTTCAATGATTGGCTTGCGACGCTTAGATGTCGTGCACCTCCGGGTGTGGATGTAGACACAGGTCCCTGGCGTTCTGGATTACTTGATGATATTCCCATTGTCTTCACCCATGCTGATTTGTATCGCAGCAACATCATGGTATGCCAAGACGCAAATGGTATACCCCGCATTACAGCGATTATCGATTGGCACCAATCAGGATGGTATCCAGCTTCATGGGAGTTCTACAAAACGCGTCTCACGTGCAAGCTACCAGCAAATGATCAGTGGGAACTTGAATTCGTAGTAGAGTTTCTACAGTCTTACCGGGGATATATCGCTTGGGAGTATTTGTTACAAGGGGTCGGTCTTTAGAACGGTATCACTTCTACTTCACATTGACACTCTCATTTTTGAAGACCCTCTTCGGCATCTACATCAAGGCGTTGGGAGCATTGAGCAAAAGTGTAGATATTGGAGAGAATATAGTGCTCAAGTGCCGAGGAGCTCTGCTCAAGCGCACGCATATATATGCGTCTTCCTCACTGTCCCACGTCAGAACTATGGTTTCATGCTTCGCCGTTTCTGCTTTTCTTTGACTCACAGTGGACATACCTTAGTACAGTTCCAAGCGCATTCATGTGACCAACGTAAAGAAGGTCTCCGCCATCGATTCAAAAAGTCGGCGAACGCGATTTTCAACCTCCATGACCAGCTGGAGAGAGGAATCTTCTGAATCACTGACCAGAGACGAATCAAAAGGATGAGGCAGACAAGGTCGACAAGGGCGCATTGCTCGATGTCACGTTTGGTGGCGAATTTTGCTGCGCCTGGATTTTGCTGTTCAGCTACGTCTGTCTTTGATCTCTTTTCTTCAGAACCAATATCACATCTCACGACAAGTCCAATCGAATGAATGCGCATAGCCAGAAGCATAATCTCATTGAGTGCGTATCGCAAGTATGGACATTAAGAGCACGGATCCAGCATTCTATTTGTTTTTGTTTTTCATTTCCGACTTGAAGTACTAGTAACTCGGGGTCATTTGCGTATCTGGGGGCCGCCGTTGCTCTTTTACCACCCGATTTCGATTTACTCGACATCTTCGACGTCACGACCTTCCTTCTTGCCGGCCTTCTTCTTCCTGTTTCTATATTAGCATTGTCCGATCGTGTAAGTGATGTTGTCAATACATACTTCTTGGGGTCTCGCTCTTCGATCTCAAGATCGCGGGCTTCTTTGCCTTCCTTCTTCTTCTTCCTATCCTGGGGTCAGCTACTGTACCAAGAGGAATTTTCTAAAAAGAACCAACTTCTTGTCGTCCTTGGGCTCTCTCTCCTCGAGATCAATGTCTCGGGCATCCTTCTTTCCGCCCTTCTTCTTCCTATTGTAAGTCAGCAGACTGTTCAGATATCATATAGGCCGAGCTTCTGACTTCTTTGGGTCTCTCTCTTCGATCTCTACATCGCGGCCTTCTTTCTTTCCGCCCTTCTTCTTTCTGTGTTCATGTTAGGATATACCACTCTAAGCCCCACACATATGCTCACTTCTTAGGGTCACGTTCTTCGATTTCAACATCGCGGCCTTCTTTCTTGCCAGCCTTCTTCTTCCTATGTCCCGTCAACAGCGTTCTCCAATAGATGTATTGCGAACCTACTTCTTCGGGTCTCTCTCCTCAATTTCTGCGTCACGGCCCTCCTTGCCAGCCTTCTTCTTCCTATTGTCCAGTTAGCCTATAAACTAAGCTTTATTCTTTCTTCCTTGCATACTTCTTAGGGTCTCTCTCTTCGATCTCGACCTCGCGAGCCTCAAGTGGGAGGTCTCGGACCATCAAAGCATCAGCCAAATCGAGCTCGCGAACAGCGAGAAGAGCATCGGCAGTGAGTGAGACTGGAACAGCCTGGACTGCCAGCATGGCACAGAAGGCCAGAATGACCGAAGCGGTAGAAGCACGCATATTGCAAAAATATATATTATCGTCCAAAAGTAAAAGAGCGTATAGGTGAAATAAAACCAAGACTGCAAGACCGGTTGCAGACTGAGATGAAGAAGAGAAGACTATCGATTTCGAATGCCGAGAAGGAAAGTTCTTTTGAGAGACAGAAGGTAGCACACTATTCATATACTACTCAAAGCAGTAAATCAGCCCCTCGAATCTCAAGTCCAGACCGACCGTTAATCCCGTTCGTCACCGGCCTGTAACAAGACCCCATCGTCCTGTCAGCCCAACAATGAATGACAACGCCCTTCAAGGTCTAGCCAGGCCTCGAAACAAGCACCTCATCTATTCCTGCCTCGACATTCTCACGAACGCCAAGCCTGAGACGTCACTGAAGCAGATGCACAGATCAACATGCATTTACGGGTTGGGAAGCCTGTCCGCACACCCTGGCTGACAAGCAAGAAATGCCGAGCTCGTCGAATCCGGGGTAGATAATCAGAGTGGAGCAGCATTAACCTTAACAGTTGAATGAGGCGATCCTCCTGTGGGCCCTGTGAGCTCAGCTGTCAGCCCGCATAACGTTTCGGTTAGGCTGATGCTGAAGCGCTCTTCCGCCATCCAACCGCTGCATTTCATCAGAAGGATAGGTCACCAATCACCCAACCGACTACGGGCTCTGAATGCCAGCAGTTGTTGTGTTCCGACGCGGGTTTGGTATATATTACTCGCTATGATTTTGATAGGTGTTCATTGGGTAGAGGCGATTTTATCCAGCACCAGAATTTGGCGGTGGATGGATATGTAACGTAATAAGGTCAAACGCGTTTTGAGCTTGAGAGGGAGATTGTTCTATGCTTCAGATAACCACATGTTGCGCATGGAATCACGAGTGGGGATTTGATTAGATTCGATTAGATGGTCACTCAGTGACATCGAATAAGTCTGTATGTCACTCTCGGTTTTTTATTGGCCTTTTGCTGGGTTCTCGAAGTGAGAAGTCTTTTGAGAATATTATGCGCAAGTTATGCTCCTGATAGGGAGAATGTAGGCTGGGAGTGTATGTCAGTGACATCCACTGATTCCTGTCGCTAGGATGGAGTGATGTCTAGCCACTTCAACGCACAAATGAAGTTGTGCTCAAGACATCCTGTAAGATATAAGGAAACTCGTCATTGATGTATGCATGCCGTCAGAGGCCAGGACATCACTCCTTATAATGCAAAATACGTGCTCAATGGCCTTTTACTCGCTACGCATGAATTTTACTTTTCCACTTCACATCTTCAACATAACATCAACAGCGCATCTAGCAAAGTCCAGCCTCCCTCTCGTCCTTCCCAGGTTCGCATCACAGATCTGGGTTATCCCCGATCCCAAACGCAACTCTTGGCATTGTCAAACACGGGTCTTGGCATCTGATACTAGAAAGAGTTTCGTCCGATCACCTCCCGCGCGAAGCAGGAACAGCCGACCAAGTAAGAAGCAAATTGGCGGGTCCAGATCTGACACCATGCATGCATGCCAGCTGCTGGGGCACAGACACTACATTCACTCACTCACTCACTCACGCATGCATGCATTTAAACGCCAAGGAAGACTCCAACAGCCGGTGCATTGCACGCTCTCTCTAATTATAACACGGAACAGAACAACCTCCTCAGCATGAGGTGATTTTCGCGCACAATTTTCAAACGAACCCGGTAGCAGAATATCATTCGATGGGATGTCATGGATTTTGCATCGCCTCTTTCAATACGCTCTCGTCGATCAGTGCGCTGAGGTCGCTTTGCGACATGGCGGTTCTCCTGTCTTGCTTCGCGACCCATTGGTCCTCCGCGACTAAGACGCTCAGCAAGTCACTTGGTAGAGTCCCGCCTAGACTTCCATTAAAGGAGTGTATTGGCCAGACATCTTTCAGTATCGTCGTATTCATACTCAGCGCTGTAGCGACGCGAGGCCAGATCTTCTCTGGGTCGTTGGTGAATACCTTCTCGGCTTGGTTTAGAGCGCGTAGAAAGGCTACTATGGATTTTCGAGTTGTCGGATCGGCGAGCTTTTCTGTTGTGCTGTGAAGGTTGAAGATCTCTCGATAGACGGAACGATCTTGAAGAACGAGGGCGTCGCTCCCGAGTGCCTAAGTAGCAGAAGGATCAGCTCTGATGAGCATTTGAAGATCGTGAGGAATTTCAAAAACTTTTTGACATACCTGAATCGCCAGTTCGACTGACGGCTCCCACATACCGACTGAAAAATGTCAGCACCAACGATCCTCGAATGTAGTTGAACAGATTACATGGACTCGAATGAAATCTAAATTCCTCTCCCAAAAATCTGAGAATTCTCACAAGCAACGAGATTCACATACCAGCATCAGCACTCCCATGCGTCACCATATAAGGAAACGTCCCCGCACCACACGGCGCCGCCGAACACGGATACCCCGTCACAACCGTATAATCGCCCTCCCCCAACCCGACACTCGCCATATACCTCTCCACAAAATACGCCGCCGACGTGCCAGGGAACGTCGCGATCTTCTTACCCTTCAAATCCTTCGCACTGCTCACCGTCTTCTTATTCGCCGCAATCCGGTAATAGACCTCCGCCACCGTGTAGATGATGCGGACGTTTTTATGCGTGGCGAATTGGCGCAGGGCTTGCGTTTCAGCGTTGGCTGCTATGTCGATGCTGGTGTCGCTGACGAGGTTGGCGAGCTGGCCGTTGACGATTGTGAAGGTGGAGCCGTTGGCGTAGTCTTGGCTGGCGATCAGTTCGGGGGTGTATTCGATGGTGTTTAGGGCGCTGGCGATTCGGAGGGCGGATGTATATGGAAGGATGAGTGCCAAGGTGATGAAAAGCCATAGTCGGTCCATCTTGGTCGAAAGTACCCAGGTGCCTGGATCGAGATTCCCGATCATGAAAAGAGGAGAGGTAAGAATGGATAGGATCCTTCAAGTAGACACTTCTCATGTTCGTCATCATCTCAACTACTCTCACAGCCTATTTCGCCAACGTGAAAATATGAAGGATATCATGTGGACATTCCAAACCAACTCTTTCAAATCTGGTTTCTTTCGGCTACTTTCGAGGAAGTGTTGTGATGGGATGCGGCAATGCGACCCCTGGATCGATCTACGCTTGGCGAAGATTCTATTTTGCGGGGTATGGGGAAGACAGGGTTGTGGATGTAACTTCATTTATCTTTCTGGGCTTGGCAATCAAGTACCGAGATTCTGGAATTTGTGAACCTGCGTCGATGGCTTGGAAATTTCCCGAGTCCTGGAAGAGCAGATCCGTGAGGGGTTTGCAGGCGCTAGACAGAGATGTGCTTCAACGTTACATGTCAATTAAGAGCTTAATTCCTTTCAAAGCCGCTGGACTCAAAAGTTCCAGTCCATTGTGATTTGCACCATATCAAGTAATCTTGTATTACTTAAGCCATAGAGCACAACAACTGCAGAAAGCGCATAGTTTCGAGCAAGATGGCTGATGGCTTTTTGCTCCACGTGACCATTTTGAATCTCTTCGAAGTCACATTTCCTATCAAGGAGATGCTTGAAATAAGGCAAGTATTCTGATACTGAGCAGATAGAAAGGAGATAGTCTGGACATTGAGTAATTGGAAATAATATTAGACACATTGCACTGTTTCATACATGGAGTCAATTCTACATGCGAAATGCGCAAAACGCGCTGAATGCTCAGTATAACAGTGGGACGTGCAAAACATTTGTGCATCTATTTTCCGACTACAAAAATGCTGTCCAACGAAAAACTCTAGACACAAAATGGACGCTTGCCTTGGAGGTTCTTATTTCTGGGCGCAAGAGATCTTTAATTAGATAACCAATCCTAAAACCGACCTGACTCCAACAGAAAAACTGGGAAGTTTTTGCCAATGGTAGATTTTGTTTTAGTATCCGATTAGACTTGATTAAGTCTTGACAGATGAATGCTAATTACAAAGAATGTAAGTCGCAGGAACGAGGCTTTTAAGATGAGGGGAAAATGGGTTATTCTACTTAGAATGTCAAAGACCACTTCGAATGCGCGTTTTGCGCGAAATGCGCGATTTGCGCAAGATGCGCATAGTGCGTAAATAGCGATGCAAAAAGGTACCAGCACTTGCTGGTTTTCACAAGTACTGAGAGCAATTAAAGACAGAAACTACAAGTGATAAAAAACACCAAATGGTCAGCAGAGAAAACGAAACAAGAAAAAAGAATCATCAAATATCATCATCTACCCTGTCTACCCCTCCCCATCCCTCCCGTCTCTCCCTCCCTCTCCCACCCAACCTACCTCCTAATATCAACCCTATACTCCTCGACCCTCTCAACCCTCCTCACCTCATCCCCCATCCTCCTCACACAAAGCATCTCGCAAAAATGGCCCCACTCCCCCCTCGTGCCCTCCGCAACCGCCTTCTGCATATCAACCCCGTACCGGGCGCGATACTCGCGCTTCACCGCCTCCATGTGCGGACGATCCCAATGATAGCGCACCAGCCTGCTGATCAGCAGTTCCGTGCGGATGCTGTCGGATTTGGAGAGTGAGAGCGCGTGGTGTACTAGTAGCGCGTCGCGGACGGGCTTGTTGATTACGCCGTTGAGGATGTGGGCTAGCATTTCGCCCTGTGAAATGATCAGTTATGAGGGAAAAGGGGGGGAGGGAAGGAGGGAAAAGGGGACGTACGACTAAGTTCCCACTCTTCTTCAACATCTCCCTCGCGAAATTCGCGCGGTACGTAACTTCATACTCGCGCAACACCTCTCTCAAATGGGCATCGCTCCTCACAACCACGATATTAATCATCGCCGTCTCGCCGCCCTTCTCGCTTCTGACCGCTTTATACAAATCATGCACATCATCCTCGACCAATCCCCTATCAACTGCATAACCCGGCCGCTCTTCCATCTTACGCTCCTCCAGCACCAGCAGCACCGCCTTCTTAAACTTATCCTCCTTCAGCTCCGTCTTCATACACTTGGTCAAACTATCACTATACTTCTTATCACTAAACCCATCCTTAATCTCCCGAATCTCCGCATTCGTCCGTCCCATCAACGACTCAATCAACAGTTCCCTCCGACTCTTCTCCCCCTGATACCAAAAATTCGCCCAATACGCCTCACTCTCCCACTTCCCCAGCGCGCACGCGTAGCACGCTTTCATCAGATTCGGATCCTCCTCTTTAAGCCGCATCTTGATATGCTTCGCGATATTCACGCCCTTCTTCTCGGACCCCGTCTTGACGATCCGTTTATACTCGACGCGCAGATCGAGGACCTGTTCGTGGGTTAGCCCCGGCAGGATCTCGATCAGGGGCTGCGTGTCCGGGGCGCGCTTCTCGCCTTTGAGGGCTTTGGCCAGGATGGTGGCTTCGTCGACCGGGTCGTGGAAGCGCGCTGTGCGTTTCTTTTTGCTGGGGAAGCGGTCGTCGTCTGAGGAGCCGCCGGAGGGGGAGAGCGGTTCGATCAGGTTGATGTCGGTGTGCGAGTGTGAGGGGATCATGAGGGGGGAAGGCATGGGGGAGATGGATTGGTAGGTTCCGTGGTAGGCTTCGAGGAGGGGACTCCCTGGGGCAGCGGCTAGACTTAATGCGGCGCCGCCGTGGTGACCGGTGCTTACGGATAGAGAGTGCATTCTGGGAGCGAGACCTGGGTTGGGCGATGGTTCGCGTCGTCTGGATCCGGGTTCGACGGAGATAGTCTGAGTCTTGGAAGTTCTCAACTTGGAGTCTTCCTTGTACTTGGAATCTTCATAAGTGACACTCTCCTTCCTGATCTTGGAGTCGTATCGAGGATCGTGTCTATCATCCCTATACTGAGAATCCTCATAGCTGATAGTCTCCGTCTTGGTCTTCGAATCGTAGCGAGGATCCCCGTGTCTCGACCCATACTCTCCAGGACGTCCATACGTCGTCTCCTGAACCTTCGAGTACGTGATCTTCTCTTCCGGCTTCGCATACTCCCACTTTGGCGTCTCGGCGTACTTGGATCCTGGGGCATCATTGTAATGTCTGCCCGGTTCAGGATATGCCACTTGTGGTTGATAACCGCCGGGAACCTGGTATGCGGAAGGGTCAGGCGGTTGCACGTATTGCGGGGCACCATGACCGACGTTCACACCGGCAGAGATGCTATGGTGGCCAGCATGAGCACTGAAGCTTGCTCCTCTTCCGTGCTCATCCTCGTATCTTCTCGAATCCCTATCGTCCCTCTTCGAGTCGGTGTATTTGTACTGGTCCACCTCTTGGTATTTAGACCTTGGAGGAGACTCTCCGTACGCCAAATCATCCTTGGATGAGAATTTCTTGCTTTCATAGTATTCCTTCTCTCTCCCACCTCTGCCACCACCATATCGCACCTTGACATCCTCTTCCTCAACCGTCGTCTTGAAGGCGCCCGGCACAGCATATCCCCTGCTCGCAGACGGCGGACTCGCATCTCTATACTGATTGTAGGATTCGCGCGAAGACCTCGGATCAACGAGTCTCGGATCGGACCCTCTTGGATCAATCAATCTAGGATCCGAACCCCTCGGATCAACCAGACTGTGTGAACTCCCTCTAGGATCCCTCGGCTCAGCCGTCACGATCTTCGCCGGTTCCCTATCCCCTCTCCTGATGGTGGTCGTGTCTCGCTCCTCATACTCGTATCCCCTCCTATCATCATCGTAGCGACTACTCGTCGGTGGACTCGGTACGCGAACGCGGGACCGTTCTCTCGTCGTTGTTTTCTCCTCATACTCATCGATCTCGACGCGGGATCGCGACCGCTCTCTCCTGCCACCACCAGGTGATTTAGAACGTCCCCTCCTACGATCATCATTCGGATTGAGCGACATTTGTACGATCGGAAAATCTGCTCACGAGAGCAACAAGAGAGGTAAAGAAATAGAAAGAGAGAAAGCTCAGCTGAGAAATCCTATTGTCCTCAGCAGCTAGCGTCTAGCGGGGCAGTCATCGTCCTTAAAGAGCGAAGCCCGATGTCTGGTGCTACCCTCTCTGCAGTAGTCTTGCATCCGCCTGCATTCAGTGCATGAGACAGCGTCGACAACCCATGTAAGCTCCCAAACAGCTGAGAAGCGCCACTTGGACAATTTGGGGGCCATTGTTGGCATTTGACCCTATGAGAAGAGAGGACTCGTACGCAATTGATTCAGAAATTATCGTTCTTTAGGAAGGACAAATGGCCGGCGGGTATCTCGTATTCTTTTTTGATGTTGGAGCTTCTATCAACAATGGATGGAATGTGGTGCCGCCGCGCGAGGGAAACTGGCCCACTTGGCGGGGTCGCGGTCGAGGCCTTGTACTGGCGCCACCGAGGTGCGCCGTACTCAGAACAAATGAAATGGCGGCCACACCACAGAGAGACAAATATATATAACTTGAGCATCTATTAGACGTGATCACACAACGTGGATAGACTCAATGAAGATAATTGAAAGCAACGGTTGAATTCGTTATCTGCATCCTGCTAAGCTTTTCTTTGCTTGTGCGACCTCCAACGAACGCTAATGACGTGCAGGAAACCACCACCACACGATTTCCTATCTGCTGCTGTCTTCATGCAACCTGGACGAACTGTCCGATTCCTGGCACACCATCACAGACAATATAAATCACATATGGTCCTGGCGGAGCCACGTTGCGATTCGGTGGGCCCGTCACAACCAGAGTCTGCGATGTACTGCTAGCTGCCCAACCACCAAAGTCCAGTTCCAGCATGCGATGACCCATATGAACAGAATGAGTAACGAACCCGCCGTGGTAGAGTACAACCTTACATCCCTGTGCGCCACTAGGGACGTTGAATGTCACGAAAAATATGCTCCCGTCAGCCTGGACGGACTGGGGGATGCCAATATTGGTGGGACGGCGATTAGCATTCTCGCCTTGCAGGTAGGGAGGGACGTAATTTTCGACTCGGAATTCTGTCGGGTATGGGTCAACGGCGTCTGCTTCCAGCTTAGGCATTTGAATTGGATTGGATCCCGCAATCAACATTGTTCCATCGAGAAGAAGTAGGCATACGGAATGGTACAGACGAGGAATAGTTGAGCTGGCAAGCGTCGTGAATCTCTGACCGAGTGGTTTGGCTGGGTCGTACAGAAGAGCCTCCAAAGTAGGATTGCTCATCAATTCAAAACCTTGTGCTCCTCTGTTGCCACCATTCATCCAAATGACGGTTCCATCTGGGAGCAAAGTTCCCTCAACCATTCCGCGTCCTTCGGGCATTGAGTCCATCTGCCAACTTGGGTTGGCGCTGAGAGGTTGAATGCGACCACAGCTGGGATCGCATGGGCTGGTAATGTCCTGGTACGCACCTCCACCGCAAATCACAATATCAGGTGCCCAATTGTTCGCGCTGGAAAGAGGAAGTAGAACACTTCCGCCGGTGTTAGGATAAGTACGATAGTCGCCTGGTAGATCTGGAAGCTCCTTGATGATGGTATTTGAACCGACGTTGAAGATTTGAGAAGACTTTGAAACGAAGACGAAGAGGTTTCCATTGTTGAGCAGGTGCACGAATGGGTACATATAGTAAGGTTGGTTTTTATGCAAAATGTCCATGAGAATGCTGTTCCCTTGGGTGACGGCGTCTGGACTTAGGATTTCATATGTTGGGTTATTGTTTGCCATGACTGTAGGATCGAGGCCATTCAGACTTCCACTGGCGATGAAGACGGTGCCATCGGGCATTGTTTGAGCAGTTGCATACCAGCGAGCACTGGAAAGCTTGTTTCCTGGCTCACTCCAGCTCTGACCGTTGAGACTGGTGTCTGAGGAAGACCTCTGGAGATATCGAATTGCGGTGAAGCCATCGCCAATGTTGGGATCTAGCCAAGTCAGTGGGGCATTTCCGCCGACAGAGATAACACGTCCATCTGCAAGGAAAGTTCCTCCTGAGCAGAAGGCATTGGTCAAATAGGCTAGTGGTACTGCGGTATTAGTGTTTGGATCATATTCAGATGACATGGCATAGTATCCATCAGCAGTACGGAGCTGGGTATAGTTCTCGAGCTTATCAAGAAAGAAAACCTTTCCGTTAGGCATGAGACCTGCGTGCATAGCAGGAACTCCAGACTGGCCGACGATGGTGAAAGAGCCTCCGTTTGGTGCTAGTGGCGCTGGGCTGGGACCTGGAGCTGCAACAGCTGGTGCACTGACACAATTTCCTGATTGGCATCCGGCACCGCAGTGAGCGGTCGTGTTTCCGCTGCATGAAGTTAGCATCAGAAGTGTGAGACCAGAAGCGATGTGCATACCAAAATCCGTACATGGAGCAGCAGTTGCCTTTGGGCCAGTTACCGCAAACAGTGTTGTTATTGGAAGAACCGCAAGTGCCATCAGTAGTCACAGCTGCCGTTGCGGTCGTTTCGGGAGCCATGGTTGTAGTGGCTGGACCGATAACAGGTTCTTGGCTAGCGGTCGTGGAGGTACCTGGTTGACCATCAGTACAACCACTCTGACAACCATTTGAGACGAGACAATGTGCAGGAGTGGAGCCGCAGAATCTGTAACAAGTTTTTTGTCAGCAAGTGTTCGCCAAAAGCATCAACAAAATCAACAACGTGCCCATATTCTGAACAACATCCTCCATATGGCCCATTGGGATCACACGTCGCGCCACCGAAAGCCGTTCCGCATCTGCCATCAGATCGAGGTGCCGTTCCTGTCGATACAGGAGTCGAGGAAGTCGTTGTTGTTGTCGCCCCATTGCAGCCATTCTGGCATCCATTTGAGATGAGGCAGTGCTGGGGTGTTGAGCCACAGAATCTTGAAATATATGGTCAGATAAATGGATAAGATATATTGATGGCAGCGCAACAGAAAGCAGTTAAGAAAAGTTGCATCTTACCCGTATGAAGAGCAGCATCCTCCATAAGGTCCGCTTGGATCACAGATCGCTCCGCCAAAGGCGGCACCACATCTGCCATCTGAACGGGGAGGAGCTGTGCCAGGGGAACTACCTGTGCATCCAGAAAGACAACCGGCTCCGCAATGACTGAGTGTGTCAGTAAGTATCCCAGAACGAGTTTGGTGGATCGTACGCAGTATCATTGCCACACCACCCGTATTGCTATGTTCCGTTAGCCATTTGTCATTCGCATTGGGCTACACACCCACCGAACAACACTGTCCAGTATACACCGTGCTATCCGGATTGCAAATGGTGCCACCGTTGTTAGGCCCACATGTTCCGTCAGTGGAGAAAACCGGGTTCTGTCTCACGTCGATGTTTTGCATGGCGGAGCGGAAGGACATGGGATATGCAATCTTCTCGACCGGTACGCAGCTACGAAACGTCAGTGTCTTTATCTCGAAAGGGATGGTAAGACTCACTCTCCGCGCTCCGTGCATCTCTGTCCTCGAAGACAGCCATGGTATATTTGGTCGCTGGTGAGGTTACACTGCAACGGGACGTGATTGAAGATGATGTTGGCAGAAGTGGAGGCCGCAAAGCCGAGAAGCAGAGTAAAGGTCTTCATGGTTGAAAATTACTTTTGAATGCGCGTTAGGGATGATTGAAGAAATAGTTGATGTGAATTTGGAAATCGGGGCGAGATGGACGTGAATCATCGCGTTTGCACTCTCCCGATCCTGCTGATGCGGTACTACACTCGAATGCAATGATCCAGCAATCGACCGGCTTGGAACAGAAATGAACATGAGAGGCAGAGTGATTGGGATAACTTACGGTCGGGATATTAGGTGCTTTGGAGGATACCCTGATCAGAGTTACATTCAACGAAGTGATGTGCTGGATCGTAATGACTGTGGAGTAACGAGAGGACTGCAAGGCCCAGTATTAGGATGAATGAAATTGAAGCCTTGCAAAAGATGAGGTGAAAGGATGTCGAAGTGAAGTGTGATGGAGGAGAGAAGAAGAGCTGCAAGCTTGCATATCGAACTTGGGGTCAAATTTGGAGCCATAAATGGAAAGCACGCACCAACTCGCAAACGGAAGGCACGATGAAGATACGAGGACTTTCGTCCGTGCCTGCATGTCGACAGATCACCAGAGCTTCATTTCTCTCCCTAGAATAGTTTTAAGCTTAATATCAGTTCGGATGACGATCTTCGGTGCAGGGTCCCGTTGTGTAGCACCGGGGAGTTTTAACATGCAGCCGCTTCAGGTACACGGGCTCTAACGAGGATTGGGTCAAGAGAAGCCGCTTCTAGAGTGTAGATGGTGGAACCAAAACATCCTGGATTTTGTATGTGCACAACTGGAGCTTTGGCATCTATGAAATAGTTTGCATCGCAGACAGTCATGGCACAGCAAGACCATGACCGTCTATCTCGGCAATTTGATTGATGATTGAGGAAGCAAAATGCAACCCATGCTATGAATCCCCTAAATGACTCGTCTTCTATACTCTGTCCACGATGATTCTGCCAAGTGCCGCAGATAATGGCCATCCGAGCAAGGTGACATCTTGAAACTGTGAGTCAACGCAGCAAACAGATCTCTGTCCTCGAATCGCTGTTGGCAATTGCATTCGACGGCAATGCTCTCTCTGGATAGAATCGACAGCTTTCCGGATACTTGAGTCCATGATTTCTTTGGAAGAGGGGATTGCTGGTAGGCCTCCTATCCTTGTGAACTTCGTGGATCTGCCATCCGAATTCAAGGAGAGATGTCCGCAAGCTCCAGAGTCTTTTCAAATAGTGTGTTCAGAACTAGACGGCCTTTCACCAATTCAAATCTGCTTTCGAAACACCCATAATCTTTCCCGTCGAAGCCACCGACTCACTGGCAACTTCTTTCGTGGAAGCAACATCCTTCCTACCCACAATCTCCTCCCTCGTACGCAGTTCGTCCGAATGCTCCTCCCCATCCATAATCCCCAAATCCAACCCCCACCTCTTAACCTCCTCCTCCGTAACCGCCTCCCACTTCTTCACCAACGGATGCGCCCCCGCAACATCCTCAAACACAACCTCGATCCCCTCCCCTTCCCCAGGAACCTCAAACCTCCACACGCCATCCTCACCCCACCACTCCCTCGCAAACACCCTCTCAGTCCCCAACTCCTTCTTCGCCTCCCCAGACACCACCTCCACCCTCCTCTTCTCCCCCTCCCACTCCTCTCCCTCCGCACTCAGCACCGCCTTGAAAATCCCCTCCAGCACCCCCAAAATCCTCCCAATCTTCAACCCCAGCATAGCGCCCAGTCCATACCCCTCATCAAAACCCGCCTGCACACTCTCCGCCTTCCCCTTCGTGACTCCATCCCTGTAACCCTCCGTCTCATGCTTCTCCTTCAAGCGCGGGACGTCCGAATGCTCGAGATTCCCGTGCTCAAAGGTAGGAGACGGGGGCGCGGACCCAAACACATCATCTAGATCATCTTTCGTGAACTCCTCCCTCTCATCTTGCTCTGAGAATCGTTCCGGCATCGGAAATTCGTTGTCATCTCTCAACATCTTGCCTTCTAACCATTGAAAAGCTGCCCCGCCAAAAAATTGTCGAGCCGTGAGATCTTATCTTATCTTAGCGCCTTTTTCGTAGCGCGTTCCTTCCCCATGTGACAAGCACCCAAAAGCAAACGGACGCGACGACACCGTATCGAATTGAATAAGCAGATTTCGCGGTAAACAAATTAACGCCAGATGGCGACATTGGAGTAGAGGTTTAACTTGTTCCCTTCCCATTCTAATGGGAATAGGGAGAGACAGGGGTTCGAACCCCCTATGTCGCGAGTGTTCTTTTTTTGGTCGTTTGTTTCACGTGCACGAACGGCTTGGTTTCTGGTTCATTTTTTCTTTCCTTGATAGGTAGCTGCTGGAGGTTGGTTAAGTTTGTTTATTTCTTCTTTTGGTTGTTTTTGCGTTTCTTGAGTCGCTTAGACGTCGGGTGATCTTGGAAGAAGACAAGAACCTGGAATGGAAGGACCTCGATGGAGAGCGGTTCACGTGACGTCTCTAATTCACATCTGAAGGACAAATGCCCATTTGCTTTGGGAATTCATCAATTTGAACCATTTTGTTCTTCTATGACATCCTCACATTGTAAGACATGCTTTGCTTGGCAAACATCCTTAGCATACCCTATAAGAAAATCCTATCCCTTCAAGTACTTGAAAATAAGTTTGAAAGTGAGATACTCATTCCTGACATGGTTGAGTCTTTAAGTAATGAGAGTAGCATGTGCTATTGTATTCTGCCTGATTATTTCTTTGATAAATTGCTCACTAACTTCAGACATATGCGACTCTTAAGCTTGGTAACTCATATTGAGATATTCCATACACTATTTTTGTTTGATTGATCTTAAGTTTGAAGCATTCGGATCTTCAAACGAGCTCAACCCAGTATAACTTGCATAAGCAAACAATCAAATATTGCGTTATGTGAACTATTCCCTAGAATCCCAGTTTCTTTTCCCTTCTCTTGAGCTCGGTACATAAATAAACACAGGAATAATGAATGAATACCTCACTTACTAGATCCTCAGAGCTTGTAATCTCAAAACAGTTAACCCTTCTCTCATCCACCAAGAACTCGGGAAACCCGAAGTTCATATAAGAATATTCGCAAGTTCTTTAGCGACCAAGCCTAATTCGACAGCAGCAGAACCAACCCCTGAACGGCCCCACAGAAGATCACCACTGCGGTGAAACCCCTCATCTACCTGTTCCTATCTCACGACCATGAAAGTCCCCTTGGATCCATTCTACACCTTATCTCAACTAAACTAAACCTCCAATAGTATCACCACTTAACATTCACCCACCATCCCTCTTCAGCTCCCAACACGCCTTGTGGCGTTCCACCCCTGACATAAAATTCAATTTACCCCCAATCACACACCCCTGCCACAAAACAAACAAGCTAAGGTAGCTTCCCCGCATCGAGCTGAACCTGGAAAGAAGGAATAAAGGTCTCGCCATAAATTGAATGTCACATTAATAAAAAGGGAACCCAACCCAACCTGTTCCACACCTCCTCCTCGCCATTAACAAACAACATCTCTCCGCTTTCGAACGATCGTGAATCGAGGTCAAAATGAAGATCACTATCTCTGCTATGCTCATTGCGCTGGCTGGCTTGGTGTCCAGCCAGAATTTCGGCGCTGAACCTAGTTGTGCTGTGAGTTTGATTGTTTCTTTGGAGCTTTCACCACCCATTCAAGTCCTCTCTCTTCAATTGATCTAGCAAGCATCGATTGAATCAGTCCACCTTGCGCCAACTTGCACTCCCTTCACCTTCCTCAATTCTCCCCAGCTCCAACCTTCACCACAACACGGCTAACCCCTCACACAGATCCCCTGCCTAACCTCCGCCTTCTCAGTCGCAGGCTGCGCCCTCACCGACCAAGCCTGCCAATGCGGCACCGGCCAAGCCGCCATCCAAACCGCCGTCACGCCCTGCCTCCTCTCCGCCTGCGACGCCGCCGACGTGAACTCCGCTGCGAGCGTTGGCTTCGCGCTCTGTTCTGCGTTTTCCATGACCGCTGGAGCGAACGCGACGACTACCCCTTCTTCTAGCAGCCACTCGAGCACGAGTATCATCATGAGTACGCCCAGCGCGACGACCAGTACGGTGACGGCTGTTACTACTAGTGTGGGGAGTGGAGTTACGAGCACCGCGACGACAACGAGTGCGAAGAGTTCGGGGACGGGATCTGGGACCAGTAGTAGTGCGAGCGCGGTTAGTAGTGCAGGAGCGCAGAAGGGGCAGATGATGGCTGCGGGATTGGGGGGTGTGGTTGGGGTATTGGGAGCAGTAGTTGCTGCACTCTAAGTTGAGGAAACTGGGCGTTGCATACCTTTGATCTGGATGTGGACGATGATGGCTTCTGCGTGGGACAATAATCTTGCAATGGACTTCATACCTTTCTAATTGAAGCATGATATGGCTTTTTATGCTCGTTATTCGTTTCTCTATACTCCTCTGAGCTTCTCACCAAGGTAACTGCAACGGCGTAGGAAGATTATCCCCCATCGTCACATCCGCGGTCCCAATATCCCCTATTAACAATTAGCCCTATCTCCCTCCAGCCATCAAAACAAAACTCACTCGGTCCCCTCGGCGCCCAATACTGCCCCGTCTTCTCGATCCCCAACGCCTCCGTCCACCCTATCAAACTCTCCGCCGCAACATCCGGCGTAACAGCTCCGCCATCATCCCAATACTTATCAAACCCGACCCCCTTCGTCATCTCCGTCCTCATGAACCCCGGATGCACAATACTCACAATCACGCCCTCATCCTTCAAATCCAAACTCAGCAATTTGCCCACCATGTTCAACGCCGATTTCGACGCGTGGTGCGCGTAATTGCCTCCTCCCTCTTTCGCGTGGCGCAGGGTAATGGATCCAGATTCCGAGGATACCAGGATGATTTTCGAGCCCCGCGTGATGTGTTTGGAGCGGAAGAGGGAGTGCACTATGAAGGGTGGAGCGATGGAGGATGTTGCTATTTTACTTTATTAGCATTCCTCTTCTATCCTTCTTGAGAGAGTAGATAGACTTACTATACATCCTAACCTCCTCCTCCCACTTCGGTCCATTGGTCCAATCCTCCGTCGCAAAATAGCCCGCAGTGATGATCTGCCACATTTCTCATCAGCACCTCCCTCCCTCCCCCTTTTCCACCAGAACGAAGCAAACGTACCACAACATCAAAAACCCTCTTCCCACCCTCCACCATGCCCCCACCGCCACCAAGCATCCCCAACTGATTCACCAACTTCCTACCCACCCCCTCCTCAGACAGGTCAATACTCGGCACCCAAACAATACTCTCGTGTAAGCCCGCCGGAGGAGTCGCAGACCGATGCGTGCCGAAGACCGTTGTGTCCGCTTTGGCGGCGTACAAGTTGGCGAGCGAGCGGCCGAGGCCGCGGGTTGCGCCTATGATTAGGATGTTGGGCATTTTGAGAGAAATGGACAGATGGAAGGAGGAAAGGAGAGGGAAAGGGAGGGAGAATGGTGGTTTTGTTGAAGGAAGAGGTGGATGACGTTTCGTGTTGGAGGGGCGCGATAACGATAAGGCGGCATTTGGTGGGGTTGAATGGAGCTCGAGTTTCAGGGTTGGGATGGCGTGACGTGAGAGGTGTTTTGAGTCTGTTTTTGGGGACCCCACTGTAACTAAATTTGGAGGAAAAAGTATTAAAGAAGGGGAAAACGATCTGAATTGTCCAGTTCGAGGTTTGTTCTTTCGGTTGGAATAATCAAGAAGAAAGAAGTCAGGGTTTTTGTTTATCAATTCAGTTATCTATCAAGCATGAGTGATTATTGCTCCCTCGCTTGGCGGCTTCTTTGTTGTACGAGAAGTTTCTCTTGATGTCATTTTGAGTTGCGATGTTGATAGGTTTGATTTGATTAGTTTGGACTACTGTAGAGTTTGTTTTGTATTTCTCAATATACACAATCCAGAGTTGACGAAAGTTTGCTCAATAAAGATTCCAAGAAGAGCAAGTGGCCGTCTGGCAAACAAGACAAGCAGCTTAGAACTGTTCAAGAAATACCTGAATCAAGTCCTGCAAAAACTCGACCGTTTGAGAGGCAGCGACGATCTATGAAGTATGATGTGAAGATGTACTTCTCAATGAGATCTCTTAACTCAAGAGCAACCTACCAGGAGAGGTCAAGCTTAGCAGGCCGCTTCGTCTCAAATCTTATCCCTCCCAACACAAAAAATTTACCCCGAAGTACACTTGCATTCCAGACATTGAAAGTCATTTTTGTTGCACATCGCACGACGCTATTTCTCTCGGCCGAATAATCTGTTAAACTCCTGGCCAGCGGATCGGGTTCCCCACCTCTTCCGCCGCTTATAGCTTCGGAGTAGGACTCTAAGTAGGGAATTGAGAGTCTTTCATACCGCAAATGTTTTCGGATTGAAGAGCGGAACAGACGGAAGTCTGTGGGTTGGGGCTGAGAGGACTTCCAGCCATTCCTTGTAGTCATCCGTCTCGTAAAAATCTCAACTTCATTTCGACATTTGAACACTAGGTGATCAAGCGTGGTATAATTTATCAGCTCAACTTTCTTCAATCGCAGTCCTGAATAGAGTTTGAGATCAGACCCCCTTGTTTTTTGTACCAGTGCATGAAGCCGAAACTCATTTTTGTTGCACATCGCCTGCTGCAATCATCCGACTCACCCTAACCCTAAAGAATATGTCTGTTACCGCGTGCTATGTTGCTGGATCCCAGATTGTTGCTCCACATTGTGTGACTGCTCATTTCCGATACCCGCCGCAGTGGTAGACGGTTGTTTTGCTGCTCCTGCCTGTTAAATGAGAGTGAGGTCTTGAAGTCGGCAATGTGTTGTTGTTTCTAATCAGCTTTTTTGCGGAATGCTTTTTTGCTGAAGTCAAACGGCAGGACTAAGAATATGAGGAAAAGTCATTAGTTGCTTGTGTTTTAGAAGTGAAATAGAAACGATGAGAAGGATGAGGAAAGAATTGTGGAGTTGGTGACTCGCAAGATGCTTCAAGACGAATAAATGTATTTATCGAGTGAGCTTGAGCGCCAGAGTGTCTAGCGAGTCTTTGTGAATACAAATGAAATTTTTTGGTTTACATTCTTAATTTCAGAAAGCTTCTTTCAGTAAGTGATCTCACCTGGTCAGTACCGCGCTGACTAAGAATACGTGACTTACGATCATCACGTATCAGATCGCGTTCCCCTTTTTTTCGGAGGTAGGCTTTCCGCCGACTTCTCTTTTCGTACCATCTTGATAAAACAATTGAGACATTTGAACGTTTACGAATGTTTAAATACGCCTCGTTGGACTTGCTTTTCCCTTACGAGCGACCTAATCTAATCGAACAACTCCACGATGCTTCTCACGATGCTCCCACCATCGATGTTCACCTGCCCCCTGTGGCGGCGATTTCCGCAATATCAAGAAGCATGAGTGTGATTTGACCTCGTAAACAGCCCCCAAATTGAGAGATGTCGCTCTAGAGCTGGGACTCGCATTCAAGCTTTAAGGCGCATTTTGATTTGTTTCCCACATGTCCGGATGCTGTGAGGGCATTGCTGTCAAGCTTTACTGCGCTGGGCCTCTGAACATGATCTTCACTTGAGGATACTAACAAATAGTACCTAGGTACTATAACATTTGTGCAGTCACTTCTATAGTTGGACGACCATCCACATCCTGCGCTCTCCTTCGCTGCTCAAGGATCATTTCACTGTTCTCCACGAATCTACAGTCCTTGTTGATACTCTTGGCATGGCACCATGCGTCTGCGCCAGGTACCAGCCACCAATCCCGACATACAAGCTGTGCGCAACGCAGTGATCTCATTTTTGCTTTTTTTTCCCTCCTGGCGGCAGACGGCTCGGCAGACAGGAGATCAGATCATTTTCTGTCATTTTTTGAGCTTGAATTTTCCGACAGGGGGCTAGATCATTGCGCCGCTGCAATATCCCTTGATGGACCTGCTCAAGCAGATTATATTTGGCTCTTGCATCTTTTGAACCGTTTTTCCAGACTTCCGAGTGGTCGTTCTACTTGCATCGTTGTCCCACTTCCCCAAAGTTCTAGAAGTGTGAATCTTGTGACTCAAGCCACAACAAGCAGCTGATCTTAAATCGGGTACCCGGTACTTGCTCTCACCCTCACAAGCGAGTCAATATCCCCACGAGCTGCAGCTCCATCTCCACAGAAAGTCTCTGTCCCCTGGTGGCTGAAACAACACTGCATATATACCATTTTCCTTGCCAAAATCGCGATTATCGTGGCTTCAGATAATCGTTAGTGTGCGCCAAAATGCATGTTCTTTCTTTTGCATCAGAGCGCTCAAATTCAGCTTCCACAACAAAATGGCAAGTGCCATAAGGTGGAAGTTGTTGAAAAATATCTCTACAGAAAGACTGTGCAGAAGTTACGATATAAAGGTTCCCGTTCCCCAGTTCTCACTCCTCTTCCGACACGGCACTTCAGTCTTTACCATCACTCCTGTCTTTACCCTTACTTCTCGATTTCTCTCATCTCCTTTACCGACTACTGGGTCTTATTAACATGGCTCCCGTCTGGTCTGTCCTGCTCGGGCTTCTGCCCCTCGTCTCGGCTCAAGGTTGTCCCTTTTCCAAAAGAGGCTCGACCTCAGATCTCTTCGTCCGACAGGGCGGTGACGAACCCTCTCTAACCACTCTCCAAACCTCTTTCGGCAAATGCCCAAAGATCAGCGATGCAGCTGGTGGTGGCACTCGGAGTCACGACTGGTGGCCGTGTCAACTCAGGCTGGATGTGCTCCGTCAATTTTCACCTGAGCAGAACCCTCTTGGTGGAAACTTCGATTATGCTGCCGCGTTCGCTACTCTGGATTGTGAGTCTTGCACGCCAGTTTGGTTCAAATGAACGCGGAATTGAGCTGATGCCATGTAGACAAAAGGCTCAAGGAAGACATCAAGGATCTTTTGAGCAATTCGCAGTCTTGGTGGCCAGCAGACTTTGGGTACGTAGAATATTTACCAATTTCCTAATACATCAACTCTGAGAGGAGCTCTCTTCCTCTTCACACAACCCCTAATACCTTGGTTAAAATGCAAATGTACTCGGGTCTTCCAAAGAGCTCGTTCCATTTGATGAGTCTGAATTACCTATGCTAACCTACATGTAGTACCTATGGTGGTCTGTTCATTCGTTTGGCTTGGCATAGCGCAGGTACCTACCGCGCGGTAGATGGACGAGGTGGTGGTGGTATGGTATGGCTCTTGCATCTCTTGCTTTAATTCAAAGCTAATTGCAATTCCTTCCCGATAGGGTCAACAACGTTTCGCTCCACTGAACAGTTGGCCCGACAATGCAAATCTCGACAAGGCACGACGCCTGCTGTGGCCCATCAAACAAAAGTATGGCAAAGCCATCTCATGGGCTGATTTGCTCCTTTTAGCTGGTAACACTGCCCTAGAGGAGATGGGATTTCCCGTCCTCGGATTCGGCTTTGGACGTCCCGATACGTGGCAGTCGGATGAGAGTGTTTTCTGGGGAGCTGAGACAACCTTTGTTCCTCAAGGAAATGATATCCGATATAATGGGAGCACTGATTTCGTTGGCCGTGCTACTCACCTTGAAGAACCACTTGCCGCTACTCATATGGGTCTCATCTATGTCAACCCCCAAGGACCTAATGGCAACGGTGACCCTATGATGTCCGCACTTGACATTCGAGAGGCTTTCGGCCGCATGGGCATGAACGATTCCGAGACGGTTGCCTTGATTGCTGGAGGGCATGCTTTTGGCAAAGCTCACGGCGCTTCTAGCACCGGTATGTAATTCTCTTGCGCTCCCACACCTTTGCCCATGCTAACATATGCTCTAGCTTTGGGTCCCCCTCCTGAAGGCGGCTCTCTTGAACAGCAGGATTTCGGTTGGGCCAACAGCTTTGGTACTGGCAATGCAGATGATGCCATAACCAGCGGACTGGAAGTGATCTGGTCCAAGACTCCCACTAAGTGGAGCAATGGTAGCTATCTCTTTCCATCATCTGCCCCACACCAAGTGCTGACTTGACTCCCAGATTATCTGAAAAGTCTTTTCCACAACACATGGACATTAGTCAAAAGCCCAGCCGGCGCTCTTCAATTCGAGGCACTCAACAGTACCGTTGATTACCCAGATCCTTTCAATGGAGCCGCCCGCCATGCCACTATGCTAGTCAGCGATCTTGCACTCCGTGAAGATCCTATCTACGGTGCTATTGCCGGAGCATGGGCAAGCAACTTCACCCTTCTCACTGATGCCTTTGCAAACGCATGGTGTAAGTCAATACCTTTTCTCTAGTGACTATACATTTTAGCTCACTAGAGGAAACAACAGTCAAGCTCCTCCATCGTGATATGGGTCCCATTTCTCGCTACCTTGGCCCCGAGATTCCTCAACAACAATTCATCTGGCAAGATCCCCTCCCTAAAGTGAACTACCCTTGTATCACGCCTAGCGACGAAGCTACTCTGAAGCAACAAATCATTTCCACTCCCGGCCTGACTGTTGAGAACTTGGTCTCGGTAGCATGGGGCTCTGCTTCAACCTTCCGTGGTGGCGACAAGCGAGGAGGTGCTAACGGTGCTCGCATTGCTTTACAGCCTCAAGCATCATGGGCAGTGAACAACCCCAAGCAATTGCAGAAAGTGCTATCTAAAGTATGTTCCAGCTCTTCGCCTTGAAATTGTGTTTTGCCTTGCTTGAGAGACTAACCACCAATTTCAGTTGACCACGATCCAAACCGCATTCAACAGCGCCAACCATGGAGGCAAGCAAGTCTCCCTCGCCGACCTCATCGTCCTCGGTGGAAATGCCGCCATCGAAAAAGGTGCTGCTGCGGCCGGCTACACCAACGTCACCGTCCCCTTCACAGCCGGCCGAGTCGACGCCACACAGGCCGACACAGACATCACAACCTTCGAATACCTGAACCCCCAAGGCGACGGCTTCCGCAACTACCGCAACTACACCGGCTGGTCCCTCGCCCGCACCGAAGAACTCCTAGTCGACAAAGCCCAACAACTGACCCTCACGGCCCCCGAGATGACCGTCCTCGTCGGCGGAATGCGCGCCCTGAACGCCAACTTCGATAACTCGGCCACCGGCATCCTGACCGCTGAACCAGGCACTCTTACCAACGATTTCTTCGTCAACTTAGTGGATATGAGGACCGTGTGGACTGCGGACTCTACTGGAGAGCTGTTCACGGGCAAGGATCGCACGACGGGGAAGACGAAGTGGACGGCTACGCGCGCGGATCTTGTGTTTGGGTCCCATGCTGAGTTGAGGGCTATTGTTGAGGTTTATGCGCAGGCTGGCGGGAAGGACCAGGTGGTGTCTGATTTTGTGGCTGCTTGGGCTAAGGTCATGGATTTGGATCGTTTTGATGTTAAGAAGTAGAGGGCTTTGTGCTGTTGTTGTTTATTTGACTTCTTCTGATTAGATTAATAGTAATTCAGTTTTATGTCTTAAGTTTTGCTTGGGAGGTGTTTGTCATCTTTGAAAGCCAGAAATACCGATTCAGTTCCGTTTCCATTCAACGCTTAGATCTCAATGGTGCTTACAAAGCTTAGATCCACATGTCCAACGATCTGGTGTGGGAGTACGACAAGGTATAAGTTTCAGTCATTTGTTTCCGTGCCGATATCGTACATGAAGAACGGAAGCGGGAATGGAATATGCAGTGTGTAGTGCTACTGCAGCATCTCCAAGTCCTGTCCATTCAGAGAGGAGCGAGTCGTCGTGCATTGCATGCCGTATCATTGTCCTTCCCGAGATCGCGGTCATGCGTCCGAGCCGAAAAGTCAAGAACGAATACGAGACCGAGTGCGTGCAACCTTTACGATGCACCATGTTGAACCATGCTCATATTCTATGCACCACATTGTACGGTGGTGCATCACTTTCATAAACGAATTGAGACACAAACAGGAGCACGCAAAGTGACAGTCGTACAACCAGCATACCTGTTCAGAACTACAATTTTCTATGCTATAAAACACCACTTTGCGAACAATCACATCTCCATCTCCTTTCTACTCACAATTTCCCAATAATAAGCTTTTCAAGCCTTGCTCTCAACTACATGAACATGCTCAACAGTAGCATCAACATGCTCAGTCATCAGATCCTTGACTCCCTTCAAACACGCCACAGCAACCATAGCCAGTACCACAAAAGGAATAATAGACGCCCACGCAAGTCTATACGCAGCCGCATACGCATTATGGCTGGCATCCACCGCAGCGCCTAGAACAGCAGGAGTGAGTCCTGGGATCGCGGTGAAATTACCGGAGCTGAAACCAATGAGAAGAGGGCCCACAGAAGTGGTTGGGAGACCGGCTGCGAGAGCGGCTCCTGAGACTTTGGTAGCGTAGGTGGAGGCCAGTTTGTTGTTGATGATTACGTTGACAACTGCGGATCCGAACGCACCACCGATAGCGCGAGCTGAGAAGGCGAGACCTGTCGCGTTGGCGAGGTAGGCGTGGGGAGCTGTGAATTGGACGAGTGCGACGAGGAGGGTCAGTGGGCCTGCTTGACCGAAACCAGAGATAACGTTGTAGCCGATCTGAGCGTGGTTCATTGAAGGTGTGATTGTGGCGTAGCAGATGGAGACGACGAGGAAGCATAGGAAGGTGATGAGAAGTGGGACCTTCATGTCTTTGAACTTGGTCGAGTACCAGCTTTCGTGAGTTAGGATATGTCTTGTCATGATCAGTTTGAGAAGAGACAACTTACACAATAGGAATGGAAGCGAAGATGTTCACCAGGTTGAAACTCAGCTGTCGAACAGAGATTCTCCATGCAGAGCTTTCGAAGCCAAGGTTCAACACAATCTGAGTTGTGACGCTGTTGACCGCGCTGAAGAAGATCCATCTGTTTTATTATTAGTAAAAGATCTTTACTAAGATGTGATAAGACTTACCCCTCAACGGCGAAAGCAAAAACAGATAGAGCAAAATTCGGGCTACCTTTGAAATAAACGTGTGGCACCAAACCATCATTTCGTCCCTTCCACTCATACAAAGCGAACATCAAAAGAAGACCTCCACCGACTCCCAAAGTAGCCGCAACATGAGCATCGTGCCATTTGTAGGTTCCTCCAGCCCAGTCGAGACCAAGCAACAGGAAAGTCGCGCTAGAAATGAACAGGAAAGAACCAATGGGATCGAAAGACCAGAGCATGGCCCCAAGAGGCAGTTTCTCGCGCCCTTCTGGTCTCTTTGGCCAGTAGAATGCTAAGAGACCGATGGAAGTGGCGAGATGGAATGCGGCTTGCACCCAGTAGATTCCTCTCCATCCGTTGAGGCTCGCGTTGGTAAGACCACCACCTCCGAGGACTCCGATACTTTGACTCGATCAGTATAATCTCGTAAAATTGAGGATACAGAACTTACAGTCCACCAAGAGAACCGGCCACGAAAGCAAAACCGTTGGCCAAGGGTCTGTACTTCATGGGAAGAACTTCAGATGGAATTGCCTGGACAATGGAAATGGTTGCCAGAGTAAAGCCAATGAGGATACCACCACCGATCAAAGTCGGCATAGTGTTCGCCTTTGCTGATACGACAGCTCCAACGAAGGCAATGATCGGAGGGATCGAAGCAAGATATTTGCGATCAACGGTATCAGAAATGCGACCAATAATGGGCGACAGAGTAGCTTGGACAAGTAAAGGACCCTTCACAAATGTTAGAAGATCTTCACAGCTTGAATATGAGATTTACTTGGATAATCCATCCCACGAGAGCTGGTTGACCTAAATCACGGACGATGAAAGCAATGACATTGCTGGCTCCGACGACGACGAAGACTTGAGCCATTACGCTTTCGAATATTAGCCCAGGAACTCTTTCGGAATTTGAAATGAAACACTTACGCGAAACATGATATAAAGACCACGAGCCAAGTCCTCCAGCTGATTGAAACATGAATGTTATCATCGGCTTGATGTCCAACTCTATGCTCCGAATCGGGAGCATGTTCGGTATCCGTAACATCGATACCTTTCTCCAAAGTCTGAATCTCCTGATTCTCCACCGACTTCTGCTCTCCATCTTTCTCCATCTCTGCAACGACCGTTTGTTTCGTCCAAAAAGTCGGAATACAGCTCACCGCCCAAAAAGCCAGTAAATATACAAGCACTACAACCTCAAAGCTTACGTACTCAACAATACAAGGGAAGGAACGAAGCAGCAGCAGGCCAAAGGCACAGTAAAAGCATAAAGAGACACTCCAGAAAAGCAAGACAAACATGCTCCCCATGAACTATATATTCAAATGTTCGCATGCCAGCCCTCCATCCGTCAGCAATTACCATGCATGGCCGCACGTCCCGCATGTAACCTGCTGCCAGGGTATTCATTGGCAATATGCAGCTGTACATTAGCGAGCGCTGGCAGGGCATATACAGTACACCCCAATCCCAAATGATGCCAAAGTCAAATGATTCCACTTGGCTCTCGCTGCAGGGTAGCGAACTTTATTGGCTGAGGTGCGAAGAGTCGGCAGTTCTGTTTTGTGTGTGGTGTGGACGTACGGGACGGGGAGGAGACGGGATCGAATTTTGAGTTTCGTTGACACGTCAAGGGTGCAGCATGGGGGCTTTGGACACTAGCTTCTTGGTGGCTGCTTCATGGTCTCGGAGTTGTTTACCTTTCAGGAATTCTGGGAAAGGGACCTCACGCCACGAGTTCTGGAAGGGTTCTGGAAGTTTAAAAGGATTTTGACCGGGGAAGTTACCGTTAATCTCCAGAGATGCTTCCTTGCCGTCTCATGTTGGCACTCTGTGATTTAACCGCTGGAAGCGCATTGGTGGTCTTATTTTGCGCTTTAGCCTGGAAAGGGTGTCCATGGTATTGGGATTTGGGGTTGAGAATCGGATCGATTGTGTATCCGTTCCTGGAATCCTTTGCAGCGGTTCTTGTTTTCACCCAAGATTGTATCCTATTTGCCAAAGCACTTGGCATTCATTTGATAGTTATAGTATACAAACAATCCAATAATACATTCAGGTTCAATTATATACATGAACAGATGTTGCTCTGGTCCAACACTGTCACTCTCATTTACACTTTGATCTGTTGGTACTTTATGATCGCATGCTCTTTTCCGACGAAGACAATTTGGCTTGCGGCAAAACCTTCGACGAACCGATGTATGACTCTTCAACCGTGAATTCCCTTTCGTACTCAATGCCACCAAGTTTTCCAACAATGTGTTCCTCGCTGCCTCCCATAGTGCCACCTGTTGCATGTGCAGAATATGTAGGCTCCTTTCTGTCCCTGAATCTGCCGGAGCGCAGAGCGCTGCCGCTTCTCTCCTCGCCGCTCAAAGGCATCATTTGGTGATTGTAGCTTCGCTGTGTTCTTTGGGTGACGGCCCGATCGCGAATCGACTTTGTGAAGAGGGGTTTCATGGCTATTGCGTTGTGATCAGCATGCTTACTTGCATCTCGATCTTATCCGGCGATCTCTCTTACCAGGAACAGAAGCGCAGATCACTGCCACATTGATCTCAATCATCGACCAAATGTTGATAGGAACTCCATCCCAGAACGGATCCTTGCTATCTGTGAAGACTTTGATTGTGTACAATCGAATAATACTGTGCAAAATATTAGCTCACCATTGGCTATCGACGCTGCATCAGCCACAAACCTCGAGATACTTGAGAAGCCTCCGACGCCGAAAAGTATGAACAAGACAACCTTGTCTCTTGTCCCTCTTTTCATGTCTTTGAGAGTGTTGATGGGAAGTGCTAGAATAACAATATCTACAATGATGTTGAGTACCGCAAGTACTAAGTATTGTCAGTCAAGAGATTTCTTGAGATTCATCTAGAGCCAAGTTACCATAAAAGTATACTTCTGTGTTAATGCATTTCTTGGTGTACTTGCCAACTAAGTCCCAGTTGCTCTGTACGGGCAGACATTGTAAAGTAGTAGTGGTTTGGCTGCTAATATAAAAGAGGGTGAGAAAAGCGGCAACTGCTAAAGATGATTTGCGGAGGCTGCTATCTACGGTTGCTGATGGAAAACAAATTAGCACTCCAATTGACGTAATGGATTCGCTCTTCATACCAAGTCGCAGGTAAAAGACTACGATGGAAGTTTTAACAAGATAGATGACAGTGTTGTAAGTAAGCTGGATGGAGTAAACAATCTAGAAGATGTCAGAAATCATTACGTCTTGCTTGAGCTCGTTCTTACTTGTAAGAGATGGACGGCATCATTCAAGCTGTCCTCTGACCCATGAAGTCCAATGTTCCACTTCAAACCATAAAGAATCTCAATGAGGTAGCCAAGAGTGAAGATCTGAAGATATAAGCTATTCGTCAGAAGTAAACTCTCTTCAATGCTCACCATTCCAGCTACCATGAACCAGTCATCTGGGCCGAGTCTTCGAGTTATAACGAATCGACCGATTAATCTGAGGATCAAAGCAGCCACTGTAAGTGTCAGATTTGCATTTCTCCAAGAAGAAGGTACCTTGACATACATCCAAAGAAAGTGAAAATCACAGAGACAGCTATCATAGCCGACTGCCGACTTCTGTCAACCGGTCCTGCACTCGCTGTTGACGCCATGGTGGTGAAGTGGAAAAAGAGTGACCTGACGTTGAAAGAAAGATAATTCAGATCACAGAGGACCTTGATTCCCAACCGGTTACTTGCGACGAGGCTTCCATCTATATCCCATACAGGAGGTTAGCACAATGGCAACGTGAGACTCTGTCTACGGGTAAGGATCCAAGCTGCATTCTACAGGGCAATTTACGCCTCAAAAGTCGTTGGTAAACCTTCATCTAACAAACTACCGTAATAATGTGATAGACGTGCTTCGATCATTACAGCCTGCCAATCCTGACACCTGCATGACGTTGGGTAGGTATCGTGGGAGCGTGTTTGGCCATTCGCCCGCTGTGGCGCACAGCGCCCAGTGTTTGGTGGGACGACATGTTAACCTGAATTAGGGTTCAGATCCGTACCAAAGTAGTACCTTGGCCAAGTCTTGCTCCTGCGCAAGATAGGCTGGATCTGGTGTGGTTACAGGCCGGTGGAAAGTACCCAATACTTTTAAGGGGTTGGATTAAGCGAAGCAAAGCGTCTAACTAGGGGCACTCGGGTGCGCTCCGCCGGATATCGTTCCGCTACGCTATTTCATCCTTCACAGACCACTCTGAGGCACTGAAAATACCCCAAGTTGTCCCACAAGCCCCGCAGATATTTTGACCCGCCTGAAGATCGATTAGCGTACGGATCCCTGGGTGAATTCCTGAACGCTATTTAAAATCCAACCACTGTTGTCCAACTGGTGGCTGCTGGTGGCTGCGGCCAGGAGTCCTCTTGTAGAACTCTGCAGACTCGGAACAGAGACCTAGGGAATCCCGCGAGCCCCGAACGCCACTTCCTTCCGCTGCCGTCCGCGCGAGAAAATCTCTGTTCAGTCATCGCAGCTCAGCTCAGCTCGTGTGAGAGTAAGAGACTTTGGATACCCCAGCCATCTTCCCCTCGCTTCAGACTTTAGGTGTTCGTGATGTGGGACTCTTCGTTGCACGACACGTCTCACAATTACGGTTCTGGGGAGAAGGTATGCGGGGAAGCCCAGATTTGTTATCAAATTTTCTTTTTCAATGCACGCAAGTTGTTGTTGACAGCTGACGCCATATCAAAAGCGAAAATTCTGAGCAGGGCGACCACGCGAAGAGGTCGGCTCATGAGTTTCACCCAGTGTAGTACGAATTCTGTGCCCTAATCGCTTCTGTCTTTTGTTTGGCTGATCTGGGAATACCAAGATCTTGGGTGATTATGCTTACCCTAGTATGTCCAGCGATTGGATGGTCAAAGCGGATGTTCATAGGATCCGATATTATGTCTCAATCGCCCGGTTGGCTGCTCGTAATCGTAGCGTGCCCGCATCCAATTCGTATTGTAAAGTTTCGGCCCATGAGCCGATATCAGAACATCCTTCCCAGAAAAGCCTTTTGCTGGGAATAGACTGCGTATTCCTGCAGCATTGTTCAAATCATTCGAGGTTTGAAGTTAGGTACTGGAGAAGCAAGGAAGAGTGACTTCTTCAGTAACAAGAGGTTAAATCTTCATTACGAATGTGGGTCGAACTCTGAATCGTCCCATTGTTTCGGCACAACCCGACTTGTATCTGTGCGCTTGCCTATCCACTTGTGGTAATATCTACCTCACAGAATAGTAAGATTCAGGGTCCACGGCTGAGCTGGGGAATGCCCGGCAAGGGCGGTCCAAATCCTGGGGTTTTGTGGCCTTCGTAGCAAATTCCTTTTGCGGGTATCCGGCCGGACTTCCTAGTATTGGTCCCAGGCAGCTAGCACTACCAGATCAAGACTAGATGATTCGAGAATATGAATCGGCGTAGAAGGTCAAACCTGCATTTTCCCGCCTTGGCAAATGAGTAAGTTAATTGGTCGTATGCGACTCCCTCGGGTTGTGGTCGTCGGTAGGCGCAAAAACTATCATTCGAATGCATAGAAACTTCGATCCAACGCAATCGAACTTGGAGGTGAGTCGTTGCTCGGCGAGCTGGGCTGTCGATTGGTAGAAGAGAACTTTAACTTTGGACATGTCTCGCGGTAGCTCAGTGCCCGTCAGCCGTAGAAACTTTACGGGACAGGATGTGCCCCCACGACTTCCACGAGGGCTACGCATTCAAGATGCATCCTGCAAAGTCTTCCAGCGTCGGGTTCGTCCAAGGTCGCTTGGAATGTTTGAAATGCTGTGTTGTGGCGTGAGTGAGAACGAGAGGGGGTCCCGATTCGGCGCTGTACCTGCATCTTGCGAGGATCAATAACGTGGAAAAATGGGAGGTCTCCCATCATCTCTGCCCCTTAACTTGCCACACATAACGTTGCGAGGCAACAAGGTTGTACTGCTTGACCAAAGCCAACTGAACGAAAGTGCAGCAAGGATTCCATGTAACCAATGATCCAATACGCGGGGTGACCAGCCTTTCGGGCTGCAGTTGCCGACGCTGGAAATGGTCTTTATTGAAATCGAAGGATTGCAATGCCGGGATGATATAAAGAGTTCAAGGGGCTGTTACATCTGAAGTGCAACTGCTAGGATGAGAAGAAAACTCTGATCGGAAAACAGGTGAAGACTGAAGTAGAAGGTGTTATTCGTGCAGCTTATCTACATCCGAAGGGGGTGCCATTGTGATGTAGCAGATTGGTTTCTTAGATTGCAAATGGATGTTGATTGAAAGTAGCATGATGGCTTCACAGACTGGCCTTTGCGCTTGCATATTTCCGAAGGTCTTTGCCTTCCTCTCGGATAGCCAATTCGCTCATGATTTCCTCGCTACCACCACCTGTTGACTGTGAGTACTTTGGCTTGATGGCATAACAAACAGGAGGAAGAAGGGACAAACTAACCAACGGCCATCACCCTAACATCTCTTGAAATAGCTTCAATCCTAGGATTTTTGAGCGGATATCCTTTGGTCGGTGATTGGCAGCTTACCTTCCCCCTTTACCTCCTCTTGCATAGCCAAGTCCGCCCATAACTTGCTGGGCTTTTCTCACACACTTCTCCAGACACCTCGTACTGACAACTTTCAGCATCGCAGTCATACCGCCAATTCTGACAGCAGATGAGTCTTTGGTTCCATTCTTCCGACTGAATTCGATTAGCCACGTCAATTGCTCGAGGAAAGCTTGTGCTGGCTCGATCATTCTCCCCATCTTCACAAATTTCGTTCTAATGATTGCGTTCTCAATCAACTTCATACCGAACGTTTCCCTCGTACACGCATGTTTCCAAGCATCCTCGACGCACACCCTGCTGAGTCGAATACACTGTGTGGCAATTGATTTTCGTTCAGCGTTGAAGTTAGACATGATAACTTCGAACCCGCGATTTTCCTTGTGTATGAGGTTCTCGACTGGGACAAGCACATCATCGAAGGTAATGAACGTACTCCCGGATGCTCCAACACCAGAATTATGCATCTGTCGTGTGGTAACGCCTTCGACTTTCAAGGGAATGATCAGCAAAGAAATTCCAGACGCCCCCGCACCTCCAGTCCGGACGGCAGCAGTCACATAATCTGCCCAGATGGCATTGGTGATCCATTTCTTCGAACCGTTCACAACATAATGGTCTCCTTGCCGAACGGCAGTGGTTTTGATATTGGCGACATCTGATCCAGCTGGGACCTGTCAGCGCAAGGTCAAATATCGAACATATTGGTCCATACCATCAGGCTCTGTGATTCCGAGACAAAATCGTATACTTCCGTCGGCAACACCAGGGAGAAACTTGGCTTTCTGAGCTGGAGTTCCAAAATTCACAATGGGAGGAACACCAATCCCATTTCCACCACCGAGACCCCACAACACTCCAGTATAGCCCTATGCAAGTCAACAAGATGTCTTTGAAATCTATTCCCACAGACGCACAACGCGAGACAATTCATCGTTGGCAATAAGACTGTGCCACGAGTCCCACTCCTCCAGTGGTATGTCCCCTGGAAGACGGATATTGGACAGTCCAGTGACTAGCCCAATATATCCCAATTCGACGTGACGTCTGAAAGCCTTGCAATACTGGTCAGTACATGATTATGTTCCAAGAGATTCAAGTCACGTGCCTTGTCTGGTACTTTCCCAGCAGACTCCCATTCAAATGCATAGGGAAGAATCTCTTCATCGACATAGCTTCTGACTGCTGCTCGAAGCTTTCGATGAGACTCGGTGTAGTGTGGAGATACGTTTCTGGAGTACCAGAGCGGTTCAGCATATGGTGTTTGGCATCCGAATGGAGGATATGTGGCGCCACTCGAGGAGGGAGTATCTTTGAGGGTTGCTGTGGGAATTGACATCTTATCCAAGAATCAATTCCTCAAAGTCAGAATCCTGATATGTATTGGCGATTTGGTAAAGATGTTTGAAGTCTGTTGCAAGATTTCCATTTCGAGAATGCTGTACCTCGGCATAGTGGAGAGGGGATCTGCACGCGTCCGAGGACATGGGATCCATCATCAACTACCGGCCGGGCCGGTAGATTTTGATAACTTCTTCTCGAAGAACATGAGATGCAGAGGTTGTATATCGCGATATCATCTTGCTGACCTTGCGTGACGAAGATCTTTGAAATGAAACTCCAACTGGAGTAGTTGATATCCTAATGCGCCTTAGTGTAGATTATATAATCATTCAATACTCCATCCCTCCATCCCTCCATCCCTCTTCAACTCTGCATTCCATTGTATGGAAAGAAAAGTGATGTTGAAAAGTCTCTTCGCCTTTAATCTCTATCCAAAGGTTCGGCAGATGATACTACATTCAAAAAAGCGGTAGCCATCCAGACCCTTGGGTGTCCTCTTCTCATTATTATCCGTATTTTCCCATATATTCCTACTTGTCTTTTGCTCCCTAATGTAAACATTGTGCATTTTTAAATTCTTAGAACTCCATCCAGAAAGGGGCAATTTCTTTCCCTGCGAAATTCGCTCATCTTCAGTGGTTGTCGAAGCTGCAGGTCGGTTTCTGTCAAGGCCGACTTCGTCTTTCTATCCCCCACAATCAAATCTTGATAACTCTGAAGAGTGTGTAGTGCTTCTATACCTCTTTTGATATATCAATAATCTGTGTGGAGAAGTGAATGGTCTAGAGAGGAGTTCAAACCCACGAAAAACAAACAAGAAACATAAAAAAGATAAAAAGCAGGACCTTGCAAGTGTACCATTCAGCATCGTATACAAAGAGGAAGCAGTATTTATCCCAGAACCATCAAAAGTCTCGCAGACACTGTGCTTGCACAGAACATGAAGCTCCAGCTTCCTCAATTATATCTCATCATATGAGACACTCATTCAGCAGGTGAGTGTTTCTCCATTTGATGCATAAGTAGACATCAAGATATAGGTTCACTAACAATGCGATGTCAATTAACATTTCATGGACTTGAAAGGTAGCATTTACGTTCTGAGATCTCTATCGCCATCCAGGTCGAACTTTTAGCCTGCACCAAAGATAAGAACATCGTAACTAATTTCAGACCTAAGTTTTACCTTGTAGGAAGTCTTCTGAACCGCTTCTAACTACAAGAAAAAGTTTGCCAAACATGACGCGAGATTGAAGCAAAACAAATCCAACAGTGCCATACAGCTTTAATGAAAGGCAAGGAGCGATACGCTCCTTTCGGGGTAGCCCAAACAAAGGAATCACCCAAGCGAAGTTAGACCAGACTCTCTTTTGGATTACAGCATTTTGAGCGATCCAGTTTGTTAATTAAACCTAAATAGATTGAAAGTTCATATCCAGTAGTACATATTACAAGAGAGAAATCTAAGTCGATGGACACACTTCCCCACAAAGCCCCGTTCTAGCATTGAAGTCTATCTCGAAACCATACCACTGATTGACTTGTAGTACGAGATTGAGCCTTGGAAGACTGCCTAGGTCACAAACAAGATCTTATCTTTTCGTGAGGATGATCAGGTGAAGAGAGAAGTCACATTCGATAAAGCCCAAGCTATTTGATATGACCGGTGGGTACATTCTCAAACTCCGAACCACTAGCGCTTGGCTTTGTCTTGGTGGAAAAGAACGAAAAAACAGTAAGGTACAACACACATATACATATATACTAAAACCTTATAACAATGAAATTTGAGAGAGTATACTCCGCTTGAGAGAAGCTGAAAGATTGTTCTTGTGAGACATTGTCAAGTTGGTCGAGTCATGGGAGTGAAAACACAACTGATTGCCCCACTTTAACATTATACAGAATTACAAACGGTCAAGGAATTGAACACCAAGAATCGGGTACAAAGCGATGAAATAGTAGCACACTTCAGATGGGCTTTAAATTGGACTCCATGAACAACGGGGATTTTGAGGTAGAGTAAGTAACATTGTGCTTTTTGTGGAATTCAGTACCAAATGGCGGCTGAAACTGCCAAAAGACAAGAAAACGGAGCAGACACTAGCCTCTAACGGCACGCAAGTATGTCCTCAAATTTAGTATCGTTCTCGATCCTGAACTTTTGGATTTGGTGTTGTTCTAGTACGAAAGTAGTACTTTTCAATCCTCCCCTCGTGTGCCCTTATTGATAACGTCCCAACCGCCTATGCATGAAACGCATGTTAGCCCATTCGGTCCGTATGAATGAGCCTCACTGCCCATCTTGATTCTCTTGTTGCAAGTCTTGCAAGATGCCGGTTCGAAGCTTGGTGCATTCTCCCACACATCGTCCTTGAAATTGAACGAACTTGTTCCTTGCCCGACGTAGCTCTCATCTTCCGTAAAATTCTTTCTGCAATGCTCGCAGTCTTGCCACTTTCCATTCCCGTGTCTCTCCTTGTGGTGAGATGAGCAGAGAGTATATCTGCTGTGATTGCGGTCGCAGCTGGCGTTGGAGTAGGTGAACATTTGATAATTATCTTGGTCATCGCAAATAGTTCTGCCGCAGCATTTGGTCGTGGTAAGCTTGTCCGTATTACCGCAGAGACCGCAATAGGTATTCGAGGGAGGAGGATTGGAGCTCTGATAGATTTTGCATAAACTCTTATGTTTCGGCCAGCCCTGCAACAATGTTAGATATGTCTTGGGAGATTGGCGGTGAGACTTGCTTGTTTTTGATGTTCTCTCGAGCAGTAGAACACTTCCTGACATCCTGCGCAACGCTTGCTCTTAGGATCAGCGCATATCACGCAATTGGTGTTGGTTGTTGACATGGCTGTGTTCGATGGCGTGTACTGGTAGTAGAAGAAAGGAGGGCGACGCGTTGAAGAAAGGAGACGCGATTCGAAACGGGCGTTCACGTGACCAGCATGTCAGCTCCGCCTCAACGTCAATGTCAGCTTCTTCCCTTTCTCACTCTCGCCTACTTCACCTCAACCTAACAAGAGTGTATCCTATATTCAGTCGGCATATGTGCACTATATACTTCCTTTGGAATCGTCCCCTGCTCGTCTCATAATTGCATGATAGACGCACAGTCACATGAGGCTGCAGCTTGTCTCCATCCTCCCAAGTTCACAATGGGCCAGTCACCCTCCACGACACGGCAGCGTGGTGATTTTGAGAAGTTCTTACACCTCGATTATGATGTAAGGTTCATGATTTGGCGACTTTCGCTTCCTGGTCCACGCATTGTCGAAGTTCAGCATTCCCACAATGTTGAGGATCCGAGCTGGATATCAACATGTCATCCTCCTCCAACTTTACAAGTCTGTCGAGAATCGAGAATGATAGCTCTCAAGTTCTACACTTTTTGTCATAGTGACAGGATGAGAGTATACCTAAACCCTTCCATCGATACATTGTATTTCGGTCCGTTTGCCAATCAACATGCGTTTGCTGAGTTCGTCGAGCATGCCGATCCGGATGATTTGTTGTCTCTTAAGAAATTGGCGATCAACGAGATGTACCTCCCGACTTGGCGAAGTGGTCCACCATGGACAACATTTCCATCCATTGGTGATTCTCCTTCGAAAATTCTAACAGGTCTCACGAGATTGTTAATTGGGGTTGAGATTGAGAGTGAAGGCTACCCCAATACAGCCAAACTTCATGCTGTCACCTGGGAGGGTTGGCTGTTTGGAGGAGGTCCATGGACAAATGAAGAGATGGAAACTTTAAATGGCAATGATGATCCAAACTTGATTATGTCAGCGCATTCTTGGGACGGTCATCTGTTCCACATAGACACTAGAGGATTCGTAGCCGCGTACTCTGGCAGTATGGCTTTCCAAACTGCAATTGAGGGACACTTTCGTCACAAATTGCTCAAATTTTATTATCCACCAGATCCTGATCGGCTGGGTCTCCGGAAGCAGAACCGCCCTCACTTGACTTCTCGGATACTACCGCCTGATAGCTACGTATGGAGCTGGTACAGAAGAGTCTACAGAGCGGTTGCGAGAGCTGATGCCCGAGTGAAGAGAATTTTCGAAATGCAAAAGAGAGAGAATCCGTTGAATCTCGATATTTGGGATCCACCTAGAGTGGCTTCATTTGTTCGACCAGCTGGGTCATTTCTGTCGTGGAAACAATGTCTCGAGCCAGTTTTCGATGCTTGGTGGTCATCATATCAAGATCTGACCCGCTTTGCCATCGCGGGAAAAGGCAAAGGCAATTGTATAGATGAACACGGCGATATTGATAGCACAGTCAATACAGAACATAGAGCTTAGTCGAAATTTCTTGACCTCTTCTGCAAAACAACTATGTGAAGATACAGGGCAACCTATTACTTCCTTCTCCACCTCCCCCCAAGAGACTGAAGTCTGCACAAGATACTATACCGTCAGATAGACTCCTTTCCCAACATTAAGATACGAATACCCGGGATGAGGTAGAACCATACCTTCCTCATAAGCTACCCGGAATATCAAGCCAGCCGCAGTGCGATAAGAATATTGTAGTCCGTCTTGAGGAGAAGAATGGAGGATATAGCTGGATTGAGATCGCCATCTCCACAATACTTGAAGACGACATCCAGAGGTCAGATCATCATATAATCCGATGAAATCACCTCACCTTTTCATAATTGTGTGAACAATGCAAGTCTACAAATTATCTGCTTACTCATTCCGAACCATTTTCGAAAAACAACTATCTGTTAGGCTTTAATTACTGGTCTCAGCCCGTGAGAGTATGTCGTGTCTGTCCCCATATTCAAGGGTAGCGAGCTACATTAGCTGGCCCCCAAGATTCTGTGGTTGATGTGTGGAATTGCGGCGATGCGAGGATATCACTAAGGAATAGGCATGTTGATCGCCGATCAGAAGACTGGTGTGTGAGTGTGGTAACACATGCAATGGTCTCCGGATATCCCCCTTTCCCGTGACTCCAAGCCACTTCAGAGATCGACACACATGGAGAACTCAACATTTATTGGCGAGCGTGCATGAACCGAAATGGTATGTAGAAAAAGTCTTTCCAAGGCAGAAGCTAAACTTAGATATTGTTTGGTAAGGCGACAACCGCATTTGCTTGGCTAGATAAGCAGTTTTAACTTGCTGAATTGCCTGACTCCAGAAAGTTTCCTCTGCTTTATCTGATGCAGCTGGCTTGGCAAGACAGATATGGCAGTCGATGTCTTCTCTTATCAAGCATTGGCCGGACCGAACCGCATCTTGTCAGATCGTCTCGAAAAGTGGGGGCCAAAATTTGTTGCCGCCAAGTCGGGGTCTAATCAGAATACTCGATGCTACGCTGACGCTCGCAATTTTGGGGGCTGTGTCGTACATATGAACCCTGTCGGGATCACTGGAACCGATGCATGTCACCCAACCGAAATGTTGTGGGCGGCACTGTGTTCTTGGCGAGCAGAAAATAGAAGATCAGTCCAATCAGATTGATCCATGAGCCGCGAAGTTATGGAAACATACAGGCTAAAAGTACCTTTCTGACAGACTACATCATAAAGCTAGACCTCGAGAGCCTTCTTGTTGAGTATTGCACGAGCTCTCAAAATTAACAATGCCGAAACACAACCTGATTACGATTTCTCAGGCTCTCAGGTCCTATACACCTTCATTTGGAAGTGACAAAGAGCTAAAAGTCATCACGAGCTCGCTTAGCACAAACACAGGAGAGAAAGCGAAGACAGCGCTCACAGGCAGCCCTCCGTTCGCCGAGCTTGTTTTCCATAGTATTGCAATATGCATTATTATTCTCATCACATACCTTAACATCACGAATCGCTTCTGGCAAGAAGTTCAGGAGTCAGGTCCTGTTTCCGACAACGGATTCCACTTCACCCAAAGTTCAGAACTACATGGTTTACAATTCGCTGCGAAACTTCACGAGCTTTTCATGCAAGCCTCTTTATCTGCAATGGTTTTATACTATGCTCACAGACTTCTGGTCGGCACGAAAGGTGTGCCATTTGGTCTGATCGACTTTCCGTACAATAGCAACTCACTTGGTATGCTTCGCCATTGGCGATTCTGGCAGACTGGATTCTTCAGCACACAGTACTTATCTTTTGCAACACTGCTCCTTGTGGTTTGCATACTCTCAGTCATTGTTGGACCATCATCCGCTATTCTCGTCATACCTTCTCCTGGTTGGTGGCACAACAGGAATCCTTTCAACGGGCAAAACATGACGACTTACTTCTTGGCAAATACTACGGATATATGGCCATCGACCTTCACTCTCTCGGCCTTTGATCCCGCGTTTGTGAGTGCATCCCTATGCGAAGGAGTACCGACCGACCCAATCATCGGATGCCCTCTGCAGGGCTTCCCGGAAATTATTTCCTGGTTCCTAGGTTATGCTCTGGGCTCACAGAGCGACAACTTTACTGTTTCGGAGGTTATCAGTAACGCATATCGATCGGTCTCGAGCACGGTACAGAATGCATCATACGCTTATCAAATGAACAACTTGTCAGCCACGACCAGCTATACGACTTCATTGACGGACCGGATGGTACTCTCACTTGGTACCTTCTGGAATTACGTACAACGCAGCAACGTAGGATCAATAGGCGAAGTATCGAAACCACGTCTACGTGTCAAATCAGACATTGATACATATCAGCCACTTGTACATGTTGCCTGTCAATCATATCTGTATGATGGCACGCAAACCAATATTACCTTCCTTCCGAGCATCAATGCGTGGAATGCGGGAAGCTACATAGACGAGCCATGGTTGTTGGACGGCCAATCTGAAATTTTGGACAATCTTCCTAGCATTACTCCCCGATTTTCCTTCTACAAGGACACTCGAGTCAACTCATCAACTTCGCTCCTCACACTAGCAATTATTCCTGTGCTGAGTAGTAACTCGACAGATCATGCAGTTCAAGGATCCGATATTCTGTCTTGTTCAATCGACGCTCGTTGGGCAGCGAATGAGATTACTTATCAGCCCAAGGACTTCGGCAGCATTTTGACCAATCTTACCGACCCATCCATCTTCGAGAACGTAAACGAATCAAGTCCACAATTTACCATAAACGAATACGGCATTTCGAATAGACCAATTGACTTGGAACTTGACTGGGCTGGGCTTCTGAACTATAACTGGACTGGAGACACTGCAAATGACTACGAATACAACGGATACATACCTGCGACAACGATGACCGGCTTACTCTTCATCCCATTAGTCAACGCCAGCGTTGGTACCAACATCAGCACGTTTCAGATATCCAATGATACATCAATGGATTACTACAAAACAATCGAAAGTACAATTGCTACACTACTTGGCATCGTCATAACGGATGCTATTTCGCGAACTTCTTCTTGTGCACCAGTGCCATATCTCGACATAAATCAAACATATAACTCACTCCTCGATCTGACAGATCTTACAAGTGCACCTACCACCCAATATGCGACGGAGCTGAATAAGCCTGGTGATTTTATCCTTAGTTATGATGTGGAGAGGTATGGTTATGGTTACGGTCTGAATAGCAGCACATCCAAAGCTGCACTAACGGCCTTGCTTTTCTACTCAGTCATGGTCATTCTTCATGTTTGTTATGTCGTCATGTTGGGACTGCGGGGTAGATATCAACGGACCACTGCTTGGGGTGATATACACGGGCTCGTGGCACTTGCTAAAAATTCAGCCCCTACAGATAGTTTATACGGCACAAGTGCTGGTGTCGATGAGAAGAAGACTTGGGCTTTGAAAGTCAGAGTGAGAGAAGTCGGTTGTGAGCAGCTGGACCTTGTTTTCGACGACGACCCTAGACTTTATGGTGGAAGTATTCGTGTTGGGAAGAAATACCGCTGAAATGTTAGATAGCGAAATCTTGATGAGTTCACTAAGCAATATCCATTGACGTCTTGCCTGTCATGCAGAAATGTTCTCACATTTCCCATAGCCCACATGGTTGACCTCGCCAGATGAAAAGGGGTTCGCTTGATAGCTCGATGCTCGAATTGATTATCTGGCAGGGAGATCAACGCTGGGAAAGTCATCGTGCTGAATATAATTTCTGGGCAATTGAGTTTTCGCAAGGCTGATATGCGCAAGAGTTGAATGTACTGTACAAAGCGAGCAAAACAACATGACTATGGCAACGATCGAGAAACAAAAGCAGGATATCGCGACGCTCACAAACCAATATTACTCGAAAGTCACCAGTCTTAATGGCACAAATTGGGACAGCATTCGAATGGAGTCACTTGGCGTTCATGGCCCTTGCTCCTCGAATGATCTCGATTTCCATGGTGAGGGCGAAGGAGAACAGGAAACATATCGTACCGTTTGCCGTCGCATCTAGTACTTAACACACCGTGGACATCTTTGCAATTCCAGACCTCGTGACATGAATATCAGTTCTGTGCATGCATGCAAGCCAGGCTTGCTTGCTTGTTGTGCTTTGGTATAAACAGTCATTGGATGGATGACTCAACTATGATTGCCTTGCATGTTGCAGTTGTCACTGCTCAGTTTGTGGACAGCTTGCTGAAACCATTCGATTGGTCAATCACGTCGACTTAACTCGAACGTCTATATACAGATGACTGCCTCACTCAAGACTCTGCATATTGTGTTGTTTTGGTGCCTTGGAGCTGGTTGAACAGCAGTATCTTGAAACGTCAATCACCAGGCGGCAGAGCCTGTACACACACCTACAGATGCACAGACCTCCTGGAAGCTTTAAATCAATTGAACTCGCCTTTCTTCTGGAAGAAAAGTCAGATAATTGAGCATATCTCAAGCAAAGGCACAAGAAAGCGGCGCTGTTGAGGATGGCACACACCAAAGTTCCTCGAATAATAATTATATTCATTATGAGGCTGATTGTCTTCGCGGCTTCTACGATCGAACGCCATCGGAAAAAACGCCCGAGAATAGAGAGTAGGCTGTGCCGCAACCCAGCATCGTAAAGCCTCACCACTGGACGCCACAGCCTTTTGAAGGCTTGGCCCAGCCCCTTCTATTCATAGCCCAACTAAGTTTAAGCCAATAATGTGTTGTTCCACCCCCCGACTTTCCCAAACAGAGCCTCGCTCCTTGAATCCTTCGCAAGAGTCGACACCCGATCGATGCCTTCCTTCTTGAACCTACTTGAAGCATAACTATCTTTATGTTTTAATCTTTATATCCTTGTAGACGAATTGGTCCTCTTTCACAATGTCCTCGACGACAGGTCCCTCAATTATTACGGACGCGACGTCGATATCAGCCTTCAATCGCGGGCCCATCCCGACCCAATTCTCGGCTCCGACATCATGTCTCTCCACTCTCACATCGGTGAATGGAGCTGGGGGTTTATATTTCGGTCACAATGGCGATGAATACTTTGATACTGCCTGTTTTCCCACGCCCACGCTTACCACCAGCTCTGTACAGTGGAACTTGTATTATTGTCCGTTCGTCCATCAATTAACATGGAGACGAAGCTGACGTCAAGCAGACAGTCCAGTAATATCATGCCCTTCGGGATGGTATACGGCTGCAGTGGCAACGAGTAGCTTTGGTGGTCTGTCAGATACATACCTCAGTATCGGATCTGCGACAACAGCAGCACTTTGTTGTCCTTCGTATGTCTCAATTTTTCCCTCTTATCTTTCCCTCTTCCCTCAATTCCTCCTATCATTTGCTGATCAGCAATTATGTAGTGGCTATACTGCACTAAACTATGACCATCAATGCGATTCCCAATTCCCCCTCGGAACAAATACAATCCTCTACAAAAATCCCTCCTCGGCCATAAACGGAGATTGGGTCGTCCCCACCACGGTCGACACGGCCCTTTATGTAGCCGCAACGGCCTCGGCCACGAGCTACTGGACTGTATTCGGTGATGGAATTCCCATCTGGTTCGAAGCAAGAGATCTCTCCACAGCTACACAAACTTCTACTCCTACACCCACCACCTCGCCCATATCATCAACTACATCTGCGACGTCGACAGGATCATCCGGGTTGACAACAGGAGCTAAGGCAGGGATTGGGATTGGCGTTAGTCTTGGCGTGGTGACGATAGCGGCATTGATAGGATGGTTTCTGTTTAGGAGAAAGAGGAGGTACGATGCTGTTAATCGTGGCACACCGGTTAGGGAGTTGGAGAGTATCGGCTCGGAGAAGAGGAATAGTGAGTTACCGGCTCAGGATGTGTCTAGGCCGGTAGTGCACGAGCTGTACTCTGATGAGGGGGTGCCGGTACAGCAAAGAGTGCTACATGATAATGGGCCGAGCGAGGTAGCGGGGAGTTAGTTGGATAGGAAGAAGGATTGTTGCACTTGTTGAGTAGGGGAAAGGGGAGGATTTGATCTAAGCGAGCGAGTATTTTGAAGCGATTGTCTGTACCATTTTGGGTATATATCAGGAAATTGAACGAGCTGCATTGATTCCCTAATAATCATTGGGTATAGAGGAATGGGCAGTACCAAGAGTTAGCGAAATGAGGTTGAAAAGAAGCTCTGAATTACGTCGACTGGCGAAACATCATTTCTACTCTTCCTTCCCATGATTCAGAGCCCGTCTTCGAATCCTCCACGACGGCTCAGTGCCATTTGGACTGCAGAAGCTAATACAACTTATTCGATACTCCTAAAATCTAACTCTTAATAAACGTAATGGAATTCAAGCTACCGGCAGCCGGCTTTATGCTGCTCGGCTAGAAGTATGGGTGCCAGAGCAATGGCGCAGAACGCGCGAATAGCGCGAAATGCGAGGACAGTCACTACTTCGAATTGGTTTTCACAAGGTGACGAAAAAAGTATGATTTGGCTACTGCGAGAAACGTCACAAAGACGTCCTTTTATTGCTGCGATCAACTACTCTCTTTTCGATATACTTGTTTGCATCACAGTTTTGGTGGTCAGATCTGACGCTGTTTGTTTCCAGATGTAGAGGGCTCAACTAAGTTAATATTAAGTAAGTAGTTGCAATGAAAGATGTCTTTTTTGAAAGAATAGCAGTACAATCACCACTGGTCTCGATTTTGCAAGACACGTAGAGGAAGAGATCCCACCTGAAACTCAGCAGCATTAGCCACATGATAAGAGAGGTATATAATTAGAAGGGCTGATCTAGATACATATAGATAGACTTGAAGTTTCATCATCTCAAATTAGAAAATTTATGCTCCCTACTTTGATGAGCCCATGGCACTCTATTATGGAGGTCAAGGATTTGTAAAATACACGAGTCCGCTGTGTATGTAAGTTCATTGGCTTTAGCTTGCCATGATTTTGCTGACAGCTACGTAGCTCCTGGGTCTCATTCATGCCGCTTTCTCCGCCCTTATCTGCTAACTTTACCCCACACAACGAATTCAACAAAGACAATTCTGCCACAATCATCAAGAAGTGTCGACGTGATGGTAGACACACCAACCCAAAACTAGGAAACGATCGAGACGTTGCCATCACCCGCAGACTTTTTCACGCTCTTTGTAAATGTAAGTTTGCAATCCATCTCACCATCAAAGTTGCCAGGCTGACAATAGCACAAGATCAGCATTACAGAGCAATCTAGTCTCTCCACCACCAGCTAAACCTCAGACGTACAGAATTTCCAAAAGCTAGTCATGTCTTCCGACAAGCATGCCTCCTTACCCGGCACCCCCGTGGCTGATGTGGGACAGAAGGTTACAGGTCACGTCTTTCTAAGGTTACCCGAGGAGCTTCGACTCCAAGTTCTGGAGTATTTTCTCGTTGCAAAACAGCCCATCACCAATCCTTGGATGGAGAGTGACCTGGACGGTGACAACGGGGAGAACGTACACACATGGAAGAAGGGACTCGACATCAGTATGCTTCTGGTATCGAAGGATATGCATCGTCTGGGGATAAAGTTACTGTACGGACGAAACACGTTCCGCTTCACTCGTCGTCCATTGATGAAAGTGAGAGGCGCCACCTCGGGGGAAGATGACTCTCGCCGCATGCAGCCAGTTGGAGCTATGGTGGCAAACAATTTCCGTGTTTACATGATTCTCAGTGGCTTCTGGGTCAAAGAATACAGGTTCTCGGGTGTCTTCACCAAGCGCCTTCTGAATGATGATGGCAGCCTGCCAACTGAGGATGAGAACAGAAGTGACCTGGACGGAATGGGAGGAGATTCGCAGACAGTTTCGGAGGCGTCTGATCATGGCGAGGAGTTACTAAGTCTGGTGGAAGAGGATGATAGCTCCGATGCAGACGTTGAAGGCGTATCGGGACACTCAGACAACGACAATTCGGAGACTCAGGTCGAAGCAGTTGGAATTGAAGGGTGAGTTTTTGGAGTATAATTGATGGTGAGGAAGAAACGTCGAGATGGCTGTATTCATTGGATAAGAGTGTTGGACTATAATAGAGAGAAGCATGTGATAAAATTAGGTCTTGAGTACTATTTGAAAAGAAGAGGGCTTCTTCGACATGAGTGTGTGCTAGAATTTGTCGCAAAGACTTTGGAAAATTGTCCCCGTGAAAATCCATCTTAGAAGCCTTTAGTAATACTGAGGGAAATAAATTTTAGCGATTAGGCTTATGAATCCGAATAACTGTCACCATCAAAGATGGATATTCACGTCCTTGGCCCCTTTAAAGCCTCTTAGCGAGCCCCGCAGCTTAGCGAGTTTCGACATACAAATTTGAGAGTAAGCCCTTGGTAGACGCAATTCTGAGCGATCTGACGAGGATTTTCTCGTCGGAGATAAAGCTCTTTGTAGCCCCGCATTGGATACTCAATTCAACCGCGAGGTTTGACAATCCATTAGTTAATTTGAAGGTTTAAACACATCATCTAACTACTTCCGGTTCAGAGTCCAGCTTACAAGTGGAGAACGGAAGCCTGGATCACGTGTATTCAAGGCAAGGAAGGATTGAGTGGATAGACAAAGGCGAGGATGAAACTTTGAATACCATCATGTCTTTCAAAACTAACCAGGTATTTTTGGTTATCATACTTCTTAATAGCAAGTCCGAATGCTCTCTAACGCAAAACGATCGATTCGATAGGGCGAGAAAGTCCACCTTCCTTGTCTGGTCACCTCAAGGATTCTCGTTACCAGACTGCTGTGGCGATACTCCAATGTTCGGTATTGTCATATTGTGAAGTTCCTCAGGCGGATCAGGGTTCCTCAGAGGATTCTCAACATCCGTATTGACTCTTCTATTCGGGGCCCTTCTCAGTCTTGGCAGCGCTGCAATCCCTCTTCTCCAGAGTTGTCTCTTTCCCGAATTTGATGACTTTCTCGTGCCATGCGAATGAATCCGTGAGAAATTCAGTTTCTCTAACCATACACGACCCCAACGATACCAACAGCTCCATGAGATTAAAGTCAATGCCGTCGAGAGCAGACATGCTATCAGATACACCCAGCCGTATTTCGACACTGTTCTGGGGTTGTCTGGGGATTCTGTGGCGTGGAAATTGAAGATGCCAGTTGAAAAGATGGCAGAAATGAAAGTTGCTGGAAGGAACACTAGTGTAACAACAGCGATCGTTTTCATGGAATCTGTATCTTGCTTGCTGATACGGTTGTATAGCACTGCTGTGAGACTTTGGAGTACGTCTCGTGCCATTTTCATGTGCTTAAGATACAGTTCTGCGCGAATGATCGTAGCTTGGAGCTCCTCTCGCTGCTCAGACAATATGCGTAACTGATTGTTGGGTGAGCTCTGGAGGTCTTCACAAATCCCCATGAGTCGTTGGACACTTTTCGCATGCTCTAGGACCGTTGAAGCTGAGAGCTCTGTATCCGCTACTTTCTTGACAAAGCCAGCGATGTCCGCGTTCAGGAGTCTGAAGTCGTGGTCAATGGACGCATATCCACTCGAATTGAGATAGGTGCCGTCTCTTGTCACTCCGAGTCTGGATTCCATGTCATAAAGGTCCATCCGCCATTCAACGAATTCGTATTCTCGGCCTTGAATAAAAGCCAGGATTACGTTCAAGATGAGCATGGGATGTCGCTGCAGTACTTCCTGATTGTTGTCTAACCATGGAATAAAGTCCGTCGCTTTTAAAAGATCCTTCTTCAAATAATCACCTGTCTTGAGAAACAATAGACAGTGAGACCTTCTGTCAATAAGTCCGTATCGAAAGAGGCAAAAGAAGGAATCGTTCTCGAAATTGGCCATTGCGACCTCCAAATGAGTAGGCGAGACCGCAGTCGCGGTAGGATCAGTAGGCCCTGGGAAAACAAATCTATATTCAAATAGTGGCGCCCGCGAAATCAACTTGTCGAGGAATGGTTGAGAAAATCCAATTTCAGAACATTTTCGAGTGAACACTTGAGCCGTCATCGAAAACGGCGAGGAGTTCTGGCCCGACCCTTCACCAATCATGATATTTTGACCTTGGGGCGCTCGAGTCCAAGTCTGCAGGGGTGGCGGACTTGCCGCATCCCAAGAAGCATCCAAGACGAAGTCGTTGAAGTCAGGCATGGTGATCAAGAGAGAGGTCAGTTTTGCTGTTGTGGATGAAAAGGATGAGAATTGGGAATCTCAATGTGATTCGGACAAAGTTCGAAAGGGTAGGATCGTCAAATGATTCCCCCTTTTCGACGGTGTCATTCTCGTTTAGGCGCTGTGGCTGCAGCTATTTGCAGGCATCTACAGCCTCGCGCACGTTGTAGGAAGCACGGTTGCTATTTTTAGACAGCGTACCATTGAGCACTATTTGTGATCTGATAATTTTCACCGTTGCGAAGAGCCATTATAAATGAAATGATAGTGCTGGGCTACTCAAATGACTCAGATGAACTGGCTAAGGCGACAGTGAGTATCGATCGCACGAAGTGGCAGAAGGTTACGAACGTGGAAAGAACCTCCAATTGCCATTGTAACAATTGTTCTAGCTTCTACGTTACCAGTTTATTATCAAGAATAATCAACAGTCCACAGGTGATACAGCAATAACTGATTTGTAGAGTTCTATTGTCCTAGAATTGCGGGGCAATACAAGCTAGTGGGGTAGGTGCCAAGCAAGACTTAATTCGTGAAGACTAAATACGTTACACTACCGCTGAAAGATTTTGCTGAGAACGTCTCTTGAATCCAATTATTAAATGATATTTGAACCTGCGATGGATATCTGTATAGCTTCTTTCGACCTGGTGATTGCATATCTTTGAAAATCGGTGAGAGTGTTTGATTCGAGAACTGATGAACGGATCCTGGATTTTGTAGCAGCGGAAGTAGATGAGCTTATTTGGAAAGTCTTTTTGAAGTGCACGGAGAAAATCACATCGTTTTTGAATAGCAGCCGCGTATTCTGGACCAGCTCCGCCAGCTCGCTCTCGTATCTTCTCTTCGACATCCAACGCCATCACAAATGTCTCTACCGCCTTCACAAGCCTCTCCATGGGACGATAAGAAAAATATTATATTAAGGATGGCCATCATGCTCTGCATTGTCTTGCGAGTCAAGTCACGGCAACTTTATATACCTCCTTATCACTGGACAACTGAGTATAACTGTTGATTTTCTAGAGATTAATTTACATATTCCACGACCAATACCGCTTCGAAATGCCTCAAACATTCTCCTCGTCTCATATCTTGCATTCTTTTAGCACTCTACGTTTCGATATTCTTTGTGCTGCAGACGATAGCTTGAGGTGGACGGTCGATACGGGTCTTCTTCTGGGAAAGGGACAGAATCGGAAATGTACCTAGAGATTGAGGGAAATTGAATGAGTGGGTTAGAGAGAGAGAGGGATGTTTTAGGTATATTGAGGAGGAATGAGGGGTTAGCTAATGTGGAGAGGGTTAAGTTTTGCGGGAGAAGAAGCCCTTATGTGGGGTTATTGGGAAGTATTTTAGGTTTGGAGAGGGGTGGAGGGGTTGGGATGATGATTGGGGTTGATCCCGCACAATCCAGCTTATGCTTCAAATCGTCGGGCTTTACTCCGTACCAGTCGATATTTTCCTTCAATTCAATCGGCACAGAGAATGACCTTCTCTCACCCTCCTCTGGCCTATTTCCGGGGGCCATTTCTCATGCTCAAACACCCCCCTCAATACTACTCCTCATATAATAAGCAGAAACTCAAGCCGTGATTGAAAATTTTCGATCGCTCTGCATGATAGAAGCCTCTTTTCCAGTCTCCATACACATCTATCTGACAAGAAGATGAACGGCAGATTTCGTGACCATAGCAAGCCCGCTCACCAGTCGAACTCACGCCTTCCCAGCGATATCATGTCTATACACCCAACTCCGAGCTCTCTTTCCCCAAATGTACATTGGGATAGTTGTCAAGCTAACCGCAGCAGTGATACCTCCAATGACAAAGAAGACATTCCTCGTTCCCTGTTCTGCCAGCCAATTATTGAGATAATTCGTAAGGCCAAACGCAAACATGTTCTTGACGAAGTTCATAGCAGCGAAGGCTTCGCCAGCTTTCTCTCGATGGCAATCTACGACGTAGGATACGACGCCCGTGGTGCCAAGTTGGATACCGAAGTTGATCAAGCCCAGACCGACGACAACAGGGACGGGCCAGGGAGAGAGCGCGACTGCTGATTGACCCCATGCAAAGAAGCCTGTGCACGTGAATAGGAGGTACGACACCATGATTGGTAGGCGGAACTCAGGCTCTGGATCTTGTGTCAGACAATATTAAAATGATTGTGTAATCACGGGCACTCACCGAAAGTTCCTCCGTTCTTCAAGGACAATCTTCTCACCACACCATCAATCAAAGGACCAGCAATCAACGTCCCCAACAAACTGGCTACGAAACTTGACAAATTAGTCAGTCCAACAGCAGTGACAGAGAAGTTGTAAGGTGGCGCAGAGAAGATCTGTGAAAGCGTGATTGAGATGCCAACGAGCCATGAAATGCAAGTAGTAAAGAGAAGAGTAGCCCAGAGCACGGCTGGTGAGCCTAGCATAACAAATGGCCTGAAAATGGTATTTAAGAACGAGACATGGTTGACGTAGCCACTGTATGGAAGCATTTCCTTGGCAAAGGAATTTTTTGGTTCTGATGAGGCATTGGTTGTCGGTGTCTTTGTTGTTGTCGTCTTCTCTTCACTCTCGACATGTTCGGCGTCCATTTTGTGTGCTACTGTGAGCTCGGTCATGACCTAATGTATGATCAGCAAGCAAGTAATTGAGAGGGAAGATTCAACGTACATTGTTACTGCCAGTGTCCAAATTGACTGCTCCAGTACGGACATAGGCAGTCTCCGGCATCCAGAAAAAGATCATAATCAGAGCAATGCCAAACGCGCCACCCATAGCGTAGAAGGCAACTTTGTAACTGCTGGCTTGGATGATGCCGCCCGCTGAATCATAGTATTAGCGCTGCCAATATACCAAAGATGCTAAGACTCACTGATAGGTGAGGCAAGATTAATGCCGCCTAAAACGCCCAAGTTGAAAATGGCAGATCTGTAACCACGCTCATGAACGAACCTAATACCAGTCAGCTTCTTATTCCCTGCGTCAAATTTCCAAAGCACTAACCAAACATCAGCAATACTCGCAGGCACCAATGCCTCGAGCGGTCCCATGCAGAAGCCCTGAATGACTCTAGCAGCCGTCAAGCTTCCAAAGCTTTTCGCGGCCGCAGCCCAGAAACAGGTCACCATTAAACCCAACGTAGTGATCAAATATACAGGTCGTTTCCCCCATTTCACCGCCACAGCATTCCAAATCAAAGAGCCAAAAGCAATAGCTACAATGACAGCTCCTTGACAGCCTTGAATGAAACGCGAAAGCGAAATCCCAAATTCCTCAGAAAGCTCAACGAAAGCAGGTGAGAGAAGAGGGCCAACAGCTACAAATAAAATTAGCTCTCGAGTTTTGATATATGCTGGGGATCGATAGAAGTTACCTCCTACAGCGCCACAACTGAAGGCAAACGCAATCGTGAAGCGCTCTTTCTTCCATTTTGGCCAGTTATATGGATCGTTGGACGAGTCTGAGGGTTGAGGTACGAGAACTATTTGCCCTGTGGGATCGTGCTTCAAGATGCTGGAGTCGACACCGCTGGTATTGTAGATTTCCGTCCCAAGCTCATTGAGCGGAGCAGTGCCGGGGACATGTTCGAGCTGATGGTCTTCAAGGACGCCGAGTCCCATGTTGATGATTGTTGAATTGTCAAAGATGATTTAGAAGAAGGCAATAGAGACCAAATGAATCTCAAAGTTAAGAAATCGCGTATGTTGACTTGGCAGTGTGGAGAACGATCGTTCAGATTTCGAAGTAGACTCCACAGCAATTATACCTAGAATTCTCAAGAAGGCCCCTCAAAGCCAACACAATCCAAGCAGTTGATGGCTGAGACAAACTTTCCACAAGACGAAAAGAAAGATCCAGGCAAACGCCACAACCCACACCTGACACTGCCCCAGTTATGCCCCATGTCCCCACCCCCAGCCTAGACATGTGAATAATACTTGACATAGCAAGTTAACCTTTTTCTACTTGGCAGGAAAGCGCACTAAAGAGGCTCGGGGAGGACAAAGGTGTCGGAAAGGGGAAGTTAGCCGAGAGATGTCTCGCTTGAGGCTGTGGGGTGCGGGGATATTTGCGGGGTCCAGCTACCTGGAGCGCGAAGTTGCCGAGTGCGCGAGTCAAGATTCTTTTGGTTTGCAGATGCTGGTTTCGGGGAGGATAAGGTTTTCCTATTGCTCTATCGAAACTATATTATAACGGCGATTGCCGGACCATAGAGCGGAATCTAACCCGTCGTGTTGAGAAGAAGGCTTGGGGACAAAGAGAAGACAGGAAGAATTCCAAGTGAGTAATGCATGCATTTTCGGGCTTTAATTTCGGATCGTGGAACTGACTCGTAGTTGAATGCTGTTCCAGATGCGTGAAGCCACCTTCTTGCAACTTGAAGAAGACTGAAAGCAGCAGAAACATGTGTTCAATACGCTCCTATTCTTAGTAAATAGAATAGAGAAAGCAGCGCACTCACGACTTTCCTGCTGAATAGACATTAATGCTTCATCTCAACATCTTTAGCAGACTTAAGTTGTCCAAGTTTGAAATCAGCAATGCCACATCCCTCTTCAAGCATACCCCAACGCCCAAAAAGCATCCATATTCTGCCTCGAAATATCATCCACAAACTCCGGCGGCCCTCTAAACGTAAACTTCGCACCACTAATCTCCGCCGTAACACCGCTCAAACTCTCATTCATCGCCAACTCCCCCACCGCATTGAGCAGTGTCGACATCGGCGTAATAGTCATATGCGCAAACAGGTTTTCGTCTGATATCCCAGTTTCTGTCCTTTTGTCAGCTTTTCGTCCTCGCTAGCCAGAGATTAGAGAATCGTGACCTATGCAATTCGGCGCAATACTATTAATCCGAATCCCATCCGCCTGCAAAGGTAACGCCAACGACCTGACCGCGCCAACCACCGCATGTTTAGACAGCGCATATATAGGCGCCATAGGGAATGGATACAACCCTGCATTCGACGCCGTACAGATAATCGATCCCTTCTGCGCCCCCGTGTTTTTCCTCATATAATAAACCGCCAGTTTGATAGCTGCCAAACATCAGTTTCTGCCTCCCTTTCACCATCCTATAAAGAGGGAGAGGAGCACTCACAATAAATAGTCCCTACCAAATCAACATCCAACGTCTTCAAATTCGGCTTCTTTAACAACCCGCCCTCGTCATCTATCTCATCAACAAGCAACTTCCCCACCTCCGTCACCCCCGCATTCGCACACACGATATCCACGCTCCCGAACTCCCTATACACCTCTTCAAACACGGATCTCTGCTCTTCCCAATTCGAGACATCGCATTTCTTGAACGCGAATCTGGAGTGCGGGAACTGGGTTTGGAGGGCGGGGAGCAGAGTAGATGCTGTTGCGAGGGAGATGTCGAGGATAGCGCAATTAGTCGAGAATTGAGCGAAGAATTTTATTAGGGCGAGGCCGATTCCTGATGCGCCGCCTAGAACGTAACAGAATGGTTAGATAGATATTTATTTGCTAGAATGAGAGAAAGGGAAGGGAGAGGTACCTGTAACGACAACCGTCTTCCCTGTGAGTGTTGAATTCGCCATTTCTTGCCTCTCTCTAAAAAAAAGAAAAGAACTATTAATCTATCTATTTCCAAATAATCAAGAAACCAAAATCCTTGCAAATCAAATCAATCAATAAAAGAGGCTGATTCCCCCGTCCCCAAAAATATACCCAACCAGACTCAAGTCACACATGCCAGCAAGGCTGTCGAACCTCTCTCCCTCGCCAGCCAGCCCCACCAAGGCTACACAAACACATACACATACACGTACACGGCCCCACATGCACCCCGAATCATGAAACGTGTGGGGGGTGTCGTGTTCACTCGCGTCCCAGGAGAGAGGAGCGGGAATCCCCCTACCCCGCGTTTGCGCTGTCTTGGAACTTAAGTCGGGCTGGGCTGGGCTGGGCTAGGGCTGGTGTCCCCCATTCTTGGCTTGGGGAGTTTGTGGTGTGTGGGGATTTTTCCGATGCTTAGTTGAGTTGGCGAGGAAGGATGGAAGGAAGGATTGTTGAGTTCGGTTGGGGAGCCGAGATATGTGTGTGGTGCTTGGGATTTGAAGGTGTATGAGGATGGTAAGAAGTGGTGGTAGGGGAGAAAATCGCTGTGGTGGTTGGAAAGAGCAGACGGAATTGTGAAGGGCAGATTGATGACGAAAACCGTGGCAGGGAGGTGAATAAACATGTCTCGAGATAGAACAAATGATCTGAGAGTTCGAACTTGACAAGAGAACACACTCACAAGATCATTCACCTCATCAAACTCAAAAACATCATAACATTCATTATAACGCCCTAAGTCTCACCCCCACCATCCCTCAAAAGCCCCCTCAACTGCTTCAGCGCATCCTCACACCCAACCTCCATCCCCATCAAAATATCCGCACTGCCCTTATTATTAATCAACAACTGAATAACAAGCCAATAATTGAACCCATTCCTAAAGAAGCCGATCTTGTCCCAGGAATTACTCGTTATGCATGCTCGGATATTGATCCATAGCGAGCGCCATCGCGACAGCGCGCCTTTGATCATGGTGATATTTGAGTCGGGTAGTGGTTCGGGGTGGTTGGCGGGGGTGGAAGTCCCTGAGTCGGAAGGAGAGCGTGGGAATGAGGAGGGGTATTGGGTTATTTGTGTGTGAGCGTTGACGTAAATTACTGCGAGATGTCAACGATAGTTCCACTTGCTGAGAAATAGATGTAGCTTACGATGTATTAGAGTGAACATATCCATTGGATTCAGAGCAAACGGGTTCCCTTTCGTCGCTTGGACTGGAGCATGCTCGGGTTTGATTTGGCCAAAAAGACTTTGGAAAGCCTCGAAAAGCGTGACGTTTCGATTTGCCGTGAAGTTCTTCTCGGCGAAGGGGTGACTGGATGCCCATAGTTGTTCTTCACACGGTAATTCGAAATTCATCTCTGAAAATGAGATGCGCATGGGGAAGTTGGCAAAGAATAAGAAGGCGCAATCTAGCAACGTAATGGTGTTGATGAACCTGCCACGAAGTCAGCAAAACTCGAGTAAGTAGAGTAAGGAAATATACCTTATTCGCCCCTCTTTCAAGACCCAGGAATGCTCGTCGATACTGTCATCCAGTTCATGCCGTACTTTTGCCAAGCCAAACCTTCGCGCCATCTGAAACAGATCATTAGTAACGCATCAACTTTCAACTAGCTGTACAAACTCACCTTCACAACCACAGCAAATCGCGCATCAGCTGCCCGTCTCCGCGCAACCAAACTTCCAGCCCAGAACTGCACGCACACGATGATGTATGTTGCCTGTAGATGTTGGAAGGCTAGCATACTCATAGGCAACATCTCAGGAGCCGGATTTGATGCCCGAAACATCTGACGGACCTCGGACTCTTCCGTCAAATCGTCAATAGAATAAACATAATGCTCAACCAAATCCAAAAGAACCTTCCCTAGATTGACATCTCTGTCATCGGATGAGAACATAGACCCCATGATAATCATTGCGGCAAGTAGAGGGATTGGTGTCGTGTGGATACTGATCGATGGCTGATGTAATATTGGACAATGAGGATGCCAGAATTCGAAGTAATGAGCGACGAATTTGTCGATTTTTGATGGAGTGAAGAAGAAATTGAGGTTTTGCGAGATCTGAGTTTGTTCTTGGATGTTGAAATGTAATGCTTGCGTACTCTCCATGACGCCTTGTATAATGGCTGCAGACTGCACGCTAGCTGGTTCCCATTCAACTGGAAGTGGCATGTTTGTCATTACTGGAGCACTTCCAAAGTTATGGATTTCCGCCACGGGAGTGCTGAGGAATTTGAGGAGGTTCTCTTCTTCGAATAGAGACCAGTCTATTGATTCGTCCTCGAAGAAGTCGGAGAATGCGCTACCATTGTCGCTATTGTTGCCGAACATATCTACGACGTCTGAACTTTCAGGTGATTTTTGATTATTGCGGAAGTTGAATAAATTTTTATTTTCGTGCGAAGATGGGAATCGAAAACAGTCAATGAAGCTTGCTGTTCCAGAATTCAAAAGGAAGTTGATGGATCCTCTATCCGAAGTGGGAGTGCTATCTGAGTCCAACTTGGGCGCTACTATCTGTAAGCTGCTATGAGGAGTATAAGAAGGTCTTCTTTACATACTTTCTTGCCTGTTAAGTATCCCTTTGGACTGTAGTCTGGAGAACTTGCACTCGATCTTCTTGTGCCGACAAGTCTTACATGGGTTGTTACCATCGCAACCGAGCTTCATCGATGTACACTAATTGAATTTTAGAGCATGTTGAAGCATCTAATTCCAAGTTGAACTCACCGAATCGCAAGCGTGAGACCGTCTTCCTCCCCTTGCGGCTTCTGGAATCTGTCTATTCTTACGCTGTGAACAACTGGGATAATGATCTCTGAGGTTGTCGCTAAGAATGGTTTAGTAGAAATATACTGCAAGCTTTTGTTGAGTATTTACCTCCGTGTGAATGCATCTTTACAGAATATGCACGCATATGGCTTCACTCCAGAATCTGTCTTGGCTGTCAGCGGCGCAGTCGACGAAGGATGCTCATGACAGATATCCCCTCATGCAAACATCATATCGAGAACAACAAGAGAGATCCTTACGTCGCAATTGATGTCGCTTCAGATGATCTGTTCTCGAGAACTTCTTGTTACAGACTGAGCATTGCACGGCCTTGGTGGGGCCCGTCTCGAACTTGGCCATCTCGGATAGTATTCCTGACGTCAGCTACACCTTGGAAGAAACAATGGCCACGAGTCAGGGCTGACGGCGACTGTATAATAATGTCTCTATCGGCCACCGCGTGTATGAGAATGATTGAAGATTGAAGAATACGAGCAGTCGCGCCGTGTCGTCGGAGAAACAGTTCCAGAAGGGTTTGTTCAGCTTTCCCCGCTGATCTCGAATCTCCACTATTCGGCTAGTGCATTTGGGGTGCAGCAGCTGCTGACACAACTCACTTACCCCAGCCGTCTGTAGTGGGGCCCAGACACCGCCGTGGCTTCGACGACAGCGGGTTGGCTTCAACGCCGTTCACGTGCAGTAGTCGGCAGATGTGTTTTAGATAGATCAAGTTTGCTGGTGCAATCCACATCCGTGGCGGAGCGACTGGCTTCTTATGCGACATCCTTCCCTTTCCACGCCAACAGGATAGCTCAAGGATTGGCACAACCCCAGCTTGACGACAGACGACATCCGGATGATCGTTTCGGAGATAACAATCTACTAACGTACTAGACGAAGCACAGAAGTACTGTACTTGCCAGGATTTTCGCTGTCTGACGACATGTTCCTGCAGCGGGGCGAAACGGGGTTGACAGTTCGAGCTGGCAGCACCGTACTGGGACCATCCATCTGGCACCAGCAGAGACTTCTCGCGAGATCTTCTCTCGATCTTCTATTGACACTCCGCAGAAGCACTGTTCTGCATCGCTCGGGTATTGAAGAATCAGATCTGTGGAGCAATGCAGTGACCAGATCTGGTGGCGCTTTGCGCTCTGAACCCTCGGTGCTGATCCGGCAACATTCGTTTCCTCACCCTGGGTAGCTTGGGTTGGAGAAACTCTTCTAACACAACCTCAATAATATTAACAAAGTTTGTTCATGGTGCATGCAACGCGCCGTCCTAGAAACCTCCCTATCTGCGTTAGCCCGAAAGCAAAATACAAAACGCACTTGGATATCAGGAGGGGAAGGAGCATATAACATGAAAGAGAACTGTCGCACTTCGCAAATTTAATACGCAACAGTGACCACCGGTTGTCAAAGAAGCCGATCAAGGACCATACTGGAAGAAAAAAGGGGTTCTCCCGAGTTCCCGAGGTGTACAGTCTAATGACGGGACGAAACCTTATTAACGAGTTCCAAAAGTATTTCTATATTCGGTCCGTCAGCGGCTTCGAGAGCGCATATGTGGCAATGATTGACGACCCATCAGAGACAAGAAACTTCTAAGTCCGAGGTAGGTGCGATCTTATTGAAGATAACTCGCAATGGAAGCACAATCGACGGAGACATCTCCGCACAAACAGAAATAGCGTCAATACACCGATCTCAACCTCGGTTTCCCTTTAGACTGTTGCAAGCACTATGCTCAAACAAAGTCGCAAGCGATACTTCAAGGCACGAAACTTCGAGTTCAAAAGACCTCTATTTGTACGGCTCTCAAAAACGGAGCGCGGCTGACAGACAATATATGCCTCAGCCTCTGGAGATTTTCCGTGCAGGAGGTACTCCGTCGTTGTCAAAGCACCATCCCGTTCCACTCCCAGCCCAAAATCACGACCCAAAGAAACCCCTTCACACCACAACTCGACTGATCTCACAAATTGACTCCAGCTCGAACCCGGGGAGGATGGTGAACACAGAAACTTGGGGACATGAGGCGTTCGCAGCCCCTGTTGAAAAGCAGCTGATGTATCGGATCATCTTGGCGTGAGGATTTTCCGAGACAAGTTTCGGCGCGGATAATGTTGTTTTCGGCCAGGAGATGTGATCATGAGGCTGAAAGAATACCTACGTAGGTTTTGTTTTTGTGTTCATATGTCTCGAGTACAGTGGTGGGGCTTTCAGGGGTGTGCGCTAGCGTTGAAGGTCCCTGAAGCTTATCCTTACGATGTCTGTCGCGATAGTTTTCGGTATGTGTGTATTCCTTGTGGGTTACTTTTTAGTGAGAGGCTTCCTTTTCCTCTCGCGCTCTTTGTAGCAATGTCCTTTCGTGTATTGTAAGTAAACTCAAGTTGGAGAACAATTTGACAACCCCGCTCGCATCACGTCTAACCACACAGCGCAGGCTCCAAGGCGAGCAATTTCTGATCAATGGTTTATATCTCTGTGCAAGCCCAAAATATATACATATATATATGTTATAGCTCATCTGTCTGTTATTTGTATTTAGGTCAACGCCATTGCAAACGTTGACTTTTCATCTCACAGGACCCGCATGTCCTTCATCCCCATTTATTAACTCTCCGATATCCTACACATCTCACTTCTCTGGCCATACCATCCCACATCTCTGTATATTCAAAACGAAGTACTATTCGAAATAAACTTCTGAATATAATGATAAGCCGCCACAGCAGGATAATGCAAATTCACCCCATGTCCAGTCAGCGGCGCCAAATACGTCCCCTTACTTCCAGCCACCGGATACAGCTCAAGCGCTGCTTGCGCCAAATTCGTCGGGTAACTACAATTCCCAGTACAAAACGGCAAATCTTCAGCTCCATTCACGACAGCGACCGATCCAGTGAAGTTGCTGGCGGGTCCCACGACAGCCGTTGTGGTGAACAGCTCGCCGAAGGTCACGGTGCCTTTGGTGGCTTCTGCCAGGTTGAGGATATCGGGGTCAAAGTCTTGGGCGTGGAAGAAGGCGATTTGGTTAGAGATGATGGAGCTTGAGACCAGGTAGCCGTTGCTCAGGCCGCTGAAGCGGTATGGTTGATTTTGTGCGGCGATGGCGAGGTTGAGGCCTGTGGTGAAGATTGGCATGCCGGTTGAGTTGGTGGAGAATCCTGTTAGGATCGCGGTGTCGAGGGATGTTGGGTACATGGAGGTGATGGCTTGAGTGAGAATGCTGCCGAAAGAGTGGCCTGTTCCGATGACGGTCGAGAAGGTCGCGTTGCTGAAAGAGCCAGCTTTGAGCATTGTGATGAGGGATTGGAGGATCTCGACCTCCAAGGGTGTTTGGACGACGTTGATTGCGTCGGGTTTGGAAGACTGACCTACGCCAAGTCGGTCGTAAAAGAAGCTATACCAGGATTTAGCGTTTTTCAAAGAAGTTTGAGGACGGAGTGACAAACCTTGCTCGGTTGTAGCTAGCTACAACATCGACATAACTGTAACCTGGAGCAAAGTCCCAGTAGTATCTGAGGGAAATCAGCTTCTATCAACAATTATATATAATGTGACCATCACGCATACCTATCAAACCCAACTCCATGCGTCAATATCTCAACAGTATCCGGCTTCGTATTATTGGCCGGCGTGCAAAAAGTAGCACTAATATTATACGTCCCATTCACAGATTGCATGCCAGCCATAATCTGTTCCGTGAACGGCGATCCACTCGTCACATCCGCCACAAAAGTCTGAGTGACCTGTGACTGATTCATCGGGATGTCAAAATTGAACTTCATGTTCTTCGAAGTACTGGCTGTCACAGGAACCATTCCGGAGACACAGACTGCCAATCCGCCTCTCGACGGCTGGATTGTTGGGTTCGTGAAGCCGGATATGCTTGGGGCTTGGACGGCGGCTGGGATGGCTCCTCCTGGGTTAGACGCGAGGTATTGAGCTGATTGTCCGGCTGCTATTTGCAGTGATTGTGCGGCTGCACCGCTGGCGAGGGTGAAGATGATGGAGCGCATTTTGGCCGTTTCTAGGAGCTTAGTGCAGGGGATCAGATAGACTTCATCAAGGCCAGAGGTGATATATATCCCATCTCACGGCTCCCACGGCAACTTCTTCAGTATTGGGCATGATGTCAACTGTTTCGGGACTTTCATGATTTGTATTCTTCTGGATCGCTTGAAAGGAAGTGAAACTCTAAAATATGACGTTGGAGCATTGACGATACTTCATTTGCCAATAGCTCTAAAATAGACCGTGCTAGAGGCCGCCAGGGCTTCTCCCGTTCTTCCTTTCCACTCGGCGCAAGACTAACTTGTTAAGTCTGCACTAGTGTCCGACCTTCCTTTCCTTCCAGCTTTCGACATACTTCAAAGTAGACCTCTGTTTCTTCGATCATTGAGTTGTCTTTCTTGTCTTTCACTTTCTGCCTGCAACCATTCGTTTGTGTCTGCGGTAAGGTACAAGAAGAGTCGACGGAGCATAAAAAGGAGGAATGCAAGAATCAAAAGGTCGGCGAACATTCTGATGTGATCAAGTAGGATAGCTTAGGTGTGTAATCGAGACTGGACTTTTTGTTTCGGTGCTAATTTGGAGGCTCGTAGAATTGTCTAGGTGGTCTTGTTCGGAAGAAAGTTGGGGTCATTATATACTTAGGCTATATAGCGAACAATAACTGATGACTACTGCATACTCACATGACAGAATCATTCAGTATAGGTTCGTTTCAATGTCATGCGACATAAAGGATTCGTAGAGTCATAATGTTAACAAAACTTTCAATGAAGTGTCCTGTCTGAGCAAGCTCTAGACGCCTTACAATCTTTTGGGTTCTGTTCCATTCACAGCTTGCAATCCATCTGTTTTATGACAGACTCACTAATTCACGTTGCTACGCCTTCAAGTGACTGTCTGATCGATTCTTGAGTGATCTCAGCATATAAATCGATCTGCCCATCATTATAAGTTCCCGATTCATTTCCCAACGAATACTACCAAAAGTCCTCAGAATCTCCAAATTCGAAACAACAAGAAACATAAATCCCCGTTTTCATTATCTCACCGACTCGGTAACAGATATCTACCATGTTAGGCATGCGCGATAAAAGTTCGTGTTTGACAGAACGATCTCCGATGGCTCTGCCGATTGAGAACTATAGACGAGAGCGATGCAAATGGTACAATCTATCGATTGCGATGTATGTACAAAAAGGCACGGGTTTGGATGATGTATCGGCAGTTGGGATGTTACATTGATGGTACTTTCAAAGCGACAGGGATATAGACTAGGGAGACAAGCTGTGCTTACCAACTCCAATTTCCGTTCTTCCACTACTTGAAACTTAAGACGGTACTGTTATGGTCTACTAGGCTCGTTCAGTGAATGGAATTAAAAACTGAACGTGAATCTCGGTGCAATTCGAACATTCTCTTGGCGTCCACATGCCTATTGCTGCTCAATTGTATGAATGGAATAACTGTTGAGAGACAAGACAGACCGACTCAAATTGAATGCGCATTACGACCAGAAGTCAGAAAACAGACACAGCTAGGCTCTCAAAGCCGCATATTCATTGTGCTATAAAATATTGTAAAGCTCGCTAAACATAGGCATAGGGGGGGTCTCGCTTACGAGTCACACGGATACGGTATGGTGATGTGGACGAATACTTGTTTGTGATTGTAATCGTGCAATACCTCAGATATCTGAATCTTTAGTTGTCGAATCTGTTATTCTCATTTGGTTTTGAGCCGATCTGCCTGGCAACTAGTGAAGTCACAACTGAAGGACATTCACTCTTGTTTTGTTAGACACCATGTAACCCAAGCAACCACTTCGCATATAAATCATTATGAAAAGATCTACGGACTTTAGGAGACAAAAAGCACAAAAGCAACAAGGATCAGAATCTTAGCCGATATTGATATCGAGAAAGACTGTGCCACATCGAAGAGCTCATTTCATCAGAAGCGCAAACCCTGGCCCAGCATGTACCTCACCGTTACCGTGAGCATCTACAATGTCTTCTACAGTGGGCTTGGACTTATCATCATACTACTTCTTATATTCACTCTCATCATCTGTTTTGTTCCTCTCGGACCTGAAACAATGCGAGATCTGGAATCGTTCATCGAAATGGAAAGCATCGACACTACACGAGAGCATGGAGAGGACATCTGAATAGATGATCAAGGGGCTTTGGGTTGGACAGATCGTGTTGAGAGTTACCGATGGAATGTAACCTAAAGCAGTGACCGCTCAAGGAGCAGAGGAAGAGAATAGGGTACAGGGCGCCGGTTTGAGGCAAAAGTCGAAGTATGGTTGTGGGAGCCAGATTGAATAAACTTGAACAAAACATCAAAATATTATGCTCAAAATCTGTGCGTTTGCAATACCATGTCGTGTGCTGCTCTCTGAAAGACGATGAGCATCAAAAAGTTTGATTCAAGCAGAAAATTAATCTTACATTCAGGAAAGATAATCTCGTCGAAATCTTCCCCTGAATCAAATCAGCTGGTATTCACATTCTGCCTGGGGAATGTGCATATACAAGATCTATATCTTGGGCTCGTTTCCATAACAATTTACAGTTGCCTAAGAACATCAAATCTTAACAGTCAAAGAAAGGCTAGCAAGATGAGACATTTCATTCTGATCTGCGGTTTTGTTGTGCTCATGCTATACATCACCTCAACAGCGAAGACTGCAGCTCTCGCTCACGGCTATCGCCATCGGCAACAGCACCGCAACAGGCACCCACCACAAATTGCAAATAATGCACAGCGACACATCCATGGAGGGCACAGAGTTCAACGCGAAGGCACAAAGCCAGTTCCATCAAAGTCATCAAGCCCAACTCAGCTCTACGTAGCTGGGTACATAATCAACAGCTCGACACTCGTCATAATCTCCATCGCAGAAAACGCAAAAGATCGTGCTGCCATGGAACAAGATGATACGGCATCTTTATTAATGATCCTAAAGGACGTTAATGATTCAAAGGATGAAGATATGGAGTTGAGAGAGGGGAGCGATGATGAAGTGGTATCAGGGGAAGAAGCATGGAAAGTCAAGAGAGAGGACAAGATGACATTCAAATACTGGGTCATGGTTTGGCTTGTACCCGCTTTGTTGATCGGGGTGGAGTTACAGTAGTGAAGCTTTGTGTTTGATAAGTGCGTGGTTGGAAGCAAAGGCTAAAGTAATGGTGACCTTTGATAGAAAGAATGGAACGTACAATTGAAATAGCGAAAGACTTGTAAGCTAAGTGAAGATGACAGAGTCCCAACGTGTGAGAGATTATCTGAGAGCATTAAACACTAAATGCTGGTAGGACACGGATGAAATCAAGTCTCGTTAATATATCTCGACGCTAGTGTTGGAAACAATCATGTGTGTAAATGCTAAGCTTCTAAGCTGTTAACGGACAACAACAGAACCGAGAAAAACACGTTACCAGTAGTTCCAAAAAGCGCTTAAAATAGCCAGCTTCCTAAAGCCCCTCAAACTTCGCATTCACGTCAAAACGTCAACAAACAAACTCTCCGTCTACAACTATTCGCAACAACACTCCTTCCAACACCTCCATCTCGAAACTCAAGACAACAATCGCAAAGTACGTCGCAATTCCACCCCCCAATTCCACTCACAATCCCTAACCCCTCTCCAGATCCACAACCTCAAACAACTCCACCACGATGATGCTGCTCAAGTACATCACACTCCTCCTCTTCCTCATTGCGCTTAGCGCAACCACTCCCACCAACACCCTCCCAACCCTGACATCAACCACCACCACCTCAGCCTCCCAAACCCCGACCGTCACCGAAAACTCTTACTTCAGGTGGTCAATGTGCGTCCCTAGCAAGGAGTGCAACGATCCGCTCGACATCGTCATCGGGGTGATCATTTTTCTGGTTCTGAGTGTTGGATCCACGACGTTCATGGTGTGCAGTGTGCTGTATAGGTGTGAGGAACGACGGGCGAGATTGAGGGCTAGAAGTGAGGATTGAGGGGGTGGGGAATTGGGGGTGCAATTGCTGGGGTAGGGAAAGAGATTCGTAGATAATGAAGTGTGGTACTTCTGTCTTTGTTGCTGTGACATTGACAAGTCCGCTATCGAGATAAATCTAATACAATCTTCATAATATATGTCATGGTATATCTATCCCATCTATGTGGTATCACGAATCATGCGAATCTACATTCTTCCCCTTTCCTGCAACCCCCTCCCCATCCCTATCCAACCCCAATGGCTGCAAGCCTAATCCCATCCCCGCCGCCTCCCCACTCAGCACCCTCGCCGCCGCAGCATCACTCCTCAACTCCTGTTCTTCCTTCTTCTTCTTCCCCAAGAATCTCTCAACTTCCGCCTTATCCGTGCCCCTTGGACTTGTTGCCCCCTTCCCGGCTATCGCTTCCGTCCAATTCCACCCCTTCCTCGCCTCCCCCGAATCCCTCTTCGCTCTATCCTCCTCATCTTCACTATCTAATTCGCTATCCGCCCAATCTCTATCACTCCACTCCGTCCCGCTTTCCGCGCGTTCGGGAAGTGGTCTTCTCTCCCCAGGAAGACTAAGGCTATTTCCGGCCAATGCTTTGCCAAGACTATTTGGTTTGGGGTCCGAGATGAGGGCTGGGACGGAATCTTTAGCTTCTCGGGCTTCGGAATCGGTTCTATCTTCGGGGCTTAGCATTTTCATGTGTTCAGGCTCATGGTGAGAGTGGACATTTGCGTCGTTGGTTTCTCTGCCGTCTTTACTTGGTCGTTCGTTTTCTCCCTTTGCTCTTTCTTCGTTTCCTTCGTCTTCATCGCGGGTTTTGGCTGCTGCGCTGTCGCTGAAATGGGTATCACAGAGATGTTTGACAACGGGCCATCCGTATGCGTTGGCGAACATACGGCGTACGATCATGTTGTTATGAGCATCTGGTTCGAGACGAACGAGGACTTTGCGCCAAGAGAGATCACGATGGTAGGCTCTTGCAATCTTTTCTTCAACTTTCATTGCTGAGCCGTCGACGACTTCTCGAGGGTCTTTCTCTGGATTTGTGTGTCGCGTGTCGTCGTAGTCTCGAGCTGAAAGTGAAGAGTCTGTGTGAGCAGGCGGGCTGGTTGGAAAGGGGTCTGAGCCAACCGAGGCACCCGAGACCCCCGAATTACCCACTGACGAACGACGGCGGAGCATGAGTGAAGAGGTCGGACGTTTCTTGAGAGGTGGAGGTGGGATGTCCTCTGGATGATAGACTCGGTCGTGGAATATAGTTCGAGGTCGAGATGACGGATCAATGAGAAAGTCGACAGATGGAAGAGGTGGTTTCAAGACATCGCCAGCAGATTCGAAGAAAGTTGTCTTTGGGGGCGCAGAAAGACTGTCGGGGTCATCATGTTCAGCATCGCCCGTTGTAGCCTTTCCACGTGCAGTTTGTGAAGGGTGTTGTTTTGCCAAAGTGGAAATTGAAGAATCGCTGTTCATTCGGATAGTTTGACTTCGTTTGTAGATCTTAGGGTACTTGGGAGCGTGGTGGTGAGACTTTGCTGATGGCTTGTCAGGTTGGAAGAACTTGATGATGCTGGAAAAAGGTCCCTCGTTGTGCGAGGTCTCTGAAGTCATCTTAGGGCTTGGCAGTGGACTAGCCGATTTACCTGTATGAGGAAGATTGTCGTCAATGCTCTTGACACTTTTCAAACTAGCAGTATCATCATCTTCGGTGGCATACAGGGGTGGTTGAGGCACATCTGCACCATGACCTTGCCTTGTGGGGGTGTTCGTATCAGTATCTTCCTGATCGCTCATCCCACTATCGGAGAAATTCCTCCTTGATGGAGAGCCAGAATTGGCACCAGTGAGTTCAGCCCAACCCCATCCAGCCATGGTTCCCACGAGGCCATTCTCTCTTCTAGCTTTCTCGACACGACCCAAGCCTTGCCAGTCCAAGAAAAGCAGACAACTCGTTCTCAAAGGCACAATCCCGTCATTGACAACGTTGGAATAGACTGTCCTATTTCGAAACTTCTTGAGAACAATATGAGCAGGCCCCGTAGGCAAGATTCGCAAAAGAGGTTTTGTTTCTGGTGCTGTCTCGCCATCAATCTTCTTATGAGCACTTTCTCCAATCCCACTAACAATTGCGCCCCAACCACTTCGAACAACAGTGGGTGGTCGCCAAGTCAATCCCAGATCTTGTCCTGTTCGACCTACCAAGCCAAAGTCTAAGGCAAATTTGACATATAATGGGTTCTCATTGCTTAGGCCTAAGAAAGGAGAAGCCATAGCAATGAAATTGACAGGCTTAATCTTGTCAAAGAACTCGGGAGAATGCTTCTGTATATATGCAACAGCATATGTCTGAATGAGACCACCAAGCGAATGAGCAATGAAACTGATGCTCGTGATTTTGTAAGCCAGTTTTCTGTCTTCATACGGCTGTTTCTTGATCGTGCTGTGATTATGCGCCGGAGTGCCATCTTCTACCGGCTTCGAGGAGTCGGGTTTCAGAGCATGGGAGAGAGCTTCCGCGGCAGATTTCTTGGTGACTGGCTTGTAGGGCTGGTCAGGGTAAGTCATCTGAAGGACATATTTCGCTAGTCGTTTTCCGAGGTACTTGATTCCTCGTTCTGTTCTCACAGCATTTCCAGAGAATCCTCGAACAATGACTTCTTCCTCATCTTCGTCCTCATCTAGATCCTCTTCGTGCTGTTGTGCAGGTGCTTTCGTCTCGCCTTGCTCGTCTTTTCGCTCCTCTGCGTGATGCTCATCTTGATCTTCCCCAGATCTATCAGCTTTCGCCTTCTCCTCCTCTCTTCGCTTCGCCCTCCTTTCTCTCGCATCAATCTTAGCTTGCCTCGAAGTAGCGTCAATACTCTCTTTCAAGAACAACAAATCCGCCCCAAGATTACTATGCAACCCATGCGTCAGAACCACCAAATGGACCTTCTTCTGCCTTTTCCTGTCCCTCCCATCCTCTTCTAGATCCCCCCACTCCGGCATCTTAGGTGTATTCCACAGACTCGCCGTATCATCCACCTTAACCGTAACAGCCTTACTAAACACGCCCTTAGGTTGCCCAGCATGCCTCCCATCCCTCGCCCCAACGCTCTGCTGATGATCACTCAGCTGTCCCGGCTGCGGTACATGTCCCCCATTCCCTCCACCCGTCAAACTACTCCCAAACCCCAAACTAAGACTCTTCTCATCCCTCCCCAGCAAAATCTCGTAGTTCACCGACGCCGAGTTCGAGAATATAACCTGCGAACTAACTTCGATGATCCAACTGACGCTCTCCTCCCCCGCGCCGCCCCGTCCAGCGCTCGCTCGCACTTCTTCGGGCACGAGCAACCGGCAGGTCCACGTCCCGCCCGCTTTGAGCTGGGGCTCGAACTCAGGGACGCCGAAGGTCCGCGGATGTTCGAAGCGCTCGTCTGTCTTGAAGGCTTTCGGGTACGCCGCGGCGTATAGGGTGTAGGGACCGTGGACGAAAGCAGCGCGGAGGGCGATGGCGCAGGTATTCTTGACTTTGAGGAAGAGGCATGGAGGCGAAGGCAGGATTCGATCGTGTGAGGGCGTGTATGTGACTGTATATCGTACGACTTCGCCGATTTTGACGCTGCCGGTTTGGTGGAGGAGAAGCATGTTGGGTGAGGTTGGAGGTGTGTTCGGTGTATTTGATTTCGGCCAAGGATTTGAGTGGCTTCGAGGGAAGGTCAGCAGAGCATTTTGTATGTCGATGCAGTGATCGTAACGAAGAGACTTCTGCTGTGGATTCAGAGGGTCGCTTCGGATCGTGTTTATTTACAGATACTGGATTTTGTTGCTGCACGCGATAGGTTTCGAGGTTCTTTGACCGAGATCCGAACTTCGTACAGTAATGACGATGGTGTGGCTGTGCAAACTTGTCTGTGGCAGGCTTTCCGAGCAACTCCATGCGAATCGTTTTACAACACATGTCACTCAACTTATATGAAGATCCAACGAAGAAGATTGTCATGACTCGGTCTCATAATATTAATTACATTGTTCGTCTATGTGAATGGGTATATGTATGTGTATATATAAACAATATGATCAGCTGTGGCTGACCATAAAATCCTCCGTCACCAAATCAAGCATCTGAAGAATAGGTACTTGGCGGGAGTGTTCTGTTATCGGTAGACCAAAAAGTGGCTCCACTCAAGGATGTAAGATCTTATAATATGTTGGCAGATTATACAAACAAATGGAGCTGATGCGAAGCTCGTGTTCGTAAAACCCAAGCGAGCTGTCAGTTGCCGTTGCAATATCAGACGGACAAGACACCTTCTTCAGGTTGGCCAGGCTCGACATGATTTCTCCAGGCACTCACACGATTGCGAGCTCTCCCAGTCTCACTTAGCCCGGCCAAAACAGCTGGGCGAGGTTCTGGTCTTGCGGCTCGAGGAAGAGGTGCGTGGACTGCAGCTTCCGCTTCGTAATCGGTTCTCGTCCTCCTCGGAACAACTCTTTCGGATGCACGTGTTTGCGCAGCATTGTATGCTTGCTCTCTTGCTGAATGTCTTCGCAAGAGAGGTGGGGGAGACAAGGGTCTCTCGACTCGTGGAGGAACGGGATAGCGATCTGCCATTCTTCTTTGCCCAGCATTTGGTGGAGGTGGTGGTGGTACACCTCTTGCATTTGCAACTCCCATAACATAATTTGCAGCTGCAGTAGCTTGGTCGTAATTACCCGTCAAAATGTTGTGAGCGGCTCGAACATAATCTTGATTCATGAAATGGCCAGCTCCATTTCCGATCCCATGGACATCGCCAATACCACCTTGGTAGTCATCATCGTTATTGTCATCAGCTAGATTCGTTCTCTGGAGTCGACGAGCAAGTCTTTCATCTAAACGCTCTTGCCTCTGGCGTTCCGTAAGTTCTTCGTAATACGTAGCAGGTTGGGCTCTCCGAAGACGACGAGGGCGCTCTGGCGCGTCATCATTATCACCGTCTTCTGGAACTCGCATGTGATTCAATCGATCGGCCTCGACGGCTTCATAATTGAACCAAGGGCAATTACACGTCTTCCATTTCAGTCCGCATATCATGCAGAATTCAGCTGTGCAACGGCTACCTGATATTAGCAGGGATCCCAGGATTAAGTATTGCAAACATACCAAGTCATGTGGTTGCAGCCTTCCTTGAGCTCAACCATCGTTCGACAGCTGTAGCAGCGTTGCCAACCAGCTTGCTTAGCCGTCTCAAGGAGCTTATTCGTTTCTTCATCTTTGGGGCACTCTTTCGATCCATGCCATTTGCCGTTACATTGACAGCATACCTTTGTCTTGCAACGACCACACTTGCCAAATTTTTTGCCGTCTTCTTTGTGAATGTTAGCTGGCCGTATCCATTCGCCACATTTTCGAGCTGGACAATAGATGCGATTCTTAGTAGAATACTCTGCGAATTTGGTGTTCCATAGCTTCTTGAAATTAATGTCAAATAACTTGTCCACGTGCTGCAGCGGGATGTGATCTGCAGTGCAGCATTTCGGCGGCATGTGCTGAGGGTCTTTGACAGATAGTCTAAATATTCTCTTCAGGCATGAGTTGCACATGCGATGTCCACATTTCAACTTTGCTGACTTGGATCTAGGTATATCGTCGGATAGGCATGTTAAGCACTCTACACTTCAAAGAAGTCAGCTTAAGATTTAGTAGCTAAACCAAGTGGTACTTACAGCTTCTCTGGTTCAGGAGCTTGTGGCGCAAAGAGTCCACCAAGAAAACTCGATCGTTTGGTTCCTGCACTTGAAGATCCTAGGCCTCGAGAGGACGGCATATGTGAGGTCGTGGTATTGCTTCTTTTGATTGTTGCTCTCGGCTCAGCGGCGACGTGTCGAGTAGATGCGCTCCTGAAGTCAGTTAGTTTAGGATCTAGGTGTAACTCTGCTCGGGCGCATACCTCTTAGGTGGTGATTCTGGCGCATGTGGCAAGTCTGCGACAGAGGGGCGACGAGAATGATGAGTACCGCTGCGCTTGAGAGAATCTCTGGCAAGCTCTGGGCTGCTTTCTGTCCGCCGGTGTCTCGAAGACTTCAGTTCTTCCTTTGTGACGTATATAACCCTGATCTTCTTCTCTTTCTCTCCTGACCTCCTCTCACGAGGTGATCGTACAACATGTTCTCTGTCTGATTCGCTAGACTCTCCATCTCGACCAAGCTTCCTCGTTTCCTTGATCATTATGCGCGAGGATTTAGGCCTGTCTGCAGGTGCTCCATACACATAGGTATCTGCAAACTCATCCTTCGCCAGTGACTTGCGCCAGCTCCTATAGTCCTTCTCCTCGCCGTCTCGGCGATGCTTCCTCCTCCTCCTATGGCTTGTCGAGGTTTTGTGACTTGGTAGCGTCGCATGCGATTCGGAAGTCATATTCTGGGTCGTTGAGCGTCTGCGGGTCGATGTGCTGCCCTCGAGTCTTTCTATGCGAATTCTCCGCAGTTCAGCAGCATCTAGGTCAGGCGTGACCCTCTCCTTGCCACGCGATTCGGAAGAATCTTCGTCATCCAATGAGCTGTACGACCTTGCTCGACGCCTCACTCTCCTCTGGCCCTCTGCTCTGGGAAGGGCCATTCGAACATCTGAACTCGACAGCCTCAGACGTTGGGCATGACGACCAGTAATTAGACGTTGGGCAGTGGGGAAGAGACTGTTCGAGCGACGAACATCTGTTCGTGTGGGATAGGTCGTCTGCTCTGCGGCTGACAAGGTAATTGGTGCTGGTACTCACCGACACTGCATATGCAGGTGAAGAACTTGCAGAATAAGGCGAGCGTGGTTTCTGCAAAAGTGCCAATGGCAATTAAAGTAATAAGTATTATAATATAAGACAAAATTACAAACGTCGAGGCAATTGAGAGAGACAGAAAGAAACAGGTCGAAGATTGTGAGTCTTCGAAATCTGGGGAGGTTGAACTCTGTCGGCGACGAGCACGTTTAGGGGTTTCTGACAGGGATGGGAGCTTAAAGGGGTAAGGTTAAGCAATCCGTTGCCGCTGTGGCTGGACTGCAGCTAAGAACGCTGTATGATCCATGCACGACATCATAAAATTGCCCAACCGTTATGTGATTGCGAACCTTGCGATGCGAACCTCCACGAGGCATTGATTATATTTTCGTTTTTTGTTTACAATTTTCTGTTTTGCAAGTGCTTCGGATGCAAGATGATACGAATGCTATTGGATCTCGTAGGAATATCTACAATAGAAGCTTTCGTCCCACGACTAGAGCTTCCTCCCAGACCGCCTTCTCAACATAAATTAATTGGATTTGGCCAGATGCAAAAAGCAAGCTCTTTCTGCTGTATTTCCTGGGCGAAGACTGTCACAGTCAGCGTCGGCGATTACTGTTACAATTTCTTACCACCATCATGTTCTTGTGGTACCTTCCTCGCGCCTTCGTACCTACGGCTGATTTACTTGCCAGGAGTTGAGAGGCGCTGATCCGACAATCACTTTACCAAGCGGCAACAGTGCGGCGCAGGCGTTCATTTGGTCTTGGCACGAACTTCATAACTTACTTCTCGATACAGCTTATTTATTCATTACAGTACCGTCTTCAATAAAAAATCCACAATGACTCGCCACTTTTCGTCCTTGTTAGATGCCATTCCCTCTTCTAATGCAGTCCTCAAGACTCCCAAGGAAACGTTCCCACCGCCAACAATCCTTCCCGCGACAGAACAAGATATTCCTGCGCTAGCACGCATTCATGTCACCGCTCTGTCCCCAAATCTGCTTTTCCGTCTCTGTTGGCCCAATCAGACCCGTCAATATGAAGCTGTCTGTGCTGGACTGGAAAGCGTGTTCAAGACCCCGGAATTCGAGTGGTGGTTTGTGAAAGCTGTCAACGAAGAAGGCACAATTATGGGATGGGGAGCTTGGACGGTGAGGCCGGCTGACTTGGGGTCTCGCGACTCCAGTGGGACGTTGTCTTTTCTTTTTCCAGGCCTGATGGATGGTGTGAATGGATCAAGTGATGAAGAAGAGGGGAAAATCGACGATGTCGAGGATTTTCCTTCCATTCCTGGGCTACCGGACTATATGCATTCTCACACCCAAGTCATCCTAGATGACTGGCTCCTTGGAAAGAAACACGTTCTCTTGAATTCCCTGTTCGTTGCTCCTACCTTTCAACGCCGAGGCGTGGGGACAGCAATCCTGAGATAGGGCATCGAAAGGGTTGATAAAGAAGGACTGCCCTGTTTTCTGAAAAGCACTCCAGTTGCATGGCCATTATACAAAGAGTTGGGTTGGAAAGAAATTGGGATCTTGGACGTTGACTTGAGAGACTGGGTTCGTGGTAATGGAGATGAAAATGGTTGGGGCAGATACCGAACCAGGTATGGATTGAGATTGCCCGATGTATGGAAGAGCGACAAGAGCAGCACAGACGTTGCTGGTTGAAAGATTGCCTGCAAGGACTTTCTCCAACGATTCTAAATCGATTCCGGATCTTGTGTTGAACTAGTCTCCACACGGCCATTACGACACCTTCCTCCACCCGCCATCTATTTACATCAAAACTCTACCATTCATCCGACCCAGACATATGCCCTTCTCCCACCCCAAGAGCACACTAACCGGCCCCGGGAACCCAAGCTCAGTATACGCCCTGGAATCCAACATCAACACCAACACATCCCTTACCCCAGAGCCACTGCTATTTCCAACCCTTTTATCCCGATGAATCCCTCATTCTCCGAGGGATACACAACCAGCAACACCGAGTTGACCACGTTATTACGACTCTCAAGTCGTCCGATCTGATTCATGCGTGCTTGCTGCGTCGATGTACTTCTGTTTCCCGCTTAGTAGGGTGAGAACACCACATCTTGGAGCTGAAGTGTTCTTGTTCGAGGAGAGATGTGAATATATCTATGGTGGTAGTGAAGGGGTTGAAGAGCCCGAGTATTTGGGACTCGGGTTATGATCGTTCATTCCAGGATTTTGTCGCGGAAGGGCTGGTAGGTTCAAGAAAATGGACCGATGATCGAACACGTAGAATTAAGCGCTTCATCGTGGGTGTGGTGGAGGTAGTATACTAACTTGCTCTCTCTGTTGTGGTGTTTGGTATCGATGTCATGGAGCTCGCAATAATTGAATTTAAGCATACTTGACAATGTTGGATAATACAATAAAGTTAGATACCTGTATTTCGTGAAACTTGTTCCTAGTCGAGAATATGAAGAAGTGTTTTATTGCATATCGAATTTTGGGTAGAGATGAAAAAGTACTTAGGTAGCTTGAAAGTCGGGTTTTGAAGACGGACAATGGGAAGTTTTGTTGCACGTCGCAAGAAGTACATGATCTATTAAGGTAATTCTACTGAGGTAATTCTACTGGGGTAATTCTCCTGGGGTAATTCTATTAAGGTAATTCTATTAAGGCAATTCTACTGACGTGATTCTACTGAGGTGATTTTGTTTAGGTAATTCTACTGAGGTAATTCTGTCTAGGTAATTTTAATTGGGCAAATCTATTCAAGCAATTCTATATAAGCAAAACAACAATACTAACTGCGATGTGCAACAAATACCCCGCTATCCGTCAATCGAGACGACTTGAGTTACGTGAACCCTATCAATTTACATTGTGGAATGTCTTCACTACGAGGTTCGATGGAGAAGTTATACCGCTGGCAACAGCAATCGTTTTTCCCTGGGACTGGACAGTGCGCTCTTGGTATTTGGTGATAGTAGGCAGCATTTTGGCTGTGGTTGTCAAAGAAAACTGCCCGCATCTCTGTAATGTTGGAAGACTTACTTAATCAGTTTAGATATGCAAAAAATGTTTATCAAGTATGCTAAAATGTGTACCAATGTGTGGAGATCTGTCTACGGGCCGTGCCGACAGAGAATAACAGTTCCTCAAGCTTTGCCATAGCGAGAGTTCTCGCTTAATAAGGAGGTGGATCTCCAGAAGCGAGGGACCGAAGCTCCGATATAGGGGGGTCCAGAATCTGATCTGTATACCTAGGTATGGCCTCCTTGATTCCTGTAAGGCATACCTAACTCGTAACATTCATGCACTCCAGCTCCAATACGGGGTAGTTGTGCGAGTCACGTGTCTGATACCTCGGTCGCGATCGCGCTTAGGCCGACAAGCTTCGGCACCGCGCATAAACCACCACTCTAAACACGCCGAACTTTCCACTCCTTCACATACAAAGGATCAAGCACAGATTCCTTCCCCACCAAAATGTAGCCTTACAAGACTCTCTATTCCTTCTCATTGGCCCTTCCGTCTGATTTTGACGACATCCATAGGCGGCACAGCCCTCGAGATCGGAGGACTTTCTTCATAGTGTGTCGTGTGTCCTATTCATAGTCCTTCCGAATGATCGAGAGCTTCCCAATTCTCGAGTGATGGTTGGGTCTATTTGGAGCTCGATTAAGCGCTGTACCTGATCCTGAAGCTTCTTTATCTTCGCTTCGTCCCCCTCCTGCATGTTCCAGATCAATAATCTTTTTCGCCACCGCATTTCTGTGGTGGAATTTTCAAAATGAGAAACAATGCAGGTCTCTTACCTGATCTCATTCCTTGTCTTCCGAATAGGATTATCTCTAAGATCCCTGGTGCTGTACTAGCTGTTTATTTCATTGTTACTCTTCCGATTTATTGTGTTGCTGCTTGGTTTGTCTTGACGTTTCGATCATGTCTTGAACCGTGGATGAAAGCTCGCGCATGTAGGGCGGAGAAGGAGCGCCAGAAAACGGAAACGAAAATTGCGATCATGAGCCACACGCCGAAGATTCTTGGGCCAAGGAGAGGTAGAGCTTTGAGCATTGGCAGGCCGGAAACTCCGACTAAGATCGAGGTCACACCTGAGGTCGGCGCGCCCACGAATATTTGGAAGACGACTGTCGATGAGCAAGAGAATTGCCGCTTGTTCAAGCTCCCCTTCGAACTTCGACGTCAGATATTCGAAGAAGTACTAGGAGGGTACATGATTCACATCTTTTTTATGGAGAACTATCTGCCAATGAGCCATTCGAGATGCAAGTCAGAACGAGAAGGCAAATGCGCATGTCAAGTTTTCGGAAAAGGCCAATGGAAAGCATATCAACCTCGGACACGAAAGCAAAAGGGAGCTGTGGATCAATGGGGACAATGCGAACTTCTTGCTCTCTCAAAGACATGCCGCAGAATGTAAGCTGTTAAGTCATTGAAGATGTCGACTCGAGGACTAACAACAGATAGCTACAGCGAAACAATCGAGATCCTGTATGGCTGCAACACATTCGACTTTAACTCCATCATCGAAGTATTCCGGTTCTCGCTCACTGTTCTCCCAGAAAGAATGCAGCTCATGAAAGATGTACGCTGGAAGTACATCGGTATATACGACGGTATCAACCCACGCTATATGTCCCACAAGCGATTCGCATACCCACGCATAGGTAATGGCGATGAAAGGATTTGCAAGAAGATGCCATGGCTAGGATGTAGGAGGTCAGACGAAGAAGATGAGGAGGAGGACTGCTCGTGTCTTACTTGTTGGACTCCAGTTGAAACTCCTGATGTTGAGCAACAGCAGCTGGTCATATATAATTGGCTTATGAGGTTGGCAGAAGAGAGAGAAGCGGAAAAGATTCTTGAAGAATCTCCCAGATCTTCGGGGACGTTTGACGATTAGGAGGATGAGGTTCATTAATTCTTAAGATACCACCAATGCCATTACTGTTGTGTTCATTCTGAAAGTCCCGAGCTGTGCTGGACATTCAGATTCTCCGAAACGCCTGTGAAAAGGAACTCAAATGCATCTCCAGACTCCCCCAACCAATCGAGAGTGTCCCCATCGCAGCAAGATATTCAAATCTCCTCAATATCAGAAACTTCCATCTCAGTCTCAGGCTCAACATCCTCTCTGCACAAACGACACAATACCGCCTCGACAGCCCACCTCAACGTCTCCTCAATCCCAGCATCAAGCTTCGGTCTAACACAAACCCCCATGCACTCCTCCTCCACAAACCCACACTTCTCATCCTCGACCACGTCTCCACGAGCCATCCATCCATGGGTCCTCTGAAAGTTCTTCCAAGCAACGCTCTCAAAATACCCACCCGTCTTCCACATCTGTCCCGGAGCTCTCTCTCCCTCAGGCCAATCCCTATATTCGCTCCTCGCAAAACGTCTCTCCATCGCCGTCTCCTTGCCTGTGGGCAGAAACAACTTTAGACCCATGACAGCTTGCATCCGGGTCTTGGCCTCTAGATTTTTGTCCCAGATCTCCTGTTCAATTTCCTCGCGTGCCTCGACGGAGAAGGGGTCATTGGGTTCCGTGACGGCTAGTTCGTGAGTGAGGTCTGCGATAGTTTGGTATTGGATGTGGAGGGCGCGTTGCTCGGTGTCTAAATCGAAAATTGGGGCGACGGTCTGAGGTTTCGTAGGGTCGGTGAAAAGGAGGAAGCCTTCGATGAAGCAGATCACAGGTAGCATCTTTGTGACATCAACAAGGTCGATGGAGCCATGAGCGTAGCCATTCATAGCGGGTGACTGGATGTATTTGCCCAATTGGTTGTTTCGGATATTCGAGGCGGCGTGATGTCTGACTTTCTTGGAGACGTGGATGCGTAGTTCTTGGATCAGACTTTCGTAGGACGATAAGTCGTGTGAGTGTTTGATGAATTCAGCAGTAGGGTTGGAGTCGTGGCCAAGAAGGAGACCAGGGTCTCCGGGAGGTTCGATTTGGTCTGGGAGAATGCCTGTGCCGATAACGCGGGTGATCATGCCCAGCATTGACATGAAGTCGATTGCTTGGTCGCAATCGGTGTCTGGACCAGTGACATGATAGTTTGTGGTTGCATAGCCATCGCTGGTGATAAAGTATTCGCCAGTTTCGTTGTTGGTCATGGTTTTGAACATGAAAGGGAGGTCTTCTTTGGTGTTTCGGAAGGTGGTGAAAGGGCATAATGCCTTAGGTTGGAAGTAGGAGTCCTGGTGCATGAGAACAGCTTTAATGAGTTAGTAGAGCTCATACATCCTTGTTATGAATTGTCGTGATGCCATAGCAATGAAAACGAGGGACAATCGCAAGAAGTTGTGAAATTCAGGCTTGTTGCTCAGCGACTAAAAGACTTTGAGCGTCTCTCCTAACGAGTTGTCGGGTAGTGGTATTTGCTGTACGAGGAACATTTGCAAATAGAATAAAAGTGCAAGAACATGAAACCGAATCGCTGAGATATTCTGAGCGCTTTTCTCATCGAATTGCCAGGTGGTAGTATCTGCAAATCGAGGGACATTTGTAAAAAAGATTCTTGAACCAATCATGTTCCCAGCCTAATAATCAAGGACTGAAACAATTCGGACATCTCTCATAAGCAATTGTCTGGCCATGAGGTGCTCTGAGCTAGGGACAATCGCAAAGAAATATTTTTCTTCAAGGAAAGAGCGACCCAAAGACTTTGAGCACTTCTCCTGGCAAATTGTCGATACGCAAAATGTAACAAACGAGGGACATTGAAGGAAAAGTATAACTTACAACCACCAAAAACCTGCGCCAAAAGTGACGCCAACAAACTCTTTCCAGACGAGGTGCATCCGGAGATTCCCACCACAAGCACAGGCTTCTTCTCTTCTCCAATCTCCAGCGCAGCCAAAGACAAGCCAGCAAGGTTGTCTGTGGATGGCATGGCACCTCCCAATGGAGAATTGGGAGGTGCCATGACACCCACGATAGTATCTTGTTCCAGGGAAGTGTGAGGCATTTTGATGTTTTTGGTCGCTATTTAGAAATTAGATACGATCGCTATTGTTGCGCAATAGCTGCAGGAGGGAGATTCGGGGACTTACAATGTGGAGAGGAGGTTGTTGTCGGAGGTGTTCTTGGTTGGAGAGATCAAGAGGCGCGGAAGTTGTTATGGCAAGAGGAGGGGAAGTAAAAGCACGCTAGAGGAAGACAAGTGAACTCCTATCGATAGAAGGATTTGACAGAGATGACGACTGTTTGAATTGCCCTAGCTTAGACGGACTTTGGACGTGAACCTGCCGACAAGCTCTTTGCCCTTAGATGTTCTCACTTGTTACACTGGATAACAGCTATTGTATGTGGATGTTAATTAAGTAAACATTGCAGAAATACTTGAATACTTCCAAGTAAAAGGGCTCACAGGCTTGCCGCCGCCCTGTATTATTGATATCATGGATATCCCAAACGCGGCCGCTGTAGACCCGGAACTGGAAGAACACGAACTCCGTGTTATGGTCCAACCTGCCTTATTGATGTCACTCTAGACATCCTAATCGATTGCGGCTCCTGTAGCTCCTATAGCTCCGGAACTGGAAGAACTCGACCTCCGTGTTACCCTCTAGAGGGTCGGATAGCGTTAAATACGAAACTTTCGTCTCATCAATCAGCTCAGCTCACATGGTCGAGTGGTTACGACGCCAATACTCTGTTGCTTTCTTGACTTCTTGGATAATACAGTTTGCTCCGGTGATTTGGATATTCTGAGCCGGTTTTTGGGCGCGTTTAAGTGGAGACTCAGGTTCGATTCCTGATGAGAGCAAAACATTATTTTTTTTGCTTCTTTTTTCCGTAGTTCTTGTGGTGTAACTTCCACAAGAAAACTTTTTCATTGTAACTGGTACATGACACAATCATTTTCCTCCAATTGGGGAAGTGGATATGCAGTTCATGGATGGTGGGTCTGCTTTCGCTAAGCCTGTTTGTTTACTTTTCTTAGCCGAGACCACCATTTCCCTTTGCAAGTATTTTGTAAGCATGTTGAAGTAGTATGCTATGCAGTGCTTGCGTATGAATCATCTGGAACAGCGAGAGACATTTGTAAATCATTTAAACAAAACTTTGTCTATGCCATGCACACTTGTGGGTGATAGCTGTACTACCTTGATAGGTATTGACTAGTCCAGATGTTTGCAGTAGACTTGATAACAAATGGCATTCATAACTGTGGTGTCTGTTTAAAACTTGAGGAAAATGCAATGCAAGCTTGAAACATCAATTCATTTTATTGACCAGAACTCCGGTGCAAATAGTCTTGCAGATGTCCAAAACTCCAAGAACAATGCAATAAAAATCATTCTTTCTCAGAACATGCAAGTGAAGTGCAGTAGGTGGGAGACTGGCTGTTAGCACATCATTCAACATACCGTATCGTCCTGTCTCTTCATACAAAGTTGTCCTACCCTTTTCCAGAGCTTCCCAAATCGATTGAAGATCATTCCACTTGATTAATCAACAACTTTCTCATCCAACATCCTACTCATCTCTGCCTCCTCGTCCTCTTTCTCTCCATCTCCATTGCTAATTCCCTCCTGTTTATTAACGACTTCTCTAACATCACTCCTACAAATCATCCCCTTTTCACCACCCCACCTCTCCACCTCCCTCTTCACAACCCCCTCCAAGCTCCCCATCCCCACAACAAGGAACCCCAACTCCTCTCTCTCACAATCAAACACCTCCCACCACTCACAATCCGGCAACTTAACCCCTTTATCCCTAGCCGCCAGGTAAATAGCCGCCGTAGCCAACGAAGCCGGTTGATGCGTGAGATACAACATCTGAGGACTCAACAATGCCGCGTTCAAGTACTCAATCGCCCGTTTCGCAACCGCCTTTCCAGTGCGGGGCGATATAAAAACATCCATAGTCTGGAGGTAGGTGATAGCTAAGGGATGCGGGAGAGCTACATGTGTGTTGAAGCCTAGGGCATTTAGGATTTGGCCCTCGATGTGTAGGAGTTTGTTTCGACGAGTGACGTATGTTCCCTCGGACAGGTAATAAGACTGTGGATCGGGTTCTGGGACCGGAGTACCAGATAGCGCGGAGGATTCAGAGAGGAGATACGCGTAAACGTTTGTTATGCTGCGGAGAGAACGTGGGGAAGCTGAGATTTTTGCTGTTAAATACACTACTGCTGCTGAGAGGTCCTAGGCTCGTGTTAGCTGTGTTTTATTGGTATATGAGGGGCGGTCGAACGCTAAACTCGTGCCGCATAACATCATCTACCAGCCAGTATCGGAAGAGAAGGACGTTAGCTTGTGCTGTGATGTCTTGAGGTAGACAGAGGAGAATTCCTGCTGCTTGGGTGAGCCGAGCAGTATAGAAGCGAATGCTGTCGAGAAGCTCAATCGGTAATGGATTATTGGCGCTCTTGAAGAGCTGCTCCGCTGTGGCAAGCGGGTTGGAGAGGTGAGACATGTTTGTGTGCTTGCTGCAAAGCTGGTGTTGATCTTGGGAGAAGATGAGGTTGAAATTTAGTCTGATGCCTTGCGCACGAGGCTGCCATTTTTGACAAGGCTTACAGACAGCCTTACTTCAGTATGCCTTTGGTTGAGAAAATCTCTCAACATCTGACTTCAATGAACTATTAGGCGGCTTATAGGTTTAAGTATTTTCGTAAAATGGTGCTTAAGGCTTCATGAGAAGAGATTATTCACGTGCACATACATCCATGCATTCCTGAAATCTGAACTCCATTGATCCTTTTGAGAAAATTGCAATCTCATGGGTATACCGCCATATCGTTTCCTCTAATTTTAAGTAGTCCTACAAACATACCACAATATTCTCGCGTATGACGCCAGGTAGCACCTTTTGTGAATCTCAAAGTCAGCCTTAACTCCAGCATCCTTAACGACGCCCATAATCCCTCGAATCGCGTCTGCCACCTCTGTATGGTCCACTATTTCTGTAGCCATCATTTGGTCTGAACGAATCCCCACCTCCATATCCACCACCTCTACCCTGATAACCTCCACCACCTCGTCGCCTTGGTCCTCCCGTCGGCGGCCGAATACCAGAAAATATTTCTTTGCCTCGGTCGACCAAAACATCATGGTCTTCGAAAGTGTATCTATTGATGTCTCCTTCAATACGACGCCCAGCTGCAGCATCCTTGGACAAGGCTCGGTCGATATTGTCCAGTCGCTTATCTGCCAACTCCTTAGAGACTGGTTGCCAATACAGGATTGGCTTTGCTACAGTAGATTTGAAAAGCTCATCAAGTCTCTTCGTATTAGTTGGAAGAGATCGGATAGAGCGAGGACCAGTAGGCGGATCGACACTCTGAGCTTGGCTAGGTGCTTGCGAGCGGGAATTGGAGATTGAAGGTTGGCGAGTTGGCTGCATTGGCCTAGCAGGAGTGTTGGCTTCCTGCAATATAGCAGTGACATTGCTGTCTTCGTCAACATCATAGAAAACCTCCCACTTCTTTCCCATAGAGCGTCCTCCAGGATTGCTCGCCTGTTCCAGATCAATCCACTCCACAACCTTATCGGCAGGTATGAAGTCGATCCAAAGAGGCTTTCTGGTCTTCTCATCAGGCCAAATGCGGTCATGTAGAGCAGAGCGAACTCTTGATGCGGCAGAAACACTTGTGAAAGATGCGAACGCATGTGTTCGGATCGGATCGACGTAGAATCTGACAACGGCATCTGGGTCCACTTCACTGTCAGGAGGAGCAGCAAGGATCGCTAGATGTGCCTGGAACTGTGCGGGATTGATTGGACGCATCAAGCGGGAAATATAGAGACCTGATGTTGCCGGGTGCATAGCTGGAGTTATAATGCGATCTGGCTCTCCTTCGTAGGCAGAATCTCGAGATCTTGGCTTTGAACCTTGACTCTCACCAGAAAACAGCGTCTTGAATCGGGAGTCGCGTGCCCGAGATGGAGACTCGTCATATATCGCAGTAGCACTTTCTTCTTTGATGGGACCATCAACATCCATCTCATCTGTCTTGGCCTCATGGCGAACGTCTGCCACATGGTCCTTATCACCAGGGACATTTGCTACCACGACCATTTCCATAGAAGTGTCGACTATGGTTGGGCCAGGCTCGACACCCTCGCCATCAGGAGCTACCTCCATCGCCTCTGCATTCACTTCTGCAGCATCAACTCCATTGTGTTTCTCGACCCAGTCAGCATCACTTGTTGAGGTCGCAACTTTCTCATCCACCGTTTGGTCGGCATTGCTGATTCGGAGTCGCTTGTTCGCAGCATCTGCAGTAGACGGAGGAGGGCTTTGTGATCTGCGCTTTCGCTTCTGGCGATCTTCGATCGCTTCTTGAGGCTCGACAGATGGAAGTGCTGAAGTGTGTTTATCTTTAGACACAGGTTGCTGCGATGACTCGATCGTATGAGTTGGTTGAGTTTCGGTTGGAAGAGCTTCTCCGAGGCTGCGTTGTTCAGATGATTGCGAGGCTGTTGCTTGTTCGACTTCGTTTGTGAGTTGTGTAGCTTCGGCGGGTATGGATTCTGTGGCAGCTGGGAGAACGGGAGAGATATCTTCTGGAGAAATTGCGGAATCGACATCTAATTTCGAAGCATCGCCTTGCAGAGTTGCGTCGCTCTCAGATCCATTTCCATTCTCAGCTGCGTTCAATCTCTCGACCAAAGCAGCCTTTGCGCCGGCCTGGGGAAGACTGCGCTTCTTGAGCTCTGCTCGAAGGTCAACGACCTTGAGTTTGTTCCAGTCAGTCATTTTGATGGCAAAGTAAGCAACATTCGCAAGTGGGCATTGTCTGAAGGAGTGTGGGTTGCAAAGAGCAGCGGAGTTGTTGTCGTGGGGCTTGCTTTTCCATTGCAAACGTGAGCAAACAATTTCTCCAAACGCGTCACGTCTTGAAACTGTGGCCTCAATTTTGAGGTCTCAACGCCATCGGACCAGGCTTCCAGCCGAATTGAAGGTGAATTTCGACCATTGGCCTCAAGGTTTATTCACTTCATCAACGTTTTACAGATATCAGCACATACGACTGGTGCATATCAATACAGTATGACCTCAATTCACTTAAATTGTTTCGATTGATATTATATGAGATCATTTTCTTCATGATGGAGACTATTATTCTACATACTTCCGAATCAGAAGACGTCTAAGCAGGTCCTTCACTACACAGCATTTCTGTTTGTGCTGGAGCCCTGGTCAAAGGAGAAGCATTTCAATGTCCCCTCTTATGTGGAGTGGGTAGTCAGCCCTAACGAACATGGGGACAAAAGTCCGTGCGTTCAGGGCATCAGAATCATGAATTTTATTAATTAATTAGCTGTAGACCAGCCACATCGCTTAATTAAGTCGTGTACCCAGAAGTCCTGCTGCTCAATAAGCCCATTGATCCATTCCTGAGGAATTTTGTCCCATTCTTCTAATACTGCTACAACCATTTGAACCTCAGTTGTTGGCTGCCTTAGGCGCCTATGGAGAGCTTGTTTTATTCTCCTCCAGCACTTCTCAATAGGATTCATATCAGGGCTAACTGCAGGATGGGGGAATAGAGTAATACCCATAGAAGTACGCCAAGTAGCACAAATATTGCTAGTAGTCTTGTGGCCGTGAGCAGAGTTGCCGTCTTCCATGAACTAAGGGGTCTTCCCAGGCCCCAAAACAGCCGCAAAAGCAGCTAAAAAATCCTGAATATAAGGCTTGAGTACTTGAGCAAGGTAATCAGTTTGTGTAAATGCCCCACTCTTCCTAGTTCCATGAATGTTGATCAATGGACTTTTGTATCCGTAGCCTACAGCACCAAAGAAGTGTACAGGAATAGTGCCACCTCTATGCATTTGGAATTGAATGCAGTCAGGATGACAGCGTTCCTTCTTATTCCTAATACACCTCTGCTTGTATTTCTTCCCTCCAACTTGAAATGTGACCTCATCTGAGTACAGTATCTGACTCCATTCCCAAATAGTCCAAAACATGTGTGCTATCCCCCACAGCCACCGCGCATTGGCTTGGGTCTTAGTGAGGTAGGGCTTTTGGCAGCAGATACAAGAGTAGTATCCAGCTTCTTTGCAGCGGCGTTTGAGGGTCTTGACAGAGCAAGAGAGTTGCAATTCATCGTGTATTTGGATCCAATTCAGCACTCTAGTTGCATGGTCGGTGCAAATATACTCAATAATATCTCTAACCTCCTGTTCATTGAGGGATTCTCTGGGTCTCCCTGTGCGTGTAGGGCGCGCTCTTTCAGGCACATCGTATAGTAGGATCTTCCTAACTGTGCTGTCTCCTAGGTGGTAGTAGCCCTGGAGCTGTTGCAGGCCTATTTTAGCGAATTTGAAGAGCCGGCGTATGCCCTCTTTGTGCTTGGTTCTGATCTCTGCACCTGGGAGACGTGGAGACATAGGTGGAGTGGTAAAAGGATCCATAATGGTGGAGTTGTTGATAGTTTAGTCCTAATGTGAAGAGTTTTAATTTCGAGGTTCTACAGCCTGAACGCACGGACTTTTGTCCCCATGTTCGTAAGTTGTAGACCACAGACCTCCTGATGTCAGACCCTCTTGTTTGTCTCAACCCTTGGTATCCACTGATAAGGCTTCGGAGCAATGCAGCATATTTCGGTATGCTCGTTGCAATGTCTGATATCTCATGTGACAAAATCTTGATCCGGGTTCTGACGGCAAGCAATCACTGGTTTCCGAGACTAACGGTCTGGTAACCTTGCCAATACCCTCTACCTCGAAGTCTGCGCCTCTGGGTCGAAGTTGCGACTGTTTGCCTGGCTGGGTACGTTCGCAAGATTCGATTCTTCTCGAGAAACCTCAGAAGGGCGTGTGGGTGCTGTCAAGCTTGGCTTTCGTCTACCTTGCATACTTTGGGACTTCCCGAGGCTTGTGCTTGACCCGTTAGTTAGTTGCGACTCCTTTGCTGCGGAAGATTGAAGTCCTTGATCCCCGACAACACTGAATGCATCACTCTCTCTTTGTTGCTCTCGGAGCGGCTCTCCTGTTAGACCCTCAAGTATCGAAGCCAGTGCTTCGTTTCCACTATCCGACTTTGCTAGATTGTCTTTGTTCTCGGGCACAGAGAAGTTAGCAGGATGTAGGCGAGCTGCGTCTGCATCTTTGGCAGCCTTTTCTCTCGAAGCAGCAGCCACAGCGTCGGAAACAGTAACGCTATAAGTAGGATTGGTAGGATCTCCTAGTGGAGCTGCACCGCCTCCAGGCCCAAATATGGGAACTTTTCGAAGACCCAAGACGAGTGCACACATCAATTTTGAATGTCTGGCTGCGCGAACAGTCTCTACAGACCAATTCGACTACGGGGGTCAACAAAAGCATCAAACTATAGGAAATTGGAAAGATGTACCTTGTGCCGTACCTCCAACTGGATCTGCAATTTGTCCATGCTTCCAATCCCAACACAGCGGAAGACAGCATCTGGGTAAAAGTCCCTCTTGTTGTCTGAACAAGTTACGAAGTTCTCCATCTCAAGACGTAAAGCTTCAATATCTTCTAGAGAAGTGTCGAAAGAGATGTAAACTTCAAGCCGCTCTATCAAGCTATGCGCACGCGAAATGTTGTTGATCCACAAAGTATTGAGAATATTGTTTGGAATCTTCAAGATATTAGTTGAGTTCAGAAATTGATCAAGAATCTGCTTACTTGAATTACTTCCATGTCAGTGATTCGTCTGAAACTGCTGTACAGAAGCGAAATTTCTTCGACAACAAGTCTATTGATGCCATCTGGACCATAGATATCCACTCTATCGCTGATATCGTACGGATGCTTCACGAAAAGGAAAATACACGAACCGAAGAACTCGGCTGCTGTAGTTGAGAAGATGAATGAGAGGGAAATGAGGGTGGAGGAAGCTGTGGTAAGGATGGAATGAAAACCAGTATCCAGAAAAGAGACTGGATTCGAAGTGAGTATAATTTTCTCGGGGGTCACAAAGGAACTACTCACTCAGCGCGAAAACCGACAGAAGTAAGGCGACGGCAGACAATACGTTGTCCAAAGCTTTGATAGCTTGGCTTACATCGTGCATACACCTCGCAATGGCTTTCCTCTCCAAAGAAAGCTCTTCAACTTTCATAGAGATCTCGTCCAAACTAACGTCTCCATTGCCGTCAGGGTCAAGCATATCGAAGCATTCTTCTGCAACCTCATTCGAATCTGGTCCGAGGACTTCTTCCAGGTCACTTAGGTGCAACGTATCGTTACCCTCCATGACGAATGAATACCAGAGCCTCTGTGCCAAAGCCTTCGATGCCTTTGTTCTCTCTAGACATTCAATAATCATTGATTGACCTGATCTGGCTTGAAGGACTCGTTTCCCAGTGAGCTCAGCTGCGATATTTCCAAACACTGAATTAGCCGTGTTGCTAACTCGTCCAATGCCTTTGAATATACGCCGATGGTGGCCATGCGAGGTAGTATCCGGATCGATCTGGCCCCTCCTTCCTTTCCGGACATAGGCCTCGATAGTACTGTGGATGATATAATCTTCGTCCAAGAAATCCTTTCCATACATTGGAAACAGCGTCCTGGAAGCATCGAACAGCAGACCTAACAAGAACACAGCTCGTTTCGATGCACTGATTCTATTGTTAAACGAGCGAGCATGGTAGTTAACGCTAATCAGTTGAACGAACGTCTTCTCGATCGCAAAGATAATGGTCGACACCAAGATCGCCCCCAACACCTCTTTGAACTGTTTCGTCCAGCCTAGCGGAGTGTTGCCTGCAGATACCGTGCTGAAAAGCACTTCATACAGCACGAACGATACAATGATCCAACCGAGCACGGTAATCATCTGCTGCAGGTTCTCCAAAACTCTAGCATATTTCTTTGTCTCCGAACTCACCACGCCAGCAAGGTATCGAAACACCAACGGAATGATCCTAGCAACGAATTTCATACCCCAATACGAGAGCCACACAGCTTCGATCCAGGTGAAGAACCAAACGACACGGATTCCTCCGATCTTTGGGTCCTTCTTCGGGTCGCTGCTCACCTGCGTAGAGCTCACGATGACGGGGACCATGAGTATTAATGCCACGGGAATGATGTAGATAGAGTAGCGGGTCCCAGTTGAATAGGTAAGGATCTTTTCGTAGACCCTTCCGGCGTGGTTCAAGGGAGCTTCTTTGGAATCACCGTGGACGCTATTTGACATATCTTCTCGGCGACGACGACCAGCCGGCTTTGGAGACCCGGGCGTTCCATTTCGAGTGGTACTCGAAGGATGCGAGCGCTGTGATGCCATACTGGAGGGTCGTGGATTTCCATATTGTGCCGGAATAGCATGATGTTGAGAGGACGTCGTTCTCGCAGTTGGGACTTGCGTGAGCGGAAGTTCCGGGGGAATGTATCCTGACATCTTTCTTGCAAAAGATCACATCGAGAACAATTGTCTCGATATCTGAGCTGCGCAGCGAGCGACAAAGGGAAGAATTGCAAAGGAATGACGATATGCGAAAGTGAGGCTCAAACCGAAGTTCTCACGAGACTTACCTTTTTTCGAGCACTACTCAACGGATATTGCGTCAGTGGATGGAAATGTCTTCAGCTTTAGTATCGTCCGATCAGAGACGGTGTCTTGAGCCGCGTCGATGAAAATGAACGGTATTGGTGATCAATTTAGGGGCCGACAATAATACGAAGGCGGCTACTGAGCCGACTGCGGCTAACAGCAGATTTCTTGCTCCACATAAGACGCCCTTTCTAGTTTTCGGAAGAAAACACAAACGACGATCTTAAGAGACGCGGAGAATTCAACGATTCTCCTAAAGTTAAATACATTGGATGTCTGTGCAGCGTTATGGATATGTGCAGAGGAAATTATGAGTCAGTGTTATGACCTACTGAATCGCCGAGGCAGACCTTCCCCGCCCCTATCATCAAGCGAACGATTTGGTTGCCCCACTCTTCAACATGAAGCATCACAACCCCTTTTCTCGTTACGGACCAGTTCCTTATCTCTTGGAAATCGACATCAAAGCTTCCTTCTCCACTTCGGATCGAGTCGGCAACATGCCAGATCGTATTGATGCTTGATCCAAACATTCATCTGACGATTCCGCTCTGCCGAGCACTGAGGAGGTGTTCTTGCATCTTGAGACAGGGTGAAACGAGACAAGAAAGGTTATCCTGATCAACACCAAGATTTAAGATTTCGGCAACGGTTTCCAGTCTCCGTACACAATCTAACTCAGCTACCGGCCCTCGATTACATGGGAGGCCTCTTCCCCTCCGTACAGCAGACACATGCCAGAAATCCCATCGGAAGACCAAACAGCAGCCCCTTTCGTGCCGTCCCGGAACTCGAGTCGGTGCTATTATTCAAATAGCGAGGTGGAGGCAGTTTCGACGGCACGGCACGGCACACGTCTTTCGATACTTATCAGATATCTGGTTGCATGACTGAATCGCAGTACCTTGCTGCTAGATCTGGTAAAGGTCTACAGGGATTTGAGGCTCGGGTTTATGCTTTACTGGACCCTAGGCTTACTCCGCACGCATTTGGGAAACAAGAACGGTTTTGAGCAGCCATCATCCTGGATCTCCTTTCGGACCCTCTCTCTCTCTCCACCATTCAGCTGGAGATGCTCAGGTTCGGCTACATCCTAGATCTGTATCAAGGATGAGATCGCGATTCTTGAACTATATTTTCGGGCGACTATTGCTTGCAACTTTGGGGAGAGTTTGAGACGAGACGAGACGAGACTTTTACAACAAGGTTAAGTTGCGGTAAGTGTCGGCGTTGACCTCGGAGGCAATCGACAGGTTCACACGAAAGTCGTCCAGCCACGCCTCGGCAGCGTCCACCTTTCGGGAAGTTCAACCTCCCTTTGGCACGCGCTTGCTGCCGTACCTGCGGCCCAAACCTTCTAGAAGGTCTTGTAGAAGGGGGCGAACGAGTGCAAGACCGCACATCCTTATCTTGCCGGCAAATGATCTGCCCACTATTATCGGTTAGGGCAATAGTTTTGCCCGCTTGTGCACAATGGACGAATTGATGGCAGCGGGATGTTGCCTCAGCGGTCTTCCCAGTCGAGCCAGTAAGTAGAGTTCTGGTTGCGTGTTCCAGAGATGGATGGGATGGGTCTATGGTCATGGGTATGATTGGGTACAAAACAAAGTTCCTTTTGAGTTTAGATAGCGCAACGCGACTGACGACTGTCTGAGGCGAGGGACGGAAACTCAATCAAGGGATCTAGAGTGCCTGATGCACGGTGCGCTTTTCTGGGATGGGATGGGGATGCTCCGGATGTAAATTTATATGTCCTGTAGGTGGTCCGCATTTGTTGGTTTGTTCGTCTGTTGAACTGAACTTATGCGAATTCTTCCTTTTGGTATCCTTTCTTGTCATATGTTTTGTGATACTGTTGCCGTATAGGCGCCTTGGCGTGAGATTAAGAGACTTCAGTCCTGCTCGATAAGGAAGGATGTTGTCATTACTGGCAGAGAGTTGGACGTGGTATGCCTTTGCGACACTGGTTATTTGTGCCAGATAGTAAGTACCAAAATAGTGCCTGGTATCCACGGCCATTAACGCTTATCCAGTGCATCAAGATGGCTTCAACTGGGCTCATTAAAAGCTTTTGGACCTGAGGATTATGTTATGCTCTGGGTATTTGTAAGTCGATATCCAAAAATGGAATGAATTCTCTCTCATATTTGTTCAGGGCTTCTACACATCCCTCGTAGCTAACATGAATGTCGTCGCCCATCTCGATACGAATCTCATGCTACCAACAGATATTCCTACTCTCACTCCAGCTGGAATCGCTTCTCGTATCCATGGCTCGAAACTGGTACTTGTCGTGGAACAATCCATGATTATGACACAATGGGGATGCAAGATCTGTCTATTACTGCTATATAGCAAGTTGACATTCGGTTTAAAGCAACAGCTTGCTGTCAAGATTGTCGGTGGTTATGTGGTTGTCAACTTGATTGTTATGGAGATATTATACTTTGGAGTATGGTGCAGACCATTCGATCAGTATTGGGCTGTACCGGTTGCCAATGGTGAGTTCTTTTGGAGCATACTTGAGGCAATGACTTACAATGTACAGAACAATGTTCAGCAGCTATCCATCACTTGATCACAAATGCCGTGTTCAATATTTCCTCCGATATTATGATGCTTTGCATACCCATCCCACTACTCATCAAATCCCAACTCCCAAGAGCAAAGTACGTCTTCCCTCTACAACCCTTCTCCCCTCCAGCTAACAGCCTCTAGTAAAATAATACTCTGCGGCCTCTTCGGTCTAGGTATCTTCGTAGTAAGTTCTCAACTAAACCCTATACTATAGCTCCTTCAGCTAACAACCCCAGATTCTCTGCGCAGTCCTAAACAAATACTACTCTTTCGCCCACCCCTTCTCCCCCATGTGGGAATTCTGGTACATCCGTGAAGCCAGCACCGCCGTGCTCGTAGCAAACATGCCCATGTGGTCAGTACCCCTTACCTCCCTTGAATTTTGCCCACGCAACAGCCATCCCAAAGCAACACACACCTCCAAAGCGCCTCATCTAACACAACCCTTCTTCTAGCTGGTCCCTCATGCGCCGTATCTTCAATCTTCGTGCCTTCTCGGGCTTGTCGTCTTCGAATGGCCAGCGCTCGAAATCTCTGCCCATAGCGACGGTGTACAGTGGTGCGGTCTCGCGTGCGAGAGGCGGCGGGACGAAAGATGGGTCGAGGGTTATGGTGTCGAAGGTTGATCGGAATGAGACGAGTAATAGCTGGTGGGATCGAGAAGGGAGGATCAGTAGGAGTGAGAGCGAGGAGTATATCGTGGGCGGGATTGGGGAGGGGAAGAGGGGGAAGGATGTCCCGTTGGAGATTTGGGAGAGTAGGGAGGTGGATGTTGATGTTGATCGGGGGAGCGTGAGGGGGATTGGGGGTGGTAATGGGGCGGGTGGGGAGATGAGGACGAAGATGTATGATGGGAGTGGGAAGGAGTTTGAGAGTAGGACGGTGGTTACTGCGCAGAGTAGTCCGTTGGGGAGGAAGAGTGAGAGTGGGAGTCGGAGTAGTTGAGTGGGAGGTTATGATCCAATGTATAATATGACACGATACCATGGGTAGGTTGATTGCTAGGCTATTGGGAGGACTTATGATCTTTAGGTTGGTTTGGATATGTCTATTTAAAATGGCTTGGAATAAAGGAGTAACAGCACTACAACGAAGAGCAACGCAACAAAATTGTATTCTACATACAAAACTACGTTCAAGATTACGTGAAACTGTTTCCCAACCTCAACCACAAAAAAAAGGAGGCCGAAAGGAGAGTGAGTGAGATCACGTGCAATCTTAACCTCGGCCAAAAAAGCTCCGAACGAGGGGAGCCGAAATATCAGCATCATTGCTCAAGCTTCATCACGAACACTCCGTACACATACAGCTATGTCTGCACTTCGAATACTCGTGCCTGTGAAGCGGGTTATCGACTATGCAGTACGTACTCTGTACCTCCCAAATCCAAGTCCCAATTGCAACTCTTCCCCTCTGCACATGTCAAATCCCCCTTCAAACTAAGCTCCCAACCTCTACAAAACAAACCTCAAACTAACAAACACCCCCAACAGGTCAAACCCCGCGTGAACAAAGCCCAAACAGCCGTCGAAACAGCCGGCGTAAAACACAGCATGAACCCCTTCGACGAGCTCTCCATCGAAGAATCGGTACGGATCCGCGAAAAGAAATCCTTCCCAGGCGGCGTAGACAGCATCATCGCCTTCAGCTGCGGGCCCCCCAAGTCCTCCGACGTATTACGAACCGCGATGGCCATGGGCGCGGACCGCAGCATCCACGTCGAAACTAAAGACGGGGAGGAGATCGAGCCGCTGGGCATCGCGAAGCTGCTGAAGGCGGTGGTGGAGCGGGAGAATATCAACATGGTGCTGTGTGGCAAGCAGTCGATTGACGACGACGCGGGGCAGACGGGGCAGATGCTGGCGGGGTTGTTGGGGTGGGCGCAGGCGACGCAGGCGAGTAAGGTGGGGTTTGAGGGCGAGAGGGGGGTGGTTGTTGAGAAGGAGGTGGATGGGGGGACGGAGACGGTGAAGAGTGAGTTGCCGGTGGTTATTACGACGGATTTGAGGTTGAATGAGCCGCGGTATGCGAGTCTGCCGAATATTATGAAGGCGAAGAAGAAGAAGATTGATAAGGTGACGGCGGAGGAGTTGGGGGTTGATTTGAAGAGGAGGTTGAAGACTATTAAGGTTATTGGTGAGTTATTCACACGAATTGCGGGCTGTTTTCTGTATAGCCTTTCGTCTGCTAATACATCACAGAGCCTCCACCTAGACAAGGTGGTGGAAAGGTTGAGGATGTAGATGGCATGATTGCCAAGCTTAAAGAGCTTGGTGCGATTTAGACGACTACATTGTACAGTACGAAAGATAAGAGTGTACATATGGCTTGCAATGGTTCCTGGTCCCATTTGATACTTGGTGTTCACCTCTAGTCAGATCCACATCCGGAACTCGATTGAAGAATAGCTCTGTAAGTATCTGTCCGAATCTTTTGGCAAAACTGTAGCTCGAAACACAATGATGCACTGGCATTTGGAAGCCATTGACTACCTAGGTACTGCATGCCCTTTGCTACTGCGCAATACTTATCTCACTATTCTTCAAACGTATCGTTCTTGGGATTGAGAACATTCTGCTCTTGGTCGGACAAGGAAATTGTCTCCGAACGACTTCATTCGTTGCTAGGTTAGTTGGCCACTGAATGGCAGCTTCCCAACATGCCATTATTGTGGAATATCAGTACACAAACACCTATGTCACTCTCGTTTATTCAATAGGAAGCGGTTCAGCAAGCCATCGCGGGTATACTCGGACTCGCAGCATGGGATAGCATTTGGATGTCGAGGGACCTGATAGGCATTGGCTATTTTCCCTTGCTCCATGCACAGTTCCCCTCTTCAAAAGGCTGAAACCACGCAATCCACAAGGTATCCATCGTCAGACTTTGATCTGATAGCTCTGCAGCTAAACCCACCTCGATATGTTCGTCATAGAAACAGCATAGAATGGATCACTATGCGGGACAGCCCGTAGGTCCCAGAAAGCTATGTTAGGACAGCCTCTATGTGCTTCGAGAACAATCCAAGTTCAACCTTGCAAAAGTCTTCGATTACTGCTGAACACATGTCACTCAGATAATCGTGCAATAAACCTCCACCACAATTTGATCGGAAGACTACCCCGCTATACCTTGTCCCAGTCACACGTGCCGGTGTCGTCAGAGAGTCAGCCAGGCACGCAAAATTCTCAAGCTGCATGTACATATCAGAATCTTCATCGTGCTAATATTCCATGAATAAATTGGTCCGCACTAGACCTATTGAGGCTTACTTTGAGATTTTGGGCATCCAGCTGAGCCTTTCACCATCGTTGTTTGGCCACATTCGTCACCCTTTGGCTGCAACAAAGAGGGCCGAAATCGCTTAAGCGATAAATTTTGATTTTTTGCAGCTCGCAGTTTTCGCTGCCCTAACCTTACTCACTTTCTTTGGAGCCGCCAATCACCGGCCGCGCGACCATCGCCAATTCCAGCTCACTGATTGCACCTTTTCCCGCAAGCATCCACTTTTCCTCCACCACCAAACCCAAAACTCATCCGTCCCACCTCACACCTACCAGACTTTGCATTTGAACAAAACTTCCTCACCTACCCTCAAATATCTGAACGCAGGAACAGTTGCGCGTATGAGTGGGCGCCCGTCAGTCTTCACGTCCCAGGTATGTATCAATTGCTCTTTCAAAAGCTTGCTCCCTGAGTCATGGTGGAGTGGAATGGAATGGGATTTCTTATCAGTGTGGTGATCTCCCGAAATTGTCGTCACTGGGAAGATACCTCCAGCACGACCTCCTCGATTTCTCCTGTTCTGCCATGCTGTACTGCTTTTCTGCTATGGAATAGTATCACTGACCTCCAATAGGATTATATTTCAGGTTCGCACGAAGAGTTCTCCCCCGAGTCGCTCACCGCCAATGCTAACCACTTCACCTCGCAGATCACATCTGGAAAGCTTCAGTGAACTGAAAAAGTTGACTCACCTCACTACCATCTATCTTCCGGAACTATACACAACATGTTTTCTCGATTTGTAAAGCCTGCGGCCTTCAAGCCGGCAGGTGGGATCTATAACCGTCTTGCGCAGCAAGCTCGATTTCTGGCTACCGTGGAGGGAAGTGTTGGCCGTGCTATGCCAGCTACTCGACCAAGGGCTACTCCAATCTCTCATGACCGAGCTACGTTTACAATCAGGGTAGGGAACCATATTTTGGAGTAGAAGAGCTCTTGCTGACTCTTTGTAGGATGGACCAGTTTTCCACGGCAAGTCCTTTGGTGCCAAGTCCAACATCTCTGGTGAAGCTGTCTTCACTACCTCTCTCGTCGGATATCCCGAATCTATGACCGACCCTTCATACCGTGGACAAATCCTCGTTTTCACCCAACCTCTCATCGGCAACTATGGTGTTCCTTCCTCCGCTCGAGACGAACACGGCCTGCTGAAATACTTCGAGTCTCCGAACATTCAGTGTGTTGGTGTTGTGGTTGCAGACTACGCTGAGAAGTATAGTCATTGGACTGCTGTTGAGAGCTTGAGCGATTGGTGTGCTCGTGAGGGTGTTCCAGCTATCTCGGGTGTCGATACTCGTGCTATTGTCACCTACTTGCGAGAAGTTGGATCCTCCCTTGCTAGAATCACAATTGGAGAGGAATATGATGCCGATCAGGATGAGGCTTTCATCGACCCTGAGCAGATCAACTTGGTCAAGAAAGTCAGCACAAAGGCGCCCTTCCACGTCAGCTCTCACAATGGCGATATGCACGTTGCTGTTATCGATTGTGGTGTTAAGGAGAACATCTTGAGAAGCTTGGTTGGTCGTGGAGCCAGTGCTACTGTCTTCCCATATGACTTCCCAATCCACAAGGTTGCTCATCACTTTGATGGTGTCTTCATCTCCAACGGACCTGGTGATCCAACTCATTGTCAAGAGACTGTTTACCACTTGACCCGTCTCATGGAGACCTCCCAAGTCCCTGTCATGGGTATCTGTCTTGGACATCAATTGCTTGCTCTTGCTGCTGGTGCCCGAACCATCAAGCTCAAGTACGGAAATCGTGCTCACAACATCCCTGCCTTGGACTTGACCACCGGCCAATGCCACATCACCAGTCAAAACCATGGTTATGCTGTTGACACTCCAACCTTGCCTGCAGACTTCAAGGAGTACTTTGTCAACTTGAATGATGGCTCCAACGAGGGTCAGTTTTCTGATAATCCATAAATTACATTTGCTAACGAAACTAGGCATGATCCACAAGACCCGCCCAATTTTCTCCACCCAATTCCATCCCGAAGCCAAAGGTGGCCCAATGGATTCTTCTTACCTCTTCGACATGTATATTGAGAACGTTCAACGCTACAAGAAGAACCAAGCCGTCTACCCAGCCGGTGTAGGAAAGGACAACCGCCCCTCACCCCTTTTAGTCGATATCTTGAGCAAGGAGCGTGTTGGCGTTGCTCCTGCTCAGTCTGTTGAGAACTTGGCTCAAGCTGCCGCTGTTCAACAGGCTGCTGCTGCTTAGATTGACACTTCGGAAGGAAGGATATATGGGTGCGTTGGCGTTATATTGCATGGGTTCCTTTTTCGAGCACTTTTGTTTGGGATGGGCGAGGTGCAAAAGTCTTTTGATCTGAGGCTTTCAAATTGAATATATTGATCACCAAATAATAGTCCTTGATACGTGTGTGCTCTGCAATATTGGCATTTTACTGAAATTGGCCTAGTGGCCGTATCCATTATCACCTGTTGATGCATGCCGGAACAAGACCTATATAAAATTGATCTAAATTCTCAACTTTCTAATGCCCTACCTGCATCCAACATTTCCACTACTTCTCGGTTTCATGGTTAATGAGATAAATTAGCTCTCCTTTGTCGGACCTTGCCGTACAGCACGTTGCCGGGCATGCCAGCCTTTCTGTAGCGATGAATCTCTTTTAAGGCAAGAGAACCAAGCTTCTTTTTCTTCTTTGCATATTCTAGGTTCAATAGTTTATGAATAGTGGATTATACTGAAGACTTGAAAGATGGTTCGAATCTAGTCGTTTGCTTTAGGAACGTGTCTTTGGGATCCAACTTCTCGAGTTGGATGGGATGGAGCTACGAGGAAGTGTTCCTTTGTCCCAAGTATGGTCAAGTTCTAATAGGCACGACGCAAATGTGACATTTCAACCTGCAAGGCAGAGTGTTTTGGTACATAAAGTCTGATTACTAGCTTCAGATACTGCACTCCAGCAGTCAAAAGTTATGACGAGATCGTACCTTTCACTAGAATTCCGTGCCTCTATGAATAAGGTGCCTCGTGTTTCGCGTGAAGATCACACATGATTCATCCCCAACCAGCTCTTGAATCATGACTATTCAATACCCTCGATAACCTCTTTTATCATTTTTGTCGGAAAAGCAAGACTCGTCAAAGCAAACCAACAAAAGCGATATCTCGAGTAAGATGGACAACATCATGACTTCGTCGCTGTTGAAGAGGACATCAGGTGCACCTAGTAGCGAGGGCTTCCTGTTCACACTGTTGGTGGTGTCGGTTGTTGCTGTGGTGTTTGCGAGTTTGATAGCTTGGCCGGAAAATGCGTGGGTTGGGATTAGGGACGAGGATGAGAGTGAGTGTGAGAAGGTTACTTGATCTTATGGGGGGAAGAATTGGGGAGTATGAATCGGATGGTGTTTGTGTTTGGCTAGTGGCAATTTGAGTATTGGAATCGATGTAAGTGATTGCCCTTCGGTTAGTGTACCAAGCTGAGGCAAGTGTAAGCTACATACTTCACAGGTTGGAAAGGTGTCGTTATATCGAGCTCGACCGACCAAAATCCTAAGTGGTGCACAAGAGACTTCCGAGGGACGAACAAGTGGTTGAAAACTAGCAAACGGATCAACGCGAAAGAGTTCTAGACAGATGTTCTACAATACTTCAGTACTTTGGAACATTCTACGTCATATTCGAACATTATCAGTTCAACGGCACATTATGGCTTTTGTCATCTTGCCGTTGCCGGCCCGTCAGCATCCATACATGAGAATTCGTTGAGCCGCTGCCGCTCCGTTACCCATCTCATCGGGCCGCTCTCGGGTTGCAAATCCAGCATCAACCAATACTTTCCATTACTTCGTAAAGTCAACCCTTCCTTATAGACGATCATTGACTCATTGCTAGAACTAACATTAGCCACGCCGAATATAAAGACCACATTGCCAAGAAACATCAACTGGCACCTTAGACCTTTCCAAAAATTAATCTCAAACACAAAGAAGAAAAAATGGAACCAAAAATCCCCGCTCCTCCCTACGACGAAGAACTAGCTAAAACCCTCTCAACCCTCAACTTCCCCGTCACAATAACACCAGACCTCATCCCCGCCATCCGCGCCCGCCCACCACCAACCCTGTCCTCCCTCCTAGCCCCCCACCCAACAATAACCCACACCTCCCTCTCAATCCCCGGCCCCCTAGGCCCCATCCCACTCTCTCTCTTCCGCTCCTCCTCCCCCTCCTCCAATTCCAATTCCCAACCGCACCCCACAATCCTCTGGTTCCACGGCGGCGGTTTCTTCTCCGGGCACCCCTTCACCGGCCTCTCAAACCTCCTCCCCTTCACCACCACCCACAACGCCCTCATCGCCACCCCCACCTACCGCCTCGCCCCCGAATTCCCCGACCCAGCCCCGCTCAACGACTGCTACGCCGCGCTCCTGTACCTCTCTTCCCATCCCCTCATCAACCCCCACAAGATAATGCTCGCAGGATCCTCCGCAGGCGCCGGCCTCGCGGCCGGCGTCGCGCTGTTTGCGCGCGATCATGCGGGGCCAAAGATCGAGGCGCTGATGCTGCAGGCGCCGATGTTGGATGATAGGTTAAAGACGGCGAGTTCGTGGCAGTTTGTCGATAGTGGGACGTTTTCGCGGGGGTCGGCTGAGATGGGGTGGGGGGCTTTGCTGGGTGAGAGGAGGGGAGCGGAGGGAGAGGGGGTGGTGAGTGGGTATGCGGCGCCCGGGAGGGAGGGGGAGTTGGGGGGGTTGCCGGAGGTTTTTTGTGAGGTGGGGAGTGCGGAGGTTTTTAGGGATGAGGGTAAGAATGCTTGTTGCTTGTTGTTTGCTTGCTGAGGCTTTGTTTGAGGAGTTGAAACGAAATAATGTGTGCAGGCTGACTTTTCGATAGTGGTGCAGTTTGTGGATCGAATCTGGAGGGCGGGCGGGAAGGCCGAGTTGCATGTTTGGGCGGGGGCGTTTCATAGGTGGCAGGCTTTTGCTCCGGAGGCGAGGGTGAGTGTTGAGGCTGATGGGGTGAGGGGGAGGTGGATTGGGATGGTGTTGGGGAGGTGAGTTTGGATACGGGGTGATTGGGCTGGGTGTGAATAGAAATAGTAAGAAAGTGAGGATATTGTTCCAGTGTTTGTAGGACAATGCAAGTTAATTCAGTCACATGTGACTACCACAGAACTGAGATTTGAAGAACGAAGTGATGTGAGAGAGATCTAAATCCCTCCCCAAGCTCGCCCCCTGTCTGAATGCACCTTCTTTTCCCAAGTAGCCTCCTTTTAGGGCAGCATGATCTTGAATTTTCAAGATAATATATCGTATACAAGCGGGACGAAAGTTCCGAGATCGTGTACCAGTGAATGACATGCTCTAGATTTCAGAGTAGTAGGTGCAGAGTCCAGAAGTAAGTATAAATTCCACCTGCGGCCGCTTCCCCAAAACTTCTACAGCACATTTTGCTGAACCTACGACACCGTTAGTGGTGACTGGGTAGCATCATGTGATTGGGTCTCCAGGTTGCAGATTAACGTAATGATCCTTGTTTTGATGTCTCTTGCAAAGTGTTCATGGACTTTATATTATTTTGGCTATGTATCGCGTGTGCGTTGTCAACGATAAGTTTATTGTCAACTATTGCCAGCTGTTGCAAAAGAATCAAAGACTTGTGATGAAAGTACTGGAATCAGATGCACAACGTTTTTGAGAGCTTTGCACGAGCGAAACTTGTACAAAGTACCCCACTATAATTTTCCCAGCAACAGGAATTATGGAAGCTGTACAGTGTGTGTATCCTCACAATGAGATTCTTGCTATGTTATTTTTGAGGATTTTAACTGTACCTCAGATCCTAAGACGTTTACAAAGCTAGGCAAAGAATTGGGGTGGTATATCGTACCGTAGAACGAGCGAGTGGCGAGAAAGTAGTTCAATACATGCCCTTGACAGCCGAATTGAGGAGAAGGATTACATATTTGTGCATACAAAGATTCCTTTTCTTTCGGAGGAAATCCAAACCAAGTATGCAACAGAGAAAGGGCGAAACAACAGGCTTTATGCTACCGTACCATTCATCGCTGCTGCTCGAATTGCAGGGAAGTTCTGTGGGTACATTAGTGAAATCCATACATCAGTCGTATTATCCACAACGAAACTTACGGGAGTTCCAAAGCCTGTCACGGCATCCCAACCAGTCTGTGCCGGAAAGCCCGTAGTGTTACAACCAAGAGCCGATCCGCTCCTGACGTCTGTAAATGCCTTGAAGCCAACAGAATACAACCAAGGATTCATGAACCCGAGCACGGGTTTGCCGGCTGCTATCAATGCATCATTGACAAGTGCGATGACGGAAGCTGCTGTCGGTGTCGCAGCACTATTTATACACATTAATGAACAGCTCTTGGATGAACAGACGAAGCGGGTACTTTACCTAGTTCCAGATACAGCACGAATAGTACCATTCCAAACTATGAGGAATTGGAAAGCTTGCGCAGCAATGTCTGGATACGCCCGTCCAGAAGAATTATAAAGCGTTTGAAACTTAGTCCCCATACTCTTCACATAAGCAGGGACGACATCATCTTGATACGTTGGTCGACCAAAATAATTACTGAAACCGCCACCAGAAGCGAAGCTGCCGTCTGTGCTGGCAGCTACAATTTCAGGGTTCACGTTCTTCGTTCCGCCCACTACCGTCACGTATGGCTAGAAGTTCTCAGTGGTTGTCTATAGTAGGAGAACGAAACTTACACACGAAGCAGGAAATTCTGGTAAAAAGGCGCTGGTGTTCTTTCCATCATTGGTAAAGCACAACCCCTGCGGACCAACTCCATCATCTCCACTAGCAGAAAGGACAGTGACTCCCCTTGCTCCCATTTGCAGACAGCATTGGCATATGATAGTGGCATAGTCTGCTCATCATCTCCATAAGGATATATCGCACAACAGATGCCCGCATCTTGGTCTTGGCGTCAATTATTGAAAAGAATCGGCTCCAGCATTATCTTAGGGACTATATGGATCTTATTTGGGTGGTTTTGAGATCGACCACAACCAAAAAAAAGCATATCAATTGAACTCACAGCAAGTATCCAGCAGGGCTTGCGAAGACCTCAGATGAAAAGCTTACAGGGCCTCCAGACTTCAGCGGACATAAACTTCGAGCAATTGTTTGAAGGAGACTTGCCGAAAGGGTAGATTCTCATGGGTATCGCTGGTGGGATTTGGTAGGGTTGCGGACGCTAATGATATGCTTTCTTTGAGTGTCGCGGTTGTCCGAGTCTCGTTTCGTTTCGCCCTCTGATATTCTTTCGCCCTGATATTAGTGAAAATGCAAGCTTGTGAATCGAGCAGAAATAAATGGCAATTGTGTCCACGGAGGGAAGTGAAAATCTACACGATTGCGGAGACGCACACGTCAATGGGGTTAAGATAGTTCAGATGACGTCGGGAACATCTTCAAGTCGGACAAAGAACAAAGGATTTGAAATGAAGAAGCTTTTGTTGGAAATCCTCTATTTCAATATTCCTAGAATTCAATCTGGATATCACGTACATCGCTGCTGAGGTGAGATGGACGCCATCGCTGCTGCAAGAGATTTCCTCCTCCGACAACATGAACTAGTCGCAAAGTATATTACTCACCTTACAATTGAAAATGCAGGAACATGGTTGGTAAAGTCTTAACTAGGCATCGTCGAATAAAGTTCGGAACGTCAAAGCACGAAAGGCAGACGGACAATGTGGCACAAGTTCCGAAAGTCAAAACCCGAACCCGAGTCTTCTGGATTCCGGAATCTGGAGACTTCTTACGGAAGAGTACTAGCAACATATGCTTTGTAGCTAGACACCACGGATATAGTTTTTGATGTATGGGCGTAGGTTCATTGTGTAAACAAAGCCAGAAGTCCCCAGATTGGCGCGAGAATGCACTCGCATTTTGGTATCCGAAAGAGGTAGATTGTATGACAGGTCGTTGAATCTCATGTAGTCAACTCGATGTGGCAGGAAAAATCAACGAACGGGCGATGAATCTAATCATTTTTAGTCTATTCTTTCAATTCGGGAAATGCATGCAATTTTTTCGAAGTTCCTACTTCCTATCTTCCATAATTATCTTCTCCAACTCATCCTTTTCCCCACTCTGTGCCACCATTCCCTTAAAGAGACCATCTTCCTTCTCTAGCAGCTCTTTCGGGCTGCCAAATTCAGCATTCACACCATCCTTCAGAACCAAAATCCTGTCAAAGTCGGCTATGGTACTTAGCCTATGCGCGATTACCAACAAAGTGGTATTAGAAAACTCATCGCGTATGGAGCGTTGAATCAACAGATCAGTCGACATATCAACAGCTGATGTTGCCTCATCGAGTAGAAGAACTTTTGGACGGGAGAGAATTGCTCGTGCGAGGCACAGTAGCTGCTTCTGACCTTGTGAAAGATTGGTTCCTCCGGATGCAATAGGCGCTGTCAGAGAAAGGAATATGTTTCTGTTTTCGGCTGGTTGGAGGAACGCGGTCGTGGAACTTGCAGTTGATGAGTCTGGTAGAGTTGCTTCGGGAACAGGGGTATGAGTATATGATGGAATCAAGTGGACGCGCATCAAGGCTTCTCTGAGTTGGTAATCGCTGAACTCGTTGAAAGGATCCAGGTTTGATCGAATGGTTCCTGAGAATAGGACAGGATCTTGGGGGATAATTGCTAGTCGGGTGCGTAAGTCGTGAAGTCTGATCCTGGAGATATCAATGCCGTCGATTACGATACTACCCTTGCGGGCTTGGAGGAAGCGGAATAAAGCTAAAGATAGAGTTGATTTGCCTAGTGGAAGTCAGCATGGTGTCGATACTGCTCTATTCAAATAAAAGCAAGTATGGTTGATGGATTGGCAGCAATTGTCACATGAAAACTTACCTGCTCCCGTCCTTCCAATGACACCGATCCTCTGGTTCTTCTCTGCGGTGAAACTCAATCCCTTCAAAATCGATGGTAGTCCTTCAGCGTACCCAAGTTCTAAATCTTTGACTTCTACCCTACCCTCCTCAGGCCAGCTAGCAGGTATATTGTCGCCGTCTTGATCCTCAATCGTTATGTCTCGGTACTCGAACACGCGTTCTGCCGCATTCATGTCGAGTTCTAGCTGAGTAGAAATTCTGATAGCCCAGCTGACCGAATGGCCAAAACTCAGGGCAAATGATAAAGCAAATCCAGCTAGACTGGCATCAATGCCCTTCTTGGTGATGACGAAGATAGAAACAGCGGTAGCGAAAAAAGAGGCTGTGATACCGATGCGTACCATAAGCCAGCTTCGAAAGAGATTATTGTACCAAGAAGAAGCTGCGTATGTATCAATCAACGCAAACATCCGATTCTTGAAATCAGAAGATTTGGCAAATGCCCTGATTGTCGATAAACCACTCAAAGACGCTGCAAAATGCGATATCACAGGTGATTTGTTTACTGAATCTAATCTTTTTACGTTGCGTGCTGCGGTGAGGTAGCTCCTGGTGAATAACGTGCAAGCTGCTAATAGAGCTGCTGCACAAATAATCATGAATGGAGAAACAAAAGTAGCAGCTACTAAAATCCCAGTGATGTCGGTGGATATTGCGGCGAAATAGTAGAAGGTTTGAGCAAGGGATGAATCGATACTAGTAAAGTCTGCGGTGAACCGATTCAAGATCCTTCCGGTAGGTACCGTATCAAGCCATCGAAGAGGTGCTCGAAGAACACTGTACAGGACACTCTTGAAGATGAGGCGAGATGCTCGAATAGAGCCAGAGTAAACGAGATAGAGGCGACTGATAGAGAACACAACCGATATTGTGGATATCAAACAGTATACTCCGAGGTAGAACCATAGGTTGCGGTTTTGAGTTTCAATCGGAAAGCTTGCGGAGACCATAGTGGAATTGATGGTGCTCCCAAAGTCTGTGGGACTGATTGGAATCTGGCCAGAAAACCGTGGCTGGATGGTATGTCGAAAGTGAGAGGCGGCAAAAGAAAATGCTGCTTCGCTCTGCCCCTTTCCGTAATCACTTGCCCATATCCTGATCCAATAAGTGCGACCTAAGGTGAAGCCTTCGGCTACGGCATACAGACCGACAACCAATGACCAGAAAGCCCATCCTCCGGAAGCGTGAAGATATCCAGCGTAGACCGAGGTTTTGACTCGGCCAGTCTCTCTTTGCTCTTCCTCAATCAGTTTCTTAGGCGTTGCCTTCACTGCGACTGCAGCATCCGCGGACGGGATTGCGGTCGCACCATTGCTCTCTTCTGCGCGAAGCACCTCATCTTCCTCCCCGTATTTTGGTTCCGTAGTGTCATCAGCCTGAAGCATTCCGTCCAGAATCCCCTCCTTCCGAAGGTCTTCTGTTAAGCCAGCATGCTCAAGAACCCCACTACCTGAGAGGCGGACGGCGTACTTTGCACGTGGCAAACATAGTGAGGTGTGGTGAGTAGCTAAAACTATGGTTCTTCCTTCGGCTAGTTCGCCCAAAATTGCATGCTCGTAAATATACTTGCCAACGTGGGAATCAAGAGCACTGAAGACGTCGTCTAGAATCATGATACCTGCCCTCGAGTAAAATGCTCTGGCTAATGTCAGTCGCCACTTTTGGCCTCCACTAAGACTGATTCCTTGCGCCCCAACTTCGGTTTCGTCACCATCCTCGAACATAGCAAGGTCCTGTGTCAAAGCACAGGCTTCCACTACTTTTTCATATCGAACAGGATCGAATGGGAGACCGAAGAGGATGTTGTCTTTGATTGTAGCGTTCTCGATCCATGGCGTTTGGGAGACGAAGGAGATAGCAGTCGGAATGATCCAATCGACTGGAGTGGCTTTAGAATCGTAGTGCTCACCGGAAGACTTTGGGACTTGTATAGAACCAGACAACAACTTGATCTCTCCTAGAATCGCTGCAAGCAGCAGAGACTTGCCAGATCCTGTAGGCCCCGAGATAACGCTCAGAGCATTATTGGGGAATTGCAAGTTTAGTTCCCTCAGGGCGAACGGATCAGCCATTGGATCTGTACCGTCGTGGGGAAAGCTGATCGATGCATTGTAGAAAGATATGGATTCTCCTGGTGAGGTATTTTCTGGCTTTTCTGGCAAACGAAGAAAGTTCTGAATTCTATCGCAGCTGACTTTGGCGTTGATTGCGGTGACTAATAAGAATGGGATATGGGATACGAGGCCATCAAGCTGGAGGAACAAGCTGATAGCTGTAAACGCAACTGATGGTAGCAGGTTTCCATGGACCCAGGAATACGTTGCCAAGGACAGGGCAGTAAGCACAACAGGAGTGAACTCTGAAGCAATGGACATGTAAAGGTTGTCGATGCGAGTTTGCCAAAGTGTGGACAATTCCTCTTCGCGTACTGATCCGAGCTTTTCAGCCCACTGACTTTCAGCTGCGGAGAACTTAATCTGCCGAATCCCATGGAGTACCTCCGTAGTGATGGTAGTCCTCTTATCTCGAATTTCCATCAAGATCTTTTGCTTCTTGCCATATCGCTCTGCAAGAACTTTGTTGAAAGGAAAGAGCATTGCGATGCCTAGCATTCCTGCACATAAACTTTGCCAGCCGATAAGAAGCAGCAAGAACACAACGGTGACAATCAGCTTGCCAGCAGAGTTGACATACTCAGTATTCTGTTCACCGAAGGTGGCGATTGCATTGCAGTCGACTGCAAACATGTTGACAATCCCTGATTGAGATGTCACTCGATGTTTTTTGTCTGGCTCTTGTCCCTCTTCGGTCTTGGTATCTTCTACCTTCGATGATTCCTGGTACTACTGTTAGCTTGCCTTTTTGTGATCATCAAGGAACAAAATCTTATTTCTTATGACCATTCATAATGGTGCTCTCTAGAGCTCGATTTGAGGTCTTGAGCATGTGAAGAAACGTTGAACTTACTTCTTCAGGAGGCTCGCTTGAGTCATTGATCTTCAGCACTTTTGAATACATGAGCCCGGTAAGAATTGATCGAAGGGGAATAACGATGTCTATGTCACAATTCTTCAGCATATGCACACAGATTATGACGCTGACTTACCAGATCTTCCCCACCACATAATCCTCGAATCGACTATATGCGAACTGATAGCAGCAACAGAGATCCCCACAACATATTTCCATGCCCCAGGCTCCATGGCATTCGGATCTGTTCTCGTTTCGAGATATTGAAGTAGCTGTAGAGTCGCGAATGCAGGAGCCACATCGAAAAAGTTGGAAAAGAGTATAGACAGCCATTGTAATATAAATTGCCGTCTAAGAACCCAAAATATTTGTATCCAAAGCGGCATAGTGTCTTTGATGGCAATGTTCTTGAATCTCTCTGTGGCATTTTCAGACCTCGTAGCGTGGTCCATAGCTGGTAAATCCGAGTTTCCGAATTTGTCTCTGTTGGCCGCGGCAAGCGTGTCAACGCACCACTGGAAGCTGTATTTGAACCAAAGAGCTACATTCCTTTGTTGGTCAACGACTTTCCCATCTGGGCGGAAGACAACTGGACGACGTTTGATGGACGCTATTGTCGCTACCAGGCTCAGAATTGAAGCCATCTGAAGGCTTGTGATGATAGTAGCAACGACACTCGCATCGTCCAGAAGAGATATCCAAGCTATTCCAACAAGAAGGAAACATGATGCCAATTTGGAGATTGCGGATTTGAATCGCGCGACTGGAGCTCGCTTTAGGGAGGCATCGATGAGTTGTAATAGCAGAAGTGCCTGCAATATGTCAATTAGTATGTAATATCATTTGAAGTCATAGAGTACTGAGGTCTAACCCAGGCGGGGACAAGCAGGAAAATTCCGAGGTGATGATGATTGCTGCCTGCGGTCCTGGTTTTTTGGTTAATGGCGGTGTAGATAGTGTCTGCAATGGATAGTCCAAATCCAATCACGGCAAGCACGAAAATGAAGATGAACTGGAGTTTATTGGAGAATTCATTTGTCGATTCTGTGCTTGCGACTCCGTCTTCATCGGAGTAAAGTTCTTGATGGTGATTAGGATTCTTATTAATGCGCCAGCCTTTCGCTAGAGACCGTAATGAGGGGATAGTAAACACAAAGATGAAGGCAATCAGAGCAATGGCAATATTGTCCAATAGAAGTGCCAAAAGCATCATGGATCCAATGTGGATTATTGTCTGAACATGCAGACGCGGTATCGGATTGTTGAGATTCTTAAGAGGTGAAGTATGAAAGGTGGGTTGCAATCTTTCTCCAGTTTTTAAGCGACCGGCAAGCTTTAATAGGCAGGTGCACTAGAGCTACGCCGGCGTGAGTCAGCGAGGGTCGAGTGTCGTACAGTAGGTATCGAAGGAATAAAGATGGACTGTGTTAGATTGTTGTCGTTCTTCGATCCTGTAGAAAAAGACTTTTTCCAACGTTCTTTTACCGCACACTCCGTAGAGTCCAGTTGAATCAAGGGGCTTCGCTACGATCACGTGACAGATAGTAAGATCTTACATACTCAGGTATCTAGATACTTTGTGAATATGGCAGGCTTATCTACATTGATCCATTCATAGGGATCTGGTGTAGAGACACCTTGATATGAATCGAAACTTGAATTTAGTAAAAGGCCGGATCGAGTCATGAGGAAGTGGATTTTGTCCTACGGAAGCTAAATCATGGTGCCCGAGCATCATTTCCCACATAAACCATTTCTGCCATCAGTATACACAATACATACCACAACCTCATCAGAATCATGTTCTCGATACAGATTGCATCCGACCTTCATCTCGAAGCTCCCAAGAGCTACGATCTTTTCAACATCATCCCCAAAGCCCCATGCCTTGCGCTGATTGGCGATATTGGATGTATAAAGGATCGGGAATACCTGACTTTCTTGGAGAAGCAACTACGCAATTTCAAAATCGTCTTCCTGATTCTTGGTAATCATGAACCTTATCACAGTGACTGGGAATCGACAAAGCGAAAGCTGAAGCAATTCGAAAGGGACATTGGGACGAAACATCAAAAAGAAAACCTTGGATCACTCATCTTCATGGACCAAACTCGATACAACATATCTCCCAACATCACCGTCTTAGGATGCACTTTATTCTCGAATGTTCTGCCATCACAGGCCAAAGATGTCAGCTTTGGTCTCAATGACTTTTACAACATCGATGGTTGGACGGTTGAGGAGCACACTCAGTCTCATATCGCAGACTTTCAGTGGTTGAACGCTCAAGTCAAGTCCATTGCAGAATTGGAACCCAAGAGAGAAATCATCATTCTCACTCACTACAGTCCCACAATTGCCCCAAAAGCTACCGATCCCGCGCATTCGCAAAGCAAAATCTCCTCAGGTTTCTCCACCGATTTGTCTGGCGAATTCTGCTGGACAAGTGGAAATGTGAAGGCGTGGGCATTTGGCCATACACATTTCAATTGTGATTTTGTCGATGGTGTCAATGCGAAAAGGGTCCTCACAAACCAAAGAGGATATTGCTTCAAACAATCAGTTGGTTTTGACGCCACCAAGTGCATTGAGCTGAAAAATCACAACTTCTGAAGATTTTGTATGGAAGACATCTTGTTGTGGAATGGCTGACGACGAGCCCGATCACATCTGACTAACAAATCCATAGGTAAATTGTCCCAGCCCTAGCAGACTCTGTAGCCAGTTCCATGTCCGAAATCGAGATCCTAACATGGTTCCTAATTGCATTGGAGCAGGTTATCTCAAGCAGAAAGGAAGCTGCAGAGTCGTTATTCCTGCATGGGGATTCTGATGAATCCTCCCGCGCTGATGATGACGGAAATCGACATTTCATTCTCATGTTGCAAGATGTCCGGAGAATAGAAAAGCCAGTTGCGGGATTTAGCACTCGGCATATTTTGCCAGAACTCAGAGCTACAATATTAGAGCTCTTACATAGCACGAACTTCTTTTCAAATTCTATAAGCTAAACTTTCATTATTGAAGGATGGCAACTTGATGCGAAATGTCGCAGAAGTCATGGAGACACTCATTCTGAAGAAGGGATAATTGGGATTGACAAAATGGAGCGCAAGAATCAGAACTTGAGTGCTTCATTATAATCATGGTATAGTGATACGCTCAGTAATAGAATGGGCTTTAAGTAGTGTGCAGAGTGCGAGTCCGAGGTAGTTAGAAATGTAAGTGTTTTAGGCGCAATTTATCTGTGCTTCAGACGGCCAGAAAATCGCAAGCCCAATTGTCAGGAGCTAAACTGTTAGAAGCTGTGAGACCAATGATACCCAACTTATAGTATTCTTTCGTCTTCCTCTAAAAGGCTGATTATGACGTGAGAAAAGTCAAGCGCTAGAAAGTAAGTTCGCAAGTCTTGACAAGCATCCATTTTGCAACAATATATTTGTCCAACGCTCGGAACAATAATTGACTTCGGCATACAACAAACTTATATTGCCAGACTATTGAACAAAAAGCAAGAGTTTCCAAACTTTCAAAGTTTGTTACCTAAGAGAAACCACGATCCCACGTGACCCAGAGACACGAAATTTCTGCATCCACGTGACAACGTCCTTTCCTCCTTCCCACGACATCCCTTCTTGCTCTCCTCCCCAGGGTATGGACGTCACAAGTCTCTTTGAGAATGTTGGGGCAAGCGCCACTGGCTCCATCATCTCAAAGCTCGCTTGTTATCCCTTGGATACCATAGCCGTCCATTGTACGTTTTCTTTGTCCGTCACCATAAATTCGCGTTCTTTCGCAGCTGCAAAGACCCTGGCAACCTGTCAAGACCCAAGAATACTGCTGATTTACCGTACAGATCAAACTTCTACACGTCGCCCTTTGCTGTCAATTCCGCTCAAAGCATATTATCGGGGTATTGGCGTCACGATTCTCACCGTCACACCCGCCACTGCGTTGTATCTGACAACCCGAGAGGCTGCCCAGATCGCTTTGCTTCCACACCTTGGTGATGGTGCACTTAATGATGCGTAAGTTTTCCCTTTTAGTGGCAAATTTTCTCCTTTACTCTGTCATCAGATTCTTACAAGTCACGTGGGACTGCCCTGGTCGAAGAAGATTCCCTTCTCCGAGACATAATATGATCTAGAATATGAAAGAATCAAGCTAACTTTGGCACTACAGTGCATCAGGATGTCTAGCCGAACTAGCAGGCAGTGTGCTCTTCACGCCAATGGAGGTCTTGAAAGCACGCTTACAGATCTCATCTCATGGCGAAGAAGGCAAGCTCCTCTATCAACTCCGGGACATAGCCCGTAAAGAGGGCTTTCGCGGATTCTACAGAGGATATGTGATGGGGATTGTAAGTTACATGCCATATAATGTTTTATGGTGGACCACATACGGGAACATTAGACGAAGTATGCCGGACCGAAGCATTGGGACGCAGATCACATGTGGAGCTGGTGCAGCAGCTATGATCTCTGCAGCATTTATTCATCCGCTTGAGCTGGTCAAGACGAGGTATCAAGTGGCGACGAGTGATACTGTTGCAGCTGTGGGTTCAGTGGCGGGTACGCGAAGCTCGGATCAAGAAGGATTGAGGCAGGTGGTGAGAAATGTGATGAAGGAGAGCGGGCCGAAAGGGTTCTATGCTGGCTTCTTCCCAACTTTGTTGCGGAGTGTGCCTAGCTCGATTATAATGATGTTGGTTTTTGAGAACCTCAAGGCGAAGAGAAGGGTTAATGCTGAGTCGGCTTTATGAGACTGATCTGGAGGATGACTGAGTAACAAAGAGCATGTAGCAGTCTCATGTGTATTATATTAGAGAACCTAGATCTGGACCAGGAAGGGACCTGGTGGATATCCCGACTCCTTTCAATAGACGTTTAGACTCCTCTTCGAGATACTGTCTAGTACAATTTAACATGGATGTTAATCCCATATGTTTTTGATCACATAAGAAAACATCATTGAGAAGACAGTTCAAACAATGGGTGAGTCCAGCATTTGTGCTTTCACATCGTTGGTAACCAGCTTTTAACAGGAAACACTCTATTTTAGCGAATACGGAACATCATAAGTATCAGCCAACACTCAGGGACCTAGAAGTTGGACGGCTTGTGTCTCCCGAGTCAGCCTCTGGCACTGATGATTGATGATGGATAAATACTGCAATTGTCCCACCTCTCAACAATCATCCACTCTTTCGATTTAAATCGCCCTTTCGAACTGAAAGATTCTTAACGAAGATGGCAACATCGGCAAAAGCTGAAGCATGGGAGGGTGAGTCCCTTGCGCCAGAGCTCCTGCTGGTGATCACCACTAAGCTACCTGATCTCGGAGCTCTTGACAGTCTGCTCAGAGCCTCGCCAAACACATTTCGTTTGTTCAATACTGAGAATGTTGTAAAAATCACGGAGTCAATTCTGTCGTCAGGGTCTATACATCAACATGTCCGAGTAATCATCTATGTTATAGCTCTGATTCGGTCTTCGGCCCTTCCAATATCTAATCTTGACGATTTCACGGAACAAGTCATGCTCGAAGCCATGAAGACTTGGCCTCCTGCTCTCGGAAGTGGTTTTAATCCTATTCGCCGGTCTCCGACTACGTCTGCCGTGTTGCGCAGTATCCTTTCTACCTATCGACGAATCACGATCCTGACGCAAGGTTGTCTAGAATTCTACCTTGATCGTTACAGGTCTCTCAGACCTCAGCATCTTGCCGATAAAACCTTTCGATTGCATGGTGTACACCCGTGACTCCTTCGACCCGAGCGTCGGAGATACGAAACGAAAGAAGTTGGACCGCCTTCTTGGACTGAGGAGCAGCGAATTTCCCGAGCTTTTTGGCGCATGCAGATTATTTGGGACCTCCACAAAGTGACTTCAAATTCCGCTCTAGACTGGCCTACAGAAGATATCGACCGACTCAACACCGAAGAATCTATAGATCTTTTCTACAGAGAGACTCTGTACCTGTTACTATATCGCGACGATCCACAACCAGAGTACGAAGAATTACTCTCTGTCATGCAATACAGAAGAAAGGTAAAGAGAGAAGCTATTACACAAAGCCTTGCAAAAGTTTCAAATGTATCAAGAATTCAGAGACAATCATCAAAATCAGTGCCTAATCAGATCGCCTGGGAAGAACTCGACCGTCCTTCATCCGGAATCGAGTTCTACCATAATTGGATTGATCCTGGAATATTATCCGCTGGCGTCGGATTCTCACCGCTTCGCGCAATATCATTCGATCACATTTTATACGCTTTGGATCTGCGTTCTGGGATAGAGAGAAAATGAGAGGCTAAGGGTTTATACCGTCTTCTCAAGAAGACTGGGATCACTTCCCTACCACCTTTTATCATTTTGCATGGCAAAGTCTCTTGAGTACGGAAGAGCTTGAGGAGAAGGTGCGAGGTTTCATGGCAAGGTACCGCGGGGTGCGATGGGCGTAAAGGAGCGAAGTGTCAATTTTCTCGACGGTTTGTTACAACATACGCTCTCAGACTCGGACGGAGGTAGCTTATAAAGTTTTGGCTTCAAGTTATTTTGATGATGGGTGGTACCCGGATCACAAGGCAGCAACTCCTTCGACGCAATACATGTGATCCCTGTACTTAGACTCGGTTTGCATCAGATTTCAGACGTCTGTTCAAATTCTTCTGTGACAACACAAGACTATGACAATGGAAACAACCCCAACCCCTGAATTGACAGCGTCCGCGAAGTATGGCCAAATGGCCTTTGACATCTTCCTTGCAGTAAGTATTCTTGGATCAAGTACAAACCCCATTTCAGGCCCAAGCTCATGCGGCACAGGAACGATGGGATCCTGAGGCCGACGCAACGCAAGATGAAAAGCAATGGAACTCTCTAGCGCGGCAGTACCTCTCCATGTCTCTCGGTGAGCGACATGTACGTACTCTTGCCTAGCCTTTTAGTTCAGTGTCCCTTGTCCCGCTCCATTCCCAAACTTGGCGCTGATTTGAGGACGATCTCAGCCATATCGCATGGAATCCGGTCGGCGTAGGCTCAACAACCACTATTCAACAGCGGCAACAGGCACAGAAGCTATCATTCTCACTCGTATCTTGCCTCGTTTTCAAACGATCCAAGAGCGCAATTTCTGCGCACTCAAATACACTAATGAGTCCCATAACCCAGCTTTGCTGAGGACGTACTACAGCGACATCAATGGGGAGAATAAGGATGAGGCTCACAAGATCATGGTTCGCGATGCGATACTCGAAACCTGTGTCCATAAAGACGGAAATTGGAACGACAAAGCTCTGTACGACTTTGGCGATGATTGGCAGCGCATCTTACTCCGCATGCCGGAGCTGTGTGACCAAGAGGTGGGCTATGGTGAAAGTGAAAATAAAGAAGAAGACCAAGAAGACCTCGAAGCTCCACCACCTGACGATCGCGAGGCATTGGAAAGTTGGCTGTGGTCGCGCAATGTAGCCATCCGGTTCTATGTCAGAGACCGTGAAGCTATGGAAAAAGATCTGATCAAGGTTTTCTACCTCGATACTCACGGTGAAGCTATTTGGTCTCATAAATTCAACGCTAAGTCCATTTTGCAGTTTAATGGGGCTTGGTATTCCATGAGTTTGGCTGAGATTAATGGCTGCTTCAGCGGGTCTCGGGAGAATGGCTGCGAGTTGTTCCTTTGAGATACTGGTTTGTGGATAGCTTGCGAGTCAAATGAATACCCAAAAGTACAATACGTACTCGGAGAACAGAAATTGTCTTTCAATTTGCGCTCTTCGCTTAATTGAGAATCTAAACACATTCCGAGTTGGTCTTATTAAAGACCAACTTTTGCGAGTAAGAAGATTCCTACGTTATTGACCAAGGCATGCCGTAGGACGATGAGATAATGAAGAAAGCAGCGGAAGAGATAGAGCGGGGAGGTGACGTCTATTTGCACGTACGGAGGGGATGGAAGTTGTTATATCCGCAAGTTAGGAGACCGACTCTGCGGCTGCGAGGCCGAAGGAGAGAGGTCGGAGCTGAGGAGGATGTGAAATTGTTTGGAAGGAGGGAAGTCAGTTCGTAGCCGAGACCGCGATTTGCGCCTCGGGGGTTAGCGAGAGAAAGGGGGAGTAAGCGAGAGGGCAGGAAAGATTGAACTAAATGCAGTAGGACATTGGCTTTTTAACCGAAACTGAGCATTACCTGTAATTAAACGATAGTCAATTAACTCGTCATCTTTGCCGCCCTTTCGTCGGAAGATGCGGGAACGGAGCGGAAAGGAGAAAATTAGTAAGATAGTCTAATCCATTAGTCAAGCTCGCTCTTCGGCAAGAGAAGAGCTTGGCAAGTATTAGAAATCAGAGAGGGAGCTACTGCAGGCTTTTTATTTGGGATGTAGTTGCGGGAGGCACGGAGATAATGGAGTTAAATCAAGGGAGGTAGGTGCTTGGTTTCCGGGGTTTCTAGAGAGAGAAAAAATGGGGAAGATTTGGAAAAGAGTCTAAATTCTGTTTGATTGGATGGTTGAGACGAGTTAAGTGGTGCGATTCTGTAGGCTGAGAGGAAGGCTTAGCGTAAATATTACCCAGACTGGAAAGTAAAGCCGTTCATTAACATATCAGATAATATACCAAGCAACAGAATATTTAAGCAGCTTCTTAATTTCATGAATTCATGAATTCGCTCCCGGGATCACATGCAGCTCCTGGTCCCTCACATGAAACACCTCAACATTTGAACTGTTACCTACACTAGCCTCCGGCTCTAATATCTACGATGGAAAGAACAACGCAAGTGTCAAGGCGAGCCTTCTACCCAGAGATACCGGGTGCAGTCAACATCCAATCCCTTAGCAGAGAAATCAGGTGTGTTTCGAAGACCTAGGCAAGTGGTTCGCGTCCGCATGATACCACAGGAGCAGAAGTTTATAAGTATAGTGTCCAGAGGGAAAGCTGGCCAAGAAAACTTCAAGGAATCGTGATAAGAATAGCTAAAGATTTGTTTGGTTTGAGGATACACTTTCTAGTAAGAGAGCGAGTTGAAGTTTGGCGCTTTTAATTTGCTACTTCTACTATCATACTTAAGTTGAAAGTAAATCTTGGAATAACAAACTTTTCACTCACTTTTGGTTGATCTTCAAAAAGTAAGATTAAACTTCTTTCATTGAGCTCTTCAAGTCTCAGAACTTAGATCTTAACCTTCCACAAGACCAAACAATATCCAATCCCGTCCGTCCCACCAGCTAAACCTCCTTTTCCAACCCTAACTCTTCAAACCAACCCCACTACCCCAACCACTCCTCCGGCCTCCAACTCCCCGTCCTCACCACATGCTCCCCCGCACTCACCACCCCCTCAAAATCCGTCTCCGCTCCCCCAACAACCCCTTCCCACTCCTCCACAGCCCCCACAATCTCCCTCCCCCGTCCCCTCGCGACCTCCACCGCATCGCCCCCAACCGGGACCCTGAGCGGCCACTTCCTGCCCTTCGCCTTTCCCTCCTCCCTGATCACATCGACCATTACCTTGACGCCTTTTTCAGGATCGCCTGGTTGGGCGCCGTTCATCTCTATAAAACTGTTAGTTAGTACACCCCTTTATAAGCAAGCTAAGAGGAGCGGAAACAACATCTTCATAGCTCCCTCAAAATCTAGTCTTAGAACAAAAAGAGAAGGATTCAACATACTTTGACTCGACTCAGCCAAAACCCCCATCAATCCCGCATAATCCTCCTCCCCACTAACAGAGAATTTCGCATGCCCGACGACACCGGTGCGGAAATGGCCGATGTCGAAGAGGATGCTTTTCACGCCAAACTGGCCCATCTCGGCGTTGAGCGCTTCGTTGTAGGCCGCGAGGAGGAACTTGGAGGCCGAGTAGGGGAATGTCATTGGCATGGCGTAGAGGCCGAAGATGGAGCCTATGAAGGCTATTTTTCCTGTGCGGCGGGTGCGGAAGTGTGGGAGGCTGGGGGAAAGGGATTAGTATATAGTTTTTACAGATACAGAGATTTAGGAGTTGAGTCGAGTGGAGAGGATGGATAGCTTGTTTGAGAAGTAGCTGCTCTTGAGGAGGTTTCGCTTTTGAAGAAAAATAGATGCAGAGCAAGGGTGACGTACAGGGCTTGAGTGATTCTCTGGGCGCCGAAGAAATTGGTTTGTAGTTGATTCATGAGTTTTTCTTCCCTATCAAATTCTCTTAGCATTAAAGATACATAAAAATAGAACAGAAGTAATACATACTCCAACTCCTCCACAATCGACATCTCGACATACCCCGCATTATTAACCAGGACATCCACCCTTCCATAAACCTTCAGCGCCTCGTTCACCACTTTCTCAATCTCGGTTTTAGAAGCAGTGACGTCGAGGTCGATGAGGTGCGCGCCTTTTTCGCGCAGGGAGATGAGTTCCGGGCGCGTGGTGGCGCGGCGGGAGGTCGCGAGGACGTGGTCACCGCGGGCGAGGGCGGTGAGGGCGAAGAGGTGGCCGAAGCCGGTGGAGGTGCCGGTTATGAGCCAGACGAGGGGTTCGGGGTGAGACTGGGACATTTTTGGGGAGATGAGGAGGGGAGAGGGTGTTGGGAGGAGAAAGTGGGGGTAGATGAGGTTAGAGTGGGTTGAATTCGCGGTTGTGAGAAGTTGGAAGTAATTTTGTACGAATCGAGCTCTTTCACTTGAGTTAAGCTGGTGTACGGGCGTGGATAGAGGTTCTTGATTTGAGAAGGATAAGAGGTTTGTGGTTGATACGGGAGTATGGGGACTGTGGTTGTGAAATTCGGGATTTCGAAAAGACCTTGGCGGTCAGCTTCTGTGTTGGATATGCATGATCTACCATCTGTCAACGTATATCCGTCAACGTATATCCATCTTGACTCAATTTGAACACTTCCAACTTCCTCGCTTAGAATAATGCAGCCAATCTCAAAGCTCAGATCCAGCTCATTGTGGACCAGACGTACGTGAATTCGAACATCAGAACTCCACTCTCACAGTTGAATCCGCCCACTCACAGATTCTGGATTATTCCAAGCGAGGAAGGAAGCTCGATAGGGCTGATTCCAAGACTTTGAAACAGGTTGACTATCAAAGTCTTATGTCAGCACTTGCAACGACGATCCCTCTCCTCGCATAACATGAAATGGCTTCGGGATGCCAACCAATGATCAAAGGATCCGAATGAGCCTCATCAGGAATGCAATGCGGGGGCTGACCATCACATGACTCTCTCTCGCATTATCTAAAAACTTAGTAAAAAAAGGAAGAAAAAAGGAACGCCGTCAGCTTACTCTCCCTGTCAAGTACCTATTCGGAAAGCCGTCCAATCGGGAGTTTCCTGTCGGGTTGCATTACAGTACATGGAATTATCTGCAGCCCTGATTCAAGGAGAGAGAGCTTGCATTTGGAATTTTGCTGGGTGCAGCAGCAGTCGGACATTGGGTTGTTCCATGAAATGAATTGGGAGGGAAGCATGTGTGTGCGCGGCGGCCGGCATTCGAGGTGGTACAAAAAGTATATGTATGGCACTCTATTTTGCGGCACCTGCGGCATTTAGTACATCCAATCACTAGAAGGACGTTTCGAGAGCAATGTTGGTTTTTGCTAAAGAAAGAAATCTGTGCGTAGACGTTGCAGTCTTTTCGATATTTCCGACCAGACAGAGGAATCGAGCTAAGACTTGTACCCTTGTACGCATGACTGAAATGTAGAGTAAGCAGGCCATCGTCGTAACGACGCAAACGAGAAACGCCCTTCAGCAATGAAGAAGTGATCGGTGACTGATGATGGATGTATGTATGAACGAAATATGCCGAAAGCTTCGGCTCGCAAATAAGCTCAATTTGACGTGTGCCATCTTACGCTTCGTACATGATAGCCAGCCACAAATCTTGAAAGACGTGCAGATCTGCCAACGGCCCAGATGAGCGGCACTTGCCACGAGGCCCTGATAAGGCTGACGTTCCATGTCTGGGTATGGAGATGATGAGTGTTCAACGGGGGTCATTGAAGAGTAAAATATAAGTCGTGGAGGGTAATGAATGGCCACTTCGTTAATGCAGCGGCTTTCACCACGGGTATCACTGACAAGGCGAGAGATCGAGTAGGCGTGATTGGAAGTCTTGACGCTGCATATGCGATATGCGACATGATACTTGGATTGGAGTAGAAGGGACTATTTGCCTGATTTAGACAACGATGTGTTTCCAAAGCATCGGCAGCGTCGGGAGCGACCGTGATCTGAAGCTTGCCCTACTGAGGGCAATGCCGTGGACTTGGCTTTCTTCTCTGGATCACCGATCGAGCGTCCCGCGCGTTCATCTGGACCTGCTCTCACGGGTCCTGCATCTGGGGAATGTGCCATTGCAGTCTGTACCTGCGTACTTTTGTTCTTTCGACCGAAAGAGGAACTGGTGCCCTGGTTACAAATGCATCTCGTCCGAAGCATCCGAGGTATTCACAATTGCATTTTAGCTTTGTGTATTTGGAAACAGAGCAGCAAACAAAAGCTCAAGCAGAACGTCAAGATGGAATTTCTAGATGTGCGATTTTCTAGCTCAGGTAAGCAAGAATAGATCGGTGCGTCAGCAATACAGGAATAGGAGATGGATATGGTTGCGTTTCGAAGAATGCGAGATCATGGGTTGGGTTGGACAGAAGGGAGGGGTATGGAAGGGTATATCGAGGATGGAGAGATGGGTTGTCTCCTTTTCGGCGTTAAGTGGAAGCAACAAGCCGAGAGCAGGCCGAGTGGCAGATCATAAGGGATTTGTTCGATGATTCGTTTTCTTAGTCGGCAATTAGTCATACAGATGGTGGTGGCCGGAACGAGGATGCTTTGGGGCAATGTAGAAATGGGGATCGAGAAGGTGCGGCCGCAACGGGACAAAGTGCGAGGGAGGGCAGGTGGTGAAGGAAGCGGTTGAATGTGAATGTGAATGTGAGCAGGTGGCAGTGTGGTATTCCGTATTTGGTGGTGTCTGGGCTCTGGTGTGATTATTTTGGTGTGGTTGTGGCTTCTGCGGTTCAACATAAATAAATAAATCGGTGGTTGGGTATTTCGTACTCCTTCAGCCAGTCATCCTTTGGTTGGAGGTCGTCGTCGCTTGAGTCTGCGCTCGCTCGGAAGTGGAAAAAAGGGCAGGCCATGGCACGGGAAGTTGACAAAGCGAGTCCGAGACGTCCAGCAGCCGCAAAGGGGATAGCGTCAGATTAAATATTGGTAATCAAGATGTTCGTCACCCCCAGTCAGAAATCCCCCCCAGCCGCGGACTTTGTGATTAGTAGCACGCCGCCTCCCGCAATAATTAGCCATCGATGCTGCATCAGCCATGAAGAAAGAGACAAAAAGCTGCTGAAGATTCTGTCATCCGTCCAATTGTACCCCATGTTCTGAGTCGTGAGGCTTTCACGATCCCCCCGCAGCGATTGTTAATAATCATCTCATTCACGCCCTCAATTCCTCTTTGCGACGTTCAGAATATCCACATCTGTCTCTTGCCCGCAGCATCCGGAGCCAAGCCAAGCTGGCGAGCATCAGCCACCATTGGGTCACGTGTGATCTCGGATCCGGAGTTGCAGCGCATGCATGAAGTCACGCCAGGGACCCTTTTTGCTTTCTCCAAGAGAAGACAAGACGTCAAGTCGAATCGAGTAATTGCATCGAACAGGACTATTCGGAGACTGCATACTGATTCCATCTAGATCCCCAGGACGCGCCGAGGACATTGATTAGTCAAAGGCGTCTTGCGGTCCCTGTTTGGCATCGCAATACGACAACTATTCGTTACCAGCATTGTGGTGTTGTGTTGTGTTGTGTTGTATTGCGTTGGTTGTTGCCCTTTTCTCCAGAGTTGAGACTTCCGATTCCATACTGCACCAATACAGGACCACCTACCGGGTTATCAGGCCTAGCCGCGAATTTCAGCTCCGACTCGCCGTCTCCGTGCGAGCGCGCATTACATTACACCCAGAAAGAAATCCGAGCAACAACCATTACAGGACTCGTACTTCGTACCGCACTTACAGTCCAGTCGCCGCATCCCAGCGACTGTACTTCTTCCACCTTACCTCACCCGACCACCCTACCAGACACCAACGTCTTATTACATCAGAAAGGCATCGCCAACCATGCAGTCAATCGCCCCCGCTCCGCCCCAGAGCATGCAGAATCAGGTACTGTACCTCCCTCTCTTCTTAGCTACCCCTCCCCTTTTGCCTCCAATTATACACGCCTATCCTATCTACCCTACTCTATCCTGTCCTGTCCATTCTCCCATAGCTTCCCCTTCCCATCCCTATTGTCATCAGCCGGGAAGAATGTCTCGTAATCCGAAAATGCGCACTCGCACTTCCTCATCTCCAAATCACGATCACCCTCCTCTTCATCCATCCATTGCCGCTCCTCAAAAGCTGACTCACTCGCGCAGGACATGAGCGCAGACAATGGTATAATCACCCCCCTCTCCCACTCCCACTCCCCCCTTTTACGAGTCCGTCTTGTAATCCAATCCAATCCCATCCCATCCATCTCGTCGTGTACGGTATCTTTGCTCTGCTTGCTGACATGATCCTCCCGCCGCTGGCAGACTTAAGAGCCCAGCTCGCAGCCGTCATCAACACGTCGCAACACGGCGGTCCTCCTCCTCCTGGCGCCTCGAATCATCCTCATCCTCATGGAGCCTACAACGACGTCCACGCCCATCATCACCAGCACCAGCAGTCCAGCAGCGCGAGCCCTCACGACCATAACATCGACCCGGCCATCGGCGGCGGCATTGGAGGAGGCGGAGGAGGTCCCATCAATATGAGCACGGGCGGCGATTCGGGCGGAGATGATTCTCTAGGAGATGGTCGCAAGGGAGGAAAGAGAGAGCTCTCGCAGTCGAAGCGTGCTGCGCAGAATCGCGCTGCTCAGGTACGTTTGCGGTTTTCCTCAATGACAATAACCGGCCCTCGCGTCGACATCCTGCACTCAAGTGTTTGCACCGACGATGAGATCAACAAAGGGTTATCATGTATTTGTTTGGAGGTTGCGCCTCGTCTAAAAAAAAAAAGTCCACGGTGCTATCCTTCCTTTGCTTTGTCAATTCTCATGTCATCAACCCTCACCATCTTGACTTCACCACGCTTACATAATCCCCAATCTACAGAGAGCCTTCCGTCAACGCAAAGAAGGCTACATCAAGAAACTCGAAGAGCAAGTCCGCGACCTGCACAACCTGGAAGATAACTTCAAAGCCCTGCAAGCCGAGAACTACTCCCTGAGAGAATACATCATCCACCTCCAAAGCCGGCTCATCGAGTCTCAAGGCGATTACCCCCAACCACCACCCAACGTAAACCTGATCCACCCGCACGCTGGCCGAGGACAACAACAACAGCAACATGACCCCCAAGCCTCAGCTCCCATGGCGCCCATGAGCACGCTCCAGGCTTCGGCGGCGAGGACACTGGCAGCTGCTGGACTGGCGGGAAAACCACAACAGCAACAACACCAACACCCCGGAGCAGAGGAGTATGATCACAGCAAGCGGTACAAGGACGAGGGACACGATAACCCGGCTGCGGACGAGGAGATCATTAGGAGTCAGCTCCAGGGCACCGCTGATGGATTACCGAGTTCGATGTAAAAGCTTGCCTACTTACTTACCTTAGCTATCTTTTGGCGTTCACGGCGGCGTTGTTGCTGAGGTCTGAATTGCTGGCGTACGTAGGAATGGACGGGAATGGTGGTGGAAACCTATGGCGTTGCATTTTCTCTCTTCTTACTTTGCTTATCACCTAGCTACTTACTGCTTTCTCACTCGCTGCCATGATTATGCGGAGAAAAAGAAAGGGCCCCTTCTGTCCGAATGAATGAATGGATGTATTAGATGTCGCTTTTTCAGATACCTACCTACCTACCTACCTACCTACCTACCTATTCCTTCCTCACACCACCATCTTTCTGTCTAGCATGAAAAATGAATGCTTGCTTGCCGCCCAAAAACAGGAACATCTCCGCTCCCTCCCCTTCATTCATGAATAAGCATTCCCCAAACCATGTTCCTACACCATGATTAGTGGACCACCAGCGAAGAAGCCAAGCTCGATTAGTCAACATACCTTCATATACTCGGCCCCTTTCTCCAAATACTCCTCCCTCGTGACCGCCGCCGTCTTCCACGCGCTCCCACCTGCCCACTTCGCAGCGCCCTTCCACGCATCGAGCACAGGATCCTTAGCCCTCCTCACAACCGGCGGAGCATCTGCTGGTAACGCGGCCCTCAACCCGTCCCTCAACCGCTCATCGAAGTTCTGGAACAGCGTACTGCCGCCCGTCAAGAAGATATCCCTTAGGAAATCGTCGCGGCCGCTCACGCGGTGGTTCAGGATATCGGCTGCGATCTCCACGATGCCTGCTTGGTCCAGGCCCGCGATTGAGGGCTGGAAGATGACTTCTGGGACGCGGATCCGCTCGACGTTCAAATGCAGCTGGTGGGCTTCTGCTTGGCTCTTGAGATCGAAGGGTCTGGGCCCGCGGAGAAACGCATGCACGAGGCTCTTGGTCCAGTCCGTTTGGGCGTCCAGCGTGTGCTGGTCGGTAAATTCGGGATCGTATTTCAGCAGGTCTTGTTCCAGGGTCTTCAGGTTCGCGCCGAGGTCCTCTTCCTCCTCGTCGTCGCTGCCCTCACCGGTTGCGATCTGCCGGTACACACCCCAATCGTCGTCGTTGGCGCCAAAGTTGTCGTCGTCGCCCCCTCGCCGACGCTTCTTGGTCGGGTTATCGGAGGCGAGGTTCGCGATGCTCTTCATGCGGATCTGGCTTGCTAGGGATTTGCGGTTCCCCAGGTCTGCTTTGAGGCGTTCGCGGTCCTTCATCTTTTGGACTAGTTCGGCTCGAGCAGTTCGCCGTTGCTGCAGCCATCCCTCAAGATCATTCTCTCTCTTTTCCTCGTCTGCTCGTTGCTCCTCGGCGAGCCTCGCCCTTTCCTTCTCCTTTTCGGCTTTGGCTCGAGCGCGTGCTTCGTGATTAGATTTCATGAGGCGTTGGTGGCGCTTCTGCTTGATGCCTGCTTCATCTAACTGGTCATCTGGGACTTCCAGTAAGCTGAAATCGGGCTCTTCAACCTCTTCTTCGATTTCTGGACCTCCCACATCTTTCGTACGTGCTTTTCGAATGGACTTGTCGAGTTCTTTGATCGTTCGTTCAAGAGCGGCTTCGTCCTTCAGGTCCTCAGCATCCAGCAACCGCTTGATTTCCTTCTTGCTCTGATCTGCTAACTTGCTTTGCAGGTCTCTGTAATAGTCGAGTTCTTGTTCCTTACGAATTAGCTTCTCTAGACGCATTTTTGCAGCTTGCTCCTGTAATCTTCGACCACTTTCTTTCCTCTTCTCGGCTATCCTCGCGAGCTCTTCCTCACTCTTCTGCACGATAATCTCTTCAGTGAAAGGGTACTGGATGACATGATCGCGATCCTCTAATCCAGTCCAGTCAAGATACTTGCTCAATTCGTTGTCGTAATCTTGCGACACATAGCAATGCTCGCGAAGCATATACTCTGTTTGGGAAGAGTTGAGTCTGCCTGGGAAAGTAGGATACTTGAGACGGAGTAGCTTCAGGAGATACTCGGCACTTTGTGATCCACCCCAATTCAGTCGTGTTGCTTGTGATAGGATAGCTTTTGAATTGAGAACGGGTATGAGATGCGTAGAACTATGTGAAGAAGATACAACAAGTCCTGTCTTGCCATTATTATAGTCGTAGGAAAATAGTGAGTCGATGCCATAGGCTAACGATGGTGCCTGGTATGCCTCGAAGATGATTTCTGTCATAGCTTGACTGTGTTAGCACAGATTCAATAGCTACAATAGATAATAACTTACATTTCCGCGAGTATGGAAGATTGGCAACGGCTTCAGTCATGATAATCGGTACATCGATACCCCCATTCGAGCCATCCACACCTAATTTAATGAAGATGTACTCCAACAACGCTTCCATAACATCCCAGTTACTGACAATACCACTGCCAGCCTCAAAAGCATTTCTTATGTGCCCCCGCGCCGTAGTGTCCGTGTAGATATCATTGCCAACGAAGGAATACGACTTGGCCAGCTTCCGGTCTCTATATTTCGAGTATATGGGCGTGAGATTCATGCGCGGGGCTTCTTCGAAAGACCATCCAGCCCTCGTCGTAGAAGAACCTGTGTATTGCAGTTAGTATACAATGTGAGGGTTGGAGGAAGGGGGCAGTCACCATTGTCGATGACAATCGTCGCTTTGTCGTGTCCTAGCGATTTTGCTTTCTGGTATCCATCTGCCTTGGGTTTGATGAATCGTCGGAAATGCGCTTCTTCGGGGTAGTATAATCGAGGGGGTGGAATCGTAGAGCTGGGCTCTGACATTTGGGTTGGAGGGTCGATGGCGGAGGGTGCCATTGTTTTTGGTTTCGGTTGAACGTTGGTTGTGTTGTTAGATCATGATGAGAGTCGCGGGCAGATGCTGGATTTGTCGAAATAGCTTTGGGTTTTGAAGGCGAATGCGGTTGCTTAGCAATTGATTTGTTCTAACTATTGTTCTCATCATCTAGCTGTTCGAGGCTGAGGTCGGCAAAACTTAAAATTCACTCCGACGAGGCTGATGATATCAAGAGGGACAACCAGAATATCAGAGTGCATTTCTCAGGTGAAATTCATAATGCATTAAGGTATCATTGCTTTCCTCCATTCCTATGACCAAAGACCAGATGGTGCTCTAACGCCAGAAGACCTGACCCTACTCTACAAACACAATCTATTGCTCCACCCATCATGAGGGGTCTTTGAGAGCATCGGTGGCTATACAAATTAGTACCGGGCTTCTCTTGACTTTGTAGATCTTCTTACCTTCCAGATGGAAGAGGACATTCGACTGATAGTTCTTGAACATTTGGGCAACAAGCTCGACGTTCATGTTTTGAATGTTTATTTCCTTTACAGAATGAGCAAGTGCCTACAGAGAATAAATGAAGTGATATTCAGGGTTCATACTTGCAGACTCTTATTCAGAAGCATAATAGCCTCATTGAGTTTCTCCTGGTAGCAATCAGTATTGTGATGATACACAGCGCAAAGTCACATACCACATTGGTGATGATGCGAGACAGCAGAAGATTCTGCTGGTGTTCATGAGGACTTTCCTATAAGATAGTCAATCTCCATAGCCATGAACTGACGTTCGGGCATGATTTACCATCTCTGATCTTGCTGTCACCGATCCAAGTCGCGATATGCGATGCTTTGGTTTGTTCCAACGCGTCCAAAAGGCGGTGGCAGAAATTTAGCTTAGTCCCACGTGATCGTACATACAGCTGGAAGGGAAGCCGTTTGTCACTCTCTCTTCCTTCCTCAAGGTCAAACGATACACCGTATTCTCTAGGATTCCTCACGAACCATGGCACCAAATGCTGAAGAAGCCGAAGCTCACCAAGCACTCCTCGATCAGCTCAATATCCACGACACTCCAAAACCTTTCAAGAACTCCCACTGGAAACCAAGTCAACGCCGCAACAAGAACATCAAAACAATCCTTGGAGACGCGATTCGAAAAGAAGCGTCCCTCCAACCTACGCAAGACAATAGCGGTGCCGCGACTCCCAATCTCGACGAATCTAGTACATCCACCGACGATGGAGAATCCACCCCTGCCGTCTCGACTCCTGGCTCTATGCTCCAACCCAATCTCGCACAAGCTTCGAGAAGTCTGTCAAAGATGGTGCTGGAGAAGAATATGAAGGCCTTTGAGTCCTCGTCTACGCCATCTGCTACCTATACCAATATCGAAGCTACGCCTACACTTGGTCATCCTAAGCATTATTGTGATATTACTGGTTTGCCAGCACCATATACCGATCCGAAAACGCGATTGCGATATCACAATAAGGAAGCTTTTGCGGTTGTTAGGAGTTTGGGCCCAGGTGTTGCGGAGCAATACCTTGAAGCTCGTGGTGCCCACACAGTCTTGAAATGAGCGAGACAAGCATGGACAATGCTTTCAAGAAGTAAAGAGGATCTGGCACGTTGGGCACAAAGTAGAAGATGTTTGCTCTAGTAGCCCTCGCCCTACTACCAAAGCTCGACACATACACAGCAGTACAGTCTCAGGATCCCCCTCTAGTAGCTATGAGAATACCCTGGCGCTCATGCTGAACCTGTGTCACCTACCACAATTACTTCGAGACGATCGCAAACTACACTAGCTACAAGCGGTTACATATCATGGGATGGCTGATGTGCTTCACACCGAAATTTGATGGCCGAGGCTGGATGTATGGCAGTTTTCCATAAGGAGCAAAGGATTGCTCGAAGAGCTAGGAACGATCTTGGATGACTGGAAGAATGCAATGGCCTGGGACTATCATGTGTGACCGACAAAGTCAAGCTCATTCCACCCACCATTTGTCTTTCAACAAATGGTTCAAGAAGACGCTCCGGCTTAATCGCGATCAACAGCTTCTATATCTGCCTAGAATAGACGTGATACCGAGAGAATATGGAACAATAGACTCAGTTACCAGAGCACAAGACTCTAGTCGTCGCGGCAATTGAAAGCACCCCTCCTTTGCTTTGTGACTCTTCATGAAACACTTACTTAGTAACAAACCATTGACAGCCTTGTCAACCATCAAATCAGACAAAGGCAGCAGACCCCCCAATGCCTAGAATGAAACACAATTGGCGTGAGCGCAAAGACGTTGGAAGTTCACAAGCGGACTCGAAGCCACAAAAAGATTCATTTCACAAGCTAAGCAAAAAGCACGGCCGCGGATCCCTGCAAATCTAGCCGCGTCCGCGTTCAACCCCCCAAAAAAGTCCACAAGGCCAACTCTCCTTATCGACATTCACACGATCTCCTCTCTCTTGCGCCAGAGTGCTACAATCGTTCAAGATGCCTACCATGTGGTTGTCGGATACTCAGAGTGTGTTTCCCTCCCTTGCTGCAGACTCAGATGTCAGAGCTTCAATACCGGTGCTGCTGGAAGCTTTGCGCCTGAATCTGCTGTCGGATTATGGAGGATATATGCTAATACTGGGTTCCAGAAATCGGCGTAGCGTTCTGCTCAGGTGGTAGGTACGCAATCCATCTACATCCGGGATTTCTCACTGATGTATGTCTTCTACAGGCGGGTTCTTCCTCATCGGCGGCGTCCTGCTATTCTTCGATAGAGCTATGTACGTCCCTCCCCATCTCCCCATCTCCCTTCTCCCCAGCTAACACAAAATTCACAGGCTAGCAATGGGCAACGTACCTCCCCCTTTCCCTCCTTCCTCCTCCCCTCTTCTCACACCGTATAGATCCTCTTCCTAATCGGCCTAACCATCATCATCGGCCCGCAAAAGACCCTCGCCTTCTTCGCGCGCAAACAGAAACTCAAAGGCACAGCAGCCTTCTTCCTCGGCCTATTCTTGATCCTGATGAGGTGGGCGCTGGTGGGGTTCATGGTCGAGCTGTATGGCATTTTTATCCTGTTTGGCGATTTTTTGGGGACGGTGTTGGGGTTTGCGAGGAATGTGCCGGTGGTGGGGCCGTGGATTGGGGTTTTAATCGATAGGGCCGGGATGGGAGGCGGGCAGGGGTTGCCTGTTTGAAGGGGAGAGAAGAGACTTGATGTGCAAATGGGCGAGTCGAGACGAGAGTTGGTTTGGGAGAGCAGGTTTTGAGGGAACCAGAGTGTGTACGATGATGATGATGTAAGGGATTGTGAGTCTGTACGTATAGGCTATGGGTAGATTGTACTATATGGATGGCAAGTGATGGCGTTGGGGCTTATATTCTTGCTAGGTCAACTGGGTTGAGCTGATGCTCCTTATTGACGAGCGGAGAGATTGAAGAATGTATACCCAAAGAGAGGATCAAAAGCGATACTTGAGCTGGCACTTGCATTGAAGAGTAATCTGGGCAATTGTGACGTTATAAGGGGATCTTCTGGCGTATTTACCAGCTTGGTGTGATATGCCAACCTTTAAAAGAGACTTGACGTGAATCAACAAACAGATTCTCCATGGCATTTAAAAATCGGAAAGTCTCGTGCTGGAAAACATCATAGAGCTCCTCACTTGCACAGCTCTTACAAACACCCAACACCACATGATAATTTGTCGTAATTCATTCGCCTATGCAAAGCATCCCATCATCACTTTTCTGCAAGGTCTACCCCCCAGATATACCTCCGTCCGCGCAGCGCAAAAGGACATTATTCTAGTATCTGCCCTATCAATCAATGCTCAGGGTCCCTCTGCTCTCTCTCTCGTTTATGTACCTCCTCACCTAACCCCACCATCATCACCTAGTATCCAAGACCGATGAGGTAATCTGCCAATTTCTCAACCACGACGGCGGCGTTGCCTGCTTGGACGTTCTCTGGGTAGTGGCCGAGGAGTATGGCTTGGGTGGTCTTGACGACGACGATTCCTTCCTTGCCCTGCAGCGTTGATGTCAGCTCGTGTTAGTCAAATGTTGGTTGTCGAAATCAATATTGGAGATGGTGAAAAGTATCCATACCTGTCTGCCGTACAGACTTCTATCCTCCAGCTTCGTGGCAACGTATCGGACGCCATTGACGTAGAAGCCATCAGTCCATACCTTGGAGTCGGTCTTTGGATCCTTCAACTCGGCGGCGATGACTTTGGCCTCAGCGGGAGAGAGCTATAATCAATCAGCAAACATCCTTCCCCTCAATATCCTTATTGATAGAATGCGCTCCATCGTTGAAATAGGAGATATTCCACGTACTTCAAAGCCAGGACTAGAAGCCCATTTGCTGTCGCCTGCGGCGCTGTAGATAGCCCCCTTGGAGATCTGGTTGCTCCCAACCAAGCTGCAACACCATCAGAATGTCTCCTCACACCATGAACCCACCGTCGCCGCGCGCAAAACGTACCTGCTATCAACATATGCTGCGGGCACAGGAGTCAGCGCGAGTCAAGGAGGGGTAAAAGTTTCACGAACCTTGCCAAGACATATCGAAAGTTGTTTCTGTATGTAGTAGATTTACGGACGGGAAAACAGCGGTCGGTTTTACTTCTTTTCTGAAGAGTGCTGCCGCTCGAGTGCCGGGTCTGGATCGAGATGTTGGCTGATGGGTGGAGTTTTCTTGTTGTTGTTGTGACGGACTTCTGGTGTTTCGCAGCCAGGCCGAGTTTGAGCAATCGGTCGCTTACTCGTTCGTTAGTGGTAGTGGGGTCAGAGATGCGTGCGAACTTCTTGCTTTGTTTTCCCGTACCACTTTCAGCCTCTAGTGCTCAAATGACAAATCTCAATAGAACGATCTTGTTCAAGAAAATCGAATGACCAGAAAAAGGGGAAGTAGTTTCATCATTGTAACGTCTTGATTACAACTGAAAGAGATATAGCTACGGTCACGTTCTTTTGTGGGGCTTTGCCATCACATTCAAGGTCGGCCTGGCTCCAAAGGCCCGTTCCGCAATGCGAGAGGGCAAGACACGCATAAACCACGACTTTCAGCCTCGTCTTTCTGTGCATTTACCCTATGACACGATTTGAACTGCGAGGCGTCTCAGCAAGAAGTACCTTTCCATTCTTCATCTTCTGGAAGGCGCCATATCATATTGCTGTGCTTTCCCTGGTTCCAGAATACTGGAAGATTGTCAGGCTCAAGTGCTCTGAAAACGATCAGGTAGCGGAAGAAGTAACTCCTTTCTACGGCCTGAGGAGTGGCGAGAGGAATAATGGACGTTCGCCATCGAAGTTACAGGATTCAAGCAGTACGCATGAATGGACACCAAGCCACGGGACAATGGCCTTCCTACGCCACCAGAGAAGCTTAAACGTCGAGAGCTCTAGAAGAAGCACGTGATGATATCACGATCCTTCTTGTCCCCTTTCTCATTTCAAGAATGGCCATTAGTGAAGATATAAACATTGAAGATCATACGAACATGATCCACAGGTATTACGACACTCCCAGGCCGGGATAGAGCACGACTGCCTGCCAGATGATGATCTGCCTCCCTCGTCCCAGCACGGAGTCTCTTCGGGTCCAGCCAATCGTCGCGGCAGAAGGAGATTGAATGCTTGTTGTTGTCACAGACCTTTGAAACTGGTGCCATCAGCAGATAGAGTCGAGCAATATCAGATGATCTTGGGGTATGCTGGTACGGTACGAACAAAGCAATCTCAGTGATGCAGGTACAGCACCGCACCTCGATTGGCAAGATCTTGATACTCGTGTTCGGACGGCAACCCGAGGTAGATACCTAGGTGTGAGACCAGCATGTCAAATATATTGCAGCAATCATATCACGGTTTGTTATGTTTCTGGATTGGGATGCTCTCGCTGGCATTGAGTTTCTATCTTGGGGTTTCGAGCTACTTTTGATTCGTCATTATTCGTGTATCCTTGGGTGGTGCTGCAGTGAAGACGGAAAATCGAGGTGGTGGAGCACTGTCTTTCTTGTCTTTTGTTTCATCTCATCGCTGGTGTCGGATCACCGTTGTCCCTGTTCGACCCCTGGCCCTTCCCGGCCCTCTACTGTACCTCGCCTGTCATCTGCAGACCTCACCTCACCAACCCTCACCACCATGATATGCCTCCGAAAGTCTTCACCACAACAACACAAAATTTGCCCAGCGACGGGGAATGAGATATGCAACGACGCTGATACCAAGGAGCCAAACACGCCGCAATTCGCAACCCGAATCCTCGACAACCACAATTTTGGCTGTAATCAACTCTGAGGAAGCTGTCGATTTGAACCCTGCGACTGGATGCTCCTTAAGATTAATGCGGCCTCCTCCCCCCGGTCTGATACCCGCCAGTATCAACATCCCCCCAGCTCGGTCGCCTCTCTTCGCCTTTCCTCACCTTCCTGACCTTCTTTGCCTTCCAGAATGTGCCGCACACTCACCTCGTCCCTGTCAGAGTTGACGGCATCTCCACACTTCAGAGTGATTGCATCCTGGCCGGCGATCCAACCTGGTACCTGCAATCAAATTTCTTCCATTCAACCTCAAACATTCGAGTCCACTGCGGTAGATGCAGGGCTGAAGACGCCGTAGTCTCGTAGATAAGTAAAATGGCTCCTCGAGCTCTTTTCTTCGTCACCTTCTCGCCACGCACCCTCTCTTTTTTTTCCATCATCATTCTTGCTCAAGGGTTTCCTGGCGAACCTGTCCACTCCTTTATATCATTATTTTGTAATAAGCATAAACCAACTGTTGGTGGTTTCACCCACGCGGAGGCGAAGTCCAGATCCACCAATCGTACTCCAAACAATTGCTATTCCTGACGACGACCATGGTCAAATCGGGAACATCGTCGAAGTCGGTGTGGGCCCAGTTTGGTCTGGGAGGAAGAAGTCGAGACGCAGATGTTCCTAGTGCGCCAGTACGTGTATCAGAAGATGCACAGGCCAAGTCCTTCGACAAAAAGGCACCGATTCTGGTAGAGTTCACTGGACAGAATCGGGATCGACTGCCCGATAGACCTAGCACCTCTGCTGGACCTGCATCAAGCTTCGCAAGGAGAAAGAACGCCGAGAAGAGGGAGACGAAGGACGATTTGCACTTCAACCCTCTGGCGGTGCATGGAAGAGGGACGACATTTTATAACTTTCCCCTCCCGGGCTCGCTCCTTACACCTGCCAGCTCTCCCAAATCGTCTGCTCCTTCAGTTCATAAGTCCTCGCTTGCTCGACCCTCAACCCCGGAGTCGATGGAAATCACTCCCGCACCACCATTGGCGTCAGCAACAACAATGAACGTTCCTCAAGGAGAGATCGGGATGGCATTAGGGAGCCCATCACATGCACCAACACCATGGCAAGAACATTCCGTCGAGACGTATATCAGGCACGAGTCACCGGATCAAATGGATAGCTCAGTTGATGGTTCTTGGGATAATCCTCCTCTCAAGCATAAACCCAGTCGATGGAAGATCTTGGGGGGCATCTTTGGAGCTGGCAAGAAGCCACAACCTGCTTTCTACCAACTTCAACCAGAGACAACGCAACAATCCGAGTCTGATCATGTTCAAGAGCCTGTCGATAAGCGTCCAAAGTCTCGTGGTCGAGGATGGTCCAATTCCACCAGACGAAGAAACAACAAGCCTGAAATATCTAGGTCAAATACGCTTCCTGCATTCGACATGAGTGGAGGGCGAGCAGCAACCGCCACGCCAGAGATTACACTCGAAGGAGGACCTCTAATTGAAAATGCGTCGAGGTTCGCACAGAAAGGCGCTGGCTTACTTGATGTTGATATCCCGTCCATTCAGATGGAACGGTACAGCATCATGTTCAGTGGCGTCCTTCAGAAACCGCAACAGACATCGTCGTCACTTCTTGCAAGACGACAAGCGACACTTGACAAGCTCAAGACCGTCAACGAAGCACTTGCTTCGAAGGTTAGCCCTCATGTCCGCTGGGCTCCCTCCAATGAATGGTTCTAATGGAGGATGATAGGAACAAGAAATAGAAGTCAAAACTAGGCTTCTCTTACCACGAAGAGCGACATCTCCTTCTGCTATGAAGACACAGAGTCCAGCATTTTCGCTCTTTCCCAACACGCCGTCACGAACTAGAGAATTATCGCCATCCTCACGACATCGTCCGTCTGGCAGTCTTCACCGATCGAATACCTCACCAGCAGCTCTTTCACCTTCGCGTCCTTCGTTTGCTCCCGGCCCAGACAACGAAGCTCACGCACGACTCATGGCTAAAGAGCATGGCAGAACAAGTCCAGAGAAAAGGAGAGACGCTCAAGAATCGAGAACAAACAAGCTGAAGACTGAGGCCGGAAGACCTTCAACAGCATCCCCAACTCCAAAGCCCTCACAATGGTCGCCAGACAAGTCACATCTTACTCTGGACGACAATAGTGATAACGAAGAAGGAGACGAAGAGGTCGTCGAAGAATGTGAAAAGGAAGATACCTACGACCCAGCTCCATTTCCCATGAAGCCAAAGCTGGTTGAACCTGATTGGCAAATCATCAACCCACCTCACGCCCATGCTACCGCACCATCAGTCTCTGGCTCCTCAACATCCGGATCCAATCACTCGACCTCAGCATCCAACTCATCCAGCATCTCAACACCACCCAGTACCGGCCTCCCAGCAAAACCAAACATGCCCTCACCACCCCTAACATCCTCAATAAGCCCCAAAGCACAAGCACAAGCGCGTGCCCGAGCAGCAACAGTCTCAACCCGCCCACCACAAACCCGCTCCCGCTCCGCAACCACAACCACCATCCCCCGCCGCTCCCCTCAACCCAACCCCGAAACAATCGACTCGCCAACCCTCCACCCGGAACCAATCCGCTCCCTATCCTCGGCCATCTCTCCCTCTTCCGCCCAAGCACAATCCCGCCCTTCGCCCTCAAAAACCACCCCCGTCGACGAAGACGACGACGCAGAAGCGCGCCTCAAATCCCTAGCCGACGTCTCCATCGCCCGCCAGATCTCCGTCTCGCGTCAACAGCGCCAACTCCTCGTCCCGATCAAAACCTCGCTGAAATCCTCCTCTTCGAACGGGAGTTTGAAACGGAGTCCCAATCCCGTCAACGCTGCTAGTCCGCTTAGCGTCGTGGCTGGAGGCGGTGCAGAGGTGAACAAAGATGAGAAGGTTAAGGAGAAGGCGGTAGAGGCTGGAACGCCTACGCTTGTTGTGGTGGGCGAGGATCCGTGGGAGGGCCAGGGCGGGAGGTTGAAGAGTGCTAATGTGGGGTTGGCGGAGCGGAGGAGGTTGTTGGCGGAGAGAGATAGGGGTGAGAAAGGAGAGGAGATCAGTATCGGGTTGAGGGTCGGTGGTGGTGGTGGGGAGAGGGAGATGAGACAGAGGGAGTTGAGGGATTTGCAGAATCGGAAGAGTGAGAGGGTTGTTGTCGAGAGGGTTAGTGTTGTTTCTACTTCCTAGGTAGGGAAAGAAAGAGCTGTGGGTGGTGTTATCAAACAAAAAAAATACTCTGGTAGTAAGGTTTCTTCTTTTTTTGGCGGTGTTGGAAAAGGGTGGGCATTGGGTTGGAATGGAATGGAACGGAAGCATGGTGGAGTAGATGTTTGATGATACCAAATTTAAATGTGTTTTTCCTTCACTGAGCTTATTCGTTTGTGATTGACGGTTCAGAAATGTACTTCTGTCGAGTGAGTGAGCGCATGCTCGGATCAACTAATAAGAAATGCTGGAGAAAAGCCAATCTGGACCACTAGAGCCTCGATATAAGAGGGCCTTCCCGGTCCGCAAAAGAGAATCCGTCTATGTAAGTAAGTTTGGAGAAAAGCGCACGAGAATGTTTCTCATGCTCCTCACAGATAAGGACCTGTAGAGTGCGGGAAACGCACAGCTTTACCTTAGCTATAATTCCCATATGAGCGAGCGAGTCAATCGATCATCTTTGTGTTCGGTGTTAGAGAGCGGTCGATGTCTTTTTTTGATTAGTGAATTTTCTGTTCTGAATATCAGGGCCTGGATGGAACATCGTCAACAGCTCCAATCTCGGTCTGTGGGTTGGATATCGACTTTAATAGAAACAAGTTGCGAATTACGGACAACGTGAAATCGACAGATATTGACTTACTTCCTGCCAGACAATGCAGGGAGCTTCGAATCACAACCTAGGCTCAGGTGCATACAATTCACAGATTGGGCATCATTTCATGATTTGAGCATTAAGTATTACATTATCAGACCGATCGACTGATTAAAGTAGTCGCTCGCTCCACTCAACGCCAACCGATGCAGGTATCAATCATTCTCGCCCTAACAGACAGACCTTTATATAACACATCTCCGCCGAAAACGATCAAGCCCTCATCTCACTAAAGATGAACGGAAAGATCACCACGCACGCCTTCCAAAACACCAACACGCTCTCCTCAACCGCCAACGGGAACTTCCAGAACCCCAGCAGACTCCCCATCGTCTCCTGCATCACGATCCAGATGGACAAGAACGCCACCGCGAAGAAGTGATAGAACAGCACAAACGGCTGCCGAATGATGCCCGCCAGCAGTCCCACGGGCCCATCGACACAATTCCCGCCCCGCTGGAAATACTGGAAACAGCCTTTCTGCAGCGCTTTCAGCTGGCGGTCGTTGGCCGCGAAGAGACTGTACAGCGCCATGGCGAGGATGTTGATAATGGACGACAAGCCCTTGCGCTTCCAGTGGAACTCCTTCATGACTTTCTGGATGGCTTTCGTGTCGCCCAGATCGGGGATCTTTTCTGGTGCCAGCATCTCGGCCAGCAGTACAACGTCGTTGAACGCTACCGTCATGCCGCCTCCGGTCAGCGGATGTCGCATATTCATAGCATCGCCGAGGACCACGACGCCCTTTTCCATCTGCGTGGTTGGAGGCAAGAAACTGTTTGGCATGCTGCGCGGGATCTTGCCGTCTTGGATAGCGGCTTCGAAGCAGGGCTGTACTTGGAGGGGGAGGGAGGGCAGGATCACATTTCTGATGTGCCCGCGTACGCCGCCGTTGGCGACGGATGCGGAGGGTAGGTTCTCGGGGATGTCGATCAGGGCGCGGGTTTCGTGGGTGCCGATTTGGTAGAGGAGGACTGGAGATGCGTCTCCTAGGATGACGGTCCCGTGGTAGGGCGCTGGTAAAGGACAGTCGATCAGTTCGAGGGCGTAGAATTTGCTTTTGACTATGGGTTGTTTTCCGATGTATTGTTTTCGAAACCTTGAGGCGTAACCGTCTGCTATCACGGTGAGTTGGCCGAAGTAACAGTCGTCTTTCTTCTCTCCTGTTGATGGGTCTGTTGTCCGCGACTTGACACCAAGGACTTGTGGGTTGTGTGTGCTGGTGATGGTATCCACAACCTCGGTCTCGACTATTGTGATGTTTGGTTGACTCGCACAAGCCTTTCGCAATTGAGTTATGAATCGACCATGGTGGAACGCTCTTCCTTCTGGTCTGCCACCCTTTTCATTTGTGTACTCGTTGCTGCCCACTCTTCCCGTTACTCCAGCATTGGAGGGATATGGAATCTCGACTTCCTTTCCATAGTAGATAACCTCGTAGCCATGGACTGGTATGGCATCAATTCCTTCCAGCGTATGTGCGAGACCCAATTTCTCCAGAGCAGAAACTCCACCTGGTTGTAGTAACTCTCCCACAATGCGATCTGGTTCCTTCAACGACCGCTCGAGAAGTAAGACACTGCGACCCTGCTTTGCCAGCGCAAACGCAATGGCACAACCAAATATGCCTGCGCCAACAACTACTACATCTGCCTCATGATGGAGTCGTCTTCGCTGCTCGTTGGCAGCCTGGAATTGAGAGGAGGACATCGTATTCGGGTTGAGGAAAAGTGGTTGGGCAATGGCGAAAGGAGGGATCAATCAGCTTTTAGAGAATGTCAAGCATGTGAAGGCGACCTATAATGTTAAAGTTGGAATCAGGTACCTGCATGAAGCTTTCGGGATCGGAACATAGCAAGAAAAATATAGGGAGAATGAGCTGATAGTAGTACACGAGTACGACGGAGGGGTGAGATCTCGAACCACGAGGCGATAGATAGTAAGATGCGATTTACCCAGACATAATTTCTGACGGCGCGGCAACTCCCGGTGGTACGACTTTCCCTGGGAATCGAAGCAATTTCTGAAAGCAATTTCCCCGGAAAGGCCACCAACACGGGAGTTTTCAGGAGAAAGGTCTTTTTGGGGTAGAATAACATCTAACGTCAAATCTCAATCAAACAATTTCACACGACTCCTAATTATCATCACCGTCATGACTCTTTGTCGATTGTCTGCGCCCCTTTTTGAAGATCGCCACTGACGCGGTGAGAGGCACGTGATTGCTCTAGCTCCACCTGCAGCCCGATTAGCGCATCCGGCTCTTCAGATTTCCGTACCTGGAAGATGGCCTGAGCCGCTAGTCTTTGAAAATATTAAACATTCGAGGCGCGCTTCTCAACACAGTCATTATCGCTCCTCGTCTCCATCACTCCTTTGCGTGGCTGGCACAATGGACTCTCTTCTTGCGAACGGCACTCTCAATGCCACCCTGGTATCCTCAGACACTTATTTCGGCATCTACAACGAGTTGTCAAAGTACAACATTCAATTGAACATTTTCGAGCGACTTTGGGCGGTATGTATTTCGCAGACAGCGCCACGGAGCCAATGCTAATAAACAACACAGACCTGGTATGCCTATATGCAAAATGACGTCCTCGCGACTGGTATCATGAGCTTCGTCATGCACGAAGCTGTTTACTTCGGCCGGAGCATCCCCTGGATCATTATCGACCAAATTCCATACTTCAACAAATACAAGCTTCAGGGGGCCAAGATCCCGACCATGAAGGAACAATGGACATGCACAAAGCTGGTTATACTCAGCCATTTCACCGTTGAACTTCCTCAGATCTGGCTCTTCCATCCAATGGCCAAGTCCTGCGGTATGGATACCGGCGTCCCGTTCCCGGCGTGGCAAACCATGGCCATTCAGATTGCGATCTTCTTCGTCTTGGAGGATACATGGCATTACTGGATGCACCGACTCTTTCACTGGGGTTTCTTCTACAAGAACATCCATAAGATCCACCACCAATACTCTGCTCCCTTCGGTCTCGCTGCTGAGTACGCGTCGCCAATCGAGACGATGGTTCTCGGCGCCGGTACTGTCATCATTCCAATCATCTGGTGCTTGGTGACCCAGAATCTCCACGTCCTGACTATGTACCTTTGGATCACCTGCCGTCTCTTCCAAGCCATCGATGCCCACAGCGGATACGATTTCCCCTGGAGCTTGCACCATTTCCTTCCGTTCTGGGCTGGAGCCGAGCATCACGACGTTCACCACGAACAGTTTATTGGAAACTATGCCAGCAGCTTTAGATGGTGGGATTATGTTATGGACACCGAGTCTGGCCCCGAGGCCGCCAAGAAGAGACGTGAGCGCAAGCAAGCAAAGTTGGCAAAGAAGGCTCAGTAAATGCGCTGAAGAGAGGAGAAAGGGTGTATATACCGATGGCGGGTGCAGAGATGCACATAGGAGGAGCATTGTACAGTGTACGGGAAGAGGATGTCCGAATGCATGGCGGTTGGGGAGCATAGCATGGTAGTGCGGCGGTTCGCAGTCAATGGGTAATAGGATTCTAGTCTGGATTGGCTGGCTCTGTCTGCAACTACACGGCGTTTCTGAATTTGGGCGTAATGGAGGCTCCCCTAGAATCATACAGTAGACTACCTTGTAGTCACCTAATTAATAAATACATGACCTTACAACCTATTCTGCCTCGCTGCTCTCTTCCTTAATATGCTCAGCTTGATGCTGCTCAGTCTGTATCCTACAATCGCATTAACTCATCGCTACCAACCCAAACTCACTACACCTTCGAAGTCCCCTTCGGCACACAACAATCACCCCCCTCACTCGCAACTCGATCCACCAACTCCTTTCCCACCCCACCTGTTTCCCCCTTCCCCTCCCCCTCAACCTCCCCACATTCCCTCGCCCTCTCATCACAGAACCTCGCCATCAAAACATCTTTCTCCGATAACCCAGGCGGCGAATGCGTCGTCCAGCGTATATACGTCGTGTTGTACACCTATCCCAATCAATATCTTAGTCATGTGAGCCAAGAAAAAAAAAATCTTGAACGACGAGTAAAGGGAGAGTACATTAGACCACTCCGGATGGTGTTTCTGCTTTACGCATTCGGGGGCTATTTGGTTCATGAATTCCTGTTATACATAATACACTGTTAGTTAACCGCGTTCCTGGATCTTGGGTTGGGTTCATGGATTATATTGAGGGACGGGACGGAAGGGGAGGGGGAAAGTACCCAGCATTTCTTAAAGCCCTTGAATTTGAAGGCGCGCTCGATGCCGGCGCCGGTGGGGGTTAGAATCCATTTCCCGCCGTTGGAGAGGAGGAGGGGAGATAGGTCTGCGGTTCCTTGCTCGGGGACGTAGGTTGAGGAGAATGCGGGTTGGGGTTGTGTGGTCATGGTGCGGATGTAAATGTGTGGTTTGCGGGCTTGGAATAGGTTTGAGGGTTTGGTGAGAGTGGAGGAGTTTAGAGGGCGAATCTTCATTGTGGGTTGGAGGATGAGGGTTGGAGTGAAGTTGTTGATGATTGTGGTGGTGGTGGGAGGTGAAGTTTCATTGGTGAGTGTGAAGCGAGATGTATGGATACTATTTGGGATATCGCTCAGAATGAGGTGTCATAATATCGATTTCTCAATTAAACAGCTTCTTCGACGACTCAACTCAAGTTTCTCAATTCTCATATCATCATCATCTGGAAAGAAAGAGCCTCATTCCCTGTTTGGGTTAGTGTATGAAGTATCTCTTTTGAGTATAGCGCATTCGGATGAGCTGATATCTCGAAGCAGACTTCAGCCTCCACCGTTTTCCGTCTACCTTTTCCGTAATCCTAAAACGACATATGTCAACGCTGGCATGCTGTCGTCGCGTCCTTTGAATGGAAATTGAGCAGAAGCCGGGTGCTTCAGGTTCTATGTGGTCGCTTCAAAGGGCTTCGTAGTCCTGATTCCACCACCTCAGACCGAAATGCCCCAACACAAGCACGGTCCATGCTCGATGGTACAAAATCTTGCAGCCTAAATAAGCTCAACACATCTCAAGTTGACCTCGGTTTGCAAATCCTCCCGTTACTGAGCTCTTTCTGCAATCTCAGAATGATGTTGCTTCCATTCTTCCAAGCCACAAAACAGTCGGTGGCGTCGAGACATGGGTGGGAAAGTGATACGAGTCAGATGTGGAGTCATCAATTGGATGTTTTTCCGTCTTTTCGACGACGGCCTGCGCCGGGGAATATTGTCCCGGTTGCAAGCATCAGAGATCCTCCCACCAGGGCTGTTTTGTTGAAAGTCCCAACAAAATGGTTCAAGATATATGTCGAATATTCCTTTGGTATTGTGAGGATGTCTTCTTGATCTCAAGTTCTTGTTTTGAAGTGTCGTTTCGTTATTCTTTTGGTATATGAAACTCTACATTGGTTCTCGGATATGGCTTCAAAAACACAGGTTAATCCTGATAGAGAGGTCAAGAAAGTGCGTATTGTGGAAGAACCTACCACAGCTTCAAATTGGCAGCATGGAGATATCGATTGGGTAAATGTGACTTTTGTTGCTATCATTCCTCTTGTTGGTTTCATCGTGGCTTTCTCCACGCCCTTACTATGGAAGACGGCTGTATGGGCTTTCATCTACTATTTCTTGACTGGACTAGGCATCACCGCAGGTATCTTCAACTCACTTGTACATTGATCTGAGCAAAGACTAACGAGAAAAGGATATCATAGACTATGGTCTCATACGTCCTACTCTGCCGTTCTACCAGTCCAAATCATCCTCGCTGGTCTCGGCGGAGGTGCTATTCAAGGATCGATACGTTGGTGGTCTCGTAACCACCGAGCTCACCATCGCTACACCGATACGATGAAAGATCCATACTCGGTTCAGAAAGGTCTTCTATATGCCCATATGGGTTGGTTAATATTCAAGCAGAATCCAAATGAGGTTGGTCGAGTAGACATTTCTGATCTCAACCATGATCCTGTTGTCAATTGGCAGCATCGTCACTACGTCAGCGTTGCTCTCACGATGGCTTTCTTGTTCCCTTGCTTGGTTGCTGGAATCGGCTGGGGTGATTGGATGGGTGGCCTCATTTATGCTGGCATACTCCGTCTTTTCGTTGTGCAGCAAGCAACATTTTGTGTTAATTCACTCGCTCATTGTAAGTACCCAGACACTGAAAACCCCTGCTTCCAAACATCCATCTACGTCATCAAATAGATTCAGAACAATCTCGTCAGCTATTTGCTAACTCTCTCATTACCCAGGGCTCGGAGACCAACCATTCGACGACCGCAACTCACCCCGAGACCACGTAATCACCGCCCTCGTTACCCTCGGCGAAGGGTACCACAACTTCCACCACGAATTCCCATCCGACTACCGCAACGCCATCCAATGGTACCAATACGACCCCACAAAATGGTCCATCTGGCTCTGGAAACAAGTCGGTCTAGCCAGCGACCTGAAAACCTTCCGCCGGAACGAGATTGAGAAGGGTAGATTGCAGCAACTGCAGAAGAAACTCGATGAGAAGAGAAGTACTATCGATGTAAGATCCCCTACCCTTTCCCGATTACCCTTTAAGTTGCGAGCTAATTGCATGTAGTGGGGAACTCCACTCGCCGACCTTCCCCTGCTGGACTGGGACGAATACACAACCCGCGTCGCGGGCGGCGAAGCACTCATTGCTATCGCGGGCGTGATCCACGATGTGAAGTCTTTCATTAAAGATCATCCGGGCGGCAAAGCGCTGATTGCTTCGGCGATAGGGAAGGATGCTACGGCGATCTTTAATGGTGGCGTCTATAATCATACGAATGCGGCGCATAATCTGCTTTCGACGATGAGGGTCGGGATGCTTAGGGGTGGGGTGGAGGTTGAGATGTGGAAGAGGAGGGATGGGAAGAGTGAGATGGCAGGGGTCTATTAGAGATTGGTGGTGGTTTCCATGGTCGGAGTTTCTGGTGGGAGAATTATTTGATTCGGCGAGTGATGTACAGAGTCGGGGCTCGAGGGCAATTTGTGGAGCGTAAAGAGAAGACTGAACTTGACTTACGACGATTCTTTCTATGATACATGCTCTTGCTCTGATGTCTTACTCGTTAGGCGTCCCGAGACTATTTGAGAGGTAGAGAGGCGATCTAGGCATTGAGCTCATATCTCGGCTGATCTATGACTTGCGTTACTGCGCCTTGCATGCACTCTACAACAGTACACTTGCTGCATGTGTCCTTCGAATGGCCTACCAGTTTTGGACCACGGAAAAGCAAGTAATATTTGTGGCGGGCAAACCTGGTCAGTCCTACCCTTTGAGCAAGAGAGGGAAATTCTGACGGCTAATTCGTAGTTATGCTGCGGACAGGCATTTTTGAAGTGAGTTCAGAGTGGTAATAGACCAAAGAACTTGATGGGCGCGGCAGGCCTGACACCGTTCCAATGCTACTTGATGTAAGGCATGTGCTCACACCAAAGCCTGATGTGGCGAATCCAAGGCGAAATGGTGGGTGGGTGGGATGCATATAGCTGAGCGAAACGGAGCCACGGAACTTTCAGAGTCAAAGAAGCTTGGTGTATTTAGCCAAACCAATTAAAGAACCTGCTGTACGTACAACCAACAACAGTCAGCGAATTCTTATCACCAGCATGTCCAAGAGCCCTCCAACTCTCTATTTGCCTTCTTCAGAATTCCTTCTGAGCGGCAGAATATACATGACAAGATGATCATAGAAATTATGATTGGTTTGGGCCTCGGCTATCTCTCATGGAGCTTGATCGCCATGGAAATTAATTACCGGCGTGCTGCAGCCATTGGCATCCCACTCGTGAGGCTTCCAGTGGATCCCATGAATTTGGTTTGGCTCATCTTGGAACCTTCTTTATGGAACATCTTGGACAAAATTCCCATTGATTGGGGTACTTTTGGTCGCTACTCACGCAGAGGATGCCATTTTCATGATAAAGCAACATCGCATTTGAAGTATGGCCCTGTTTGGGCTCTAGTTACGCCTTGCGATATTTATATCTATTTTTCAGACCCCGATGCTATACATGACATATTCATGCGCCGTACGGACTTTCTTCGCCCATCCAAGATGTATAGTAAGTTATCCATCATCGCATATTTGGGCATCTCCTTAACTCCAGTAGAGCTTCTCGAGGTTTATGGACCATGTATATCTACGGCAAGCTTGGCGGATTGGCCAAGGCATAGAAAGGTTCTTGCTACACCTTTTAACGAAAGCATCATGAAGTTCGTCTGGGACGAGGCACTCAGTCAAGCTAAAGGACTGTTGGAGCTATGGACAGATGATTCAAAGTCAGAAGAAATATCTTCCGCCAAAGATACCCGCACCCTGTCTTTGAATGTCCTAGCAGCCACTGGATTTCGCAAATCATACAAGTTCGACAGCGCAAGTCAAACGGAGACTAGCTATCGAGATGCGCTACAGAAAGTCCTGGACAATGTCGTACTTCTTATGCTGGTTTCTCCAAAAGTTCTTCAGCTGCCCTTCATGCCCAAGTCTTGGACACAAGTGGGTCGGGCAGCTGTTGATTTCAAAGTTCACATGGAGGATATGCTGAATGAAGAGACGCAACTCTTTGAGGAAGGCAAGATGGGAAGCGGAACCTTGATGACATCATTTGTCAGAGCTTTGGGAGTCCATCAGAAAGAGGAAGCAAACTCTCAAACTTCTCAACCAACCTCGAAAGGCCTGACAATAGATGAGATCTTCGGAAACATCTTTGTTATCAACTTCGCTGGCCATGACACCACCGCAAATACTCTAGCTTTCACTATGATTCTCCTTGCGGCATATCCGGACATTCAAGACTGGGTTTCAGAAGAGGTGAACGTGATTATCAATGATGAGCGTGATACTTGGGAGTACGAAACTCTTTTTGGAAGACTTAAAAGGTGTAGAGCTGTGCTGGTATGCGGACTTTTCCTCCCTTGATACTGGTGCTGACTTTGATCATTAGCTTGAGACACTTCGCCAGTTTCCACCCATAATGGCCTTGCCTAGATGGAGCAACGACAAATCACAGGTTCTGCGAGTTGGAGACCAGACAATTGTAATCCCTCCAAATACAGGTGTTATGCCCAGCATTCTTGCAGTTCAGATGCTCCCAAAATACTGGGAAAAGCCTCTCATTTGGAACCCTAAGCGTTGGATCTCAGTTTCATCTAACCAGAGCTCTCTAACAAATCCATCTGATCAACTTGACGGGGAGGAGATTATCACTCCATCTCAGAGCACATTTTTCCCTTGGTCTGATGGTCTACAGAACTGCCCTGGTCAGAAATTTTCTCAGGTGGAATTTGTGGCAGTGATCGCTGTTCTTTTACGAGACCACCGTGTAAACATAGTTCGCAAAATAGGGGAGAGCTTACAAGAAGCAAGAGAACGTGCGTTAGCAGTTACACAAGATTGTAACATGGAGCTGTTACTGAGGATGAAGGATGCTGATCAAGTGCGCTTGGTTTGGGCAAAAGCGGAAAAGTTTAGATCTTTCGACGGTCATTTTATCATTTAACCATGAATGTACGTCTAGGGAGTAGTGGAAGTCTTATGTGAGAGGGTACGTCATTAGGATATACTCTCACATGATATTCGATGGATAAGGATAACAAACACGCTAGTGTATTATATTAGAAGAATTTTCAAGGTAACTCTTTCCTCTTTGTAGACAACTTATCATGATACTCGAGCTCTCCAACCTTGTCAACTGCTCCCCCCTGACAATATATCACATCACCCTGCTCACAACCTTCCCCCCCTGTTCTCCTTTCAATTTTACCCACCTAACCACCTGATCTTGTCTTATTCTTCTTATTATCTCAACGTGAGCCTTTATTAGCGTGGAACTTTTTTCCAATACCGTGAAAATGTACGAATATCCAATATCTTCTCGCCCCTTCTTTGATACCCACGACTCCCCATTCCCAACTCCTTCTCCTTGTTCTTCGTTATGAGCATGGATATTAACATCCCGTACGACAAGTTGGATTTTTCTAATATTTTGGAGGCTTGAAAGTGGTGTGATAGTCAAGAAACTGGAAAGTGTTGGTATATGGAGGAATGAGAAAGCTGGGACGCTGTAGATGAGGGGAAGACATTCGGAAGACCTGTATAGGCATTAATGCGCCTGCTCCTTCACTTTTCGATACTTTCAAGTCCAATGAAACAGAGTAGCCGAAGTACTGAAACATAGAACAAAACACTGTATAATACATGTACGTCGTAGATCCGACGTTGAGCACCAGGAAGATAATTACCCCAATGACAACTCCAGCAGGGTCATTGTACTGCTTGCTGGGGACGCACATTTGTGATCGACCCGCTGAATTAGGATCAAAGAAGATGAACAGCTCGAGTCGAATGAATGAAAGACAGATACGAACATCAATTTACAGCACAACAACATCCCAAACCCCAAGCACTGAAATGATTGTTCGAATGCACCATCCTGAACTCTACTTTCCCTGTCTCCCAGATGCGAAACCCCGCAACACCGTCTATGCTCATCTAACCATGTGCAGTATTGCTCCAAATTTGTGTAAACAGGTGAGGATGCGTGAGTAGGGCAGCCGAGGCAGCGTCTTGCCAGGAAATTATTTCTCGTTCTGGTCTCATTGTTCCAGGAGAGAAAGATAAATGAGAAATATCTGACGAATTCGTAATAAAAGTCATGTAGTATATGTGCTCGAGGTCTACTTGGTATGTGAAATTTTGTGGGAATTACTGCAAAAGGGGGGGTCAGTCACGTGAACGCGGGGTTGATCTTCAAATGTGAATATGATGTTGAGATATGATCAAGTATAGGAAACTGAAATTAGGAACATACTGTGAATAGGGCGATTGCAAGTCCATGCCCTTATCACGTATTTGTAAATATGTTCTCGAATTTCCGGAGGGAGTCTGGCGAAGAAGGGAGATTGGCTCTGTGGCTTAGGTGTTCTGTCCTTTTGGTAGAAAGAAATAAAATCTGTGAGCATCTTGGTAGTGTGAAGAGTCAACTGTCACTCTGGGAAGAGGAGATGTGTGTTGTTATACAGAGGTGCAGCTCTAGGCAGCAGGATAGAATCCACCTACGCGGCTCGCCTGTTCTCCTAGCATTGGTAAGATATCTACAATACAAGATCCCTACAGTCAATGCCCCTCCAATATCTGATTGCATATTGGAGATTTAAAAATTAACAAGAGAGACTTAGGAGATATACTGTTAAGTCACCAATTGGTGCACGAGCGTACGCGCCTGGGCATGGAAGGAGGGAGTTGTTGAACTCATATTGAAGTTGACTTCCCCACCCTATTGAAATTGGGTTGGATTCATTAAATTGGTGCTAGAAAGCATGTACCGTAAAAATTACAATAGAGAATAGTACTGTTCCAGAAGTGGTAGGACAATGTAAGCGGGCCATTTCCCAAATGGGAAAAATCATGCACAGTATCCACTCATGCATAACACACTTAGTCCTAGGATCTTGATGTAAAATAAATATCGGTAAGTATGACAGATGATGACAAGGCTTAGATCTGGAATACAGTCTACCATAACGCACCTAGGGTTCCCTTTACCCGATTCTCGCTCTATCAACCACTTCGAAATTGTTCAAGCTTTAGACTTCGATGTCTAGGATCTCAAGCACACAATAGCCTTGTCCAAGATGATCAACAGATCGTCAAATGCGTCTTGCTCTAACTCAAGCCGTTCATGAAATTACAATCACGTGGCTTGTCGACCCCTATTTTTGCCGAGCAACACGACAAGGTCCACTGGCTTTGTCATCATTGTCTTGAGATATCATGATAGTGAGATGATAAGCTGAATAGTTACAACAATCAAGCATTCAAACCATGTGTCATTGGCATGTACTGACGAAGATCTAATTTTCGGCTCAAAGCTAGGTAGGTGGGCGTACTTCTGTGATGACAAATCCACAATTAAAAAACCCATATATGATCGTAGCTACAGATATTGTCAAAATTCCCCAATCTCTAAGTTCTATGTATACTATCAACGGTGTTCCCTCAAGTTTGTGCCTCCTCTTTGCACGATTGGTCTTTTCATGGCGAGGATCAAAGATTGTGGAGGACTCCAGTTGACCATTTCGGCTTAACGCAGAGCCTATTATTGGAGGCGCAAGCTCAAGCAAGGAGGCCTCGCGATTCAGCCAGATTCTGGGTCCATCTTTAACTGCCATTAATTGTTCCCTGAGTCCATTGCGGACTCCCAGTTATGCTCGATAAAACCGCAACATGCACGATACCCGTGCTGACATAGAATATCCTCACATTTCCCAGCCAGCTTACAACCGAGAAGCCGCTACCAACATCCACGCTCGTCAGCTGTGACCACGGTGTCTGGGAGATCTCCGTCCACTGCCCTGAGTTGGTAAAAGTTTCATTTATGATATTATTCGATGACACCATCTCCACGCGAAGGTAGCCACCGCTACTATCAGCGGTCGCAGGCTCGTAGCTCGCACCAAATGGTAAGCTTGAATTCAGGCCTGTGGTCGCTTCGAGAATTGTGTAAGCTGAAGTCGGTCGTCAGCTAGTCTCAGATATGATCAGGATCTCTTGCATTGGGTCAGACAACTTACGAGTGTTCCAGCTGCCCGGATCCGTGTTGTTGTACACTTTCAAATTACCAGACGGATCAAAGTACACGACGCCAAACATAAGATCTGAAGCGACAGTATTCATAAACGTGCTCAAGGACGTTCCGTCACGCATCAATAGGGTACCTGGCTTGTCTCCCGTCCATGCTGAGCCACTGGTATGTTGAAAGCCTTCTTGTAAATAGCCCGTTGAATTCTGATAATACAGGCGTGGGCCCTCATATGTATTGACAATCGTGAGGTCAGAGGTCGAAGATGGTGCGGTCCAACCAGTCGAGATCATAGTGTTACTGGAAATGCTGCAGGTCGAGGACGTCAAAGACGAGGAGTTCGGGCAAAGGAGGACGCATTCGATGATTTGATCAGAAGAATCCATGTAATACGAGTAGATCTGGAATAGCGGATTAGTAATCAAGCCTTATAGATATAGACCCAACGTGAGCAGAGCAATGAACATACAGTCGTTGTTGCTGAGCTGTCTATAGTCGCGTATGCTGTCATGGGTGACAAAGCCTTCGGCTGTATGGACACTGGCAGGAGTTGAGGCGGCTGAAAGGCCATTGAAACAAGAGATGATTCATGAAGCAGTCGATAAACAATCTCGTTCGTGGTAGCATCTTGATACAGGAGAGCGAGTCGATCGGTGCTACTCTTGGTTGTCTCACTGTGGAAGATCTCAGAGTTAGCAATATTTCTCTAAAGTATGATCAAGGAGCGCAGTGAATGGTGAATTATGTCTCGTGCTTCGTGAGACGCATGATTCCCCTCCAGAGCCATTTTGAAAGAAGAAAAAAATATCGTAGATCACCTACTCAGTCGTGTAAGTCGCTGCGATTGAATTGAGTTTTAAGCTGGTTGTCGGGAGTGGGGTAGAAGACGAAGTCCCAGCTGCTGAAGTACTACTTGAAGATGTACTAGTTGCTGATGTACTTTGAGACGATGATGCAGAAGTAGTCGCGGAAGTTGCTGCTGATCTGTATATATATATGAAGTGTCAGTAGATTGTTATTTGTCGCTATTGGCAAGGTGATCGCAGAGAATATGAAGGGCTGGATGAGACATATGAAGACCTGACTTTTTCGAATCTTTGCTGGCAACAGACCCTCCAACACCTCCCCCCACGGCTCCAGCAATTACCAATAACAGCAAGGCTAGTAACAACCAGAACCACTTCACACCTAGGCCACATATCCGCCTGTCGTTATTGGGTGTCGATTGATCGGGGCCATGGAAACCGATCGGAGGACTACCGTACAATGGTGACTTGATGTCGTGGTTCGAGTACTGTTGTGCAGGTACATTCCGATTCGCTACTTCTAGATCTGAGGGTGGGTTATGCTCAAGGTTCGAGTAAGTTCTTGTACTGTCACTGAAGGCCCCTGAGCCCGGAACGGGACGTCGAGGAATGAGCGTAGGGTACTGTTCGTGATCTTGCTATATAGTAAATGTCAACACTGTACACATGAAAATGCAGGAGTGAGCTTACAAGATGTTGCGCGCTAATATGGGAATTGGATTGATTGACACTCATATTCGGACTGCTACTGGGATCGTGGTGCTCTTGAAATACCGCATTCTAGCTCATCACAGATAGTCAGTGGTCTTGTTACATCTCAGCCTTGTCGTCCATTGGGCCTAACGAGGAGCATACACTATTAAAACTCATGTTCGTGAACAGAAACGCACAAACATCTCACTTGTAATCACCGCTAATAAACCATTAAGCAAAACGGATAGAGACGAAGTGTGCACAATCGCATCGAACCGCGAAAGATGCGGAAAGTTCAGAACGGGGAGTCTCAGTCGAAGCAACTATTAGTCTATGTACCACCTAATGCGACGCCCTGATACCATCCTTATCCTGGAGGAATCCTTCGCATGCACATGTCTTGATACGGAGTACAGCCCAATCAATATGCATCTCCGGAGCATCTTGAGTCTCCAAGTCGAATCAGTAGCAGCCACACAAGTGACAATCCTTGAGCATGTAAGGCACTAGGCCGCATCTCGCAAATGAGAGACGATAATGTGAAGATTTGGGGGCCATCGCGGCTGTGAAGGATGAATAGCCCCGTCACTAACGATGCAATGATCATGTTATCCTTGTCGAATGGACGGCAGGCTCAGATGAGCTTGTAAACTGAGCTAGTTCTAGATGCGGAATTGATAAAAATGGCATTTGTTCAGATGGCATCAACACCAACAGAGTACAGCCCACACCAAGACAGGGTGCCATGCCGCTTTAGCTAAGCTGGGAATTTGAGTTTGGAGACATCGCTATGCAGCCTTGCATCGCACGCGAATTATAATTTTATTTAATTTTGAAGAACGAATTTGTTTAGAATTAATCGTGTGAATACGGACATGCATCAACTATTTTGCAAGGCATCGATTATTGTCTCACAGTACTGAAATCTAGTGCTGTGCAGCGATAATGTGCAGTCAATATAAATCACGGAGTCATACATCATCAAAATCGTTATTTCCTATACTAACATCCTCAACTTTCAGCTCGCCGTGTAGGAAAAATTTGGGTTCTCTCAAAGTATGTACATAGTATCAAGACTCATATCTCCTTCCAAACCATTCGTGGTGGCTCCTTCTGCAATAAGCTTTTCCTTCTTTGCATTTCTGCGTCTAAGCAAAAGCCAACATCCGGTATAGAGGAACCCAGCAACGACTGTGAGACCAGCAGAGATAGCATTGCCAGCTATGTAGCGCGGTCCTTGTTGGCTGGGGTATAGTTGCGATGATACCACTGCAGATACATTTGCGATCGAATATGCCAGTGGCATTCCAATTGCACGTTTGGTATCTGGAGATAAGTTTGTAGCTATCCAAGTGACTGCCAAAGTGGAAATGGGGTAGAGCCCTACTCAGGTGTTAGTAATTGATGCAAAATGTCGAACATTGATTCGACTCACCTAAGACGAGTATGAACATCCCAGCGTAGCCTGCTCCGGGATGTGCAGTCCCTACGCAGACAAGATATCCAACTGCAACGGGCACGCAGCACCCAATGATGAAAACGCCCCGTCGTTTGAGCTTATCCGAGTAGTAAACTTGAATTATGAGAGACGTGGCGCCAAGAACGTAGACTGGAATGGTCATATAGTTGACCCGAAGAGATGCATATCTACACCCGATCAGTAAGTTGCTCGAAAAAGTAATTCAGCACATGTACTCACCCAAGACCAGCAATGATAGTAGGTAGGAAAACACCGAAACCATTTATAGCAACAGAGGATGTGAAGAAAGCTATGCCAAGAAGCCAGACAAAAGGGTCTGTGAGAGCAATCTTAATCCACTTGCGTTCGAACTTGTCTTCTCCTCTGAGTGCAAAATCCCGTATCTTCTTCAGACGCATGGTTTCTTTCTCTTCTTCATTCAAAAACCATGCTGATTCGGCAGAATTCGGGAGGAATATCCAGCCAACGCCGCCAACAAAGATTGTTATGCAGAATTCAACAATGAACAACCATCTCCATGCTGCGAGTCCATGTCTGGTTCCCATGGTCTGAACAGCGTAAGCGAAGAGCCCGCCGAAAGCACCAGAGATGCACTGGGCCAGATTGGTCGTCATGATACGCTTTCCTGCAAGCTCTCGAGGGTAAATGGTAGAAAATAGGTAGGCGAAACCTTGGGCAAGACCTGCTTCGGCAGCATTTAAGATCATACGAACAGCGATAGCTTGGCCATAAGTGTGGATGAATGCAGTTCCAAGTGTAGTGGCACTCCATATGACGAAAGCAGTGCCGATAGCTTTATTGGCACCCCAGCGTCTGACGGCCAAGACCCAAGGAAGTTCGAAGACAATAGTACACACACTCGAAAGGGTATTGATATTGCCGAACTCGCCACCTTTGAGGCCGATGTCTTTATCGAAGCCAAAGACTCTGGCATTTCCAAGCTGATCAATAATTAGTTAATGTTACGTCCTGGGGGTTTCGAGTTCACTTACATTGTTCCGGTCGAGACTGGACAATACCAAGAAAATAACTGAAACAGGCAGCACGTATTTATCGAATTTTCTCAGAGCGGCTCTCTCTTTTTCGGGGTCGATCTCTATGACTGTGCCTATATCTTCGGCAGTATAGTGAGCAGAGGCTTTGGTGTCGGAGTCCACCATGGGAAGCTCCGACTTTGTATCGAGTGTTTGCTTGGAGTCCATCTTCGTAGCTTAGACAGTACTGAAAGCAAGTGTGCTTTGATTGTGAATTTGCGAAACCGCAAGTAGCTTGTGAAGAAATGATTCCTACATTTTGACGAGTCGTGTATCTATATACCTCATGGTCTTCAATTCGCAGCTCTAGCTATTGTCTACTTTGACTGAACATCGCATACATGATAAGAATAACGGGAACTTAGATAATCGATAGGGCCGCGGGCTCAGTCGGACAAAACCTAGCCTTGGTCTCGTTTGCATCCCACTTTCGACACAAAATGCGTGGAGTGGCTTGTGATTCACATTGATAGCCCTAGAGTATCCGCTTTAGAGTTAGTGTCGGTTTAGTCCGAAAGCTCATTGCGGACATCTACTATCAACTATCAACTTCTCTATCACGATAGAGACAATCACAGCTTTGAAGTCGATTTTCAGAAATGGATACCAGGATATCGAAAATGCATTCTCCATCGGTCCGCGGCCAAAGGCTTGCGAAAGGCGTAACTGCATGTCAGAGGTAAGGTGTCATAAGCGATACGATAGATGGCTGAAGGCTTACACTTGATAGATGTCGTCGGAGAAAACAGAAAGTATAGTGATAGCTATTGCCCTTATCGTAGAAAGATATCTATATCTCTGACGATTGGGGAACAAACAGTGTGATCTAAAATATCCGAATTGTTCCAATTGCGAAAGCGCCCACTCCCAATGCTTAACTTATCACTCGGGAAAACAAGCTGAGGCAAGTTCGATGCTAAGTACTGTACATGACAAATGGCTGAGGCTCTTCAAGGTACCCCGCAACTACGTGTCGAATCTAGAGGCACAGGTAGAGGAGTTGAGGCGGGAGAATCAAGAATTACGCACGCGGACTCAGTCCAGTTTGGTCAATAGGGAAAGTGCAACTTCACCTGGAACATGTTCTTCAGGAGGACAGGAACTTAGCACCTTGCCCGCAGGAAGTCCTGCAACATCTGATGCCAGCTCGGGCCACTTCCAGGACTTGGTTAAAAGTGTGAGGAATGTTGTCGTTGAGCCATCGAGACAACCGCGCTTTTTAGGACAAAGCAGTGGCATCACGCTTGCAAGATTGGTCATGGCAGCAATCCGAGTCGAAGACCTTCCCTCTCCACTATTTTCTGAACAACGATCCTATGACCCCTCTTCATCTGCGCCACCGGCTGAGGCCTCTCTTCCTCCCCTTCATGCTGCAGAGCATCTGGTCGAGGTCTACTTTCAGTACCGCACTGCGCATTTGCCAATTGTAGACCGGTCACAAGTCAAAGAAGCTCTTCAGAGCGCATACTCCTCTGCGAGTGGTCGCCAGCTCTCGGATCATGCAGTCGAGAAAGATATTTTTACGACTTACATGATCTTCGCAATCGCGCTGTGTGATGTACCTAATCCAGCTGGGGGCCGACCAACCCAGAGCGAGGGCTGCTTCAGGTCCGCAATTGGCTGGATTGAGAAGGTCATTATGTACTCGAAAAGTGATCTCGAAACTCTGCGTGCTGTGCTCCTACTGGCTCAATTTGTCGCATTGTGTCCTTCTCGAGGAAGTTTGTGGCATTTGACTGGCATCGCCCTACGTTTATCTATCGACATAGGCCTCCACTGGGAATCTGAAGAACAATCCTTGAATATGGACCCAGACATGTTGCACGACCGTCGACGATTATGGTACTCTACTTACCAGTTCGACCGTGTATTGTGCATCACTCTTGGGCGTCCATTTGGCATCATTGATGAAAGTGTAAATGTCCCGCTTCCAGATTCTTGGACGGGATCTCTTAATGAAGTGGACGGTCACAGTCAACGAGCTCACAACCACTTGTTTAATATGTCGAAACTGGAGTCTGAAATCAAGCATGTACTACACAGCCAGGCTTGGACACCGAGGCTAGCATATCCTAGGGTGAACTACGCAGCCTGGGTCCAGGACATCCAACCTCGTCTACAGGACTGGTATGCTACTATTCCACCGCCTAGTAAAGCTCATGCGTCTTCCATATTTGCTAGCCAGGCCTACTGGGATGCCAAATATAACAATGCGATCCTCCTCCTCTATCGGCCTGCTTCAATAGTCCTGCATGCGTCGACTGAGGAGTTATTCATATCTTTTGATGCGTCTTGCAAGTTGATTGCAAGCATCAAGATCTTACAACGAGAAGGAAAGATCGATGTGCTGTGGACAACCGTTCATCATCTGTTCATGGCTGGCCTAGGAGTCATATACGGCCTCTGGCACTCACAAGAGATACGAAGCCGACATCCCGTCAGCAAAAGTATTTCTACTCTTCAATCCTGCGTCTCAACTCTCTCTGCCCTGTCAGAGAGCTTCCCTGGTGCTGCAGGTTGTCGGGACGTTTTTGATACACTCTCTTCGGCGACAGTCGATTGGCTGGTCACTCATGGAGCCGAAAACAATCGCATGGAGATTGAAAAACAGATGGAAGACCTGCTGCAGCAATTGCAGCCATCGCGTGGAGGCATGGTCACCCCGAATGAGAATTATGCCAGCAACATGTCAGCTATGCTGTCAACTGATAACTTTGCCTTTAGTGAGATGCTTAGTTCTGCCGCGCAATGGCCGGATTCTTATGATATGAATCTTGGTAGCATAAGTAACGACTTCATGACAGGAACAATAGAATAAGGGCAAAACTTCTCTCATGATGAGAAAGTGGGGTTGCAAGAGTAAAGATCAGAAATTCATTGAAGTGCAGACAAGGGGAGAAGAACACAACAAATGTCTGAAACGCGTGAGAAAAACGATACAAATTGATTTCATGCTATGTAGATCCCTGTTTCAACACCACTATGAAACTTTTGAAAATATGCAACATTACTTAGCGACCGCAATCCCATCGTGGACAATGGATTCGTAGGCAAGAGGCTCTTTCACCAGACGAGCATCTCGGAGTCCCAGCTGCCACCGATTGAATCCTTCGCGGGGCACGGTAGTAGTAGTCCACATACCATTGCGCCGAAACGCATTGGTTACCTTAACAGCGACATCGACAGGAACAGTAGGAAACAGCTCAGCGAGTTCATCCCGAAATGATTCAGCGTCGTGCTGGAGCACCCAATCTATGCCTTTACCAAGCGCAACACAGAACCGGTTCTGCGCGTCAATGACCTCCGGCGTGATAGTCGCAGTCTCTCTGTAATACACACTCCACGGGACGTCCTCTTGCTCTACCATCTCCATAGCAATCGAGACATTGGGATTACGGTCCACCATAGCCAGCGCAGAGAGATTATCGGTAACAAAATAATCTCCCATACCGCCCTGGAATAGATTCCCCAACATAACACCATCGAGGTCCTGGATATAATCCAGAGACCTTGGATCGATGTCATTCTCGCGCATCAACATCTTGAAGAAAAGGCCTACGCTGGCTCCGCCGCCCGATTTCATAAGTACCGTCTTGCCAACCATATCCTGCAATTTGAAGCCGTCGTCATGGCCCCGTCTAAGTAGAGCGAGAGGACAGCGATTCGCGATCTGTGCGAAGACGGTGTAATTCTGTACTCGGTCCCGGTACATGGACGGCACCCAGATGCCGCCGAGAGCCATGTCGGCTGTACCATCGGCGAGGGCGTCGAGCACGCCGTCCCAAGGGACAGGGATGTTCACAGTGACGTGGAGGCCTTGTTCTTGGAAAAAGCCATGTCGGAGCGCGATATACTCAGGGAGGTAGTTGAGGTTGTAGCCAGTGGCGGTAAGGCGAAAAGGTTGCGAGATTTGTTGCCTCCCGTCGTTAAACGAATCTGGTGTGATTGGTCCTGGGTCACCCATTGTGTGTTGGAGCGTAATGTACGAAACAGAGGTAGGAACGGTGAGAATGTTGATAAGTGCGTTGGAATAGAAAAGAAATCAATCCTGCAAAAAGAAAATTGCACTCACATCACCTTTTCCTTTCATATAAGCAACTCCATGCCACCACCCTTTCGGGTATATCACTATCGTCGGAAAAAAGCGAAACGTATTACTTATCGTACAAAACGCCACAATATCGGAAAATCACTATCAGAAATCAGTATCTGATCGGAAACTTCCTAATAGAAGCTATCACTTGATGTTCACTAAGTTGCAATTCAGATAACAGAAATTTCTTTTTCAGAGTTGCAATCTTTTGATTCCCCTCAGTCTTGGGGCGGGGTCGGCAATAAGCGAGCCCCTGACTCAGGGAAGCGACCGCCCAACATTGACCTGGACAACAAAGGCACCTGAAAAGCAATTAATGTTTATTAAACTTACAAATGACAATCAAACGAACAATCTGGATCAAATCTCTATATGTCTCGTTTTCGAATGCCAACCACTTCCCCCTAGGTAGCTTTCTCCTCTCTCAATCACGTGCAGGCTGTCAGCAACCTCCATACGAAGGTCTGTTTTATAAGTGGTGGGAATACAGGGCAGTCTGACCAATATTGCGCTATAATCCTCTATAGCGTGTACCCTGTCAAGACCGTACTCTATGTTTTTAGGGATTACAAGCTGTAAATTCGGAAATTGGGTTCGAGCTATAGCGACGATTAGCGATTGAGGCCCTACAGAGCCCTGTAAGATTACATTTAGTGGGCCACGGCACCTGATTATCACGCAGCACGCTGAAAGAATACCAGTAGTCCGATCAATTTATAGCTGTACTGACATGACTTATAGAGATCACTCTATTATGAAGTACATGCAGCTGAAAAGTACAGAGTATTGCAGTGTATTGAATGTCCAGAATTTGCCGGAACATTGCCGCTGGTATCTGGTAAAAGCATCCCCAACCCCCCTTCGAATGATACCACCTTGTCTATCAGATTGAGCACAACATCCCAATCTACCTCAGTTGCCGGCCTTCGATCACGTGGAATTTCAGAGCTTGCGGAGAACTATTCCTGGCTATTGCATAAGATTGACAACATCCAAAGAGGCACACCACATAACTTCATTTCATTCATCAAAACCTAGTCCACTTGCCCAAATCAAGAACTCGACCCAACAGCACCCATCCACCTATCCTCCCCCTCCTTCCCCTTCCCCTTCTTCCCATCATCAACCACCTTCGGTGCATCGGGAATCTCCACCCCCACAACCTGATAAACCATCCCCAAATACCCATCACTCACAACCCAAACATCCAGCCTCCTGCCATCACTAAACGTACCATCTTCATTCTCCGGCAACTTAATCACCGCTCTCGCACTTGGCCTAGGAGAAATCTTCTCCTTTCCGTTCGCACCCGGACCAGATGACCATCCTACTCGCTTGATGGCGATAATCTCGTCGCGGGATTCATTACAGAGCATCACGAACCAGCCTTCGTTCTGAGATTTCGGGAAGCGGGGGGCGTACATCTTCCCATCTCGATCTGTGAGTTGGTTCTGCCGATTCAGAACAATGGTTATGGACACAGCACTAAGATCGCGGACATCAATTTTGAGGTTTGGGAGCATGTTGGCTGCTTTTTCGAAACGGGGGAGTGTTGATGGCGGGAGATGTAATGTGGAGATCGTGTTTCGGTAGTCTCGTTCTGTGGCTGCTGAGAATTCTTGTAGAGTTTTGGGTAGGTGCTTGTCAGTTGGCACATCAATTCCGACGCCGGGTAGGATGGAGAGTGGGTACTCGGCTGGCCAACGAGCGCATTTGATACATTGCAATAACGTGATCATCTGCATACAACTTGAAAGGTAGCCTAGTTCGGTAAGGACGTCGATGCTAGCTTGAATGATACGAATAGCTTGGTCTAGGACACTGGTCTGATCACCGACGTAATCAGTGATAGGCAAGTCAATCCGTGACATGTGGGCTTGTAGCAAGAGGAAGGCCTTGACGTGAGGATCCCATAGAGGCAGATCTCCGAAAGCTTGTATAGACAATGGTAGATTCTTGGCGAGTTCTGCGTTTATGAGATCTTCGTTATGACGAACGGGAAGTTCGTCATATTCTGTAGCGCTGGACATCCATGAGAGGGCATCTGTGAATGTTGCATTGCGCTTAGCATGCTTCACCAGATGGCGAATGGTACGATGAGATAGGTAGTAGTAACTCATAATCTTGCCGAGAGGTGTGGAGTCGACGTCTCCATTGGGGAAGATCTCCAAGCATTTTGACTCTGCAAGCTCGTTGAGAGACTTGTCCACCATGGAAATCATGTACTCATTAGCCTGCTGTTGCGCAGCAATCGTGTTGTGTTCTTCAGCTGAGATCTCAAGGCCATAGTAAGAAGGATTTTTGTGCAATCTTCGGAAGAAGAATGTCCAGGTAAGGTAATCCAAGGCATCTTGCTTGGTGGTGATAGTTTCAGCAGAGACTTCAGCACCAAGATGGTTATCAAGAACATTGTGCAAAGATGACTCGACAGGGAATCCAGTATGGAGAAAGTGTTTGTAAAACGCTTTCTTGGAGTCTTGCGTAAAGATGCGTGCAATACCCGAGGTATCAAATTGAGGTCGACCGGCTCGACCCAGCATTTGCAAGACGTCCGTGAGATCCATATCCTTGTAGCCTTCGATCTTAGCGTCGAAAAATTGTGTCCCTTTGACCACTACCAAATGTGCAGGCAGATTGACACCCCAGGCCAGTGTACTGGTTGCTACCAATATCTGAATTTTGTTATTGGCGAATAACTCTTCTGCTAGAGATCGATCCGACTCGATCAGACCAGCATGGTGTAAGCCGATACCGAAGCTCAAGGCCTCCTTTAGGGCATCATCTTTGACTCGATCGAGATTCAGCTGCAGGTCATCTTCTGACATCTTGACGAATCTTCTTGGATTATCTTCCATGCCACAGAAATTGATCAAATCCTTGGCTGTCAGGCGTGTCTGTCTCCGAGATGCCACGAAGACGATTACGGGCTTATCTGGGCTGTGCGTCTTAATGGCAAGGAATGTAGGTCGATTCATCGACTGCATGAGAGGGCAAAATCCTCGTACTTCTGGGAAGCCATCGATGAATATCTCGAGAGGTACTGGTCGGACGGAATGGCGGAAATTGAACAGCCCTTCTTTGACACCTAGCCAATTGCCGAGATCCAATGCGTTAGCGCATGCTGTTGACATGCCCATAAGTCTTACGGGGTTCTTTGACTGTGCAGCGATGTAGTTCATACGCGAGACAATGATCTCGAGAATAGGACCACGATCCCCTCCCAAGAGATGGATCTCGTCGATGATGACTAGACTGACTTGTCTTACGTAGCCTCTCGTTTGCCACTACATCGAAGCGTCAGCATTTCCGAAACCAGTAATTCTGCAGTTATATACATACCGATCTAGATATACCGTCCCATTTTTCAGGGGTGGTGATTATGATGTCTGCATCTTGGATAGTGCGGGTGTCAGGTGTGTTGTCTCCAGTAAGCTCAACAAGCTTGAGGTTCATCTGCTTCGTAAGGCGAGCACCCCAGTCTTTGACACGCTCGCGGACAAGGGCTTTCATTGGAGCAATATAGACAACCTTGGAGCCCGGATTCTCGCGGAAAGCCCACCACATTGCCAACTCACAAGCAATGGTCTTACCAGAGCCAGTTGGCGAACCTAGTAAGACATTTGCAGACGTGTGATAGAGACAGTGGAAGATCTGTGTCTGCATAGGATTGAAATACTGGAAACGCTGTCCATAAATCTCTTCTAGAGCAGGGTTCTTGAGTGCTGTGATGGGCAAGGGTTGGAGGTTGAGGAGATCTGTGTAGACGCTCTCGGTATCAGGTCTAATCAAGTGCTGGAATGAGATGGGATGCACTGTCTCCGCCCCAAGCCATCTGTCAGAAACTGCTCTTACATAGATCTGAGTGGGCAGTGGATCTGACAAAGGTATCGTGAAGTTGAGCTCGTGATCATCGTACAGCTTCTTACGATTGAGAATGAAGAATTCGTGATGGTAGATCTCGGAGGTCTCCGAATTCTCGACCCAGATCCAGTAGCTTTCGGAAGTTCCATTATGCCTGTCATTCCAGCGGAAATCCGGTGTCAAATACAAGCGAATCCTCAGAACGTCTCTGTTTAGAGGCGCGATTTTTGACTCAACGCTCAGCGTGGGGAAGTTGTCCAGGATCTTAGATATCGTCTTTCCAGCCGCATGATTGTGAACCATGGATCCAATCTCAGCCGCATCCATGTCCCTCAATGACTCAATCGAGATTGCCTCCTTGGCGTCAAGTTGGTTCAACACAGGTTTCGGGAGCTCGAATTGGTGTAGAGGATGTTGGAATGGCCAGATCCTCTTCTCGATAGACTTGCACAATGAAAGTAAGACGAGACATTGATGTCCCCAACCTCGATTGAGAGCAATCATAAATAGTGCTCGACAGATTCTGGCAGATTGCTGGGCAACATAGTTCGAGTCGTTGGCTAAAGCAAAGTCCTCGAGGTTTGCGCGTGAAATAAAAGATTGCAAAAGAATATTCGTCTTGGCTTGAGGTGAGTCGTTCTTCTCGCCAACATCGCAAGGGGCCGATTCCTCGCGGAGCTTCTCAAGCTCTTTAGATTCGTTGTCTCTAGATTGTATCTGATCAAACTCTCCACTCATCGAAACCATCTTGAACACGTCCGCCTCTGTGGCCTGTGGCTGCATCATTGTATTGAAGATCTGAATGCTAGTATGTAGGATGTAGTACTGGCTTGCAATTCGTCCGATGTCTTTACTTCGCAGCTCCTCGGTCGTCTCATTGAAAATGATCATTTGGCACTGCTGAAGTGTCCTGGATGCTTGAATCACAAGCTGGCGGCGTCGTTGTACGAGTGTAGGATCGTCTCGAATCTCAGCCCAGTCGATGCCATAGGTCAATGGATTGCGCTGCATACGCACAAACAGGTACGAATATCCCAACCAAGTGACTGCTTCGGGAACAGATGTCACAGTGCCAAGGGCAATTTCAGCATTCAAATTATCCACCAGATGCTTCGAAAATCGAGACTCAATTGGAACTTGAGATGTGACTGCTTGGAGGTAGTGGGCAAGCTTGTCTTGTGTTGTACAGATCATGCCAATACCCGTGTCTTGAAATTGAGGTCGACCAGCACGACCAAAAATCTGAAGAACATCAAGGATACCAAGATCGATGAATTTACCATCTTGAGCACTGTAGACTTGGGTGCCTTTGATGATAACAGCTGCTGCGGGCAAGTTGACACCCCAAGCTAGTGTAGCGGTACAGCAAAGGACCTTCAAGACGCCACTACCGAACAATCTCTCAATGAGATTTCTATCTGATCTAGCCATGCCGGCATGATGGATACCAATGCCCTTGGGAAGTAGTTCCCGGAGTTCTCTCCCACGAGATTGTTTCATGTCCTTGACAGCAGATTCATATTGTGGATGGTTCGACGGGTCGAAAAGGTCCACGCAAACCTGCTCAATGGCTTTCTCGTAAAGCATCTTGGCAGTATTGAAGGTATCCTTTCTCGAGTGGACAAAGACCATGATCTGATGATCAAGTTCCAGCATCTCTCTAACTTTCTCGAACGCAGTGGTATCAATATTGTCTCGAGAGGTTTTGGTATTTGGTTTGCCCTTGACGCCTATGAAGTGTTGTTCGAGGGGAACAGGTCTGAAACTCGCGTCAAAATAGAACAGCCCAGCATAACGATTGACCTTGAGGAAGTCTGCGACGTCGACATAATTTGGAAGCGTAGCCGAAAGTCCCACAATACGAATTAGAGACTGCGTACTTTCAACTTGTCGCTCAGTTCGTGCCACCAACGACTCCAGGACCGAACCTCGATCATCGTGAAGCATATGGACTTCATCAATGATTAGAAGTCTAACTTTTTGAACAAGCTCAGTGTCCCCAGTGCCTTTTCGCGTGACGACATCCCATTTTTCGGGAGTCGTGACGATAATCTGAGTCTGGACGATCTCTTTCTTCGTGAGATGCATGTCTCCTGTCAACTCACGCGCCTGGATACCTAGCCATGACATTCTGCTCCCAAGCTTCTGGGTGATTTCTGCTGCGAGTGCTTTCATGGGCGCGACATAGACAATCTTGAAGTCTTCAAGGTTGACTACGAAGTCCGATGCTTCAGGCTGATCAGCAGGGCTTGGAGTAACATTCTGTCCAATGGCATGGAGGATGGTGAGCATTGCTGCATCAGTTTTACCCTGTCCAATAGATCAGCATTGGAGCATCAAGGGATCTGACTAACTTACAGCACCGGTTGGAGCACAAATCAGCATGTTCTCACTGCTCTGGTAGGCAACTGGATACACGAGACTTTGCATACGATTCAAAGATTTGTAGCCTTTGAAGGTTCTACGACAAAGGCCATCCATAGAGCCAATGTCAACGAGCTTCCGACCAACTCCAAGGGTGCCGACTTTGCCAGCAGGAATAGAATATTCCTCATAGTTCTACATATAGTCAGTCCTCGATCAAACCCTGCCTGATGTCCCAAAAGAACGAAAAAGCAGACTTACCAAATGCTCCGTCCTCTCGCTCCCAGCTGGCAAGGCATATTTCTTGCCTCTCGAATCCAGAGTGTTGCCCGCGGAATGAGCCTTATAGACATGAGGATACATAGTCTCATCCCTATTGACAGCCGGTCCCAACGCCGCATTCTTATGTTCAAAGTCAGCCCTCCTCAACGCCTCCTCACGCTGCCGTCTAGTTTGCAGCTTCCCCTCAAATAAGCCATCCGTCTGTTTCACGCTCGATGAACTCGTAGCCAGAACTTCTTTTCGATGAGAAATCAACTCAATAACCAAATCTAGATCATCGAATCCAATCATATCCGTCAACGAAGATTGCAATTCTTCTTCCCCACCATCCGAAGCCAAAATAGCCATGATTTGCTCCTGCAGGTCCGAAGCAGAGAGGCCTTGCTTCCGAGAAGCTAGACCTTCGCACTTAGATTTCAGCCATTGGGGACCGAATTCCAGCGATTCCGAATCTGGCGTGAACTCTTCGTGAGCATCACTGCTCCACGCCTCATCCTCGGTCTCGGAAATGAAGTCCCAGACGTCATCGCCGCTGTTTCCAGAGGTGAAGTCTTCGTCTGAGAGGTTTATGTCTGAGCCGTAGGTATCGAGATCGCTGTTTGAGGTGTTGGATGGTAGTTTGAGCTCGGCAAGAGCGGCTCTCATGGCGGCGAATTGCGTTTGCCATTGTGCTTCCGCGGAGTTTAAAGTGGCGGGAGACATTTTAATTTTCTGGTTGTGGCTTGTGACACGTTATGAGGACAATACAAGAGGGAACAGATGATGATATCCGTTTAGGATACCTTTCTATGTTCCCTTGAACGTGATGTTGAGGTTGATGGTTGAGTCAGGCCGGGTTAAGGTCTATGAAATCACGGCTAGTGTAAGGGTACGTCTATCAATAGTGGGGTGAATTGATTACCGCACTATTCACGAACGATCAATATGAATCAAGTTACCTAACGCGGAGGATGCAAATTAATCTTGAGCATGCCTATACTTCTCACATGATAGCCTGACGTCCTTCTCTATCTAGTTCTCGTCTCAACAACGAGAAACACCAAGCTAAGTCTATTTTTTTTTAAGATGAAAAATTCCGAGATCAATGAAAATCGTACAACAATATTTGCGCTCTACTCGCAATTCGCGCTGTGGGCGCCATACGCGCTGAATGCGCTGTATGCGCACATTCAGGAAAGCTATTTCAATAGGGAGTCCCAAACCATTCTCCAGGCACCTCTCCCCACTCTAGCTCAAGGAACATTCGAATGTATTATGACACCACTGCAATCACCTTGAACTCCTCTTTCTTATGTGTATCAACCACATTTAAGTCAATACAATAGTGCGTGACTATGTTCGGGTCTTCGATATAAGTACATTTAGCTCTGTAATTAGCTCTCGTTAGTCTTGAGATGAAGGCTTAGAGTAAAGGTTGTTGCTAAGCATCTGCTCTTTTTAGTAACTTCATGCTCGTTGGATTTTATAAAAGAATAAACTACATGTTCACAGCGAAGAGCCGAGGTAAAATGATTAATAGAATATCTGGATTCATTTGAATTTGACTCTACCCTATGCCATTGCACCTGATTCCGCTTGCCAATTCCGATCCCAAATAAAATATCATCGAAACCATTTCCTTAAGCTGACAAGAAAGCCAGGGAAACGCAGTAAAAAGAAACGCTATTGTCTCACGCCGTCATAATGCATCCCATATCAATCATCAATCATCACTCATGCCCCAACTGCCTCAGCCTGATGCTTACACTTACTGCACCAGCTGTGACCGCAAGTACACTGCTTGGTGGCACTATTCGTCTTCTCCAGCTTCTCCACCTTTTCGACCTTCTCGAACTGACTATCGTTCACCAACCACTGCGCAAAAGTCTGCAGATTCGGGTTGATCCGCCTGGCCTTCTCGATATCAACGTTGAAGCCCTCCTTCTCGAACCACTGGAACATGGCACCGATATCGCCCATGAACTTCTTGGCCAACGTTCCCATGATGTTCAAAGCGTGCGGCATCTCGAATCCCATCGTCTCCTTGAAGATCTTGCGGCCTTGATCGTAATTCAACTCATCGCCGGCAATACCGAGTGCCTTGCCAGCCCATTCATCCGGAGCCAGGATAACGGTCGCGACAAAGAACCCAATGTCTGAAGTAGCGACCATCTGCACAGGCTTCTTCCCAACATTATGCCACATAGCAGCGAAGGATTTGCCGTTGAAGTCATTCGACATATTCTCGAAGAAGGTAACGGGACGCAAGAATGTCCATGCTGTGTTTGTGCCCTGCGCGTTCGCCTTGATGTACTTTTCGATTCGGAACTTGGCTGCGATATGAGGAGCTGGACTCGGATTCGTCTCGGAAAGGACCTCTCCACCTCGATCGGCAGATGCGAAGACGAAGTGTGAGACGTTGTGGGCTACGCAGGCATCGAAGAGTGGTTGAGTTTGTGATTCCTCGTATCCTGGCGGACCATGGACGGTGACGTTGTAGACGGCATCGATGTGTGCAGGTGCCGCAGCGAAGATTGCTTCTGGTACTGTTGGCTCGCCAGCAAGGAGTTGGACTCGTGGGTCGAGAGCTGCAAGGGCTTGAGCTTTGGGGGATGAGGGGCTGCGAGTGAGGGCGAGGATCTTGGCGTCGGATGGGAGTCTGGGAGAGGCGAGGAGTGCTTTGACAGTTGAGCTGCCTTGTGTGCCAGTTGCACCGCAGATGAGGATCGTCTTAGGAATAGCCATGGTGAGGGGTAAGAAATAGATAGTTTTTGGAGGGGCTGACCGTGGCGGGGAAGAGGTTCCCAAAGGAGCTGGTTGAAGCGGTGAATACTTGAAAGTCGAGGATCCTGGGGTGATTCTCGAAACTCGCTGGAAGTTGAAAGGTCGTACAAAGGGGATCGAGAGAAACAGCTGTTTGCTGAGGGGTGACAAGTAAGGCTGTGGCACAAGGCTAATGAAGCTAAATTAAGCAGTTTCCCCTGGCGCTAAGCTTGATACAGAGATCTTTGGCGAATCAAGTGATTGCTGGATGAGGAAGCTGTGAAGATGTTGATGATGACTGTGGGATGAAGAGGAAAAGCTTACTGCTCCTCTGATACTTATATCCAACATCCAACGGGACTATAATCGTCACTTCTGATGATTTGTTGGATGATGTTGGCTTTTTCCATTTGATTGTTCCATGTTGCGAATCCATCGGCCGTAAATTTCTCAGCCACACGCCATCACACCGATTTCATTGGACGCCTTGCAAATTGTGCAACTTATGAAACCCGTTAGCTCGAGGCTGTGCCAAGAATATCCGTGCAGATGAGACGACTGGAAGGATTGTTAGGCCGATGCACTCACTGCTGTGCCGTGCTTCACTAACACTTACGGACCTAACACTGCTCGGGCCAATACCACCATCTCTGCGATATTCACGATGCTAACAGTCTGTTGTCTCGGATAGACGTGCGTCATATTCGATTGAGTTGATGCGCATTGTTCAGGAACTTCAGAGCCTCCACGAAGGGAAAGACAGGTCTTGATTCGATTTCCGACTGCCGAGGTCTGATATCGCAACGGACGACACAGTTTCCCTCATTCAACTTTTGTATCGGTCTTCATGCAAGAGGGTCTATGTTCTCCGTCGACTTCTGAGAGCTTTACATCCCGATGGCTTCACTGTAGTACAGGATAGTGTTGTTGAACATAACCTTATGTCGGTCAGGGCTTTGATTAGCCACGGCACCGACTCAGCAAGGTGCTGAGAGAGTAGAGCAGAGAAAGTCTATGTTGGCCTTACTTCTTATATAGCTCAGGTTTCTGGGGCTTGCCCCTTGAACCTATAACCTCATTCTATTCTCTTTGATACGGTGCAGTGAGATCCGATGCAGTGCAGCCGCTACGGCACAGTGTGTCTAGGTGGAAAGCACCAAAGTGTGTTGCATTGTTACATCTGAACAGCCGTGCATGTTGTACATCAGAGCAGTGTCCGCAATCATTCCACTTAAAATGCAGGCAGAGAAATTCTAACATTTTCTATCGCCTGTTTTGAACAAGTCGGTAGTTACGCTCGGCGAATGAGGATAGAGAGGGGACAGCGGAAAATGCCTCCTGCTGCAGGGACCTGGGAGGCGCCGCAAGTCCGCATGTTTTTTTGCTCTGCCCAGAATGTACATAACGAATGCGAGCTTCTCCACCTACTCGATTGCAGCTGCAAGTGCGGCCGCAGTATTGAGCCTGTAGTTCACAGCACCAACCGGGAGATGTTATGCTCGGAAAACGATCCGAATACAATGATGTTGGACCGATCAATATGTACTGTCTGGCAACATGGTCGCGGAATACGACGTGCGGTGAGCTGTCCGTATTGTCGGTAACCAGTCACCATGAGAGATCTGAAGGATCTTCGCAAAACGTGCGGATGTAGTAATACAAATCCACGTTAGAACAGTGGGGTTGCGTGGACTGCCCCGGGTTCGAATGGTACAAGGCTGCTTTCGTGCATCTGCTGTCACTCCACAGTCATTTGCCGGCCACAAGATCTTAATTGCGACAAACCCAAACCTGTCTAATCGTCCCCTTCCTCGATATTTCTCCCGCTTTAAGACAGCCATGTGTAATGATACCGAAGCTGTTACCAATCCCACTGCCATTGAGGCAGAAGCTGACGATTATGCGTACGACTCGGGCTTCGGAGAAGACTTCAACAGTTCCACGGCGTCGATTGGATCGAGTATTATGAAATATCGCGAGGAAAATGGCAGGACATACCACGCTTACAAAGAAGGCATCTACGCTTTCCCAAACGACGACCCAGAAGCCGATCGATTAGATCTACAGCACCACCTTTACAACCTAACTTTCGAGGGGAAATTGTTCACCGCTCCTATTCCGAAGGAGAAGAAGTTCAATCGTGTCTTGGATGTTGGGACAGGGACTGGGATATGGGCCATCGATTTTGGAGATGAGCACCCTGAAGCGACTGTTCTTGGTATTGACTTGAGTCCAAGTAGGTCCTCTTTACGTTCTGAAGACTTGCAACGGATTTTTCATTCGTTGCGTCCACCAGCTCCTAATCATTCTAGTACAACCAAGCTTCATCCCACCAAACGTCACTTTTCAAATAGACGATGCAGAAGAACCATGGACATACTCCTATAAGTTTGACTTCATCTACAGCCGCATGATGACAGCCTCCTTCAAAGACTGGCCCAAATTCTTCGAGCAAACCCTCAAGTACAACCTCTCTCCCGCTCTCTCTCCCATTTTGTCTCCTCCAACTAAACTCCAACACACAGTTTCCTAACACCCGGCTCCTATCTCGAGCTCTCCGACCTTTGCTTCCCCATGAAATCAGATGACGGGACTCTCTTACCCACCTCAGCCATCACAAAATGGAGCAACCTATTCCTCGAAGCGGCAGAAACGGCGGGCAGGATCATCAATAGCGCAAAGTTCTACAAGACGCAGATGGAAGCGGCTGGATTTGTGGATGTGGTGGAGAAGGTGTATAAATGGCCTACTAATCGCTGGCCTAAGGATAAGAAAATTAAGGATTTGGGTGAGACTTCTTCTTTTGTCTCTTGCAAATTTCACTTCTAGAACAGCGAGAAGGCAGTCGACGTTGCTCCGCTAGTCTAATAGTTAAGAGGCTAATGAAAAGGAATAGGAATGTGGAATCATGAGAATATCACGCCTTCACTTGAAGGGCTTAGCATGGGGCTGTTCACGCGAGTCTTGGGCTGGCAGAAATTAGAAGTGGATGCATTTTTGGCGCAAGTGAGGAATGAGATGAAGGATACTAGGATCCATGCTTATTTTCCAATGTGAGTTCTTTGTCTTGTTCCGAGGAGCAGATGAGCTGATATCGGGGTGCAGATATGTTGTTTATGGAAGGCGGCCTGAAGAATGACGTGATTGAGGTTCTGCGTTAGGCTGGAGAGAGCGTGATGGTGAATTAATATTCCCTTAAACGTTCACTTTCTGGAAATTTGGAAAAAGATTCGATATTCACTCAATGATTTCGAGAAAGCAGGAGTCAAAGAGATATCCACCTCGGTTTTAATCTCTTGCAAGAAGCTATAAAAAAAAACGGTCCCTCAACGTACTTCTCTTCTACCCAAGCCCAATCAGTTCCAAGAAAGTCAAGGTGGCGGGGAGTTGAGTTGTCCTGCCTATTGCTGAGCCTCGGCGCATGCTACGTCTTGGGGCAAGTTGCTCTGCGATTCCTTCAATGGAATTTTATTCGAGAATATTTTCTCGTTAGTTGCTTTGTACCTAAAACGAGTATTTTGTTAACAGCAGCCCTTAAGTTGGCAGCATAAACAACAAACAAATCAGGTGGAAGCACCCAGCACCTTCACCCCTCTCCCCCTCCTCTCAAACCCCTCAATCACTTCCCCTCAACCGGCACATGAGCCCTAACATCAATCTCAACCTTCATCTCCTCCCACGCCAAGCTCGCCACACCCACCAACGTCCAAACCGGCTGATGCCCCCCGCAAAACCTCTTCACGCACCTAACCATGATCTCCACCACGTCGTCCGAGACGCCCACATGGTACGATTTAATCGCAAACACGTCTTTGAAGCTCGCGCCCGCTGTTCGGAGAGTTTCCGCGCAGTTCTCGAACGCTTGCTCGATTTGCGCTGTGATGTCGGAGGGGATTTGGCTGGTTGTGCGGTCCCAGCCACCTGAGGGGGGAGTATTAGCAATATGAGATGGAAGGGAGGGGAGGGGAGGAGGAACCTTGACCGGAGCACTCGATTATGTCGCCTACGCGGACGGCTTGACTGTAGCCGAAGTCCTTTTGAGCTTTTTGGCCGTAGCCTTCGTAGTTGTAGTAGGTTAGGTGGGACATGGTGCTGAGAATATCTGCGTATTTGGTAATTGGAGTGAGAAGATGCTCGATGGTATTTTGGATTTCTTCATACGTACCTATTCGTATCTTTATATGCTTACTCAATTCAACAAGCCACGAGGATATTTGTAAGCCCCTCTCCACTCCTCTTCTTGGCGAGCATTAGTGCTGTGAATTGTGTTGTCTTGCCGCTTAATAATCGACCGCTTTTGGCATAAGCGAGAAACTTTAAAGGGGACGGTATGGAAGCATAACAAGTCAAAAAATGATATCGACGTGCTCGATAGTCATTGCTGTAGTGCTCTGACTCACCTTTCTTTCATTATGAATTTACTCTATGACATAAAGGCAAAAGACTATTTGATGACACAAAAAAGATCTGCAGTCCTTTCATAAGTATGATACGATTCAGCAGGACGTTTATTTTGAACAGTATGAGAAGGATGGTGGGATATTGGTCATATTTTTCCAGCCCCCGGACCAGAAGAGACTTGCAGGTTGTGAGGCGAAGAGTATGAGGTTGATGGACGGAGGAGGATTTGTGCCGGCGCTCGATAGTGTGTGGCCGTTGGAAAAGTTTAAGGATGCCTTAGTAAAGGCGGAGGGTGGGAAGACAAGAGGGACGATTGTCTTCGAGATATAGATGTGTGACAGCCAAAACTCGAAGCTTTGTTGGTTATCTGATTGTTTGCGTGCTTCATTTGTGCAATGTGATCGTATGGCACGCATCTTGACCTCATATGAGGAATGATCTTGCATTTTAACTGGGTCTTCCATGTTAGAAATCAACATTTCCAGCTTCCCGAGAGGCAGTCTCTGATTGCTTGGGCAAGACAGGGATCCAGCTGTCATCCTTCAGAACCGCCATTGGAATACCCTGTGTTTGCAGAGCTTGTATTAGATCCCGCGACATGGAGTGCTTTTGTTTCATGTGCTTCTGCCAATGATCCTTTCTTGGAAACCCGTCGCTCGACCAGCCTGGGGTGGAGACTCTGCACTGGTCGTCGGGACAGAAGTACCTCACTGTTTTGTTGTGCACACAACTATCGTGTCGCTCGAGGTCCTTGGGTGATGGAAAGCCCTTGTTGCACTTGAGACACTTTGAAGGTTTGGTATGATTTCTTTGGTGACGGCTTGAAGACATATCAGTCACATGGAAACGAAAATGTTCAGGGACTGACCGTAGATCACATTTCCTGGAAAATGCTTTGTTACAAGGACCCTTCCCACGCTCGTAGGTGCAAGTATACGATGCATTTGACGATGCGACAAATGTTGGAAAGCTCCTTGCCCAACGAGTTTCGGTCTGCCGAAGCCTGATCATGGCGGACAGATGACGGGGTATGATTGAGGGAGGAGAGCTTCAAGTGCTTTTTCGTCGTGTCAAATTTGAGGAGAAATGTAAGTGTGGCCAGATACCTTTGTACGAACACCTGCTCATAACAACGTTCTGCGCTAGTCGTTATGAGAACTGCTACCACGGATAAGCCGGGGCGTATACTTGTGGCTGCATGCTGACGGGGTGAGGCGACCCCTCCATCTGCGGTTAGAAAAGGACGAGCTCTCCCTCGCCATTTTTGAAGTGATATTTGGTCAGTTATCCACTTGCAGCGAACTTCTATCCACTTTCGTGGTTTTTCTTTCGACCTTTCATTGGCCCCCAAAACATCCTTGTGGCTCACCATAATGTCGCCCTCGCCCTCGCCCTCGCCATCCTCGGCGCCGTTGTCCGCCTCATCCTTTCCATAACCAATGGGTTTCAGTATCATGTGACACACTCTGGCCACCCAGCCAGGTGAGTCTTACTTTTCTTTTTACTAAGCATTGTGTAGGCCTTCGATATGCATGAACCGCGTGGCACCACTTGCCAATCAGGACATCGAGTCCGATTTCTCATGGTATATGCCTGAGGACACCGAATCTGTCAGGCATGAACCCGATAAGTCTATTATAAGTTACTCTCGGACATCAACATACCGTCAGCTGGTGTGGCTTCAGATGAGAATGCACAGATTCCAATCGAGATCGCAGCAAGTAATGACCTTCATGGAACCTTGGACTTCCACCAAGAGCCGTTCCACGATCAGCACATCTTGCCGCAGGGGCCTAATTACACTCAGGTCTTGAGTAACCATGTGCAAGAGGCCAATGGCTATGCGCATAATCTTCAAGTTGCCGATTTCGACGGTACCTCGATGAGCTTCAATGGGAGCCCCTTCACACCCACCCATGATAGTCATCATCATGCTGTCGGTACGCAACCACAGGCAAAGCCATTGAGTTCCCTTGTCTACGACGGACAACCTGCATCTTCATCTCCTCCCTACTTCTATAGCATGGGACATTTGATGGCGAATACGATGTTCCAACCCTACTCGAACCATTGGGGTCACAACATGGCAATGGGAAGTCCTCAAGCTTTCCAGAACCAGGCATATCCTATGAACTTCATCCCGTTGCCCATTCAAGAACAGAATTCCTGGGCCCAGGACCCCACACAGATGATGCAGTCCCAAATGACGGCGAACTTCGCGCCAATTCCTCTTACCACGCAGTTCGTCCAACGCATGCCCTGTTCATGGCCATCCTGCACGGAATCCTTCACTCGACCCAGTGACCGCCAGCGTCACATCGAGGCTGTCCATCTCGGGATCAAATACCATTGCTTCTGGATTGGATGCCCCAACAATGGTGGGAAGGGATATTGCCGTGCCGAGAAGTTGAAAACTCATCAGAGACAGAAGCATGGCTCTGCTTGATTGGATTGGATGTCGCATGAGCCTGATGGAGCAGAGAGGAGGATAAAATGGGTGATCGTGGTATTAGTGAGGAGGATCTCTTTTTTCTTTCGTTGCACGTGTTGGGAACGATGCTGTTGAATGTTGTTTCGTTTTGTGTTTAGTCGAAATGTAGCTGTTCAATCGTATTCCATAGACAGATTTTCGGTTGCCATCGTGATTCTTCGAGTTTAACTTCCAGTCATTGAGGCCCAGGCCCGCCTTGTTCTTTGCTAAAAGCGATAACCAAATGTAGGCAGTTATTAGTATCCTATCCATGCCCACAACACGCTTACTCTCGTAAAACTGGCTTTACTCATTTACTACTCCAGCAAACAGACTAAGGTCGCTTTGTTCGTCGTTCTATTTAGAATCATCGCGTCCCCGTATGCGACTTCTTCTCCGATAAAGTTGGGACTATACTTTCCAATGATAGGTACCCCATCAGAAAGGAGAAAACCTTGCGAATGTGGAGAATGTGGGCCTTGTGGTGACCGATATCAGAACGCAGAATGGTGAAATTGGGAGAGAGACTCTCGGGACGGCGAGAAAGACCTTGGTTTGTAAAGCGGCGCGCTCTGAGTCACCTTTCTTTTATCATGAATTTGCTCTATAAGATAAAGACAAGAGAGTATTGGGCGACACAAAAAAAGATCTGCAATACTTTTATAAGTATGATACGGCTCGGCAAGACGTTTATTTTGAACAGTATGAGCCTGCACAATGCCATTGCTCTAGCCTCACACCTACTCCTCAGTTGCCCCTCAGATATGGTTCCTCTCCATGGATAAATGATTCCACATGAATACCGGCTCTCCTGTGAATGCCCGCTCTCTCATGGTACCTGATCTCTAATTAACAATTTGCTAGATGCATGCTTCGTAAAAGGGCTGTTCACTGACCCAACATGCAATACCACCATGACCGATGAATTTAGGATATGTTGAATAATGACCGCGGAATAGAACAGCCTCTTAGATTCGTAGCATAACTACCTCTATTGCATGTATTCGTGAGACCAGCTTCTTGAGTCTATACTCGAATTTCCACCATCTGGCTAAACAGCATAGTTGCCTTTGAGCTCAAATTTTTAAGCCGCGGACATGAGATCAGCTTCTTGTTAGATTCTGTCAATTGTCAACTAATCAACATATCGATTGAATTGGCACAACGCCAAGAAGAGCATCCATAATCCTCATGAGCCAGAGAAGATCCAGCAGGATAACATAGCATCCAGGACTGATATTTCATACTCGACAAACTAGCACGTGCGCAATCGCTATGGTAATCTTCCTATGCGTCACAGGGAAAGAGAGAATAAGACGTAAATAGAACATCGAATGCACGTAAGATGTCAGAGGTCTCTGCCTTAATGTTTCAAAATTCAACCAATGCGAGGTATGAGACGTGACATTCTAAGCAAGGTCATTTTTCAGAGGTCTCTCCTTCTGTGCTTGACTACTCAAAGCAGAGGGAAGTATGAGACATGAGAAACTCCAGACTGAAAACGCCAGAGTAAGGTTATTGGGAGTCCAAGTGGTTGCACATGTCCTCATTCATCGAGAACGATGGGGGTGAATATTCAACACAAACATGCGCTTCGGGGGTATCGATTTGTGATTGCGTAGATTTCGCAGTTGTAGATTGCCAGTCTGGGACCCAACTAGGCCATTCCTCGGATAATAGAGAATATGATTGAAGGCCAGTTGAAGCATATACGCTTTCCGTGGCATAATCTGTAGCAACTGGTACCATTCTGTCAGTTGTCGTCGTGTCTTTACTTGATGGAAATGTTGACGAGTATAACCAGTCAGGATCCGAAAGTATTGACCACTCGTTGAACATAGCCTTGGCTTTCGTCGAATCCGACCCGGAGGAAATGGAGTGTGCGTGTCGAATGTGTTCAGTGAGCTTGTCTTTACGCCGAAAAGGGCGGTTACAAAGGGAGCAGTATATTGTTGCCGGACTGTGTACACACGTAATATGTCTTTGGAATTCGTAATTACGCCGAAAGGTTTTACGGCACCCAGGAAAAGTGCAAGTCAATTTGCTAAATGTCTGTTCAATTCAAGTGGCAGAGTGAGGGAGTTCACGGGAGCTTACCGAAGCTTCAGCGAGTCTTCCCCTCCTAGAGATGGTGTGCTGGAATCAGTGGTGCTAGAAGCAGTTTGCATATTGTCTTCAGAGATGTTTAAAGTCGGAAGACTTGTTGTGGCATTTGTGTTTGAGGACGATGAAATGCTAGTAAACTCGAAGTTGAACTCATGTTCAGATGACAGCAGGGACAGTACATCACCTGGCGGTTGAAAAGTCGCTGTGCCGCGCTTAAAACATGACTGGCACCATCCAAGGCTTTGATCGCCTGGGTAGAAGTCATCTGATACATAGGTCTCTGCTTGCTGGTCCTCTTGTAGTCTTTTGCGGTATTGAATGCATTCCGGATTAAAGCATTGTACGCTTTCAAAATTACGTGTGCCAAACGAAACATCCAGGTCCGTTAGCCAAGGCTGATCAGTTTGAGTCGTCGAGCTGAGAGCTATATTTCTCAACAAATTATCTGTGGACGCCATAGTATCCGAACTGCTGACACTACCTCGTTCTTCATCCTGGTGCAATTGGCTTCGAAAGGCGACGGCTAAAGCAGGAGCAACTGGCATGATACCATGAGCTCTGCGGCGATGCTCTTGTAGTCCTTTCATGGTCTTGAACAGCGTGATATGACAATTCTCGGGTGGTCGAGACTGATGATAATAACAGCCAGGCACAGGGCAGCCGTGCCCAATACTCTCTTCGAGAGCATGAGCCTTGACAAACATGTCCCCAATAACATCCTTATGCCAAAGTTTTGTTTCTACCGAGTTATACTCGCACATTCGCACCGTCCGCTTATACGAGCTGCCATCTAATACCCATTCTTCAAAGCGAGCCGTGAGTATATGTTCTTCGAATAGCGGCTCCGTACCAGCACGACGTCGCGGACGATCATTCGCAGAGTGAGGCCCCCAATGTCCGTAGTTTTTTGCATGTTCCTTGGCTTGATCAGCTCGCGCAAACCTTTTCTGCCGCTGACCTGTGCTTGCATATTTGCAGCCATCAACGGTGCAGTGGTAATACTTCGTCAGCTTGCTCGCATCGCCGTGCTTAGACTGTATATGCCGATCCAGAGTCTGGCGTTGAGCAAAGCGCTTGGAACAACCTTCCGCGAGGCAATCGTATGGTCTCTCATGTCCATTCCGATGCTTACTATGGTCAAGTTAGAATGCAGGCAGATAGCAAACGAGGATGTGGGACCGACTTTAGTTTCGAGAGACTGCTAAACCCGGTGGCGTCGCATGATGGACATGACAAATTTTTGGTAACTTTGTTGCTACTCAGATCATCGACAGTCTCTTCGCCGGAGCTGTCTTCTTCGTTGCGAGTCATAGTGAGCGGAAGCCATTTGTTGCTGCCGAGTAGACTGTTTGCGTCTCCGAGGTGTCGATTTCAAGAATGCCATTATGAACACTTATACTAAGATGTTTTCGTGCGTGCGGCTCAAAAGTGCAGGCGTTGGTGAAGCAAGTGAGTAATTTGGTTGCGATTTGATCTCACTGGCGCAAGCAAATGTAGCAGAAGCAAGCGATATCAATCCCCATTAGTCAGCATCGGGAATACTGCACCAGCTGTCAAAATACACGCTCTTGTCGCTCTTCAACAGCAGCTCTAGCTATTGCTCCATCACTATTATTTATGTACTCTAATTGGTTATCCCGTCACTAATACTGCAGAATTCTAGACGTGAAGCTACATTCATTAATATCCAGGGTATCATCGTCGCAAAGCGCCGAGACACCTCCCTAACATCCTAACCAAAGCCCCTCGCACATTACAAGAAATCATAACGCCTGAATGAGCTTGCCGAACAATTCATAAGAATCCGAACAAACATCACTTCGTCGGGCCCTGCAGGTTCCCCAAGAAAGTGACCAAAACAGCACAATACGTTGCAGTTCCAATGAAGATCTCCTTATCCCCCGCATCTGTAACACATGAAATCATAACCGAGAAGATGAAAACAAACGCCAGAACAACAACCGCCATCCATACCCTGCTCATCGGCGTTAAGAAAAAGAGAATGACAGGAATGAAGAGGATGATTACTGCAAGGAATACAGCGATGAGTCGTGCGAGAATATTGATGCGGGCTTTGCAGTAGTACTTCACGGCTGTATCCTTGGTTTGGGAGAGCTGTTTGCTGGTTTGGAGCATTTTCTGCCCGCAGGTCAAGGTTAGTGAGTCTTCGATATTATTCAGATGTATTTGTCGGGAGGGATGAATGAGGGTATGTGTACGAAGTGAACGGTAGATGACAAAAAAAGGAGTTGGAAATTGTACCTTGAACCAGGAATTCGGCCATCCGTCAAGGTGACTGAGAATGAAACTCTCAAAACGGTTTCGCCGAGGAGTGACGATAGAGGCGAAGTCGTCGGCATGAAATATCCAATCATCTTCGCCTGGATCTACAGGGTTGTTGGACCAAATCCATTTGAACACGCTGTTGTGGTCTCTTGTTGGTGTGGGGCTCAAGGACTTGACGAAGGCGAACTTTTCAAGGAGGGTAGCTGGAGATCATGTTTAGCGAGTTTTTGTTACGACTCTGGCAAAAAAAACATGGGAGCCCATACTATATTTAAGTAGCTCCTCTTCGATATCACTTTCCAGTTCTCTCCTTGTAGTGTCGAGTCCTTCTTTGTGCCATCTTGTTTTCAGCCGGTAATTCGTATCTGGCCCACCGGCTGCATCGCTCTTGTCCAACTCCTTCAGCTTCGTCTCCTTCTCTGTGAGACTACTCATGTGAGTAATTAGTATTCTCGTGAAACAAAACTCGAATTTTCTGTATATGCTGAAAGAATCGCTACTCTGCATGAACGCGGCCAATTTAGGCCAACCATTTGGATGATTGTCATCCATTGGTGTGTCAGCCCCAATATTCCCAAGATAGAGAAGAATATCTTACGACTTTCGTAATAGAATTGAGCATATCCTTTCTTGTACTCGTCGGGTGGTTCTGCCGTTGAGCTGCGGAGACTAAATTGAGGAAGGGAGGGACATCTCATAGCCTTGATGCGTCTTGAAGCCCATGTTCCAGAGCAAGGCAGTGGCTCTGCAGACACGTTTAATGAATGGCTTCTGATAGCAAGTTCGATTACTTGCCTTGGCGTGGAAGTGGCCTCCCAGCTCTTTGCTGAGGATCCAGTTCGTATGACCCACCCGGTGCGCCTGCAAGTGTACTATCAGAACTTCGCACAGAGGCTCGCAATGATAGTATTCTCCTAGGTTCGGCCGGCTGCCAAGAGCCATGATCATCGGACGAACCAACTTGGAAGCCTTGCTCAGCCTGGTTATAAGGATCACTGGATGCCACGTCTGGAGACGAAGGACTCCGCACAAACGTTGGAATTAGTCCGGGAGACATCACAAAGTTGCACAACTAAACTCATAGAGTGGTGGCACAAGGGATCATATATGATATTTTCTACTCCAAAGAGACTCTTGCCAATCTACATTGCAGGATCCTAACATGGTACTTTCATATGCAGTGATTGTCAGGCAGATTCAGCATTTGGGCTAGAGACCCTGATGACAATGAGTTGCCCAACGCCCGGCTTGAAAACTGATGCAAAGCCACAAACTGCAGCTAATATATCTGCAATGAACCAGAAGAGGCCTGTGATGCGTGCTTCAGGAAAGGGGGATGACTTTGTTCATCACGTGATAGAATTTATTAGCCACTTGGCGATGAATTCGTCACACCTTTTTCTGAGGCCGAAGAAAGAAAACGCAAGGCTGCAAGTTTGGGCCGTGACTGAAGATCCAGAAGTTGTTTGAGATCCATCCTGAAAATCCATCCTCACTTTCGATGCGGAAGGCGCCCTGGCTGCGCCCCGCGTCATTTCGATTGGTGGATAAGGTCTCGCTAGTAAATTGATCCTGGAAATCCATCCTCAATGTCGCCCTTCGCCCCACTATCGCCCTTTTCCCTTCGCTGGTTGAAGAAGGGCATGATACATCCTCAGAGCCTCCTCGAGGCTCTTCAAGGCTATAGAATGAAAACACAGCCCAATTGGTTAAAGTTTAGCGAAAATTGGAAAAGGGGGCATTCGCTTGAGAAATTGAATGTCCTGGAACTGACTCGCCCTAAAATGGATTTTGCTGCAGTAACGATTGGGAAGTATTCAACAGTGGATAAGAGAGGAATACAAATTGAGCAAGGCTTAATGTCAGAGATAACGGCCAATGGCAGAACAATTTAAAATCAGAACAGGCAAGCGAGTAACAACGCTTAACAATTGGCCAGCGCTGTGTCCCAGAAATGAGTTCTCGCCGCTTTACAAAATTGATGTCTCGAAATTAGGCCTCCACCCAATATCTGAACTATTGGATTGGCTAATTTGCTCCCAAGAAAGGTAGATGTAAACAAAACAAAGAAAAGGGGCTGTTAAAGTACCGTCTTATTACGACGAGGCTGAGGTCAATCTTGATTTCGAAGCTTCGAAGATCGTACTTTGAATGCTCTCTCGAAACGGACTCCCCCATCTGAGACTTCATATGTTGTACCTTGACAGGATGACACCGATTGCGTTTGCTACGTATCACAGAAGAAGCACAATGACGAATCCAACGACGCTATGAAACATTACACGCATAATAAAGTTGGTCACACTTCTGCCCAGAAATTGACAAGGATTTCAAGCGAATTGAAGAATACAACATTAAGCAGCCTTACAAGGCCTCGCTGCGCCTGGCTCGAGAGAACAATCCATCTCCATGACATCCTCAGCTAGCCAAACTACACCATCCGACAAGACATTAAGCTCCAGAGCCTACCAGATAACTGACGAAAGACAAAATATGGACCTCTTCAGAGCCAGAGCCTTGTTCGCTGAAATGGCCTACTGTCGCCCTGCAGCATTCCCAGCATATATTCCAGTTCAGCCCTACAGCTGAATGACCGATCCTATGTTTTTCTCGCCCTGCAGCACTCCCAACATTTCGGTACATGAATTCTTTATTGACGCAAATAAGTCGCGATTGAAAGCAAGAGAAGATGATAGGCATCATGGAGTACTTCTCAGGAAATAGCAGATTCCAGGCACTCCAGGAACTCGAGGAGTAAAGTACAAACTTTGCAGATAGGTGAGCACAATGAAGGCTGTTGAGTTATGATTGAAGAAACTAACAAATACTGTGCAGGATTGAGAAAGAGAACACTTCCTCCAACCGTGGAATCTCCAGGGCCACTGTTCAAGCAATTCGAAACACTCGTTGGAGCCACTCGGCTGTTTAGGGAAATTTATAAGTATTGTCCTGTCCTTACAATACACAACGCAACCAGGCATACTTCCGAATTTCGACAGTCGTTGATCACACCGTACTTGAGAGTGGAGTTGTTTTGCACTTTGCAAGGCATCTTCTTGTTTTCCTGAATAGCAGTGCCTCACCGCAACGGGGCCGAACGACTTTTCTGAAAGCCTTTGAACGACGTTAGAAAGCCTCTGGTTATTTTTTGAGCATTCTTTGAGGTGGATTTGATCTTCGATACGAAAAATAAAGCCTACATTGACGCAGAGCGGCGATTGCGGAATTTGGGACCAGAGACCAAGAAACTCCACGATGAAAGCAACCTTCAATTGAAGGATGGCCCACCAAATCGAGTTCTGGCTAGCCATGGCCGAAACATTCACATAACTCTGGTGTAACAGTCGCCATCCGCAGATGCTCGTCGATCACGCAACACAGGGCGCTCCTAAATGTGTTGTCGAGAAGAATGCGCGCATTCGAGCGATCCTAGAAGACCTACCTGGTAGATTTCCTTACCTTCTCCCATGTCGCCCTCAGTACGCCATATCAACTGCAATTTCATATCCAATTCTCGGGATTCTTGGCCACTGTTTCGTTGCGACGGACATTTTCTTGTGCGAAGCAGACCTCGAAGTCATGGAACTGTTGCTTGTCAAAGGAAGCACTGGCCCGATTCCAGTCGCCCTAGCACGCCATTCTCTCCACAGCTTTTGTCGATGAGGAAGCCAGCACAAATTGCGCTCTATATACCTTCAGATGGATTATGAGATCGAAATAACGAAAAGGAAGATAAAGGATGCCTTGGCCACCCAAAGTCTCCAGACAGCAGGCGAAGCAACAAAATCAAAACCCACTGACTCAACACAGGAATCGCTGAGCAGATTCCTTTGCGACCACCATGCAAAGCTCAGGCAAAGCAACAAATTCAAAAACCACTTGATCAGCTAAGAAATTGTTCCGAGCAATTCGTTTCCGACAAGCAATGAAAAGCGCAAGCAAAGCAACAAACCCAGTGAGACCTGGCGCAAGTAAATAGTCATCTCGCCACCTTCCATCGCAATGCACCCAGTGTCGATCAGATCACCAGCAATACCACAATTTCCAAGTACAAACCAATCGAATAATCGCTCCAAGGTAGACATGTCGTCCATAGACCCTCGTCTTGGGTCTCCCTACATCCATACTCTTCGCGCACCAGTCGTCTCCTGGCAACACGAGCGCAATGTGACAGAAGAAGAAAGGATACACCTAAGAATGCCTCGTCTGTGCGAACCACGAGGCCCCGTTGCGGCGCATTTGTCTTCTTGCCTTCATTGCAGGTCCACGCCGGTCAAACCCAATTCGTTCCGTAAAGTCGAGCACTTAACTGTTGCGACATCAGAAGGAAGGAAGAAACAGGAGGGTTGACTTGGAAGTTTTTGGAGTTGGGGGTGAGATGACCTCAGGGGCTGCGCAAGGAACCTTCCATGTCAGCTCCCCGACTCGATGCACCAGCCACAGAGACCAAGAGCAAGCTTCGGCCCACGAACGGTCAGTCCACAATTTACGAGCACGCGAATCGCCAGCCTGCGCCACGATTGCCGGAATCTGATATCAGGACCTTATCGAGAATGTTGCTGATCCTTGTCGGCAATCCTCGGATACTGGAATTCAATTGTCCATGTATGAAGTCAGCTGACTCTGCCCTGCGCATAGACCTGCTTTGCCAACCCCAAACTCCCCGACCGAATTTCACCCCACCGCCAATCTGGGGCCGATAGGTGGCCACTATTGCGGAGCACACAATAGAGAGCCTGTCTTACTGGTCACTGGAAGTCTCGAGATCCTGCGTGCACGCGCATGCGCATCTGACGGGTCTTTGCAGGCCTTTGCGGCTCCATTTATCAGACGTTTTGGGTTTTCCTAGCCCGACAGAGCAACTTCGGCTTTTGTTCGGTGTACGTTCCCGCGCCGTATTTGAGCGTCATATTTCCAAAGAAAGAAAGAAAACCAGGAAATCAAGAACGCGAATCGCCTGGAATCCACAACACTGCAATCAAGCCAAACGTCGTGTTACGGTCCCACGTTCATTGGGCGCGGAGAGCACTGCTCTCACAAAGCAACCTCTCGGTCAAGGTGCAGGCGGTGGAACCTTGCAGAACTTGCGATTCCAATTCCCCAATGGCTGGAAGCGGAGGAAACTTTTCGGCTTACACGCTCGCTTTGTGCCAGATCTGCAACCACGCCGCGAAACGGTGGTGGTCGACTGTGACATGATGAGCCACGAAGCTCAGCAAAGATGGAAGGGGACTGGTGGGGGAGAGGGAAGAAAGGAAAGCGTACGCGGTAGCAGGGGCAAGTGGTCGGTCCGGTCACGGAATTAGATGTCGTTACTGGATTGGACCGCCGTCGATGTCAATTGAGGTTGAAAAACGCCTAGTCGGAAATTCTGATGGGCCCACTTTCAACGCTTAGAGTCATGTTAGACTAGGAGCAATTATGATGGCCAAAACGTTATTCCAACGCCCGCCACGACACCATAGACTGTTGACAGACGACTACCTGAAGGTATCACAACAACCACAACGCTCTGGTTTATCTATCAGCTTCATACAATTTCCCATCTCTCGAGATATTCCTGCAGATATGTCCAGCAACGGAGGTTACGGATCATATGGCTCCCCCGGTTCTGCTGTACGAGCTCGCATCTTCTGGGCTAAGCACGATCTCTAACTTCTTTGCAGGCAGGAGGCGGAATGCAAGGTGGTGGACAAGGCGTCCAAGGAGTTGTTTCGGGATATCCTCCCATCCTTCAGCCTGTATGATGATCTCTCTGCTTCAGGATTGAAATTTCTGACAGTTCATTCAGCGAGGCGGTCCTTCCAGACCCTCAGTGATACCACAGGCTAGCCAGCAGAAAGAAGAACAAGCAGAACAAGCAGAAGATTAGCAGGAATGGGAAGAGGGGAAATCAATATGGTTGTTGTTCCCCGATCGGCACGAGCAAACATCCACGTATACATATGGGCATGAGCGGGGGGGGGGCTTGCATTTTGGGATTCAGACACATTTGTACTAGTTGTGCGTTAAAGATCTCACTTGGTGCGAACCAAGGACAAATTGCATTGCAAGAGTAGACCGCATGGAGGGAGACTGGCGTATACAAAAAGAATGAATAATGAGAATTTCTTACCTACGACTCGTGCTCAAATGGAACGACGTGAGACTAATGATTCGTCAATGTTGGATACTGAATAATGATTTGACAATGTATAGTGAAGCCTTGTAATCTAGCCTTGCATGGAGTTGCAGTTGACTGCCTTCAAAGGTCGAAGTTGGGGTTGCTGAACCAGATGAGGCTAGTCGGGGCGACATTCAGGATGGATTTTCGATATTTTGGCAAATCGAAGTCATGATGTTCCTGCAGCTCACCTGTCGGTCAGGGCGACTTTGAGGATGTATTCCTAGATCCCACTATTCTATTCGTGCTCAACCAAGGCTCCAGCCTCGACGTAGATCCAAGGGCAGGATACATTCTCCACACACCATACGTAGCTCTATCATTATTTTGAGGTTGGTGTTGTCAGCCTTGCATGTGCAGACCAGCACTAGTCCCACCTAAGCTACTCCCCGGGACTCGAGGATCCAACGGACAGCCCCCGGTAGCCTCATGCCTCTTCCCTGCATGACGGGTAGTTGCCGAGATGCACGGCGTGGGTACAGACTCTTGTTTGCTAGGGCTAGCTATAGTTGAAGTTTGAGTGGGCGGACGTTTGTTCCGATCCATAGCTAACAGTATGGAGAGGGAAGGTCACCGGATGCTTTGGGTATTGTAGTATGTTCAAGCTTTGGAGAGAAAGAGTTAACATAGAAAGTATAGACATATTGGGTACCTTGGTGGAATATCGAGTGCTCTGATGGAGGTACTGTATCGTAGGCTCGGCTTTGATACCTGAGGTATCAATACGGTAGCGATATCGTATCGTATTAGTCAGTATTGCAAGGATTGATACCGTATCGATACTGTATCAATACTTCACCGCCTTTACCCCTCACCTCACTAAAATCTTCTTTCTTAACCTTCTTGTACGACGATTTCATTGAAACTTATCCTCAAAATGTCTTCTTTCCTTGAAGCAGAGTCTTCTTTTACACAGTCTATTACCGCAGAGTCTACTAAGTCTTATAGCAATGATAAGAGGAAGTGGAGAGCACCAGTCTGGAAGTATTGCCGTCGTCCGACACCCGACGAGATCAAGAGCACCTTTATTGTCCTTACTATCCTCCTGATCCACCCCCTATTGACTACAAGGGGCCGTATAATACAAAGTTATCTGCAAATATAGCTAAGCATTTGGAGAGGAACCACGATGTTATAATTGAAAAGGCTCTAAGTAAGAATCAAGAGCTTGTAAACTAACAACTTAAGCAGTATTACCATGAGGCAAAAGTCTCTGGTAATACTACAGAGCTTAATACCGAGATTCTCAAGAAGCACCTCTTCCAAGCAGTAATTACAGAGGCCCTAGTTACTCTCATCGTCGTACAAAACCTGTCTTTTTGTATCGTTGAGTGGGCTGAGTTCCATACTTTATACTAAGCACTAAATAAAGAGTATAAGGGTATAATTACTATAACTCACTCCCAAATCAAAGAAAGAGTTAGTAAAGCCTGGATTAAGCACAAAGACATTATACAGCGAGAACTTCAGTCAGCAATCTCACAAATTCATATCTCCCTTAATATTTAGACTTCTCTAAATCGATTCCTTCTTTTAGCGATTATTGCACACTTTACTACACATACTCAAAAGAAGCAAAAAGCCTTACTTGCTTTAAAACAAGTGCCTGGCTATAGTAGTGACGATTAGTTTTCAATCCTTCTTCTAGTTCTTAAGGATTACAGCATCGTACGAAAGCTTGGGGCTATTATTACTAATAATGCTTCTACAAACAACGTTCTTTATCGGCTTATAGAAAATCACTAGAGGACAGAGCTAGGCCTAGTATAGAAGGCAACTAAGTGGCGGATCCGTTGTATTAGCCATATTATCAACCTTATCGTACAAGCTTTCTTATTTGCAAATGTGATAAAGCTCGATGAGCTTGAGTCGTACGATGAGCAGGACTAAAGTGGAGAGCTTAAGGATGAGGATATAAAGAAGCAATTTCGGCGTTTAGGACCACTTAGCTAAGGGCATAATATCGTAGTCTATATCCGTGGATCGCCTGCACGAACAGCAAAGTTTAAAAAGCTTGCGGGAAGAATGATTCCTATAGATAATCGTATAAGGTGGAATAGCTAGTACGAGATGCTTCTTATTCTTCTCAATTTGAGGCCTGCAGTTGAGAAGTATTGTGCGGACTATAAGGAAGAGCTTAAGGAGGATCTTTTAAGCTTTGCAGACTAGAAAAAGCTTCGTACGATCAAGGACTTTCTTGCTCCCTTTACACAAGCTACTCTTGCTACTAAGGGAGACTCTACTTCTATTAATTCTACCCTCTTTACAATAGACGTCTTAATTAAGCACCTTTAAACTCAAGTTATAAGTAATCCCTTTTTCTTATTCCTTTTAAAACTAAGGCTAACTATCGTACGATAGGCTATATATAAACCAAAGAAGGACTAAGAGAGCAAGGACTTTCTTGTTCGTCTTATTGTAGCCCACGCAGTCTTAGACAAGTACTACTTGACTATAGATATGTCTCCATTTTACGCTGCTTCTTTGATCCTTAATCCCTCTCATCGTACGAGGTATCTTGAGACCCACTAGCCAAGGAAGTGGTCTAAGCCAGCTATAGCAGCAGTAAAGAAGCTCTGGGAGAAGTACTAGGAAGAGGTAATACCTCCACAAGCCTACCCTGCCTTCTCGTACAACAACCTATTAAAGCCAAAGGAACTTAATACTTTTGATCAGATCGCCTTATCTTTACGATCAGTTGCGCGGCCGACAAGTGAAGACGAGTATGAAGACTATAACTCTCAAGACTCACACCTCCCTGGAAAGAAAGGAGCTCTTGTGTGGTGATTACAAGACGCTTAAAGGCAACACTAGCCTAGGCTTACACTTATAGCTATTGATATTCTCTCAATTCCACCAATGAGCGATGAACCAGAGCGAGTCTTTTCAGGGGCTCGTCGTACGGTAACGTGGGATAGGGGGCAAATAGAGGCAGAGACTATTAAGCTAAGGGAGTGCCTTAAGCACTAGAAAAGAAGCGGTATTCTAGATAAGTTCTTTGAGGATAGCTAGTTTGATTTCTTGGTAGGGTGATTTTTGGTACAGGGGGCCCCTGTGAGCTAGGCTATATCAATACTAGTATCAATGATACGATACGATATCGATTCTGGAGCGATACCGTATCAATACACGATATCGCGTATTTTAGCCGAGCCTGCTGTATCGAGATTTGAGTTCATGGATGCTGCAAGAAACCACTGTTGGACCAAAGGGTTAGTTCATTCAACGTATGAAGCTTCAACGAGAACCCTAACAACTGAGGTTTGGGAAAATCGTGGGATTCATACAAACTAGGAAATAGAAGTGGCGGAATTATGTTGAGGAATCTTAAAGTGGTCTTAAACTACCCCGCTAAATCCATCTCGTCCAATTCGATGACCCTGCTCCACTTCCCCATGTCTCAATTCCGGCAATCGAGTTTCATCAGATTGAAGCGCCACTCCACTCGAAGCAATTTGAAGACTTTCGAACAGGCAGAATGAAGAAAAGCAACAGAATTCAAGTGTTTAGAACGAACTTCGAATCTCTCTTCGTGAAGTCTTTCTCCTCACGCATACGCATATACCAAAGCAGACATATGAACATACATCGGACAAGGATCGGCCACAGGTATTTCTTAAATGTTCGCTGCATTGGAGATTCGCGATAGTGTGCGAGATGATTGTGACTTCGCTGCAAGACTCCACTATTCTCGTGATCCTACCCTATCGCTTCGAATTTTCTGTTTAGTTATCGCACATGCATCTGCCAGATATTGCTGTCATCTCTCTATTCGCTGCCCAGTGTTCCAATGGAGTGGGTTATCTCGACCCATGCAGGGTCTTGCAGTATGAACGGGGTCGAATTGGACCCATTGCCAGAATCAAAGAAGTAACTGTCCTAAATTATCGAAGATGGTTTTGATAGTCGTGAACACTGTGTCCTTTCGAGCTGAAAGAAAAACAGTTCATATAATAGTGCGCATGAAAGAAAAATGCGGACAAGAGTTTCGAGAACGGACTGAACCCACCAATCGCTAACTGTTTCCCGTCGAGCGTTTCAATACTGACTTATCCGAAAGCTTAACAGTACCAGAAGCCGAATACGTCGATCCGGCACGGCCTCCCGGTTCCAATGCGAATCAATGCTAAAGATGCAAAGATGGGACGAGGTCAAGGTCCAAGAGCAACACGAATGCCTATATATGAATGGACAAGTTCTCGAATTGAGCATTCATTCCAGCCCTCAATCTCATTTCCTCACTGCAAACAATTTCTCATTGATTCATCCTCCTTCGTATCAAAATGGACAAAGTAAACAAATGCCTCGACGATGTCGAGCGTAAGATGACAAAGCTCAACGCTATCACTGCCAGTACGTCCGACTTGCCCTTGTTACGAAGATATACTAAGAAAATGGGGCGCTTTCCAAGGGAAATCGGCTCCAATACTTTTCAAAATTCTCAGATCCGGACTAATCAATCAACAGAAGGAGCAAGCAACATCAATATCAAGGATGCCATCAAGGCAGCACGAAAGGGAAATTCTATCACCGCAACCATCAAGAAAGGCGCGAAAGAGTTCAGCGTTCGTTGTCCTTCTCGTACTGTAACTTCAACGCTGATGATACTTGACAGGCACTTTCCCCTTCAGAAGAAGAGTTGAAAGGTATCATCGTGAAGATGGACCGTCTCATCACTCAGCAGGAGAAACAATTGGCTTTCACCATCCAAAACAAACCTCACTTCGATAAGATACACATTTCCGGTACATTCCTTTTCTCTTTTTCTTTCTGACTTCTACTAATCAATTGATTTCCAGGAACCGTCAGAAAGAGCATGCAGAAATCCGATGGCACAAGTCTCGAGCTTACGAAGATTTTGGTTGAGAAATGTCCTCCGAGCTTGAAGCCCGAGGCTGAAGCGATAGAGAAGAGGGCGAGGGACAGTTTTGACGCTTGTTACCAGGCGTACTCAGATGCGAAGGGAGGAGAGGACTTGGTTGATGATAAGGTTGATGATTCGGACTAGAATGTCTGATAGTGTGAAACAATCCTGAAAACTTAACGTAGCAATGTAAATGCCAATCTGTGGTTGGGACCTATCACTTGATATTAAGGCACATCTTCTCAAGTTGAGGATCTCACGACTGAATGGATGGCGACAGCCACAAACGCTGACACCCTGATTTAGGCGTATTAGTCATCACCATGCCCACTCCACCAGTGGGTGTCAGAATTCGTGAACCACGCTAAAATTAGGCGAGAACGCCAGAATTTCAAAGGGGGTCAACAGTCAATTGCTAATATTATTACAAAATAAATCACCATTTTGCAGTTTTAATAGCTTTCCCCCCATTTTTAATAAGGCGTCTGCATCTCCCAGGCATATCAGCGATGCGTGAGCGTATCTCTTCTAACGTGATTTTGTCTCATTCCTCTTAAAGAGCTTGTTTTACCTCCTCGTTAGAATAAAAGACTCTCTAGCGCACACGTTGCTTAATGATATTCCAAATACCCTTAATTGGATTTAGATCTGGTGACTACGCAAGATGCTTGATATTGACTACCCAATTGACTACTTTTAGCTGATACGCAAGGCCTTCTTTACGCATACTATGAGAGGGGTCTCCATCTTCTTGGAGATACACTTGATTTGTATGTTATAAACGCTATTCTTAGATAGCTTTAATGTATATAGGCAAGAGACGCTTTGTATAGTACTTTTGGGTCATATGGTTGCCTACAACCTTTTTCTCTACTTTATGAGGTTTAGTAGCCTCCTATTCTTCCACTCTAGCTTTATATTCCTCTTGAGACTCTATTGTTGGGCGACGACGAGGTTTTAGAGGCATAGGAGGGTATTCTATAGTGTTTTCTTCGTTATTATAGAACTCTAGCTTTTCTGATTTCCCCCACTAATTGATCCAAGCAGCAATATAGAATGCTATGCCTTTCATTTCTTTCCGTTCTATAATATTCTCGTCCGCATAACGTCGGCCGCCTCCTTCTTGTCTCAATATATAGCCAATAGGCTAGGCGCCAGGATCGTGGTGTGCCTCGTTCGTATACGTAATCAAGCTCTAGTGATCCTCAATTATCTTGCCTACATACTCTTTTCTAAAAGCAATACGTTCCTCTAAGTTTTTTTCTAAAACCTGCTTGTTTACAAATACCATTTTGAACTATCGTACCTTTATAAGCTCCTTTAATTTCCTTTACAACTAGCGCCTCTTTATTGGGAGTTTATAGTACTGAATTTGCGCGTTAAGGTCTTGGTCGCGGACGGGGTTTCGTGTAGGATCGACCAGCATTTGGCACATAGCTAATGTGACTTTAGACTTCCTCCCGAGTGGCTTTTTAGATATTCCACGTGTTGTTCTCATTGCTAGATGGCCCATTGTCTCTCTCTGACGCTTCCAACGCAGCCCAGTAGTATGGTCAACACCTTCATCGCGACATAGCTAGCGGAAGGACTTTAAGTGGTGTTGCTTATCGTACGCGTCGTAGAATCGTGCACGCTTGCGAGTTGAAGCTGGGTAATTATACGCTGGGTCTGGGGGAGGGGTAAGACGGTCATTTGCGCGCGTTCTGGGTGCCGTAAGTGCCATAATTGCTGTTGTAGTGGTAGGAATGGCGGGGCGCGATTTTCGTGTTATTCGCTAATTTTAGCGTGGTTCACGAATTCTGACACCCACTGGTGCTCATCTCGTCTTTTCCAGCGTTCACCAGGCTCGCAGAAACTTCAAAATTCATAGTCGACAACAATTTCTCTTTGATCACTGAAATCCTCCATAAAGTACATTGGTTCCGATACAGAATCCCCTTTATCAATCAAGATTCATCGCCAACCCAGGCAAGCCGTGTGATTCACCGGCTTAGACGGCAAATCTGTTGATCGAGCCTCGTCGACGGCTGGACTTCGAGACTTCAGAACATTATTCTTCGCGGCAAATATTGCATCGTATCTATGTCATAGGAAGAAAGAGACTGCGAGGTCTTTTCGAGCTTCATCAGTGTGGACCCTCTGCGGCCGATGCCAAGGAACTCTGATAAGTGCTCTCCGCGGATTTTCATGTCAAGGAGGAAGTCTTGCGCATCACTCCTGCCCTTGCTGTTTTGTTCTTATCGCAACTTGTTTCCTTTTTCTCACAGCCCTTCCGGCTTGAGAAATCCTTCACGGCGAAAGTTTGCTGCGCTTCGGGACTCATCGCGCATTGCAAGGACAAGCCACGAGGCACCTCGATGCTCCCCGATGATGTGCATAGAGCCTCATGAGCTCGAATGATGCCCAAACATATGTTCTCCTCTTCTAGATGCTCTTCATCATTGGTTCACGCATGCTCACGCCGTACGACGGATGAAGGCTGCCTTGATCAGCGTCATTATCAACATTCTAGTATAACCGGGCGGCACAAAAGCATGTGAACCAGCACACCATCATCTATATTGAAAGGGTTGCACGGAATACTCGGTATGGCATGGCTGACCGAGTTTGTTTGTCAAGGATATGCTGTCTTTATGTTCGCATACAAGCCGGGCGAGTTTGCCTGGGCACGGACCAATCCTATTGCGGGACGAGGCTTGCTATTGCACCACTGCCCGAATATTTGGGATAAGAGCAACGTAATTGTTATCTTGGAATTCTGCGCCTCTTCTCTACTTTCCGAAACACTTCTATTTCAAAGCACGTTGTGTCTGAGACTGATTCTGGAATCTTACTTGGAGGTCGACGCCGAAAGTCTTCAGTAAAGCCTCGTTATAACCGCAGCCTAGCGGTCATGAGATGACTGTCTTGGAAGTTATTAACGTTGGATGCGCAATCCTGTCGGCTTCTGCAGAGGTAGCCCCGTTCGTCCAAAAATACATGTCAAACAAAAACTCCAAGAACATGGAGGCAAGAAGGGCTTCACGTCAAGCGACAGTAGAGACCGACGATGAGGACGATGACGAGCGCTCTCCGGCAAGTCCTCGATCCGGATCATCTCAGGAAGAGCGTAAGCAATTACTTATTCTTGCAAGTTGCTCAGCTGAATAGTGTTGTCACAGGTATAGGCCCTGGAGAGTTGAAAGACCTCATGCGAACACTTCAAGCGCAGTCAGAAGCAGTCCAAGCACACTCGCAAATGATCTCGCATTTGGTGCAAGAAAGGGGTCTGCCGGATTCTGATAGACTTTCAAGCATTCCTGAAGAGTCCAAGATACAATCAATATCTTTCCTGGACGATGAATTCCAACGCATGGCTCTCAAAACTTCATTTCAAGATTTCGCTTTCCCACCATTGAACGAGGCACCGCAAATCGATCTTAGCACTTCCATGTCACGGACTTCGTCTACTTCCATTTCGAACGCTTCTATGCCGTCCTCCCCGGCAACCTCTGTATCGAGCGTGTCCTCCTTCTCATCACCAACTGAAAATCGCCGTTTGTCTTTTGGATGTCCGCCTTCGTCTTATCCTATGCACAGTCTGGCTCAACCATCATCGCCAACAGCGTCATTTTCAAGCGCGTCCACCTCAGTCCCCAGTATGACTCGTCGCGTCTCTTTTGGATCTTCAACCTCGAGAGTTTCATCGAACCCAGCAAAGAGATTTTCAGCCGAGATGTCTGTCGAGAAAGCGCTATGGGCTCCTCTTCCAAACAAGTATCAAGGGTCTCGCAGATCTCTCTCGAGAACAAAAACAATGCCACTTCCTATACCAGAACAACAACAACGCTCACAACGTCAATTTCCCGAGATACCGTCCGAGAAAGCTCTTTCGTATCCACCAATGAATCGCTATCCATCGAAGTCGACTGGGTCACCTCCGCCGTCTACACTTGCAAATATACCGAGACGAAGTAGCTCTTCTCGCATCGATATTGGACCAAGGGCTTCCTCGTTCTCTCAGCAAACGCGAGGCCCTTCCTCAAAGACAATTCAACCTCCTGCACCTCCCCAACGTGCCTTATCATTCTCTTCACAGTCAAAACATCGCCATGCATCCTTACAGACACTTCAACCTCCTATCTCTCTTCGTCGACCCTCAGACATTCCTTCTAAAGAGCAATGGCGCAGCTCTCTCAAATCCGCCCAAAATCCACCGTCACCACAACCTTCACCACAGTCATACTCTCCAACCCCCAGCATAGCATCAACCAGCTCAGCCCCAACACCAATCCCGGCATCAAGCCTAATAATGTATCAAACACCAAAAGCACCCTCCGACTCCTTCAACCTCATCCTCTCCCCTCAAACCCTCACAGACCTACAACCTCACCTCCCAACTATCCCCCACGAACAAATAACCCACCACGCCTCCACATGGTCCTACGCACAAACCCTAGACCAACTCCTACACCCCGATCACTGCCACCTCAAAGGCTCGGACACCCTCTGTCGATCCTACCTTTCCTCATCCATACGTTCCTACATCTCTACCCTCGCTTTCTCCCTCGCCGGCGAAAGAGAGAATTTCCCGCTTATGTTGTTTCTATTTCGTTTCGTGATGTTGTTTGGTGTTGATGTTTTGAGGGGTGTACCTAGCCAGTGTGGAGATCCGACGGGGTTGAGGGAGGTGGAGAGTAGTTATATGCTTGCGGGGGAGATTTTTGAGGTGTTGGAGGGAAGGGAGGGGGAGATGTGAGTGGATGGATTGTATTTTAGTGTATTTGAGCGCTGATGATTGATGAATAAATGATCGAATGAATGGATGATACTTTATGATTGCTAAGACAAAGGAAAGAAGGCTGCCGATGTGATGTGGTGGAGACTTCCTTCTTCAGGAGCATATCCCACGAGTAGTACACGTACCTGATGATGCAGATTATATGAGGAGATCTATACTCTATTCACGGTCAAATAATAGACAATATTTCTAATAACCAAAGTATACGTTACACTTTTGTTTAGATAGTTCCCAAATTATGTTTGTTTTTACTCAGGATGTCTAGCAGAGAGCACCCAGATTAGAACAACCGTCAGATCTGACATGAACCTCGACTAAGTACTCAATTCTTCTCGGACATTGAAGTTAGTTTTGTTGCACATCTGACCTTCCACTCCGCCCCGCTCCGCCCTTTGGTCTTTGGTGGAGCCATGCAAATGATTCCTGCTTCTGCCGAACATATTTCACTCTGAATGTCCTGATGAATGTAAGAGGTCCATGGATTCAGGATATCTGACCTTGCAACCCAGCAATGTCACTGTAATATACACCACCAACGCCACTATTCATGCCTGCACGCATCCAATTTTTTACACAACCAGCCCCCATTTTCCATTTTCATTCCCGCCAGCTAGCTACCGCCGTTTATAAACACCCACCATCCAGCTGGCCCTCAACACCGCCAGTCCCCACGCCATCCCCAGACTATCCCACATCACATTCAATTTACTCCCGCTGATCTCCTTCCAGCCGATCGGGATCTCGGCGACCATGATGCCGGCGGGCGCGCTCTCGGCAAGCATCAGCATCTCGACGTCGAAGATCCAGCCTTCGGCGTGCATGTAGGGCACGATATGGGGGAGCGAGGCGCGGGAAAAGAGCTTGAATCCGCATTGGGTGTCGCGGATGCGGGAGGTGGCTGGTGGGGTCAGGAGGCGGAGGAGCAGGTGGAAGGAGTGCATTAGGGTGTTTCTTAAGGCCGAGCGCTGGTGTTTTTATTAGCACTTTTGTACAAGTTAGGGTTAGGAAGGGGATATACTTTAACAACAGCTTCACTTCCCACTAAATGGGCTCTGCTGCCTACACTGATTCCTCGCCCGCTCTTATCGGCCACTTCTTTGCACCCCTCGACCAGCTTCCGTAGGTCTTCAAATCGACTGGCTCCATCTGCGTCTGCGAATACCGCATAAGCACCCCTCACATGTCGAAATCCATGCGTAACAGCTCCTCCTTTCCCGCGGTTCTGTTTCAGCGTACATACACGCAGAATATCATGCAGACCATGTTTCTGCGAAACCCTCAGCGCAACATCAATAGTCCTATCTCGCGACCCATCATTAACGATCAAAATCTCATATCCCCCCATTCCCCTCCCCTCACCCCCAGAGCTTTTTGCGCTTCCATTCGCCTTCCCCCCTATCTTAGACGACGGCACAGGTTCGCGACCATATTCCGCGTCCAGAAAAGCAATAGCTTCCTCGAGCATGATTTCCAGTCTTTCTTCTTCGTTGTACGCCGGTATCACAACGCTCATCTCCACTTCCGGGTCGTCGATCGTGCCGGTATGTTTATGGATCTCGCCCGCTGTGTTCTCGGCTTCGTTTCGGTGGGAGAGCCAGTCATCGTGCCAGCAAGGGAGAGGGCGTGGTGAGGAGCTGGAGTTTAGTGTTCCGTTTGGTAGGGTAGTTATGTATGTTTTTTCGGAGGAAAAAGGTGGGCGTGGTATAGGCGCTACTAGGAGGAGCGCGGCGTATAGCTGGAGATTCTGTTAGTTGCTTAGAATAGAGGGATGGGGAGGAAGAGGTACGAAAATGAATGTCGTGACTGCTGTCGCAACAAGCAACAGCAGGAGAGCGAGCGGCGACATTGAGCTGGCATATTCATATGTGCTCCCGAGTAACCTCAACGGAAATTCCAGTAATGTCGCCATATCTCCTGCAACTCAACTCAATCGTTCCTTCCGGGCCCAAACACTCGAGGAAGGAAGAATCAGCTTAAGCTTGAACCCAAAAGAAGGCCAAATTTCAATAAGAAAAAAAGCGCCGTGCGCAGAAATTAGATGGCAGTATTTCTACTCGTACATTGCCCGGATGCAATTGAATCATGTACAAAAGAAAAAAGAGAGGTTTGTGATCGTCGTCGTCGTAGGCGCTGTCGTGGACTGGACGGCAGTTCTGCTTTCTTTTGGACACGGGTTCAAGTGAAGGTGGATCTGGGATGCTTAGCGGCGGGATGACCCCTGGACGATGGCTTACGAGGCTGGAATGCGAGGCTGAGGCTGAGTATGTTCTACTTATTTTTAGGTCTGAGACTTGTGGGGATGTTGGAGATTGAAGATTTTCTGGTACGCAACGTTCTGTGTCGAATTAAGAGATTGTTATTTCTACAGTGTTCTGGATTCATTACAGTATTGTTGTCGGCGCTTCGTTCAGATCTCGTTGGAACGTTGATGAGCTATGGTGTTCGAAATAGGGACATTTGCAGTGTTCGGCTTCACAATGCAATTTAACGCTGAACACGTAATAAATCACAGTCACGTTGGAATAAAAGGACATTCGAAGTTCTTTATTTCTTGGTTGTGTATGGTATCTATCAAACCCCGGTGTACTTGCCGTAGCACAGCACATGCTAGAAACAGACCCAACGCCCAGATGCCGCTAAATCAAACAATACATGTACAATGCTCCTCGGAGCCGAGCAATCCTCTTCCTTCTCTCTATGCAAGCAATGTTCCCCCTTACAGCTGGATGAGATCGATTTCCGAGAAATCTGGCGGATTTCTCCCATACACCACTTTCGCTTTACTATCCAAGGCTGCACCAACGTTGCTTATCCATATATTGTTCCCAGCATATTCTCTTGTCCGCTTAATCTCGTCATCACTGACTCCAATATCATCTCGGGGGATCCAAACTGTAGGTCGTCTAGCTCTTAGGGCATAATGCTGGAATGCATGTCTCACGAGGACGTCTCTCTCATCAGGTGTCAGATCTTCGATATCATCGTTATATCCACCATAAAGAGCGTCCGCAATCTTCTTTTGGTTGTCGAGATCACGGTGTCGGCGTTTTTGACGAATAACAGGATCCTCAGCTTCATGGCCTCGACCGAATGTTTGTTGGCGAAAGGCGCGCCCTGATTTGGCTGCCCAAGTCCCAGCTTCTTTGACAACATTTGCAGGATTGAATTTTGCGAACTTGTTCTGATGTGAATTCATCTTGCCAAGTTCGATCGCTCCATCGTGCTGAATAGGCCCAACAGTTTCTTCTTCATCGGCATCAATTCCAAGTCGTCTAGCTTGAGCTCTCTCGAAAGCTTCGTCTCGGAGCACAGCCTCATCTTCGAACGTGATAGGCAAGTGCAAGAGAAGGGGCCCAAACGACCAGTTGAGCAGAACCTGATATAAGGCGGTGAGGACAATAGACACTATCATAATAATGCCTTGTGGAGCGCAAGAAGCGTCGCCATTCTCGTCCCGAACAAGGAAGAAGAGTCCAACCAAGCACAGCTCCATAATGTACAGGCCTACGAACGTTTGATTGAGGGCGCGAGGGTAGAGCAAACCACCAGTGTCCAGTTTGAATCTGGAAACGTACAGCATGTTGTATCGGTTCGCAATCCAGAAGAGGGTGAATGTGATAATGGCGAATAGGATAATCAAAGGAGAAACAACGCAGTAGATAAGCGCAATGCAAGCAAAGTTGGTGTAGACCGGAAAGGTGGTTCCCCAGGTGACACTTGGTAGCGTTGTGTTTCGAGTCCACTTCTGACGAGCAGTACTGTCCATAATTTTTGGTAGAATGTACCACATTGCCAGAGTAAAAATCTGCAAAAGGGTACCCGCACTCGTAGACAACGATTGAAGAATCATGTAGGAGAAGAAATAATTCGAAGCCTTAGGAAGTTGGGTAGCCAGAGTCTCGGGAACTGCATTGAAATCCGTAGAGGAACCCAACGTTGCCAAGGCACCCCCAGAGATTGAGACAACCAGGAAGACTTGGACGAACAGGAAGGCAAAGTAGTAGTTTTGGACGGATCGTTGCTTTTCTGTCCCAGTCTGTGATCCCTGAACCAATGCAAGGAAATTTAAAATTGTAGGGACCAGTATAAGTAAGAGAGAAAGAACCAGTGGCGGCAAAACACCTGCGAGTCCCTGAAGTACTCTTTTCGGTAAGTGGTTGAGCCAGTGCAGCCAGGAATATTTCGAAGCCAAGGCTGTTATTTGAGACAATGAAGCTGTCCATCCGACGGGAATCAACCACAACACGACCATACCAGTAACAATACCGAATACTAGTGCAGTGCGGAACCAGGACTCCCACCATTTGATAGACATATTATCCCAAATAACATCATTTGGTGATATTTCTACGGTTCTCGGGGCCATATGCTTAGGCACATGATGGGTAACAGCTTGGCAAGCCATATGTGCAGCAACTTGGTGGTTGAACTGTATGAAGGCAGAGTTCATCAAGGGGAAACGCTCTGGCTCTTTCTGGTCCATCTCGATCTCCAGATTCAGGCGGGCTAATTCTTCTCGGCACCAATAGATCGTGTCGACTTTTTTGTTGATAATTGGGAGGCCGGGCAACCACCCAGGAGTCCATCCAAAATTCGGAAGTCGATGTGTCGGTCGGTCTTTGGTCTTAAGGTATCGCTCCCAGACAGCACCATGAGCATCTTCTTTATACTCGGGATTGTAAGATAGCGGATACTCCAGAGGCTCTATCTCGTCATCTCCAAGGAAAGGGATCACGGATTTGACTTTTCCGAAGAAGCCCTTCTTCTCTGCATCTCCATGTCTCTTGGACATTGTCGACCCAGCTCCATCGAATTGAGTGAGTGGAAACTCGTCGCCATCTTCGTATCCAGTTGGCATTGGGGAGGCAAATCCTCCAGCGGGACCTTGCCAGAACTTCCACCACCCAACGTTTCCAGCATTGTCATTCGTGCCGGCATAATTGTTGGTAGCTCTTCTGACAGTGTTTCCAGGTAATCTCATATCTTGACCGTGCAATTTCGGTCCTTTCGTCGAGGTTGGTGAGATGTCTTCGACCATGTGGTCTTTCTTCTCGGCTTCCGCGTCGATCCCTGCCCCGTAAGGCCCACCCACATTCCCAACATTGGGCTCTCCACGATAACGACCATACTGATCGTAACCATCGTCCTCAACATCCGAGTGCGAGTCAAATGTCACAAACCCATTTGTGGTCTCGATCTGATTGTTCAGGTCTTTGCCAACATTGCGGGCGCCTCCAATGACCGTACCTCCTGCTTTGCCAACAGCGCCAATTCCCTTTCCAAGACCTTGTCCTACAGTCTCGAAACCTTGCCCAACAGCAGCTAGACCACCGCCGATGACTGGTATTTTGAAGCCGCCTTTTCGTTCATGGCTAGTGGTATTATCGTGGTCTTGCTCCCTGGATCGCTCTTCCTCCTCATTAATGGCATCATCCACCGTGTGTGGCACCTGATGAGGATCACCAGTACTCGTCCCTCCTTCTTGTGCTAGCCTTTGAGCTTGCAGGTCGTCGTTTTTCTCCTGCTGCGTCTTTTCCGCTTTGGTCTTGCGCTTCTGCTTTCGCTGTTTTGCAAGCAATTTCTCATCTTTCTCTACTTGCTTCTTTTGGGCCTTCTTGGCGAGTCTGATAAGCTCCGTCTCGGCAGACTCAAGCTGGTGGAAGACTTGGTCTCTTTGGTGAATCTTGTCAAGAAGAGCGTCGAATTTTCGATTGATCCAGATATTTCGAATTCCACCGGGAAACACATCGTAGAGGCCGGCAAGGGCTTCCACAGTCAACCATTTTCGAGGAATGGCGCTCACTAGGACAGTTGTTGCCGAGGCTCTCAGACGATGCTCAGCAGATGTCAAATAATCCTGTCGGACCTTGATATACACCTTGAACTCTGCAAAAAACACCTCACAGACCCATATAACAACTAGGAGTGCGAGCACGAGATGGACCCAATATCGGTGAGTGTCTTCTGGTCTGACATTACCCCAAGCAAGCGTGTCCAAACCAGTCACATTGGCATGTGCAGAGTCTGTAGCGTTATTAAACTCTAAAGCATATGAAGGCCCTCTACCACCAATTGAATTCAACGGCAAGAGGACCGGAAGTATAACAACGGCCATAGGTATGAATATGATGAGCAGGGTCTGCAGGTACCGCAGGAAGAAGTAGGCATCGAGACCGCATTTGTTAATGACTTCTCGGTCTCTGAATCGAAAGATGGCAAAAAGCCATCCCCAAGGATTTCGTGGTGGTGGATCTGTTCGTTCGCGTTCTGGGACAAGATAAGTCTTGGGTTTGCTAGAATAAATTAGCAGATTGTTCTGTAATTGAGCTGAATGGCAACCTACTATATCCGTGCAAGCTTGTCTTTCAGTAGCACGAAAGCAATCATTTGTACGCCGAAAATGATTAACGACAACCCCAGGGCAGTAATGAAAGCTACGAGGCTGATTCCCTGAGAACCTTGAGCGCTTCCAAGAGAAGACGAGCTGGTCGATGAGCTCGCAGAGCTCGTGCTCGACGCTGTCGCCGTAGCCGTTGTCGACATCTTGAAGCACTATTATTTAGATTATCGAGACATGAAAGAGTCGTTATTGCAGAGGGGAAGCAAGACGAGGGGCTCGTTGTTGAATTACGGAGGTGGTCGAATATTCTTGTCGTGTTTCAGGAGATGTGGATTTCTTTGCTTCGATCTGGCCGAGGTCTAGAAATTCAAGAGGCCTAATATGAGTACTCGATTAATTTGTAGCGTGAATGTTCAGAGGGAAGTGTGAATGTTTTAGTTCATAACAAGTTTCAATAAGTGTCGGTCCAAGCCGCTGGGATATTATTGTCCAGCACCGTTGTTCTTGGGTTTGAATCGATGATGGTGGTGGATGAGCCAGTGATTGGGTTTTGCAAGGGTGACAACCTTGTTTCACGCCAAATGACATCAGGCGCGGCTCACCACCAGCCCTTGACAAAGAGACTCGAGACAGGGTTCACGCAAGCCTCAGGGGTCTCTCAATCTGCTGCCACGCGCTTAAGAGGCGACCGTTGAGACACAATCATTCGTTCTCGTCATCTGAACTTCAAACCACAATCAATCTTCGTCTGATTCTATTGATAGCTGAGACAATACCGCGCTTGATCGAGCGTCTACAACTGTCGTTCGTCCAGAGGTCCGAACAATTGTTAAGTCGCGTTTCTTTTTACATTATTCGTGGATTTCGAGGAGTGGAATAGCACCCATCTAAGCCTTTTCGCAATGAAAATACGAGATCGAATCTTATTTGTTGAGATGTTCAGTCATACTTTCGTTGCTTAGCATCATTATCTAGTCTTTTGCGGTTGATTCATAAGGTTGCAGACGGCCAGCTCATAATTCCTGAAGATTGGAGAACAATTGGATATCTGTATGAGAAGTCAAAACTTCATGTACAGTGTACATCTCAGCCGAATTGTTACCTCTATATCACCTACCACTTAATCAGATATTAAAGACGCACTTATGATAGTTTTATTCTCCTTGAGATCGAGCGCGCTGACAGCTGTATGAGAAAGTGAGAATTATACTTCATTTGTGGCTCTGCGGAAGTACGCCGTGGAGTCCTTCTTGGAGGTTATTAATAATCCGATTAGGACCAATAGACCAATCCTATTTTCCGCAAGCGGCTTTCAGTACCTGCGTAATTGTTACACCAAAGATCTTATGACCGAGTCAGTATTGGGAACCTCGCATCTCTTTAAAATACCTCAGTGGATATTCTTTTTGATGGATAACAATGGTCTGGATGTTTGTAGTCTGCATACAGGCTACGTGTTAGGAAAGACCTAAACGGATGTCGTAAGGTGCTAGTGTTTGCTTTGGAATAGTGCCATCATCCAACACTAACTAATTATTTCATCACACATAAAATCTTCCATACCGAGTCTTTCTTCTTTCTTCGTATCACTCACATTATCTCGAAGACTTTACATCAATAGAAGTCATCGTCTTCTATTAATATTATCACACTATCGCTTGTTTTCAATATCGGCAATGCTCAAATAGCAATAATCTCACTACCCTCACAATGTCTCGTCTAGAGAAACTTCCTGCCGAACTTCGACACCAAATCTTTTCTTACTGCGTCGTCTCTCCCACTGGCTACCTCGAACCCATCGATTTGAGAGGACTTCGCTGCCCCAAAGATACTTCCCTTTCCGGAACATACTCCTTCTACCTCGCATGCAACACGCCGTTGGACCGAGACTCAATGTACAAGTGGAGCATCACAGGACTGGACAACCCACGACTTCGAAACAAGATCTCAACCTCTCTTCTACGAACCAACAAGCAAATCCACGCCGAGGCGTCATCAATATTCTGGAACTCAAATACCATATTCTTCTTCGACATTGAAGAGATGGTTGAATTCGAGACGAAAGCAGGTTCTGTCCCTTTCAGAAACATTGTCACGATGTGCGTGGGATTGAACGAACGGGCGGAATCTCTCGAATGGCAACAGATTGAGGGTATACTCCAGCAACTATCCAAGTCTAGATCAACGTCTGACGCTACGTCCAAATCTTCGTTGAAGAAGCTTGAGTTGGCTATTTCGAAGAGAATGATAAATTTCATATCCAAGTGGTCATTAAGCGAGAATATAAACCACGCAAATAAGGGAATGATTAAAGATGCCATAATCGCCTGGTATTTGCTTAAAACCTTGGAACGGGGAAAGGAGCTAGGCTCAGGAATTGAGAGATGTGTCGTGCTGGGGAAAGAACAAGTTTGCGAACCACTAGAGGCAGTGGATCTTGACAAGATGGTGGAGCTATGGCGACAGGCCTGGGGAAAGAACTAGATCAAGGTAAAATCCTACTTGAACCAATCTCAGGACATGACAAGATTGCGTACCAGACGGACAAAGATATCTACAGACTAGCTTCGACTAGACATTCAGATTTGAGATTTTTAGCCTGACTTGGGCTTCATAGAGGGGACAATCTGTATTCTATGGGAGGTCATTTACCAGAAATGTTGGTTTGGCATTGAACAGCATGAAGGCTATATAGCACACTGTCACCACATCTCGTGCATTAGTGGCGTGCACTTTAAGTGTTCGATTGTAAAAGTGGAACTTGTTAGAGCGCCTCGTTGAAAAGCGCTGTTAGAATGTATTGTTAGTCATAGATTCAATTGCTTCTCTAAATACCAACATAATTCATTTCTACAACAAGGTGCTGACTGACTTTTGCGAGAATGCTCCCCCCCTTATCCTAACCCCTGTCTCCTTAGCGGCCCGACGCGAAACCCCAGATTCGAAAATATAAATCCACGTCTCCATTGTCCAGCACATCTCTCCCCATCAACGACAAATGCCAACAACCTTCCTCTCCCTCCCACGAGAACTTCGTGATCAAATCTGTACGTTGGAACCTGCCTACTTCTCCTTCATCTCAAGAAATCTCCTCTACGCGAGAGCTACTCGAGAGCTACTCGTGGAAGAAAATACAGCTCTGCGCACAAGCTCCTCGAAGCCCAGACATCTGCAAAACTGTCCACTAATTTGTCAACAGACGAATACATCCTCATCTCCCCCTCCCTGCACATCGAGCCGGCCCTCCTCCGTCACCCAACCCATCAAAAACGCATCCCGCACTACTCCCCCTCCCGCCTCGAACCCCAACCGCGCTTCGCCCTCTGCACCAACCCCCTCGACACGCTCCCCCTCGACCCCGTAACCCAACAACCCGTCTCCGCATACCGGCACCACACCTCCCTCTCCATCCGCCGAGTATGCCGACAGATAACCCTCGAGACGGCCCAGATCTTCTGGTGCCGGAACACCTTCTACTTCTCCACCTTCTACCTCAGTAAAAACACCTCCGGGCTGCTAAAGACGCTCAAATTGATGGGCCAGGTGCCGTCGCGGTTGATACAACGGATCACGATCCGGATGTCGGGGTTATCGTCGCTGTATACGACGCTGGGGAAGTGTTTGTTGTCGTTAAGTTCGAGGGCTCGACATGGGTCGTTTCGGAAACTGACGTTGGTGTGGGGAGAGGAGGAGTGGAGGGAACTAGTGAGGGTTAATGCTTATGGGATGATATTGGGGGATGCGCGGTTTTATGATGATCTTTTGGATAATTTGGGGACGGGGGGGGAGGGGTGTAGGTATGAGAGGGTTATTGAGGCTCCTGGGGGTTGGGATTGTAGGGGTGGTGGGTATGAGGTGAGGGTTGAGGAGGCGACTGCTAGGGCGCTGCATTTGGCCTTTGGGGGGAAGTTGTTTGTCGGAGATTTGTTGGCTTGGGAGGGGTATCAGAGGGTTGGGCTACTGGATAGGAGAGTGAAAGAGGTGTGAGTACACTTCGAGCCTAGAAGCGTGGGTACTGTGGATATATTGTGACGATATGGTATATACAGATGTATAAATTGCTGAGAACGGGGTATGGGAAGCAGGATTCAATTTCTCATCATACAAGGTCTATTTACCTGATCTACGATCCCTAATCATACGCCATCTACCAAAAAATGAGGCCGTTAGTAAATACTAGAAGCAAAGTCCAAACCAATCACTTCCGCTCATGTACCAAACGCCCCTTAACCCACACAGCCAGCGTATTCCGATCATCCCCATTGAACACCCACTTTGCAATCCTCTCCTCCCAATTCTCCCACCCAAAGATATCAACCGGACTCTCCTCCTCGATACCATCCTGATCCACATCAACCGGTACATTCCCCAACCCAATCAACTGAGCATCCCACTCCATGCCCAAGCCAAAGCTACCAATCTTATCCTCCAGTCCCACGACCTTCGCTCCTCCTTTCGTACCAAGATACAACACCTCCTCAATACTCAATTTCGAATCATCATCCCCCTCCATCGCTACATGTCGACTCACCAAACTAGCTTGTCTGACCGCTTCCAAGATACTAGGACTATACCCACCACTAACATCTGTACCGAGTCCAATATCCAGCCCTTTATTAAGCATCATTCTCACTTTCGCCGTCCCAGACGTGATAGCCGAGTTACTGCACGGACAATGACTGATTTTGCCTTCCCTCGCTTTAATCAAATCGACCTCAGCCTCCGTAAGATGCACCGCATGCGCCAGGATCGTCTTTGGAGTAAGGAGCCCATGGCCATCGTAGACATGAGTATACGACTCAAACCCAGGGAACATCTCTTTAACAAGCTTGACCTCGTTCTTGTTCTCCGAGATATGGGTCTGGACCGGGAACCCCGTCTCCTTTTGCAGAGCCCCCAGTCCATGCATGAGTTCCCTCGTACAAGCTGGTGCGAAACGCGGCGTGATGATGGGCGTAATGAGAGCGTTGGTAGGATCGATCTTGGCGATATGGTCCATGGTCGCTTTCGTATCAGCAATAGACGTCGCAGCAGATTCATCGCGGTAGTAATCTGGAGCCAACGAATCCATGCAGCAACGACCGATGAACGCTCTTTGACCAAGAGTTAGACATAGGTCACTTAGCAGATTGGTGGATGGCACGGAAATAGTAGCGTAGTAAGAAGCGGTTGTCGTCCCATGAGAAAGCGTCCGTTGGATACAGCGAGTATAGACTCTCTTCGCTTTCGAAATGGACGACAAGCTACTTTCCATGGGGAAAGTATACGTGTTGAGCCAATCTAGCAGCGTCGTCTTCCCAAAGATGCCGACATTGGGATACTGAGGGGCGTGGATATGTGTGTCTGGACATTATCAGCAAGGATCTGGCAAGCAGGGTGATTTGTACGGACCAATGAAGCCGGGGAAGAAGAATTGACCAGGTGCAGCAACTCTCACGGAAACGTCTCCGATGGTCCAGCCAAGCTTCGGGGCAATCACTTGGAGAGCTTGCTGCTTGTCACAATGCTCTTCGATGGCAACGATAACTCCCTTCTCGTCCACAAACACAGCAAGATCATGTAGGACTTCAAGTACCTCCAAGCTCTTGCTGTGAACAAAGCTTCCCACGAAGACGCTCTTTTGCTTGTGAGCTGACGACATTGTGACAGCGAAACTTGTGACTTTCCGCCTCTTCTCAAGTTTCAGAAATATTTTATCGGGATATCATGAAGACTTTATCTGTTCTTATCATCAGGACCGGTTTGACAAACTGTAGTCAACCGCGATATTTGCTGCTTGTTTTTTCCTGTCCCACCAATGCCTGCGCAGTTGTCTGCCCCTCACTAGTCCACTTTGGGATGTTCCAGCCGGACGCCGGCGGCGGAGGTCTCCGATGCGATCTAGAAATGACGGATTTGAGAATCGACATGATTCAGGGACAAGAAGGGTAAAGTTTCGTGATTTTATGGCTGCGGGTATTGGCGATCACATATACCAGTTAGATTCTAGGATGGGAGATACCTATGTAGAAACGGCGGAGTCAAGCGGTACCATACGAACCGAAGCGAAAGTCTTCATATCTATGCATTTGCAAGATATGTAATTCTTCTCCCTGTTTAAAATCACAAAGTGGGTATTCCCAAGCGCCTTTGTATGCATGCGAGTCCGAACAGTACGAATCTAAATACTAGCCCGCCGAGGAGCCATTGTCCTTCTTAAGGCTTTTTTCTCTTCTGTCTCATCCACCAAAGGTAAGACGCCTTCATCTCTCATCTTTGATAAGTATTCTTGTCCGTACTTATAACCTAAAGCATAGATTTCGTCGAACTTGCCAAAGTCTAAAGTACCGTAATTATCAATAGGAGGTCTCATGTAGAGGCACCCAGGTGTCATTTTGGCTCTCTCCAGAGCATCGACACTCGACACGTATGCCAACCTTGCCTGGATTTCGGCAAGTGTGGGTGGATTGGGGAGCGATGAAAAGGGGTTCCACCGATTTGCGAAAGCCCAGAATCCTGATAGCGAGTCTCCGAATGTTTGGGGAGTATCATCGTCAAGGCTACCAACGTCTATGGCGAAGATAACGTCAGCTCCCAGAGACTTCATGTGTGACACCGTGAGATTGTCGATATATCCGCCATCTAAGAGCATGTCTCCTTCGTCACACAGAGGTGGGAGAAGGCCAGCCAACGACATCGATGCTCTTACATATCGCCATGCATAACCACTTGTGTGAATCTCGGATCGACTCTTGCTGATGTTGGTGGTGTTGCAATAGAATTCAAGCCAAAAGTCTTCGATTTGAGTATTCCCGAAGGTTTTGAAGATTCCGCGATTGAACTCATGGCCCGTGGTGTACGATGCAGATGGATATGTCAAGTCAAGCGCGAAGCGCCACATACTTGCCATTCGACCAGCGAATTTCTTCGCCCGCCCATACATGGGAACAACGTCAGCATCGCGTGCATAGAGTGCTCCAATGAAAGATCCGATTGAAGTGCCACCAATGATGTCGATGGGGATCCCGGCCTCTTCTAATGCTCGGATGATGCCCACTTGCGCCATACCACGAGCACCTCCTCCGCCTAACACCAAGCCAATTGACTTTCCACACAGCCGTCTTGCAATTCTGTGGAAGTCTCCTTTGAACGGTGTCTCGGAAGAGTATAATGGTGTTTGGCGCACCCGTCGAGAGGTGTACTTCTGGATTTCTGCCTGTAGAACTTGAACACGCTGTTTCAATGCCGAACCGAATTTCCTTGTCTGCGGATGAACAGGAACTGAACTCGTGCGAAATGCCATTTGTACGTGGTGGTGACCACCGTTGATCCAGACTCTGTTCCGCAGCCAAGCTCGAGTCAAGCCAGGAGGAGAGAAACGATCTGCGTGTAGCAGAACCAACTCTTTCCTTGCAGTAGTCTTCATCCCCAGCAAGAAACGTTCATATTCGCCAATAGCAGGCGAACCTTCTGCTAGACCTACAAGTAAAATGCAATCGGCTTGGCTGATACAGGTTTGGGTCCAAGGAGAATTGACGTTTGTATCTAACACATCCATTATTAGCAGATGATATATAGAAGGGAATACAGAGGTAGCTCAGAGGATATGGCGGTCAGGAAAAAATTAGAGTTGCAAAGTTTTAGTCTTCATCGAAGAGACTCAGGGTTAAAAAGAAATCGTCATTCGCCTAGGTGTTTAAAAAGAGTGATAGTGGAAGGGGTAGCTTACCAGCTATGTAAAGAACCAAGCCATACTTCTCCTCAAGATCAGCTAGATACTGCGACAATTTGAGTTTTCCCATTCGACTGAAAGCGTGTCTGCCTAGGTGATTCAAAATCGCTGCATGGTTCAGTGAGGTCACACCATTTGGTGCACCAATTTGGCTGAGTGCATTCATCAAGCGGCTACCAAATTCGACTACAGGAACACCGGCAGTGACCGGTAGGATTGCGACAGTCCGAAGATTGATGGTCGAAGACACTTTGTTGTTGGTGGCGGTGGTTGTCTTCTCCTTCCCTTGGACGAAGACAGGATCTTCAACTAACGCACGCATACGCGAGGCGATGATTTTGGAGATCTTGATAGTGATTCCTGGGTGCTCCTGTGCGAGACTGTTGAACAAGGTCTTAGGGAATTTTGCGAGCTCTGTATCTCTGATTGCATGCAGTGTTGCAGGCCGAACTGATTCGGTCATTACTTCCAATTCACCAACACTTTCTCCCTGGCCATATTCGCCCACGACTTTCATGCCTGCTTCTTCGTTGTTTTTGACTAAGCGAAGTCGTCCGTTGAGCACAATGTATATGGCGTCACTGTCGTCGCCTTGATGGTATATTACCTGGCCAGCATTAACCTGCACCCATTCTAGCGCGAAGTCAATATGTAAGATCAACCTGGGCAATAGACTGGTCAAACGTTTGGCCATGGTCAAGAGAACCACTGGATACTTCTCCACAATCCTCTCTAATGAAGATCGGGGGAGGAAGCCAACATATACATCAGTCTTAGCCACAACGTCGATGAATGAGCGATAAGAGGATATCGTTCCAATATAGCCTGCGATTCCTCCAGGTTTGATCAATGCTAGACTTTTCCGGCCAACTGGCTTTCGCTTTTTCGCCTCGGGTCCAGATGAACCTCTGGCTGAGCCTGAAGCTCTCGAAGACCCGGTACGAGTCCGAGACAATGGAGCCAGTGTTTCTTCCATGACTCCTGCCGAAGTTCGATGTGTGGTGCCAAGCACTGAAGAATCTGCTTGATCTTCATCTGGGACGCTGACATCCAGGAAACCATCAATCACATAATACAGGCCCGGGTTTCTCTCCCCTTGCTCCACGAGCACGGATCCCTTGGGAAAGTACACGATTTCTACGTCGTCTCGCAATTCATGGGCTAGACTTTGTGTACTTGGCACATTTCCAGTATTCGTCCCTCCAGAAGTCATTGATTCTGTGTCGCCATCCGCAGAGCCTTCATACGGATCAATTAAACCAAAGGCATTGCTAGTGAATATAGCTTTCTGCCGTCTTTGATCATATGAAACGAGTCGTGGGGATCCTTCAACGGAATCAGACATCCTCAAGGCGTTCTTGGTGTTTGTCAAACCGATAGCCTTGAAGATACATTCTAGGATGGATCGTCGGAATATGCTATCCTCATCGACGGAATCTTGACGATGCAGAGTCATTCTCGGATGGGCACTGTTGAACGGGTTGAATGACCTCTGCGCCAAGGGACTTTCGGTGTCATGATGCCAAACTTCTGGACCCTGCCCATTGTAGGAAGGAGGCATTGTATCGCCGAGCTTCGTACTGCTTCGACGTCCGCCACTTCTAGACATTTGGATATTTGTGAGCAGATCTCCTGGACTCGGGGTTGCACCTGTATCTCTGCTTGGCGAGGATGTCAATGTGTTGGTGCTCGCCGAAGCCGACCCTTTTCCGGACAGAGCATGAAGAGTAGCCTCTTTGCGAAGGCTGTTACTAGATCGCCGTCTTCGGCCCGACCCAGCATTGTGTAAGGCGATCCCTTTGCTGCCTTCTTCTGTCCCAATCCTTTCTCTTTCTCGAATGAACTTCTCTTTCAAGCGCTCTAGAGCATCACCGCGCAGGAAATTGGGAAGCTCATAGGTAGTGTACTTGTTCATGTGCTTTTCTGTACGTAAGACTTCACTTGTCAAGCCAAGGTACGAATGACCAGTGGCTAAGGTGACTCGTTGTAATCGAGTAAGTATTACTTGCACGATATGCGCAGTAGCTTTTGGGTACACTCTTGTGAGACGACGGAAAGCGCTGGCAGGAATAATTGCAATAGTTGTATCAACTGTGGCTCGAGCAACGATATCTGGATGAGCAGAGCTCGTGTTAACCCTTCGAGGCTTTGCCCTTGGTCTTACAGTATCTCTAGATGGATCCAAAGACAGAGGGGGGACTTTGGGTAACGTCCCACCAGCTGTAGAGCTGGCCAAAGTTGATGAACGTCGGTCTCGACCAGTCGGTCGTCCATCGTGAAGAGTTGCTCCGTAGATAGGGCTCGTGGGTAAGGATGGAGGCGTGTCATGGTTATGGCTTAATCCAGCACTTGATGGAAAGCGTTGGTGGCCGAAGCCGGCATTCAGACCCGCGTCCAACTCATCGTCTTCGGTATATCTGAGCTTCACATCTTCCGTGAATAAAGATAGAATCGAAAAGAGCGAGGACATGGGGGCTCCATTTTTGACCTCAGTAAGTAACTGATAGCCTTGTTGGGATGTCCGTCCATATTGCTCTTCGCCACTATCTGACGATTCGTCTGGGTGGAACTTGGATGGTTCTGAATCGGAACCTCTTCCCTCCCTCGACGACTTGACGAATATCTCCACCAGCCCGTCAACAACTAGGCAAAAACCCTTCTCTTCTTCTAGATTCAAGGTTTCTCCAGCTATGAGCTTTCTTGTTTGCATCGACCTAGTAAGCTCATGGAAGACAGGCCGCTCTAGATATCCAAAAACTTTAATCGCGCTGAGGAATTCGTCTAGATAATTCGAAAACCCTGACTTTGACCCCTCTTCTTGTGTATCGGGATATAGGTCTATTTCGGGCTCCTTTCTTTGAGGTTCGGGAGGAAGTCGAGAGTACATATTCAAGAACCTATACCTCACGAACCAACTCACCGTCGAGACAAATGCAACGACAATTAGCATTCTGTTAAAGATGTTAGAGTAGGCTACTGGTATATGACCAAGGACTTACACTGTAGTTGCATTCATGGTGACAGTCAAGCTGGTTGAGAAAAGAGTAAAGAGGAATGTTGGAAGAGTAATCGTCGTGAAAGTAATGAGCCAGTACAGAATGCCTGGGACAAGCTTGATCAGAAATAGAATCATCTTGGCAAATAACCCGAGCCAAGAGCGTTGGACATGTGCCTGCTCTATTGCTGTCGCATTGGCCAAAGCCACTGTAGACGGTACTGATGCATTCATGGTACCTGGCAGCTTCGTGAAGCTTTCCACAATGGACGAAACAGTCTCAGAGGCCGACATAACGGAATGCTGAATATGGCCAGCACTGGCAGGATGCGCCGCCATAATAAAGGTTCAGCCAAAAGATTGAGTTGATTCCATGTTTTGGGGAAAAGTGGTTCAAGACGCAAGCTACATGACCAGCGAGACAGCTTAAAGTCGAGTCCAAAACCTCGTCACACATGGGGAAGGAGGCGCTAAGCCTATTCCATCATCCCACCACAGCTAAAAATCCGACAAAAGTTATGACTCTTGGACGCGAACAAACCAACTGCGCAGACAACGCCGACTTTCGAAAAGGACCCATAACGACCCAAAATTCTACTTCGTTCTTCGACGGTCACGCAAAGTCAAACCGAAATCCATTCGCAGCAAAGACGCGTAGAGAAAATTCCCACACAACTCCCCAACTCCCCGCGCCCCGCAGCGCCCCAACCGCAACCATGTCGTTGACAAACTGCCGCTTCTATGAAGAGAAGTATCCGGACATAGATAGCTTCGTGATGGTAAATGTGAAGCAGGTGAGTTTTCACGAAAGTCTGGACATGCAAGATCATCAGATGCTAAGTTGCCTACAGATCGCCGAGATGGGAGCATATGTCAAGCTTCTTGAATATGACAACATCGATGGCATGATCCTCCTCTCCGAATTGTCAAGACGTCGTATCCGAAGTATCCAAAAGCTTATTCGAGTGGGACGCAATGAAGTAGTAGTTGTGCTCAGAGTTGACAAGGAGAAAGGTACGGCAGGGCATTCGCGCTGAAACTACAAAGATACTGATACGAGTTGATCTCAGGTTATATCGATCTGTCAAAGCGAAGAGTCTCACCAGAAGACATTATCAAGTGCGAGGAAAGATACAACAAGGGCAAGATGGTTCACTCGATCATGCGACACGTTGCCGAAAAGACTCAACATCCAATCGAAGATCTGTACGAGAGCATCGGATGGCCTTTGAACAAGAAATATGGACATGCGGTTGATGCGTTCAAGCTGTCTATAACGTAAGATTTCTGTCTTAGGCCTATTTCAAAATGTACTGACAATTTCCAGCAATCCAGATGTGTGGCAAGAGGTTAAATTTCCAAATGACGTTGTCGCCGACGAGCTGAAGTCCTATATCGGAAAGCGCCTCACGCCCCAACCTACAAAGGTCCGAGCAGATGTTGAGGTTACATGCTTTGGATATGAGGGTATCGACGCAGTCAAGACAGCTCTCCGAACCGCTGAGGCCAGAAACACACCAGACAACCAAGTCAAGGTCAAACTTGTCTCACCTCCCCTCTATGTTCTTACAAGCACTTGTCTAGAAAAGGCGGTTGGTATCTCAACGCTGGAGGCAGCAATTGTCGATATTCGAGCTAATATTGAGGGTGCTGGCGGTAATTGTTTGGTCAAGATGGAGCCAAAGGCTGTCACGGAGAACGATGATGCCGAGCTGCAGGCCTTGATGGAGAAGCGTGAGAGAGAAAATGCGGAAGTCAGCGGAGACGAGAGCATGAGTGAGAGCGACGAGAACGCAGTGGAGGTGATGTAGGCGGGTTTAGGGATATCAAAAGCACTGAGCGTGGCTTAACTTTGCATTGCGGGCGCATAGAGGGGCTTGCCAACATGCCGTAGATCTTGTTTGGTGATTGTATCAAAAGTACATCGAATCAGCATGCGATGAATCTGAATACAAATTTGCATTAACTGAATGTCATTTCGACTTTGGTGCCATGCAAGGCTGTGTTTTTGACAAGGCTGACAAATAAAATGGCTTTGCCGAGATAATATTTCAACTACTCTCATCACCTAGAAGTGACAAATTTATTTGCGGAAAATGGCTTCTCGATTTCTACCAAAACTACGCAGTTCACGACCTAGAGGGTTCTTCCGTGAATTCAATTACACTTTATTCACGATCGCCACATGGATCCCAGCCGTGATATTTTTCAACGGACATGTTGGGGAGGTAACATGGATCAACGGCTCTTCGATGTATCCATTTCTCAATAGCAGCTATGATGAAAGTCTGGAGAAAGATGTGTGTTGGACGAATAAATGGAGTCCAATCACTGGTTTAAGGAGAGGGATGATTGTTTCCTTCCGGTGAGTGTCGTCGAAACTTGCCTTGAATTGTACATTGACCACGAATTGCAGAAGCCCATCCAATCCCGAAACTGTCTCGATCAAGCGTATCATTGCTGTTGAGGGTGATCTGGTCTTCACTCGAGCACCATATCCTCTACCAACAGTCCGAATTCCCGTCAATCACGTCTGGGTCGAAGGAGACAACAAAGATACTAACAAGACCTTGGACAGCAACACTTACGGACCGATACCAGTGAGCCTTATTCAAGGGAAGGTAACCCATGTATTATGGCCTTGGAAAAGCTTTGGGCCTATCAGATGGCAAGAATTCAGGAGCAGGGCAAGAGTTATCAAGGGTAGGCCCGAGAACGCACCAGGTTGGGATTGAGAAGGATGTGAAATTCTTTCTTGCATATCAATACGGAGGAATATCCAAGCTTGTCGTTGAAGACATTCGAAGAGGAATATACTGGTGGTCTGAGATGAAAGGAGGAGTTGTGGTCTTACCATAGCTCCTAACGACGCCACGACAGTGCTAGAGCACCACATTAGGATACATACTATGAGACTTGATCATACCGCTAAGCACTCTGAAAAGGCTTCAATGAGTTAGCATACACGCACAAGATGGATCACCAAACGTTACCTCACGTGACGTATAGATATACCTGGGTATATATTAGTGCCTACCTATCGACGGATACTTTGTAAACACCTTGCAAATGTTACGATTCCTTGTGCCCAATTTCTAGATAATATCAGACATTTGCACCTTGCAACGGCATTCATTTGTTGACCGAATATCAGCCTCTCAGCCTCGTCCCTAGTCCTGCATGAACACGGAGCTTCAAATAATTTGCCGATTTTGACGAAGTCCGAGAAGCTCTTTATTTTCTTTAGGGCCGACAAAACCTTCAACGGTAAACTTTCATTGAGAAGCTTCAGGCGACTCTACTGGAACACAGAGAGTGAGGAGGGCCATGTCCCTGGGTTCTCGAGTTGCTAGCCTGTTCTCCGGATCAACCAATACGCAGCAAGGCCGAGAAAAGTTGGACTTTGTTGATGATGGACTGCCAGCTGGGAAGCAGACTTTCGCAGATGTCAATTTGGGAATACCGGGGCTTGGGTCGGATACCATGGCATCGCAAACGGACGAAGAGGAGGGAAGGCCACCCTATCTACATGTAAGTTTAGCGCTTTCTGTCTACTGGAACCTTACTGATCTATATAGTCCATGATTGCGGGAGGACTGGGCGGAACGACTGGAGATCTTTTGATGCACTCTCTTGATACTGTCAAAACTCGTCAGCAAGGCGATCCGCATATTCCGCCGCGATATACTTCGATGTCATCCTCCTACGGTACCATCCTACGTCAAGAAGGACTGCGGCGGGGTCTCTACGGTGGTTGGCTGCCAGCTTTACTTGGATCTTTTCCAGGGACAGTGATCTTCTTTGGAACTTATGAATACAGCAAACGGCATATGATAGACGCTGGGATCACTCCTCAGTTTGCATATCTGTCCAGTGGTATGACTTTCCAGAATACAAAGTTTGACATTAGATTGCTAAGAGACTATAGGTTTTGTTGCAGACTTCGCTGCCTCGTTCATCTATGTTCCCTCTGAAGTTCTTAAAACCCGCCTTCAGCTACAGGGTCGATACAACAATCCCTTTTTCCAGTCCGGGTATAACTATAAATCAACTTCCCATGCTGCCAGGACCATCATTCGCCAAGAAGGCTTCTTTGCATTGTTCTACGGCTATAAGGCTACCATTTTTCGAGACCTCCCATTCTCCGCCTTGCAATTTGCATTCTACGAACAAGGCCAGAATTGGGCTAGGCAGTGGAAAAAAAGTAGGGATATCGGATTACCACTGGAACTGTTAACTGGTGCTGCTGCTGGAGGACTTGCTGGTGTGATTACTTGCCCATTGGATGTTGTCAAGACAAGAATCCAGACGCAAGTCAACCCAGCAGCGCGGGCAACATTCCAGAAAACTCCACAGAACTGTTCATCAACAAAGACGGATAGTTCCCCAATCAAGCAACAAATACGATCCATTTCCACCTCTTCACCTTCTACACATACGCCCCGACCCGGGTCCATAAAGCTCGACACGTCTTCGGTATTTACTGGGTTGAAAGTGATATACAGAACCGAAGGATTCGCTGGATGGTTCAGAGGTGTAGGACCTAGATTTGTATGGACAAGCGTACAAAGTGGATGTATGTTGTTCTTGTACCAAACAATATTGAGGAAGCTGGAAATTTACGCAGCTTCAAAAGAGGATTTGGAGTCTGCTCTGTAATGTATTGGACACCGTAAGGCAGGTCGGGTCAACAAGACAGGAACTGTAGGCATTTGTATATCCGGAGCATTGGGCGGCGTTAGCATGCATGCACATGAGGGATTGATAGACATTAGATCTTCACTTTGAACGAAGAAAAATATGGACAAGAGTCCCAACTCTGTTATGATATCCAAATCACAGGGAATATGCAACTTAAATTTATTTCTCTAAGTGTATGTAAATTCAAACCTAAGAATTATGACTGCCCTAGCTGATGCGGCTCCCGCATAAGTGTAAATCGCATGGTGTACGGCAGCCGAGATCCGTTGCATTAGTATATCGTTCGATATTAGCTGCAAAATCAATTCATATTTCCTTCAACTTCCACGAACTCGAGAACGCCTCACTCGGAGCTTGACATAGGCTATCGATCGCACCTAATGGGTCTCTCATAGTCTGCAATGGCAACACCATTTCCAAAATGCCCGCAAGCCTCCCAGTGCCTTCTAAAGGAGCACTTCGAGCTCTCCGAAATCTTGCATTGGGAACATCATGCACAGTTGCCATCAGCACAGGTCTGTTGACCGAGGATCGCCGACGTCGTATAAATACCGCTCGAGAGGTACATAACAACGCGAAGAAGCTCAAATCGGCAAGACGATATCATAGTGCAGGTGGTGTCACGATCGAAACTTTCGAAGAGCACGCCTTGAAGTACAGGGACGAAGCATTTTGGCTGCCAAGCAATGTACTGCGAGATACAGAAGCCGCTCTTCGGAGCGAGGGACGTGGAATCGACAAATTCGATGGGAGTATACTCCCGCCAAACGATATCTCTCCTTCAATCGCCTCTCCGCAAGTCTCTCCTCGAAATCTGCTGAGAAATAGATTCCCTGCGACTAGAAGATCTACAGGGCACGAACGAACCTCTATGGCACCTTTAAAGGCCCGGGTCCCGAAAGAACCCGCGATTGAGCAACCGGAACCGAGCAATGTTCAGATTGAGATCCCTTCAGACCTAGCAATACGTCTCAATGAAGCTCAATTGGACATTGTGGAAGCTACTACAAGATTCCTTGAAGTGCTCGACTCATCATTGGCTGTGAACAAAGCTACTCTCGATGACGATACCATAGAAACAGCGATTAGGCTTTACGGTGCTTGCAGAAAGCAAGATAGACTGGATTTGTGCGACAGCCTGTTCGAAACGGTACTTGCCCATGGACCGATAACTGAGAGTCAATTCCATTCCTTTGCCCCAGAAGATCTCATAGGGAGGCTTCTCAATCGCCGTCGTCCTGGAAGCACCAAGCTGGAGCCTGCTGAATTTAGGAGGGCTTCGTCTATATATCTCACCAAATTCAAGAACCAAGCAGAAGTCTTGTCCGAAAGCATGTTCTCACTTGGGCATAGGCTTTGCTCAGAAGCTGTTGAGTTGAAGTTAGATTCCTTTGTGCCGAGACTATTCTTTCGAATGGTGGCCAGTCGAGGTGACCGACCCGTTAAAGCTGTTCACCATCTCATCACTGCTGCTCGTCGACAGCGGCTTCACAAGGATGTCTTTCGTTATTTTCAGAACTACTACATCCAAACCTTTCCAACTCAAGAAGAGTTTGATGAAATCTGTATGATAACTGTTGATTCTACGTTGGAGCTTCAGCGACTGGATCTGGCCGAGCAAGTTCTGATGTCTGCTTCACAAATGGCTCAAGACCAAGCTCTCGTGATGTCGTGCCTCGTAATGATCAAGCTGTTAGAACGCGATTTCCGGTCACAAAGAGACATTGGCGGAACTCGAGCGCTCTTCGGTCGACTGGAAACCCTTTTGCCCAACACGCCGTATCCACACAGCGTATACGCCAGGATCATTCAATACTGTATTGAAGCTCGTGACAACGATGCGGCGATATTCTATCGCGACCAGCTGCAACAATCCTACGGACCCAGCAAAGAGGATGGTCGAATACATGCACACTTCGCGTTATCAAAGGCTTACGCTGGAGACTGGCTTGGTGTTGTGGAACTGTTTACCAAGGCTCAAAATGCGTCCTTCAATGATGTGGAAATGCTGAGTTCACGCTTCGTTCCCATCTTGACCGAGTATGAAAGGTCTCATTCGTTGACTGAGGTGGAGGATTATATCAGTTCTTTTGCCGCCCAGTTTGCTCTGAAGATGGATCTTCCATTGATGAACTTCATGGTAGAGGCCTATGGCAAAGCAGGAGAGTTGGGTTGTATGGTCAGATGGATTGACTGTGCCGTTGCTGATGGTTGTGCTGTGGACGCCAAGACAATAAACATCATATTGAAGAATTGCCATTACCGATGGAAATTTTCGTTCGAACAGGTATATCGAATATACCGGTTGATTCGTAAAGAAGGAGACAACTCTTCAAATCTGATCAACACTCATACGGTAGCGCTTCTGCGCCGAATTGCTATAGCAAGTGCACGAAATCCAGCCGAAGAAATGGAGCGTCTAAAACGATTCGACAAGCACTCTAGTAATCAAGATGGCATTTATCGATCATTGTGTACAGCTTTTTCGAATAACGATTTCGCCACAACTCTAGGAATATACAAGCGTGCTCAAACAAGGGAAGCTCATTTGGAATACAGGCACTTTGTCATTGCTGTTAAGGCGTCTTTAAGACTTCAGGACAACATACAAGAAACGGTCGAAATCATCAAAGAGGCTCGGCGAGGCGGTCTCGACGTAAAGCATGCTATTTCAGCTGTTTTTATAGATCAGGTCACAAGATGGTCAGAGGAGAGCCTGTCCATGGATCGTCTTATGGACTCCTGCTACAGTACGATCGCGGCGTTCGAGAATTCTGGTACAGAGATTCCTCTTCACGTTGTGACACATACAGCGAGTGCTCTTCAACAAGGTAGAATGAATCGGCAGGCAATTGATTTGTGGAACTCGTTGTCCTCACGACTCAAAATCGCGCCTTCATCTTTTGACCTGGCCAGTATCACCAGTCTACTTATGGCCTACATTGGACTCCAAGACCCAGCTGGTGTTCGATGGGCTGTTCACATGCTATCGGCCAACAAGATATTTCCCGACCGACAATTCAAACTCGCTTTGAATAATGCTCGGAGGAAGACAAATCGTATGCTGGAGTCGCAGCCGTGCTCAAACCAGGTCCACGAGTTTCTGGAATCACTCCTGGAAGGCTTGGAAAAAGTCAAAGCCATGAGGTTAAATGCCACAGAGGAGAAGGACCGAGTGAATATGAAGACCATCATGATTATTGAAAAGGCCATAGACGACCAAAAGGCAAGAGATAGAGGACAGGGACGAAGCGTTGTTGAGTCACCAAATGTGCAGCAACTAGTCAAGATGAAAACACCCGAGAACAGCTCCGAATCTGAGATGGCAGTATGGGCGGACGGGATTGAAATGATTCATGATGTAGATATTGATTCTGCTAAGCTGGCAAGCTGTTAACATATGAGTATATTTGTATATAGGAATATATCAATGTCTATGTGTCTGAAGAAACACCCACATGATGCAACATAAAACATGCCCTATGATTTCAGTGTACCTCCTGTTTATATGTTAGCTTGCCAGAAATATAGAAACATGCCACTTAAATTTGAAGAAAGTACATAACTAGAATCTGGAGAAAAGTCAAAGTCCGTCAGCAATTGAGCACTTTCAAGCTGCATAAGTTCTCTCCTCTTGGAGTTAAAGGATTATAAAATTAATGGTCCGTCAGCAATTGAACACTTTCAAACAGCATAAGTTTTGAAGTCAAAGTATTATAATCAAGTGGCAAGAAATTAACATATGATCGGGTACACTGCAGACAAGTATGCATGATTAGCCAAGTCTAAGATCTTATGCAGCTCCGGTGAAATGCAATAGGGCTCGTGACACCTGCAGCAAATCGGTCATCCTTGCTTCTGGTTGGCCCCTGCCAACTTTTCCTCACGTCATTGTTTATTTCCTTTGGTTATTCGAGACTTTCAACGTCCTGCGTGCTCGAGCAATACAACCTTGATCCATCAATGTGATCAGCCTCGGAATGTCGATTGTTGCTGAGTATGGCTTCTCCGTCGGTTGTAGTCTACATTGCTAAAATTCTTCAAGTCAGGTACGGCGCGTCGACAGCCAACTCGACCGCGTTCATCTAGTTCCACGAGCAACACAAGATGGTTTTTCCACCGAACAGAATCGCAGAGTCTCTTCTTCCCCTCGAATACTTGAGCTTCAAAGCATCGTGAAAGCCTTTTCGACTACGTCCTCGTCCAGCCCACTTTTGTCATCATGGCGCATTTCGACATTGCTGAAGCAGGCGGAACTTTCGGAGGTTGGGGTAGAGAGTGAGGACGATGAAGTGACGAGAAATTACGAGTCCGAGCTCGAATGGCTGCTTGTGAGCAAGGCTACAGTGCAGACCTATGGTCTGCTATTGAACACTCTGCTGGAACAGACAATTCCACTCAACGATGATATATGGTATTGGGACGAAGTGCTTGGATCATATACATATACCAGTCTATATACGGTTCAGACGTCACCATTAAGATTCTGGGCATGGTCGAAGGATATATACAGCGATACCAGACGTAGACTCGCAAGGCTAGGAGAAGGTCCAGAGGACGCTATTTCTGCGAGAGATATTGGGACAAGCCTTACGGACCAATGGAAGCAATTTTACGGGCTTGTCAGAGAGAGTATCCGCGAGAGGTCAATTGCGGATATTCAACGGAGGGTACTTTCGCCTATTGCTCTTTGCCGTTCCCAAGCACGACATAATCAAGCTCGTCTAAGAAGATTACGAGAAATGGGTGCAAGCGGGTTGGGCGTGCTCATGGACGAAGGCCTAAGTTTTGATATCAACGATGAAAGCTCCGAGACGGCAAAAACGGAAGAGAATGATAGCCATGAATGGAAAGTGGTTGTGGAGAGAAGCGTGGCTTTGATGGATACAGTTCTCAGAAATGTCACCACTCTCGAAACCGGCGTTTCTGATTTCGAGGATACTGTCTTTGCCACTGTTGAGGACGACCCAGAGATCTCGGTCAGAGATGACGGTGCTCAAACTTCCAGACCAGCAAAACTTAGTACTCGACTACAACACATCCTCGAGGTCCACGTCCCAAATCACATAACATCTTCTCAGAAGCTAGTCTCACTATATGGACGGCCTCCAAGACTCGTTAGGTACTGGCTTCCAGCAAGTCTACTATTACTCTCTTCTTCGACCCTTCTGCGAATATTCGTCCACAGACGTTCAGAGATTGTTGAAGGGATCAGAGACTTTGGAGCAACAGTCCGAGACTTCTGGTTTAATTGGGTCATCGAGCCTGTTAAGAAAATCATTCGGACCATTCGGCATGATAAAGACAGTGAGGTTGCCATCATGAGCAAAGAGAGCCTGAAGGGTGACAGGGACAGTCTTGAACGCATGGTTGTGGACTTTGCTACAGACAATCCACAGTCCGCCGTCGGAGTTAGCAATTTGAGCGAGGCTCAAATTTCTGAGATTCGAATGAAAGTCAAGGAAGGTGATCTGACGCCTGTACTCCGTGCATACGAGAAGGATCTACGACAACCATTCATGGGCACCGTTCGTGGTGACCTTGTCCGAACTCTCCTTATTCAAGTGCAAAAGACCAAAGTCGATGTTGAAGTCGCCATCAGTGGCATTGACGCACTGCTCAAGAGCCAGGAGCTGGTCTTTGGATTTGTGGGTCTCACTCCAGGTGTGCTGGTCTGTGTTGCGGCATTCCGATACCTTGGAGGAGTATTTGGCAACCGGAAGGGAGTCAAACAAGGCCGAAAAGCCGGACAGACTATCCGTGTGCTTCGAAATATCGATCGAATACTTACACTAGCAACTCCAACTCAGAACAACCTTCTCTCATACAAGGACCACGGCTTGTTGCTTTGCGAAGTTCATGTGCTGCGCAAGCGTGCCCATCGACTGTTCCCTGGCGAGATTGAAAGGGAATTCCTTGAGGACGTCGCTGACCTCTGCAACATAAATAGTGGTATTCAAGCACAATTAAAAGTCCTTGAGAGGATCAGATGGGGTTATGCAAAATGGCTGAGATGAGGCTCAAAAGCTTCAGTAAATAAGTACCAAAATGTAAATATCAACAATAACAGCAAAAGCATCTCCCAAAATGACGTAGTATGACTGTAAAACATTACCTGCAGGTATGAGTGAATGAGTAATATGAAACGGGTTATCAAAAATTTATGAAGCAATTTCATGCTGTTGCTCTCTCCATCTATGAAATTCCTTGCCGATTTTGGCGCTCGAGAACACCAAAATGTCCTATACTAACTCCAACATTGCACACTACTACAAAGTCTGTTTCTAATTAGACTTTAGTTTTAATTTATCAAGAAGGCTTTCTACGTTCTCATTAAAAATATTAAGTATAAACTTAGTTTATTATGCGCAATACTTTACATTTTGCGAATGTGAGTCCTGTCGCAAAATCGGCCACGAATTTCACCGATGGAGAGCTGCTCTCTCAAACTCCTTCCTTCCACAATTTGGCGAGAACACGAGGCGCAAGGCGCTACCGGCGAGGCAACTTCCTGTCAATCATTACCAGAACAAGCACTCTCACAGAACACACAACCATCCCGCCGACAACCAACTTACAACCACGGAAGACTCGAATTGCGGCTGCAGCTCTCCTCTCGTCTCACACGAACCCGCGCAACAAAACGTTTCTCCGATTGTCGTCATCTTCTCCGCAACTTCTTCCAGGCCGCCAGTCCACGCTGATCCTCCCTGCATACCAGTACTCACTGGCAGTAGACTATCTACGTCTCTTCGAACCTTTCCTTTCCTTCCATACATTCCGCGACCAATTTCGAGATGGCCGGGTCGCGTAATTATGATTTCCTGGTCAGTCTCACCCCCGAAAAAGCCTGTATGAAAGTAGCGGACCAGAACTGACAAGAAATATAATAGATCAAGTTGCTATTGATCGGTGACTCTGGTGTGGGCAAGTCATGCTGTCTCCTTCGATTTAGTGAGGATTCCTTCACCCCGTCCTTCATCACCACAATCGGTATCGATTTCAAGATCCGGACGATCGAGTTGGATGGAAAGAGGGTCAAGTTGCAGATATGGGATACAGCGGGACAAGAGCGCTTCAGAACCATTACGACTGCCTACTACAGAGGTGCTATGGGTATATTACTGGTCTATGACGTTACCGATGAGCGTTCCTTCAACAGTATGCACTTTCTGCCCCAAATATTAGTTCCCACTTTAACATCTGATTTAGACATCCGGACCTGGTTCTCGAACGTCGAGCAGCATGCAACAGAGGGCGTCAACAAGATTTTGATAGGAAACAAGTGTGACTGGGAAGATAGACGTGTAGTTTCAACTGAACGAGGTCAACAACTGGCAGACGAGCTCGGCATCCCGTTCCTTGAAGTTTCAGCAAAGAGCAATATCAACGTGGAAAAGGCGTTTTACAGCTTGGCGGCAGATATCAAGAAGAGAATCATCGATACCGCAAAGATAGATCAATCGAGCCCTGCAGGTGTAGATGTTGGTGCGCAAGGAAGTGGAAATGGACTTGGAGGGAAGTGCTGCTAGATGGTGAATGGCTGTTTGTGTAAGGTCTCCTTTTGTTTGTCTAAGAGCACTTTATGGGTGGAGTTTGGTCATATCAAATGGTATTACAAATTCAAGGCTTCTCCTTGCCTCTCAGGGTTGTGCATTTCGATGGGTTGGGGGAACGATTGAGATGAACGCGGAAGTCAATAGAGAGAAGTATATGCGAGTTATTCGAGGCTTGAGTTACCATAATATTTCTGCATTAACGATAGGTGGTGGCTCGTCCTCTGCTCTTATATCCTGTTGTATATGTAACGGACGACAATGCCATTCCCTCACAAATCTCCGAGCTTCATGTGAGTCCTTGAAGGTTATTATAAACCGCCCAGGGCCGTCGTAGGTACGACGTCCTCCAAGTTTACCCCTTTTCTGAGTAACTGAATTGTCGCCTTCCTCCCGAGCCTTATTCTGAATTCGAATAATCGAGGTTCGTCTATCCCCAGCTAAGTTCCAATGCATGTTGCGACGCTTCCCATCCTGCCTCAAGGCATCCGCAACATCTCCATGCGTAATGTGTGAACGGTCAGTCGTGAACAACACCATGTGCTGTGCTTTAGCCTCCTTGCTCGCCACAGCTACTGGCCCTCCTTCATTGATCAATGTTTGTACACGGGTGCTGTACGGTCGAGACAGCATCCTCATGGATAATTTGACAAATCCTGGGACGAGTGAGAAGCTCTTGAGCAAACTTTGCACGTTCTCCTCTTCTTTCAGATATCCTGGTGGCAATGGGAAACGAGCTTGTTTCTGGGTTTGCTCGAGTCTGGTTAAAGTGTGGAGCCGCATGGTTTGGTCGAGGTAGGCTCTGGCTGCGGCATCGCTGCTGAAGAGGAGGAAATAGCTGCCCAATGGTTCGAAGCTTTTGTTGTCTCGACTGGGTATAACTATGCAATGTGAGCACTAGAGCGGGAATCTAAATAGGACTACCAAGCATACCTTTCAGCAGGCCACTCTTCCAACCCTCGATATGCTCTCCTTTAGGACTGATCCTGAAGAAGTCGCTTTCCTCAAGGTTTTTGCTACAGGCGTTCAACACTAACACACTGGGCCCTTTCGGGCTCTGCTCATCCTCTAACATAGTCTGCCGCATCCCCTCTCGTAATTGAGAGATATTTGTAACTGGTGTGTACTCCGTTGGAAGGGTAGCGGGGTTGAGAGGGTCTGGTTGAGGGATCTGGTTATAAGTATCGATTTTTTCCTCCGGATAGTCGCCAACATTGATGTCAGGAGTCCAATTGAAAGCAGGCAACTTGTCCAGTCTCTGCTCTGCTAATGTTTGCTCTGAGGACTTTGCGAGCATCTCCTCCGGGAACAGTTCGTCGAAGAGTGATAATGCAGAATCGCTCTTCGGCCAATGGGGTTTGGGTCTTCCAGGCCTCTTCCTCTGCTGCATGTTTGTAGGCCGGCTGCTTGGTTCTGGTTTGGTCCGTCCATTTGACTGCGGTTTTTTGGGGGGAGACAGCCTCGACGCAGACAGCTTCCTTCGCATCCCATCTAATCGTTTTTCAAGCCTTTGTATATTCACCGCTCCACGGTCCGTGTTACTTTGTACGCTGGTCGAAGTATTGAAGTGTAATGGGGTGTATGTGCTTGTCCTTTTGGGCTTTCCCTCAGACGTCGTCGCAGCATCATTGTCCGACTCGGTGGGAGGAATATCTGTAGTCTTAGGGAGCGGTCCTCCTGCATGTTCTAGTTTAAACCACTTCAGTCTCAGCATGCCTCGTTCCTTGACCCGTGGGGGATAGACTCGAGGTTGTGGCTTGCTGTCTGTCGAATTGAAGGCTCGTTGAACCACAGCCAGTTGATATGCGCTCCATGCTGGCAATAAGAACTGCGGAGGCAAGCGCGTCAACGGCATGAATGTTGTACAATTGGCATGCTCTGGAATGCTGGATGATGGGAAGTTGGTAGAAGCTGGCGCGTCCGCATTAGGAGAGCTTCGAGCTCGAACTTTTGGCGAGCCACACTTTTCCTACGGTCAGAAGCCGAATTCTTTTAACGAATTTTGATATTGCAACACCAACCATGCGAATTCATCTCAAGATTCACCAAACACCATGTCGAATAGTCAGGATACGCAGAAAACCCTGGAGGTTAAGATACGACCTTATTCCAATCAAAGCAACCAAGAGCGTCCAGATCAGAAGGGAGTGTCACGTGTCCACCTCTGCAGAGATGCACTTCTGGACTTGAAGCTGGATTCTGGAAAGCCATGTTACCTTTGGAAGACAAACGAGACCGAGCATCAGCGAAAAGAAGCTGTGGTGTGGCTGACCACTGAGAAATCTCTCAGCAAGAAGGTCATTCAGATGTCGAAGACCTTCCAAGATTTGTGCGGCTTTAAACTAGGAGAAGACTTGATAATCAAAGCTACTGGAGTTCCATATGTAGCATCAGCGGAATCCATTATATTGAGAGATGTCACAGCCCAAGAGGTCGATGCAACTCCAGAGTTAGGCGAGGATGATAAACCTCACTGGGAATGGTTCTTGAGAGAAAGTCTTTGTAAGTTATATTCTTCCCTTCACTTATCTACATCTACGTTGGCTTGTAACTACACTCTCATATATCTACTAAGTACAATCTTTTGATGCCTCTTCAACCGAGTTACTATATCTACCAAGTGTTCGTCTTGATGTCGAAGAAGGATCCTTACTTCGATGGTTTCTTCGTACTATCTCAAATGACCTGCTAACAAGCCACAGCTCGTGCGGAAGATATATTCCCTGGTATGACATTCAAGAACCTGTCTCTACGAGGTCCCAAGCGAACTTTTGTTGTCGACTTCGTAAATGGAAAACCAAGCGGACTTGGCAAATACGAAGAGAGTTCATCTGTGAAGATCTCTAGCATCGTAAATACACCTTCTCAACCTGGAATGAATGGAAGCTCGGCCCAACTTGAAATCGTGGATATCGCGGGCATCGACCAAGCATTGAAGAAGCTCAACCGATTTCTGAGCAATTTCGACCGGCAGTTCAAGTTCACATGGGCACAGCGCTCATGCGCGGTACTTCTCCATGGCGGCCATGGCACTGGAAAGACTTTCATCATAAACAAAATCACTATGTCAGGCTGGGCGAAGAATGTCATGCGCTTGGATAGTGATGTCAAGCCTGCGACGATTCGGACAGTTTTCAAGAATGCAAAGCTCGATCAACCCAGCATCATTGTAATTGATGAGCTGGAGTCGATTGTCTCGAAAGAAGATTCTCTTTCTCAGAGCCTGGCGAAGGCTCTGGGAGAAGAGTTGGACAAGCTTGCTGAGAGCGGCTCTGGAGACTCGTTGCCACGAGTTCTGGTTGTAGCAGCTACACTTGATATCAGCAGCATACCAATAGCCTTGAGAAAGAGAGGAAGATTCCAGACGGAAATCTTGCTACCTATTCCAGACGCCGCGGCACGAAAGGCCATTCTGAAATCTCTTTCAGCACCAATCGCACCAGAGACTCATGACGAATTACTTAACCGTCTAGGAGACAGGACACACGCGTACACTGCAGAGGATCTGGTGTCACTACTAGACGCTGCATGCGAAATTGCGGAAGAGAAAGTAGAACACAACGAGGAAGCTTCAATGGATGAGAAATACTATTTGTCACAAGACGATATTGAGCAGGCTCTTCTCGTTGTTAGACCTACTGCCATGCATGATATTACGCTCAAACCACCGAGTGTGAGATGGGACGAGATTGGAGGTCAAGACGTTGTGAAGAAGGCTCTTCGCCGAGCCGTTGAAACACCTTTACTAGTGAGTAGACTTCTTCAGAGCAGACTCGTCCATATAATTGACTTAAGGCAGTACCCCGAGCGAATGAAGAGAATTGGTGCAGCACCGAAGAAAGGATTGCTTCTCTACGGCCCACCTGGATGTTCCAAAACACTCAGTGCCCAAGCTATGGCTACCGAGATTGGATTCAACTTCTTCGCCGTCAAAGGAGCTGAGTTGCTCAACATGTATGTTGGAGAATCCGAACGTGCTGTTCGAGATATTTTTGCACGGGCACGAGCAGCAAGCCCAAGCATTATCTTCTTCGATGAAATAGAATCCATTGGCAGTAAGCGAGAACGAGGAGGGAAGACAAATAACGTCAATGTTCTCACTACCTTACTGAATGAGATGGACGGAATCGAGACTTTGAAGGGTGTCACTGTTCTGGCAGCTACGAATCAACCGCAAGCTCTGGATTTGGCATTACTTCGCCCTGGACGATTCGACAAGCTACTCTACGTCGCTCCTCCAGATCTTGCTGGCCGTGAAGAGATCCTTCGTGTCAAGCAGAGGAAGATGGATTTCGCAGACGATGTCAATATCCCCGAACTCGCCAAACTTACTGATGGTTACTCTGGAGCAGAATTGGTTGGTATTTGCCAAACCGCTTGCGATGATGTGATTGAGAAATGTGAACAGACTGGCGAGGAGTTACAGGTGCATATGGAGGACTTCTTGAATGCTATCAAATACGTCAAGAAGCAGATCACTCCAGCATTGATTTGGGGTTACGAGCAGTGGGCTGCTGGTGCAAGAGGGACTTTGGAGTAGATTAGTTGTGTGTTCATACCCAGGAATAGAAACCGCGTTGAACTGCTCATGCTTCTCTCGCTCGTTATTCTTCTACCGTAAAAGCTGGGATATGAGATATGTTGTTTTGCAATCCAAAGTGATGTTGAACAGTTATGTTTGAGAAGGAAGATGCTTCGAGATGGAAGGGGATTTAAGTCGTTCTTACATTATGCCATCCTTCATGTCGGACTTCTCACTTGGTACTTAGCCCAGTTATATTGTCCCACAAATTCTGCAACAATATTGCCCTACATGCCAATGTCCAAAGTGCGTAGGATCTAGATCCCCCAACCGCGATTTTGGCGGCTCAATGTCCAGAATACGGAAAACCCACCAAGACGAAGTTTAGGATCTGTTCTCTTCTGAAACGAGGGCCGTCGATTTAAGTATTCGAAGACGCCACCGATACGATAGAACTACTTACTCCAGATCCTGGGCAGATCTTGTATCTGCCAACGGACGCCCCACTTATATTATAATCTCACTTGCATATCTCCAGCTTCTTTCCTGCACGTCCAACTGTTCAGCTTAAAGCATAGCCTCACCGTTCAGCCAATCAAACAACCTGGGAACAGTTACATCTCGTCTACCTTCAAACCAACGACGTCGATTTAAACCTCCGCCTTTCCTCCTTTCTAGCTTCCACCTCCTCATCTTAACTTCTACATTCTCACCCAACAAACAAATCCCACAATGCCTCACGCAACCTCACCCCCAGACACAGCCGCAATAGACGACTGGGAATCAACCCCATCTCCCGACCCACCAAACCGCCGCACCATGGCCTCGGATCGAGAAACTCAAGAGTTTATCTCCCCCGTACCATGCACCTGGGACGTCCCATTAAGCAAAGAAAAGATCGAGAAGCTGAAATTGGGGTGTAGACCGCGGGATATGGATGACAAATGGTTTGTGTTTGCGAGCGAGGAGTGGAATGGGACTGTTCGGGTGCATTATTTTAGGAGTTGGACGGGGAAGAAGTGTTACGAGTTGGTGGTGGAGGTGGGGGATGATGGGGACGGGAGGGTTAAGGAGTTAGTGTTTGAGACGCGGCTTGGGGATGAGAAGGAGGCGAAGGAGATGGTTTTTGGGGTTTCTAGGTCGGTTTTGGAGGTGTACTTCGGTGAGGGTGTGTGAGAGAGTGAGTAGTAGGTGGAATATTGTTCGGTGAGAAGATTTTTCCTCTGAATGTCCCAACCCAAGTCCCAACTTCAGGAGCCGAAGAAACTTCTGTTCGGGACGTACAATGAATTTGAATTATGTGAGACTTCACTTCCCGAAAATGCGGGGCCCCATATCCACAAGAATAGGATCAGTAGGACATTAAATAGGAATACGGAGACTCGGGGTAAGTAATTGTCCGTGTGCCAGCCTAAGAATCTGGACTACACCTTCATTTGATTAGTTTTATCACTTGAGATTTCGTTTATGCGTGGTGATGCGATGGTCGAGTGTTTTCATTGTCCGAGGTGTGATACCGACAATAGCGATTATTCACTTATTTCACAAACGACAAATACAAGAACACAAAAAATCTGTGCTCGGATTCATTGGTACCACGTCGCAAGACGCAGTCGGTATCTTCTTTCTTCCATAATCTCATGTCCACGCATCGCCTTTCTATAATACAAGCTACGTAGCAAGCAGACCGTGGTTCGTGATGAGCTCCATGATCAGATGCTCCATATGGTTCATGGTCCCTCTGGGCTGAGCAAAAAGCCGTCTTAATCTCTCATAATAACAACATTCAACAATCATCCATTGACGCCAAACACCGCCTGAAAGCGCCACCAAATTTGCTTCACGCCTGTACTGTTTTCGATTCTCAACTTCCGTCGTCACCAGCAGGACTATCACCACCAGTTTTGATTGCTGGAGAGATGCTGATAGCAATCTTGTTGGACTTGCTACCAGAACCGCCGTTATGTGGTGAGGCATTGAAGCTCTTCTTTCTTCTTAACACACTGCTGGAATTCGAGACTACAGAGGCAGAGTTCATCGAGTTACGGCGCTTTGGATGAGAAAGCTTACTCATCTCGTCTTCGTCCTCATCTTCTCGACGTCGTTTCTCAGATAGCTTTTCAGGAGGGTTGAGTGTCGCCGCTGACATTATAGGTGTTACGGTGGTTTTGCCGCCTTTCGGGGGTGTATTTTCGTCAGAGGCTGCGGATAACTCCACCTCCATATTCTCATTCTCCTCATCCGATGGGTAATCAACCAATGGTTTAGATAAAGGTGACGCGCCATTGACCGATGCTCTACTCCCCACTCCCTTCGCTGCTTCGTCCTCATCATCCGAAGTGTTAAAGTACTCCTCTTCTTGCGCATCCAGATCCTTAATACCAGATTCCCATCTACTGCCTCGGCCTGCTTCAGGTCTCTTGGGAGAATCGTCCGTGTCTAGGAAAGAGGATTCCAAACTTGGCGCAAATCCTTCGCTTTGGTCGTATCTCAGGATAAAGTTGTTGAATGTTTCTACGTAGGTAATTTCCTTCAACGTGTCTCGGTAATTCTCAACAAGATGAGTGATGATGCTCTTGACCTGTTCCTTCTTGATAAACTCGAACAGCTCTAGACATGCAGAGTTTAAGAGATTATCACGCGGCATCGTCTCAACTACTATATTCAAGATCGGCTCGAAAAGTTTAGCCTGAGTCATCTGTTGATTATAGAATTCATCTTGCAGGCCAACCAAGTTGCGGAAGAACTTCAGCGCAGCTATAAATAATTAGTTGAGATAAACCAAAACAATATGGGCGCACTTACTCAGCTTCAAATACTTCTCTGGGCTAGAGAGAAGTTGGGCGATTCTTTGGCCTAACTTCTCCGATAAGACGAAGTACTTGCTATGGTGCGTGTGTTGGCGGACGAAGAAACAGAGAATCTCGATAAGATAGATGAACAAGGAGACTTGATGGACGCTGAAATCCATATTGTCGCGATCCTTCAAATCAACTAAGGGCTTGAACAACTTTTTTGCGGAATCGTCATAGAAATCCTTGACAAATTCGGCTTGCTGTGGATCAGGTAGCGGTCGGATTCTAGCGAATTCACCGTTGGCTTGCTTCATTCCTTCTGTAGGCGAGGCTTGTGAACCTGGATCCAGGAGTACCTTGATCGCGTCGGCGATCGAAGCTTTAACACCAAGGTCGGCTTCAACGAGGAGGAGATCGATCAGAGAATCTGTCAAAGGGGTTTGTTTCTCGTTCAGTTGACGGAAGATAGTCTGGCGAATCATGTGAGGATCATGGTCGATCATGGACACAAGGACATCAGTAGCTCCAACTCGAACTCCCACATCGCTGTGACGCAATGCAAAATTGATTACTGAGAGCAGGCCGTGACCCAGGAAGTTGTTGTACAGCTGTTGTCTAGCTGGTTGCTGCAAATTCTTGGCAATTGCGCAACATTGCTGGATAAACAATACCGCCTCTTTCTTGCGATCCTGATCCGTCTCGAGAGGGCCAAAAACACCGAAAAGCTCCTTGAGAAACGCTGGATTAGTCTGTAAATGCTGAACAATATCGACCTGGTTGAAGAATATCAAAGAATTAAGTACGGAGAAAGTAGGATCGTCCAGGATCCGGGCAAGCACCACATCCTTAAGGTACTGTAATCGATATGTAGCATGGATCTTCTTCCGCACGGAGTCGTCGTCGATTCGAACCACCTCTTTGTATCTTCCTTCCTTTCCAAGCCAGTGCCTATGGTTGGCTTTATGGCTAGGGAAGTCAGGATCATATTCCAGGGCTCCCACTACTCCAAGAACCAGATCGTCGGTGACCGCGAGTTCAATGATAGCAGTATCGTTGAGTAGAATCAAGGTTTTCATAATGTTGCAAAGCTTATGTAAACTTGCTAGATCCTCCATATCCTCGGCCATCTCCACCAGTGGTATTAACTTTTGTATGTAGTCTTCCGCGATAACATACTTCGTCAAGGCTTCTCTTCCCGGATTTGTGTTGTGGAGGCTGCGCATTTGCATTTCTATCTCGGGTAGAGTTGCGAGGCTGGGCGAAGGTAGGTTTATAGAGTTGCCGAAGGAGTCTATGGCGATATCGTCCGACAATGCATCATCTTGAGGGCTTAGCGCTGTGTGCATGTTCTGACTGCTATAAGACATACCTGGTCCACCCATTGCTAGTAGCTGCTGCTGAATGCTGTTCACGAATTTCCTGACATTGTTAGCGTGCGCACGCAGCTGGTAGCAAGAGGTAGTAAGACTTACCAGACCGAAGCACACCCGTCTGATTCCTGGAAACTCAAGGCCATATCAACGCCGGTGGTCGGCTCAGTCCACACAATAAGGGTATCTGGTGGCGTGCATTAGCCTCGGCCCAGCAACATCACCATGAAATGTATATATACCTTGCTGCTTCTGGAAGCCATCTTCTTTGCAGATTCGAGTCTCTAAAAGCATACGATCTGGATGGTCTTCAGATGTGACGATGACCCGTGGCTCTTCTTGGCGGCTGCTTTCATTCTGAAGCGCGATTGAGTCAGCTTAAAGGGTTCGGCACAAGAAGATGAAATACGCAGTTGGGAATACCGCGCGCATCACCGCAGATTGTTGGCACGTACAAATAAAAAGGTCGCTGTGCAGAAGCCGGTGCCCCTATCGAACCAGTCATTGTTGCGCAACTCGTAGACCTTGACCCTCTTCTTGTCGTTTGGCGGATTGGGCACCGCTTGTGCCATCATCAAAGGTTGTAACTCCCCCTCTAAGTCTTCGGTGGAGCAATTCAAGATGTCTGGGGCGATGTTCAGGTGGTCTTGAAGGGACAGTGTCGTGACGCTGGTGAAAGCCACTTTCGGATCTGCCTAGTGGCACGAGACAGGTTTGGAGGACGTGTCGAGGGCAGTCCCTATGCAGAGCGATTATGATGACCGAGGCGACATGTATTAGACGCTTCGTGTTCTGCAGATACGTCGTGCTGCGGTCTTCGTTGGGTGTTGATTTTGACGTCTCGACACAGGTCGTGAGATCTTGATCGCGACTCCGAAGACGCTAGTGGCGCCGACCTCCAACCTTGCCTTACTAAACGGGAGCCGCGCGAGAACGAGGAAAGTTACCAGATGGGAAGATCCGTCGAAACACTCAATGTCAAGTATGGTACTCAGGTACACTGCCAATGTTCGTCTTTAGGTTCGCGATCAAAACAATGTTATCTTCGTCCCATCTGCTGGAATTCTCATCAGTTGAAGAAAGTCACGTGCGAGAAGTACCGACCAAAGCTAAATATAAAGACGCAGCCTGATTGGATGATGGTAATGATAAAAACTTTCCTCAGCCGTCTCTGCGTCATCGGCTCACTTCAGTTTCACACAAAGCCATCTGAGCTTAAATCTTCAACATGATCACTATCCAGCCCATTCTCGGCCTCGGAAACTTCCTGTCGTCATATACAGTATTACTGCTTCAAGTTTGCATGTTCTACATCCAAAATCAAACAGCAGGATACGGTCTCTGCGATCCGCTACTGTAGCTACAATCTTGTTGCTAGAAGTCAGGGTTTCTCATCTAACAATTATTCACTGGTCCATGACCTTGCCTATGTTGTACCATCAACCGCGGCGAGAATACTCACCCAACAGAGCCATGGCTTCCTCACGTTTGCGCTCATCCCATATATGCTCTGGAAACTCCGCCCCGCGATGAGTATCAATCTGCTGTCCAGGCATGCCAGCCAAGGAGGACGTTAGATGTCAAGCTGGAGCAGCAAGGCACGCACATCCTGGACCCGAAAAATACAACCTTTACCCCACATGTCAGCCTGACGCAGGAATGTACAGGTATCGCAAATCCAAGTAGACTTGAAACTACCTCGGTTGAGTGAGTGCTAAACTTCCAAAGCAAGATCTGCCATGCAATCTGGAGTACCTTGCCTTCCCCACGTTTTGTCGAGGACGGAAGCGAATCTTATATCTGAGGTGGCTATTATTAGACAAGGCTCAGTGAGCGAAGTGCGGCTCCGCGACGTTCAATTATCGCCTGAACAAGGTTTGTCCAAGCGGCAAATTAAGCAATTAAGCTTACCTAGAGGAGCCGGCATCCACCGAGCACAACCAGCGCGGCCCAACTTCAATATTAGGGACCATTATTGCATCGATTGGTACTCGATCCCGCGATATTGACGCTGCGATAAAGAGACCAGGCGCCATCTTGTGTTTTTCGTATGTTTAGACGACATGAAGCCGGGCCCCGCCATCCTTTTCATGTGTTCGTTGTTATGGAGCTGATGCATGAACGGGGATGCCGGGAGAGGAGTGCAACGGCTTGCATTTTCGAAGTCACCGCGCATTGTTTGGGGGTTCTTATCGGATGGGTGCAGCTTGTTGGAATTCCAGCACGAGCGCCTGAAGTGGTTTCACAGGAATGCTGGCAAGGCTTAAGAGGCTTCCATCACACCGCATTGATTGCTGAGTACAACATCATTCGAGAAGAATTTCTTGGCAACAACAGCACACACTTTTGGGCGCACACATGCTTCGATGAAGAGGTCTCCAACAAGCGGATCTCATCACGGCAGGTTCACTTACCTGACGTTCTAGTTTGACAAGTTCCCAGATGTGACCGACATTTCAGACATCTGTAAGGCCAGTACAAAACATTGTCCGAGCGGAGCTTGCGTCGAAACACAGGACGCTCGCCATCTGGCGTCTGCAGGACCCTTGAGCAAATCTTCCAAAGTTATATTGATCCCCAACTAGGCTGACAGATGACAAAACCCTACAGAGCTGGGATTGGTCCACAATACGTTCCGAAGATCTTGGACAGCGCCGCACGCAAGCGGTCAAGGAGAGATAAGACATCCGAGAGTCAAATATGCAACGCCGTAGCAAAAGAACTGAACGGTATCAAAGTAATGAGACAAAACAATCTGCAATCCAGGCTGGAATTTGCAATATGTTTGAGCCGTTCGATTGCTAATAGACGTTGGAGATTAAGGGTGATTGCCAACAACAGCAACTGGAATTCTCGGAAGGCAAGGGAGCATTTCGTTCCTATCTTTCTGCACCCGTTCGGACCGGAACCTCTGCAAGAGATAATTCCATGTACGAAAATGGATCAAGTACTGCAAAGCCCAGGGAGTAAGCGTCAAACTCGGTCTGACCTCCGTTGCCTGCGCAGCAAAAATCGATGGTGCCACGGCTCCTGGACGAATTCGACAACATGTTGTCAGCAACGCACCATTCACGAGCCGAATCTCACGCCCATGTTTTATAATCTCTTTTTCTGGGCCTGTTTCTGGCAAGGTCTAATCTGCAGCCCATGTTCTGAAGTATTCTCCGTCACGGTCTGAGACTACCGAAAGCCCACATGGGCAAGCGATTAAAAAAGGCGCGCCTGAAAGTACCTCCGTACCTGTACAGAGATCCAGAAGTGACTCGATATGGCATATCTGCAGGTAAGCAACTGTACGAAGATATTGGCTGACATCCGAGCTAGACAGCGCATCCGTCTGATGTCTGAGAAAGGGAGAAGCCAAAATTCATGTGAGGGAAAGAATGTCATCATGGCCTTGCACATTGAGACCGGTGGAGCCTCCTCTTCACAGTCTCAACAATTCATTTCTTGTTCGAGCCGCATGTCCAGCAAGATTCAGCGCGCTTGTTATCGCAGAACCCAGTCGACACATGTGCCTTCGGTGGTGGTGGCATTGGTGGAAACACACCGAGCGCTCGGAGGGGATGAGGCAGATCTAGTCCAATACGAGAGCATTTCTCGAGACTCGAAACCAGCTTTGAAATCTTACTGTGGACTCTCTCAAAGGCGCATGCAGCAGTCGCAATCTTGACGGTTAAGGTTATGTAGAGAATCTTGATAAAGAGTGGAGAGCAGTCTGATACCGCCTGTTTTCTTCCCCTGTTGAGCCCCCTGAACGCGCGGGATGGGAGCAGGTCAAAGAGCATCGTCCAAAGTCAAGCGATTAGCGGAGCGGCCGCCTACGATCTGTTGGAATCTCACTCTCACTGACTGTCGGCTCGGCGTGTTGGGGACATTTTTTTATTCTTTGTGCCTGCTGTGCCAAGGGAGGCGACATGCACTTCTGTACGAGGATTGTCGGAGTTCCCAATTGTTGGTGTTGGCATATCGCTCGACGCACTGGTGCAGGAGGGAGGGTCTACATTCGATTCGGATTTAGATTTCCTGACGCAGAGATAAAAGAATTTCCCAGCCCGCCAGCACCAAGGCTCGGCCTCGCATTCTTTGGCAGGCAGCCCAGTCGATCAGCCTCCACCTCCGTGCGACTCAGGGACAAACAGGCATGCTGGTGAGCACGATAAGGAGTGACCACCGGGAAGCGAGGAAGCGAGCAGTGGAAGGTACAGTAGGAAAGTCTCATGGCTTTCTTGCTCGTACGGTCGGGAAAGGGAAGGAAGGAGACACACGGCGATTGAAGCGTGGCATGGCAACAAAACCAGTCGCAAAGCAGCAGCAGCAGCATGGGTGGCATTGGGCCACTCGGCCACAGACCAGACAGACCGGGCCTGGCTTGTTCGTCTATTTATTGTACTTCTGTAAGCTCGCTCGCTCGAGCTCCACCCAAAACTCCACCAGCGCTCCACCAAAATCAGAAACTCGTCCCCTAAAGGCCAAGCTCCCACCCCCCGAACCCCCCAAGCTTCCCTGAGCCTCGTTCCACTTACCCAGCACCAGCCTAGCACCGCACAGGCCTTAGCGATGCGCTCAAGGGTTGGAGAGGGCCCATTCCGCTGCACCCATTTTGATCCATTATTATTTACGCCATAATCTTTTCCCAGGGACCCGAGAGTCCAACGTTATCACTCTATGCCTCTTCGGGCTCGCCAAGCCCTTCGAGCCCGCCGTCGTGTTGAATTGATTTTCTCACCTTGCTCCCGATCTGCTGTCTGTTGCTGCTTGCAGTCGATGTGCCTCACGTCTTCAGCTGATGCCCCACGCACGGCTGGCACGGGGGAGCGAACGTAAAGTACAACGCCTCGTATTCCTCTGATTTGATACCTAAAGCCCTCGAAAGCCCCAACTCTGCACCGTTTTCTCACTTTGTGTCTCTGCTCCCAAGCTTTCTGACTCTCTCTCCCTTTTCTTCTTCCCTTCCCTCGTTCCTATCTTCCGAGACCTCCCACCACAAATACTTTATTTCTTCACCTCCCCGGCCCTGTTGTTGAAGTCCCAGACATTTGGTACGCCAAGCTATTATCCCCCTAATATATCAGCCAGCCTATCTCGTCTATCGCCTCAAAGTAAATCAATAGTCTGATCTACTGATCGACTCTTGAGTCTTGACCACCACCGGCCCAACTGTACCTGGATTAGAGTGAGACTAGAGTCTTCCGCCAAATCTTTTTCGCCCGATCAATTCCCCTCAGCGTCCCGAGTCTCCCGCAATCCTTCTGGGAGAGTAGCTTTTCCAGGCCTGTCAAGCTCATCGACCCGGTCTTGGGCTAGAAACTGCTTGGACAACCAAATACGAGCCAGAATTCCTCTTGGGAATCAAGCAAATCCTGATCGATCGAGCAAGCAGAAGACTCAGCTGACATCCACGCTTGGTGCGTCACTGATCCGGAGGCTCTTCATAAAGTATCCGGTCCTCTCGAGCATCTTGATATCGCAGAGCCTTATCACCCACAACCAACCACCACGATGTCGGTCTTCTCAAAGATCGTGATGTCCCGGAAGGCGGCAAAGGAGCACAAGAACAAGGTAGCAGAGAAGGATAAGGAGCCCGAACAGAATGTCAAGGCCCCATACAAGCACATTCCCACGCACGCTGCTGTCGATGCATTGAGTGGAGCACCATCGAGTTGGAAGCACGAGGATAGACCGAAGATCAAGGAGCACCACAAGAGACGGAGTCAAATGGTCATCAGTCGGACGGGAAGCTCTCTCTCGCACATGTCATATATGAACGCTGCCGGTTCTGCCACAAATATCCCCCCTCTTCCACGAAATAGCAGTTACAGCAGCTACAATCCCACTTGGTTCGACCGCGGCGGTGATGTATACTACTCCAACGAGAACCAAAGACAGAAGCCACCACGATCACACTCATATCACGATTCCGGCATTGGACCCAGCATTGGCCCCAGCCCATTGGCAAGTCAACAACAGTCCGAAGGTACATCTTTCACCATCCCAACCGAAGAATTCGCCTCAATTGCACACCCATCACCGCTGGACAACCGACTAACTTCATCTGCAGAAGTTTCACCCGTCGTCTCTTCCGGCAACAGCACAAACTCCAACTCCTCAGCTGAGAACCTCGAAATCGCACCCGCATCGAAATCCAACCGCCTCTCCAGCCGCCCCCAACCGATCGTGTACGCCGAGAAGGACATCTTCGACCGCCTGCACACGAGTACCACGCGGAAAGTTGGCGAAGCACCCCTCTACGACGCTCCTCCCCCGATGAAAACCAAGACGCCCACCACCGTCGTCACACAAGAGACGACCAAGCCGAAGAAGCAGCGATGGAGCATACTCGGAAAGAAAAATGCCACTGCCACCGCAGTAGTCGTCTGATCCCCAGGATCTGCGATTCCGATCAGATCCGGCGGTAATGAGAACGGGAACGGAAGGTCGCAGGAAGGAAGCTCAGCCCCCAACCAACCAAACCAAACCAACAGAAAATGGAGAAAAAAAGAAAATTCTATAAAAAAAAAACACCTTCCAAGAGCAGTTCATCCAACTTCCTTCCCGTTCCGCCGCATATGCAAGGACCAAGAAATCCGTCTTTTTTTGGTTTCTCCCTGCAGGTCTCTGGGAGCTTGCATACCTACCTATTCTCACGCAAACGTACTTTACGTACCTCCTACCACAGAAAAAAAAAAGATGGTTACACTCCACGTGCAAGCATTATCTTTGACCTACCATACTCGGTACAACCCACGTCGTTCCCACGATATCTCGCCTGGCCACACTCGTTTCCTTTGTCCCACATCCATTTTCCGTATGTCTCGTCCTGTCTTGTCTCGGAGCGATTTTAGCGAAATTCTGTTTTTCCGTTTTGTTATCTTTCTGGGCTGGAACAAATGTCTCGCCTTTTGTGTATCGAGGAGGGAAGAGGGAGGGAGAAACCCATTGGGGTGGGGTGGTCACACCGCTGGTACCGCCTATCTATCTTTTTGCTTTGCTTTACGAATCGAATCGAACTACTTTGAGGAAAGGAAGGGAAGAGGGAGTTACTTTTAGAATGGCTGGGCTAGGAAATACGTTTTATTTGGGATAGTTTTTTTTCACTTTATTATTTTTTCTGTTTTTTCGTGAAGGAGGAGGAATTGGGGGAGGACACATAGGATAGGGAGGGTTGGGTACACAGCACGAAACGAAATTCGAATACTTCTCGAGTGCTACAGCATATGCATGCATACATATCTATCTACACAGACAGTAGCTCAAAAATTTAATGAAATGATTGATATCGAGTACTATCATCGGAAGTTGTTGCAGCTCTTCATTTTACTTGCCCCCCACGTTTGGGCTTTCCAGCCCTCTGGATAGATAACTAGATAGCCCCGTGTAACAGCGGAAACCGGGACGCTCCACTCCTCAATTCCCAATTTTGCATGACCTCACCTCACAACAAGAAACCTCGCTCAACCATTTTCTCTTTCGATCAACGCATCATCCATACGTACAATACAATTTCAAATTTCAATCTATCTCGCACAGACGAGATGGATCCTCAGCTAGCGATGCCCCGTTTCCCGTTTTTCCCTGTTGATTGCATTTAGCGTCGTATCAGTAATCCCTGCTCAGAATCCGGATCCAAGGTTGGTGGGAAACTCTATTTTCTTGCCTTAGTCCTGGTTCTATTGGAATCAAGAAATGGTGGGTGACCAAGCTTCAGATTACTGCAGCGGGTGAGGTCGAGACACATGGGCGCTCCCCATTGCTTTGCTTTGCTTTGCTCCGAGTCTTTTCCTGCCCGTTTCGTTTGGAGTTCCCCGCACGCGCGCATATTGTCGTGGTGTGGCGCTCTTGGTGTGTTGTGTGTTGTGTGTTGTGTGTTGTGTGTTGTGTGTTGTGTGTTGTGTGTTCCTGAGCTGGGCTGAGCGGGGAATTCGGGAGCTTACTCGTTGGGAATGGGATCTCGATCTTTCTAGGTGAGAGATAGTGGACCGACCGCTGGATTGGGATGTAAGAAAACCGAGAACGGAACAGGATGCGGATCTCGCTTTCCTATTTTTGGGAGAGATGGGCGAGCTGAAATTCTGGATTTGCAAAACGGTATTTCGGTACTGACAGCTGGTCGCCAAGTAGGTTGAAATGCGGCTAGCTGGTGGAAACGGCCAGTGACGGTTGGGGCCCATAGATTGTGTTGTTTGGGGACGAAAGATGTTGACGAGGGTGGGTGAAAGAGGGGTTGTACCAACGATGGTAGGATTCTGGTTGCGGGGTAGCCGAAGTGTCGGATTCAGAAACTTGGATAGTCGAGAATATTCTTTTGGTATGTTCAATGGTTTCGTGAGTTTAGAAGGCTAGAACTTTCGTATTCCGGCGCTGAGTCGCTCCCGATGTTCGTTTCTGGTTATTGAATGACTAAATGGGACTGGTTGTTCGAAAGGAGGACTTGGTCCTTTCTTGATGAAATGCTGACGAATGGAGAGCTTTTTGAGAGATTGGCCAAAAGGTTGAACTAGGCAGAAGTTTGAGGAAGAATCTATGAGATTTGAGCTGCGAAGTATAGGTTTGTGGTTTTCAGCAGGAGCGATGCTTGGTACAATGATTCTTCTTTGGCAAGTGCTTGCTCCAGGACCTTCTAAGTAATCATCCCTCTTTCTCGATTTGACCTTTGTCACTTGGTTTCCGTCTTCCTTGCTCCTGCAATGGCATTGACTCCAGTTATTTTGTAGGTTGTGTAGACGTCTCAATCGTTCATTAATATCTGATGGTACACTTCCTTTCTCTCATAATTGTTGTCGAGCCTATGTTTTCTTGAACACATCCATATCATTTTGACTCGCCTTTGAACGACTATTTCACGGCATGAAAGGGTCTAGATGGAACATACTCGAAAGAGTCATACGTCTAGAAAGATGGAGGCCTTCCAGCACCTACTGCTTTCATATTGGCGAGCATATATTCCTAACGTCAACATGTGAAACTCAGACATGCTTGTCTATCGGAACAACTTATCATGTCGAAACGAAAACTCTCAGCTCGAGGTTCAAAACCCGATTCGACTATGGTATCGAAACAATTGCGAGACCTACCATTGGCGAATGCAAATACACCATACCCGTACAGAGCCCTGAGTGATCCGACCAGCCAAATTCGCATTCTTGCCATAGCTCCTGGCGCAGGGCGAGATCCCATCGTTGGTCAATTCCTTATTAGGACCTTTTCAAAAGATGATGATAGGTTGCCCAACAGGGCGGAACGACAACAAGCTTACGAAGCTCTTTCGTATGCTTGGGAAGGAGCTGTGACAGGTAGCATTCGACTATGGGATCATGACATGAAGTTGCTCTACAATGTCAAAATCACGCAAACTCTTTATTCTTGCTTGAAACAATTGAGATCTGGCCAGAGCAAGAAGTTTCTCTGGATTGACAGCCTTTGCATCAATCAACGGAGTCACGATGAAAAGTCCGACCAAGTCGGCATCATGGGAACCATCTATCGTCGAGCAGCAAAGGTTTGTGTTTGGCTTGGTGACAAGTCTGATGACAGTGGTTGCGTTTTCGAATTCATCAAGAAGATTGTTGACCTTGATGGTATCGAAGCGGTCATTGGAAAGGAGCGCTACACCAGGAGGTGGAGAGCTTTTGGAAGTCTTATGCGAAGAAGATGTAAGTCAACAACCACTTTCCTAACCTCGCTTCAACTAATCAAATCGAAACAGGGTTCTCACGGCGTTGGTGTATTCAAGAGATCGCTTTGGCGGCTTCAGCTACTGTTTACTGCGACACTCAGTCGATCTCTTGGAAAGACTTCGCTGCAGGCGTTGCTCTGTATGAAGAACATAGTGAAGAAGTGCTCCGAAATCTTGTCAAGCATGAGAAGCAGGATACCAATACAAGAGCCGTGACTGTCGAAGTACAAGCCTTGGGAGCGCACAGTCTAGTCAAGACCCTCAGTCAACTTTTCCGAGGCGGAAAAGACAAAGGTCAAATCTCAAGATATCAACTTTCTCTGGAAACGCTCATGTCAATTCTTCCTAACTTTGATGTGAGCAATTCAAAGGATGCTCTGTACGCAGCCCTTTCTTTAGCAAGAGACTTCCAACAACCAGACTGGCGAAAGGACAGCAATCGAGCGACCATCGAAGGACATGATGTGCTTGCGCCAAACTACAACAAAACCACTCTTGAAGTTTATCTCGATTTTGTTAAATACTTTATCCGGACATCGAAGAAATTGGATATTATCTGTGTTCCTTGGGCCCCAAGCTTGAAAGGAGATGAGGCTTACAACTCCTTTCCCTCATGGATAAGACCTGTGTCACAACGACCATTCAGCCAGCAAGAAGATATCAAGAATGGACATTTCCGCCGTGAGAATGCTGATACTCTGGTCGGTCGTCCGGACGAGACTGTGTACAACGTGTCGGAGGGTACAGCAGTCAAAGAATGGAAGATTTACCACGACGAGTATCATAACTGGCGTCTCCTAGTCAAGGGGCGAAACGTGGGACGCATAGGTCAGCTGGGAGATGCAGCAGAAAACGGTTCTATCCCACTCGCTTGGTTGGAGCTTGCAGTTGAAGTAGAGAGACGCCAAAAGGCTCGTGTCAAGTCTAAAATTTCATATGGAGCACACTCGTTGATGAGCACCAAGTCCGGACAAGGGCCAGAACACCATCACAACCATCATAAAACAAGAAGGCCTCTTTACATCCCAGATTCGTTTTGGAGGACGCTTGTTGCTGATAGGGGTCCCGGTGGCGCAACGACTCCAACTACGTATCCTCGAGCCTGCCAGAAATGCTTCACCCAAGCTCAACCGAGCGCCGCGCAAAAGCTAGCAGGTAGAGCTGGATATGTTAAGACGGCAGATATGATCCACAAAGCAGTCTGGAACTCTAAAGAAGTGACCGAAAAAGCCAAGTTGGCATTTCTTCGACGGGTGCAAGCGGTGACGTGGAACAGGAAATTCATGCTCACAGAACGGGACAATATTGGCTTGGCACCTCCAGAGGCCATGGTTGGTGATATGATCGTATTGTTGTGGGGATGTAGTGTACCTGTCATCTTGAGAGAGCTTCAGCCTAGGAAGGTCAAGAAGGATGGGAGATTGGATGATGGCAAGTACAAGCTGATTGGAGAGTGCTATATTCATGGGATTATGAACGGGGAGTTTTTGGAGGTCAATGTTGGGATTGAGACGATGAAGGATGACTCTAATAGGGTGTTTGATATTGTATGATTCCTTTAGCTTTGGGGGAGGGGGCATTCGGTCCGCATGTAGTACTTCCATGCCTAGTAAGAGAGGAGTGGCAGTTACAGTTTCTCAAAATTCAGATCTTCCAATCATTCGTCAGCACAAGAAGAACCAACTGTTGAAGCACTTAGTGCAATATGATCTCAGAAACGCCAATCACCTGGAACCTATCCTCAATATCGAAAGTGAAAGTAATCTGGGGAGGTTCTTTGATACTTGTCGACTCCTCCTCCAAGTCTCTCGCTTATTTAGCGAATTCAAAGGAGGAAAGGGGGCGAACAAAGGTCGTTGACATCGCTTTGGCATCTAAAGGTGTTTGAAGTCGAAGGATTCAGTGAGTGATGTCCAACAAAGCATTAACAACACAGAAATCTGAAGTTCAAGTTGCACGTACGTAAAATTGCAGGCAGTATCTGGTTGATTGACAACGGAAGACATGCGGTGTCATTCGCAGACATCTAATCTCTACATGCTCGTCAATCTCCCAAACGATGACTCAACTTTCACCATCCCATCATCACCAAGAACCTTTCCACGGTCCCACTCTCTCCCTTCTCCCTGCTTCGCCCACTTGACATCTGCCTCTCGCTTCTCGCCACCCTTCTCCCACTTACTGACTTCTTCCTCAGTGAACCCAGCAGCTCGCAGTCTATCTGCGCCTTGCTGTTGCCACTTCTGACGGTCTTTCAACGCCTCTAAAGCTTGGTCCCAGTCATTCTCCTCGTCTGGATCAAGCTGTACGTCAGTCGTGGGATCATAGTTAGAGGAAAATCTGTCGTCGATGCCGGAACCGAGTGAAATTGTACCGCGTCCTCGGATCTTGATCTCGGGTGGTCGTGGGCCTATGATGTCGTCTAAGGGATCTGAATCATAGTCTGGTTTGGATACCGGATGCTTCTCAGACTTTGCTGGCGTTTTATCTGTCCTTCTTCTTTCCCGCGAAGTAGATCGTCGGTGTCGGTAAGACCGATGTGATCTTTCTCGCTCTCTGTCTTCGTCTGGTGAACTTGACCGCTTTCTCCTTGGTGACCTTTCCCGTCGCCTTGAGTCCGTTTCTCTATATTGTCTTGGAGATCTCGAACTAGATCTGTCTCGTTTCCTTCGTTCTTTTCTATCTCTTCCTCGCTCATCTGACAAGCTTCTATGGCGGCGATGGCGACTTCTATGGTCTCTGGAACCTTTCTCCTCGTCCCTATCCTCTCTACCGTCACGGTCCCGTCGGCCCTTCTCGCGAGACTTCTCTTTCGGCACTTCGTCTTCACTGGAAGTATTCACATATCTAGAGCCATCGCCCCTCTTGCTGGCCTCGGTTCGTTTCCGCTTACTCGGTCGTCCTCCCAGAATAGCAGCAATATCTCCCAGTTGACGTCTTCGAATGTCGCCTGCTCCGACTTTTACAGGCTTCTTGCTTTCTTGTTGATGACTCGGTAGATTCCGCAGACGTGCTCGGGCTTCCGCAGCTTCTTTCGCTAACAATGCTGCGTTATGATTGTCGGTGTCCTTGATGATATTTCGAAGAAAGCGAGTATTGGGTTTGGGTTTATTTGCAGGCGGCCTGTGGTTAATTAGCAAACGGCATTAGGGCAGCAGCTCATGGATCTTACTTTGATGGCGCAAAAGCTTGTAAACCCATGGCAGAATATTTGATAGAGCTTTCCTTCGCATCCTTCGCGAGGAGTTTTGCGACGTAGTCGTCGGTCAGCTCTTCGTCTGCCATCTTAATTGATAATCATGGGTGACCCAGTGGTAAGAAATATCCAAGAAAATGCAAGGCGGAAATATGGCCGGATCCCGACGCGCACCTCTGAATGTTCTACAAGCTGTGAATGAATGTATGAAGGGAATGTGAGTCTCTCGGGTTTCTGACCTCGGGCCGCTGCCTAGTTTGGCAGCGGTGACAAGCGGCAATATAATCTTTGTTTATCAACAACGCCAATCGCGGGACATTCATCCAAGGTCGTGTGCTTTTCTCCAATCTCATATTTCTGCTGAAGCACTGCTACTGTGGCGAATCTACTTTTCTAACACTCGCAAGCGGAACATTCTATCAACGTAGAAAGACAAGATACCAGAATAGACGCAGTATGGCGATCTCGCATGAGGACATTCTGGCAACGCTTCTAGAAGTTCAGGAAACACACGAATTCTCTATCATAAAGCTCAGCGAGCCGCTATCTGGACCACTCAAGCAGAATCCGGGTGAAAGGACATCAGATGTATCTGCAGATGTCTTTGATAATCCAACTCCAGCAAGCCTAGAGGAGGATCTCTCACATTACAAGGTATGCTCAAGTCACTTCTGGCGAAACTCACGCGCTGACATCTGCAAAGGAACTTTTCTCGAAGCTCCGATTCTCTTACCTTGAACAAGTCACAAAAGAGAAGTTCATACGTGCTATTGTTGGTGATCCTCCTCTTGTTGTCGAACACCAGGAGAATGTCGAATTGGAAGAGACACTGGCAGTTTCCAAAGCCGGGTTGAAGTCCCAGAAGACGGAGGTCGCTGAGTTAGTGGCAGAATTGGAGAAGAGAGGTCGAGAGCTATGTCGGAAATATCAGAACATCCAGATGCAAACTTCACAATTGCAAGAGCTGCCGCAACGGATTGAGGAATTGGAGGCAAGCGTTGAGGAATTGAGAGCAGCGCAACAACCAGGATCGAATCCAACATTGAACATGCCTCTGGATAAGACATTGGATCTGGTGGAGCAGCGGGAGAGGGAAAGGGTAGAGCTTGATCGTCAATTAGAACAGCTCCAAGTCATGTTGCCAAGAAAGACCAAGGAGTTGGAAAGATTGAATGCGGAGTTGCAACCTTTGGAGGTTAAGAGACTCGGTAGCACGGCATCAGCTAGGGAGGCCAAGAGGAGGAAGGAGGAAGCGCTTGGTGGTGTTGGTGATGACCTAGAAGAACGTGGTAGATGGTGGAGAGGAGTCGAGTCTGGATTGAAGGGAATGCTGGGTGTTGAGAGTTGATTTCGGTTATTACTGAATGTGGTTGGGATTGATACCATGGAAATAGGCGTTTGGGAGTGGAAAGATGTCAATGATTTTGTGTTGTTCGTACTTTATACCTGGGTAAATTGTGTTGCGTTGAAGTACTATGGTTTTTCGATATTGGGGGCGAAAGCAATGAAACAAATTAAATGGCAAAAATGGCCTTGATTTCATCGCTGAGATTGTAATCGAAATCCATTAATATTGCGTTTAACTTCTGAAAGATCGTATTGAACTCTTCTAGGAAGAGATGGAGGCCAAGGATGTTGAAAAAGCGGAGCCCACGTGATACCATTCCTTTCGCTTAGATTTACTAGCGCAACACATTCAATTCTTTCCAAATCGCGCGAACTTTGAAGAGACTGGAATTCCAACGACAAACTCGACAACCAACGACGTCAACGACGAGGTACGTTCTGTATCCCATTTGGAAGGAGCGATTTGAGATATGATACTAACGGTCTGCTGCGTAGTTTCCTAAACAAAGATGAGTACGTTGCATGCGACAACCCCTCGAACACTCCCCTACTCCATCAACCGACTGTCCTATTTACAACTCATCGAATCGACTCGAATCTCACTGACATCTTCATAGCGAAAGGCACGAGTTCCTTTGGCAAGCGCCATGTAAAAAAAATTCTGCTCCTTTCTCCATGGAATGGCTGCTGATTTATAACAGAACAAGACCCACACTCTGTGCAGACGTTGCGGTTAGTAAAATCGATTCCATTCGAGACTGGGAGATGGGATTGGAAAGCTGGAAAGCTGGAAGGCCATTGATATTGGAAATTGAATATGGAACTGATATTCGTCTTCACAGGTCGCCGATCTCTCCACATCCAAAAGCACACCTGCTCATCCTGCGGTTACCCAGCAGCCAAGATTAGGCAATGTACGTTCACAGCATATCGAGGGGCAACCCTCTCAGTTGAAACGGAAAGAGAGCTCATGGCTGACAATATCACAGACAACTGGGGTGAGAAGGCTAAGAGAAGAAAGACTACCGGTACCGGACGCATGCGCCACATGAAGGGTGTTCCTCGCAAATTCAAGAATGGCTTCCAAACTGGTGCACCAAAAGATTCGAGGGGACCATCCGCCAAGGCCGAGTAAATGGGTCATTAAGGGAGTTGCATGATTTGGGATTGGTTGCGGACGGATCGATTGCTATGATGTCTCGAGGACTATGGTCATGAGGGCTACGGTCATGCTAGCAAATACCATCGAAATTTGCACCACGAATTGCTGAACTACCAGGAGATTGTGACGTGAAATCAAGGGTCAACGGAAGAATACGATTGTGCAATGGGAACTGGGCTACATTGGGGAGAGCGAAGTCTGTATTGATGGTACTTTCGGTTGCAATTCAAGTCATATTGAAGATCACTCTTGCTACTTCGACTCCTTCCGTTCCAGCATCATTGTCCTCTCTCGAATACCTTTACCCCTCCATCGCCTCCCACGAAATACAACAGCTCCTTTTCCTCGATTTTTCTTTGGATATCCTCGTCTTCTTCCGTTGCCCTATCTCCGACTGTGACTCTCACAACACCACTAACATCTCTTGCTGTTCCAGTGTCCAGCAATCTTAGACTCATAGTGAAATCTGCTTGGTGTGCGGTGCTTATCAAGAAAGCAGCGTGATTTGCTTCCAATGGAGTCTGAGGATTTGAAACAAGAGGAAGATCTGCTGAAAGAGAGACTATGGTGCAATGTACCTCCTAACATCGTATAAGCACTCCACTCCACCTCTGAACTTTGAAATATAATGCACCTACCTCACGCAAGCCTAACAACAAGTCTCCAAGGCCCACAGCATTGACGGCATCACCTCCAGCCGCCAACAACAGATCCAATTGGTCCACAATCAACATAATTTTAGTCGTCCCTTGACTGTGTCTCAAAGTCTTGGCATCATTGTGTATAGCCTCAGAAACACTCTCAAGACCAGAGTTACTGAGCGTTACATTCCCACCTTTTGCTGGACTTGCTTTCTGCTGCTTGGAAAGAAACAGCCCACTCAAGCCATCCACGAAGACAAATCTCTTCTTCGCAGCTAACTTATCAAGATCAAGACCCTATGAAAAGTCTCAGCATGGAACTCAACTTCACACACGTGAACCGAAGAAGAGAGTTAGAAAAAGAAATTGAACCTACTAGTCTCCTAGCATTCTCCCTCCAAAAAGCTAGATCGAGCATGAAGCTCACCAGCAATACTTTCGGTTCATCTTCTGGACTTACTCCCGAAGAGACTTCTGACAAGGCGCTGTGGAGAAATCTCAGAACAAGCCAGTTTGTGCTTGCTCCCAACACGCTCGTCAAGAGGACAAGAGATGCTTCAGGAGGGAGAGCCAAGTACGGTTCTAGCAGCGGCGGAATTCGAGAGGACATTTTATTTGATGGCCTTCAAGAATCCAGAAAAGTTGTTGGCACAAAGTTTTGCGCCTTAACCCAGCACGTGATGAGGGTCAATTCACGTCTCCCATTGGTGCATTTCGGACTTCGAGGTTTGCTCTTTCCTCTTTCTTTCATACTTGTTCTATATCTAAGTTCCTTGTATTTTGCTGTACTGCTTTGTTTTATCTTCTGCCAATGCTTCGAGCTCTTGTTAGTCGTCATTTTCTCTCTTCGGAACACTCAGAGCTTGGCTTCTCATCATCCTCATACAGTTTGTCGAATGGTCGCTCTCTGGTGATCAAACATCTTGGATAGCTTCAAGCAGCTGTTCTTTACGCTATCCCACGCTGTCATTGCTATTGTCTCTTTCTGTATTTACCTCAAGATGGACAAGCACGATGAGGCAGTGACACAAATCGCCGACAGGGTACGCAAATTCTATGCCCGCAAAGAAGCCTTTCGGATATATCATGGATCGACGAATAGTACTCGTCAATCCCATTTTCAACGAGACAGAATGGTTGATACATCTGGGTTTAATTACGTCTTGAAGGTGGATATTGAGAATAAGATTATTTAGGTTAAACTTGGCGTGTCTATAAACACACTTGTTAAAACTACCTTGAACTATAGTTTAATCCCACTATTTGTTATAGAATTCCCAGGTATCACACTAGGAGGAGGCTTTGTTGCTACGGCAGGTGAAGCCAGTTCTTTTCGTTACAGCTTTTTCGATCGAACTATCAACTAGATTGAAATAGTCTTTAGAGATGGCGAAGTTGTCAGAGCTTCTGCTATTGAACGATCAGACTTATTTTACCGCGCTGCCTCATCATTTGGAACGCTGGGATTGACAACTATGCTCGAGGTTCAACTGATAGAAGCTAAAGCTTATGTTGCACTTACCTATCATCCTGTCACGAGCATAATTGAAGCACAAAGGGAGATTGAGACAGCAACGAAGGACCCAACATGCGATTACCTAGACGGAATCATGTACTCAGAAATCAAAGGCGTTATCTGTGCTGGCCGCTTAACCAACGACATCGGTCTCGATACAAAAGTCCAAAAGTTCACCCGACCTTCAGACCCCTGGTTCTACCTCCATGCCTACCACTTCACGGCCAAACACACCTCACCCATCACCGAAGCCATCCCCTTGGTCGACTACCTCTTCCGCTACGACCGCGGCGGATTCTGGGTCGCCCGCTACGCATACACATACTTCCTCACGCCCTTCAACCGCGTAATCCGCTACCTCCTCGACCACTACATGCACACCCGCGTCCTGTACCACGCCGTGCACCGAAGCGGCCTCTCCTCCCAATACATAATCCAAGAAGTCGCCATCCCATATCCTCAAACCGCAACATTCATGACCTACCTCGCCACGACCTTCAAAAACTACCCTATCTGGCTGTGTCCCCTAAAACAGAGCGGCAAGGGAATAGCATCAACACACTCCCTACAAGTCGATAAACTCAACCGTCAACCTCCCGACATGATGCTCAATTTCGGAGTCTGGGGTCCAGGCCCGAAGAAAAGTTTGTAACCTGGAACCGAGATTTCGAGCAAAAGGTTCATGAATTAGGTGGGCAGAAATGGTTGTATGCTCATACGTACTACATTGAACAGGAGTTTGACGAGATATACAATCGCAAAGAATACGATGCTTTGAGAAAGAAGTATAGTGGGAGTTACTTGCCTAGTGTGTATGAGAAAGAGAAAGTAGATATTAGCAAAGAGAAAGTGAAAGCTGAGAACGAAACTTGGAGGGAATGGACGAGGAGACATGTCAAGAGTGCTTGGCCTTTGCAGGGCTTGTATGGGGTGTATAAAGCTGCAATGAACGGCGAGTACCTTTTGGCGAGGACAGAGAAGAAGGCTGGGAAAATGGAGTGAAGTATAGTGCCGGTCGTGTACAATCAGTAGTGTATGTACGAATCCGAATCCAGAACTATTGGCATGAATTGAACAGCATCTGCAATTGCACGGCTGCAGCACTTGCGTGTACTCTTGTTTCACTGCGTTGCGCATCCTCTAATTCCGGAAAGCAGTTGAAATAAAGCAAAGCTCGAAGCAATTTGCCATTGATGTATTCCATGCGCCAACACAAATCTTAAAGACAATCTATCCATGAACGGTTCGTGAGTCTATCCCTCATACCTGAACGATACAACGTCCAATCTAAACCAAACTCCATCATAAGCCTAGAATTTCTCCATCAGGTTCTTCCTGACGGTCCACATCCTAGCCCGTTTCCCAAAAATGTACATAGGCACAGTGAGCGTCATAAAGATAAGTTGAATTACGCCGACCCAAGTGAAGACCTTCTTGGATCCATCCGACTCGAGCCACTTCGTAAAGAACAAGCTGAACACCAATCCGTGAAAAATATTCTTGCTAAAATTGAGCGTGACGAGGGCTTCACCAGCGTATTGCCGATAGCTGTCAACGCAGAAAGTGATGGCTGTTGTCGATCCTAAAGAGCACCCGAACGAGATAATGCCAAAGAAGATAGTAGGAACAATCCAAGCATCGTGTATTTGAGCAGACCAGCCAAAACCCATGAGTCCGATGACTGTCGTGATAGTGACTGGAATTGCCATAACCAAACGGAATTCAGGTTCATAAAGTCCCCCATTTCGTCTGGACATGAATTTCACAATAATGTCGCTGACTTTTCCGGCAACTGCTGTTCCTAGTACGCCTCCAATAAAAGGAGACAAGTATATGAGACCCGTTGACAGAGCTGAGAATCCATAAGTAGTTCGGGTACGATAGATGACAGCCACAGACTCGGACAGGACGATCAACCAACCAACAGCACAAGAGTAGACTACTGCGGACCAAAGAATGGCGGGATAAGCGAACAGGATGAAAGGTCGAATTGCTACACGAATCCATTTGTCGTAATTAAGTCGTCCTCTATAAGGCTTCAGTTGTTGCAAGAAAGTCTGCGGTGGGGCTTGTCTGAGGTGAGCAATATAAGGTGCCACAGGTCGAGAAGGTAGAGCAGATGCGACATGATCAGAACCAGGAGATGTTACGCCATCGTTGTTGATATTTTTGAACCTGTTGCCTGCTTCGAGATAATCGCCCGAGCTCTTCTCTATGTCTTTGTACCATGGAGAGTTGAAGTTATGCAAGGCTGGCATTGGGGGCCCATTACCTGAAGGTTGAACAACACCTGCAAACTCATGTTTCGGGTCAGTGACGGCCCGTGAGCGTTTGCGGATTTGCTCCTTCAAATCAGTGCCCATGCCAACAGTGAATGTGCTTGATTTCGGGCCGTCACCACCTGTTGCGTGCATGGTTCCGTCTGACGAAGGAATTATGGGTTCATTGGCGCCGTCATGCAAAGTCTGCTCCTGATCATCGCCGGCAAATCCTACGTGAAGATTTCGATGAGGATGAGGACCCTCAGCTAACACAGCTTTTTTCGGTGTTGTGATGTCTTCCTGATTTGCAGGTGTCTCTTTTTCCACGATTGCATCTTCATGATTACCGGTTGCATCGTTTTCGGGGTTATGATGCGCATCTTTATGAGAGCCATGACTTGTGAACAGTGCAAGAGTAAGCCGGGATCCATGCTTTGATGCTTTACGGCTTTTCGGTACTGGTGTTCTGTCCCAGAATGATTCTGGCACAAACAAAAACAAAAGACAGCCACAGAAACCCACAACCATGGCAACGATCCTGTAGAACGTTAGTTCAGGATTTATTCTGCATACTGTGGACTTACCAGAAAACCCATCTCCAGCCCATTGATTGGATTATAGCAGCACTAACCAAAGGCACCAAGTTCTTGCCACCGAGAAGGAGTAAAGTATAGATACCAATTCGATATGCTCGTTCATGCAAAAAGAAAATCTCGGCAATGGTAGCGGATGGCAAACATTCCACAGGGCTCACGGAGATACCCTGGAAGATCCTCGCTACTAGAAGAGAGTTGTAGCTTGGTGATGTTGCACACCAAATAGAGGTCGCAATGAAGACAATTGCGCTGAAGAGGTAGACAGGCCTCTTGCCATAGAGAATTGCGGTCGGGGACGCAATTACGGAGCCAACACCAAGACCCATCATGTACAATCCAGTAGTAAGTGCTACTTTTGGTGTAGTGACATTATAAGTTGCCGCAACGTTTGTGAACCCAGCAGCCAGGATTGGTGTCATACCACCGCCAACCATGCAATATAATCCTAGAGACAATAGTGCTGCGTCTCTTCTCCATGTAGGCCAATTCAGAGGGTCGTTGTGTGAATCGTCTGGCTGGGGTTCCAGGATAATCGCACCATCTGGCGTCTTTTTCTTCCCCTCCGCATGTTTGGATTGACGTGATTGCCGTCTGCTCGGAGGGGGAAGAGGTGGGGCTGGTAAAGAGGAGGCAGATGATCTCGCAGGGGCATTTCGCAGACCCAGAGGCTCGTTTCGATTTCCGGTCAAGAGAAGAACAGATCCTGTAAGATTCACATGTCAGAAAATGGCCTAGACGTTTTGCATGTATAAAGACTCACCAGGCACCTCATGAGTAAGAGGGTCATTCAAGACTCCCATGCTCCATTTTGTTGGCCTGCCTTTGTCCTCGTCCGAGTCCTCGACATCTTCGTCGTGGAAATTTGAGGCAGAGTTCCGAGCAAAGAAAGAACGGGGTCGTTCAGAATTAGGAGTTAGAACAGGTCTCTCTTGTTCTCCATCAGCCTGCATCTTGCAAGATGTTTGGTTACAAGTGGCAGAAGCTCTTCAAGCAAGTAATGCTTCTAGAAAAGCTTCTCGAGAATTCAGCTGGACGCGCATGCACCACGAGAGAGAAAGACAGGAAAAATACAGGACCGTCAAGAGGCGGATAATAGTTTGTAGGTGAATGTAGGAATGACGAGTAAGATTGTTACATCAACACGGGGGCTTGAGTCGTGTAGTCGAGTAGGAAGCATATGGTATAGGAAGAGGTCTCATCCTCTTATCGAGGGGCGTGTTTATGGCATCCAAGATAAAGTTCTTGGGAATGTGCCTTCTGTTTCGGCTCTTCGGCTCCCCGGCTGCAATTGCCAGACATGTCTTGTCCGGGGAAGGGTGGGTCAGAACCCCAACTCAACTCCGGGCAGTGAGGCTGAATGCCTCTCGCCACGGGCGCTCAAGAGAATATTTGATCGCAGAGAGATGCAGGAAATAATCAAATGAGACTGAGTAAGAAAAGCAACACGGTGGAGCATTGGCACACGTAGACGCCCAAAAATTGTCTCGTGGTTGAACATCTTACAGAAATTCTCATCATCTGATCTCGGATTTCATGGAAGTTGAAGACACCTGCAGCCACGCAGATCCCAGGCTGGGCACAAGGGTTCTGCCGTGATTCAATCCCAGCCAGGTCAATGTCCGACAAGCTGTTGGACATGAAGAAACGAAACCTCCACACCTTCAATATCTTCACCGTTGGCATTCGAAACATATCACAATGATCACAAGACCTGTATTACGGGTCTATAAATTGTCATCCGGGGTCAAATGCTCGGTGACTATTCCGATTCGTCGAGACTTCTCGACCTCCAAGGCGCAAGCCGCCAAAAATTGCATCTATGCCCCGTGAGTTCTCCAGCTGCAATGAAGCATGTGCTACCTCATGCCGGACGTCTAACGAGTTATAGTGTACGCCGTCCTGACGAATTCCAATCATACCTACTCCTCTCCACTTCTTCTCGGATTCCTCTCCTGACATTCTGGACGGCCAGCTATTGCAATACCTGCAGGGCTGTCTCCCCTATCCTCAATGAGCTTATAAAATCGGGAATTGGCGAGGAGGAGGGTGGGGTATCATTCTGCGAAATAGAATACGACTCTCCGGATATCATGAATGATGGTTTGGGAATGACTTATATGATCACTAGCATGCCTACTTTGCTGAGCTTTGATCGTGGAGAAGCACAGGTAAAACACCCTAAGCTAGAGCTCCCCAAAATCCCCAAGTCTCCCGAACATCTGCGAAGTTGCGGGAAAGATATGCAAATGCTTACTTCTCTATCATTAGACTGGCACAAAAGTCACAGACCCGAAGCAGATGAAAAACAAAGAATGGTTGAAGGAATGGATACGAAACGAAGCCAGACGGCAGGGTAGCGGAGGTGCAGGTTTAGGGACATTTGGATTTGGAGGCTTGTTCGGGAAATCCAAATAGGTGCATTTCTAGCATTTATTCGTTTCTCATGTCCTCGTGAAGCCTGGCATAACCACCTGCTGTTGAAACCGACCGCCCGCCCAAAATACAGTATGTTCCCTGGGATCTACAGCTCTTCACGGGCAGTAGAACACTTCCTGCACGCCTTTCCACCATGCTGGCTCGCCGTCGTGGCTGGATTTTGCACCGGGAACCATGCTTTCCTGCATCTCATCGGTCATTCTCCACCATTCTTGAACTTTTGGGTTGTCCCTCATCTTTTCCACTGCGAATAACGAATCAGTATCCACAGTATCCACTCTTGAGAGGGTTGAAGAAAGGAAGGCATGGAAATATTCTCTTGAAAACATGAAAAAGACTCAAAAAGGCAGTAGGAAGGCTGAGAAGGTAGGTTGCTTACTATCTCCTGCATAATTGTACCCAACATATTTGAAAGACGCAAAAAGAATACTGGTTTCTGGGTCATGGAAAATAGAGTCTGCAGAACAAGCACATTAGCACGGAGTCTCGGAAATAAAGCACAAATAATAAAATCACCAATGTACAACAGATCCCAAAAAAAATACGAAAGGAAAAGACGGCTCACAATCCTCAATGTTACACTCCTTAATCTGCTTCAACACCTCAGGCCAAACCTTAGCATGACACTCCTTATACTCCTCCACACGCTCCGGCTTCAGCTTAACAATCTGCGCAATCCGCTTCCCCTGATTCTTCAACCTGTAGTTCGGCTTCGACACTGACGGGATCTTCGTCTGGGTTGGAGAAGCCGGAGGGCTTGAGGAAGAGGTGCCTTTCCACATCGCGTTGCTCTTTGGATCCCAACGATATATAAAACCTAACAAATGAACCGACAATCAAGTAGACACGAAGATGCCCGTTTCAAAACCGATCCGTGCAATGGTGGTCGTTGTGTAGCTATTCGCACCGCGCACGTACGTAGGTGGATTTGATTATCGATCGAGGGGGACTGCGGGCTGCGGGGTTTCTCTTCCTCTCGTGCAACACAACAAAGCAATGACCTGAAACTCTCCTCTGGAAAAATAACCAAGTAACAAAACGCTCTCCTAACACGATCTGAAGCAGCAGCAGCAGGACTTAATCGTGAAAGTTTGCTGATAGTTTCTCTCTCTTGTTCTGCATGGAGATTTCTAAGCTCTACCTAGCTTGAATCGACATGCCCCGCGCTATCGGTTGCTTTTGCTGGGCGCCAGGCTGTGATTACTGGTTCTGATTTATCCGGGCGCACGTCACTTTCTCTGGCTTGTGGACGGTGGCCGCTGCCAGTGCGCGAGATCTCCGGAGAGGTGCGCTTGGAGGAGGGTCCGAAGAGAGTTCGCCCGGCTAATTCTCATGACTGTTGCTTTCCATGGCTAATTTCTTTTTCTGTCGACCTCGGAAATACTTTACGGCTATATGGAGGACATTGCGCAAAACTTTACTATATAGAAAGACAAAGTGAGTAGTGGCCAGTGCAGATGATTGGGCGCTCAACAATCTGCACTTGGAATGTCCCACTTTTAAATAGCAGTCTGAACAAGAAACAAGAGATCATGTATTGGATTAGCAGGAAAGAATTCTTTTATTTATCGGTACTGCTTTACCACGCTTAGACAGAATAACAAACGCCGATGTTATGCTCCCATCCACGAGTATGTTGAAAAAGACCTAACAGCTTGATCCTAGCTGCCCAACACCCCGGAGATAACATACACCCAGTCCTTCAGGTATGGAGTTGGACTTCCGCTTGCACCGGTACCCAACTGTACCCTCACAAGGATATACGGAAATGGACATAATTAGAGAAAAGGAATGTCCGTCTCGGGACGGCTTCTATGTAATGATACAATAATAAACAAGTTGTCGTTCAAGCCGAGTACAGGGCCTCGATCAAATAGATGACGCCGAAGACTAAGAATGCTATCGCACCTCCTAAAGTGACTAGAATATGTTAATGATCGATCTTCGTGTGACAATGGTAGAAACAACATACCGACTCTCAGGCTCACTTTCCCAGCAATAGCACGACCGCCAATGACTGCAACACCAGTACAAGCACAATGACCAAGTATCGCACCACCAGTTACCCACCAATAGTCTTGACCAGCTGCCATAGCAATAGTAGCAATCTGACTTCTATCTCCCCACTCGCCCAAAAAGGTCATGACAAAAGTTTGGACCCAAGCCGGGCTTAGAAGAAGTCCAAGTAGATTGCTAAGCCCCGCGAGGAAGCTCTTGAAAGATGAGCCTGATGGGGCTGGCGATCTATCAGGGGATTCTGATGGACTGCGAGGAGGTGATGGTAAACGAGACCCTGATCTCGACTTCCTTGTCCCTCTGCTTCCCAAACCCATTTCGAGAGCATATGGCGAGATAGACGACCGTCGTCGTCCTTGCTGTCGCGCTTGGTGTTCTTTCTCCTCTAATTCCATTTCTACTTCTTTCATTTCGGCACCAACCCCTTCATCTGGACTCATTGCCAGCCCTTCCTTCAACATGCGTCCACCAAATATTAAGAACAGAGCTGCTGCAAGGTAATTTGTGAAGCGCTTGGGGATCAGGGTTGGCACTGCATGTCCGAGAACTGCAGATAAAACCGTCATAGTGATTAAAGCAGAAAAGGCTGCGGAGAAGACCAGAAGTCGATCATGCTTCATTGCCATGAGAGCTGCAATGAGGAAAGTCTTGTCGCCAATTTCTGAAAATAGAATCATTGTAAGTGATAGCACGAAGGAGTGAAGGGGTTGGATAAGCCCTTCGCCGGCGTCATCTTCTGGAAGGTCATATTTGGCGGAATCTTTCGAGCCGGGCTTCGCAATATCTAAGTGGTCCTTGTTGGCAGAATCTGGGAGAGGATGCGGGAGATTATTGGGTTTATTTGGAAGGTCATTCGGTTTCTGTCTTGATCAGCAAGTTTCCAGAGCGCTATTATTCTCTGCTCATACCTCGAGTCCACCAAGCCCTTCTCCGGAATCGTCGTCGTAGGAATCTGCATCCTTCGTAGTCTTCTCACCCTTTTCACTTTTGATCTTGGTTTGTTCGCTGTGAGGCAACGGAGGTGCTTCTTTGGGTGAATCTGGCTTCTTTTCCAGTTTCTCTCCAGTCTGTCCCTCTTGTGCTTTGCGTGCCTTATCTTTCTCACTGACTCCACCCTCGGTCCCAGTTGTTCCTTCTTTGGGTAATTGTCTATGCGGATCATCCATTACGCCATCGTTGACAGCTGGTATCTTTTCTCCATCCGGCGTGACCATCTTGGAAGTATCCGTCTTCGTTGTAACCAATTCACCATCTTCTGATTTCGACTTCTTGGAATCTTTCTTGGTATCTTTCGAGTCCTTCTCCGAGCCAACCCAAGGACCTGCATGCGGTTTCCCATCTTTGCCATCAACAGGTGCATCTTTTGTCCCTATATCAAGCTTCGACTTTGCAGCTAGGTCGACCACCGGTGAAGGGTGAGGATCTATCCTCGCATCTCGAGGTTGTGTATTCTTGCTCAGTGTTGATTGTATATTGTCTTGGGCAGCGGCCGAAAGAGCTGTCGCCAACGATGGCAGAAGGAGGAGAAGAAGCGGAGCTGGACGCCTTCGGAACTTCATTATGAAATATGAATATGGCTGTGATTCTCGAGCAGCAGCGCGCGATGAGTCGCTCCTGAGGAAGAAATCTGCTTCAGCGGATGAGGTAATGGCGACTCTTATGACGTGGCTCCTTCAGATTCTTTCGAAACAAAAATGCTCAGGCTATCAGGAGTTGAAAAAGGAGTGTAAAGAAGGTGACAATGCGAAGATGGTAATTGGGAGTAATGATCGAATCAGTTTTTATGGAATTGGAATTGCTCCCAGAAGGGGTGAAGCCCAGAGCACTGGAACTGGGTTTCTCCCTCTCGCTACGGCGGTCCAATTTTTAGCTCAGATGCAGTTACAAGGGGGCTATTTATTCCTGGTAAAGGGGTTTGAAGAGTGACTGGTCTAGAAGACGCGAATACAAGCATAGTGGGATAAATTGGGGCACGGCGAGACTCATATCGTTGAAATTCATTACCGTTGAACAGATTTCATGTGCACAAGTGATTGCACTGCTTCTACCTAGGTACCTGGTACAGCTTCTCTCCACAGCGTCTAAATTTGGTAGCGCCGCTAATATGGTCACGTGCTGTGGAGTACTGCGCTTACCCATTTTGGTCTCCACAACAAAGGCATCGCGTTTCATCGATTGCAATATCTAATCGCGCGCATTTGTCGAGACAAACCCCATTGAGAAAGGCCCAGCTTGTCAAAATACACAATGCCTCCTAAAGGAAGTGGACGAACGACTGCGAGATCTGGCGCAGCCAGAAATCAAGCATCATCACCTCCCAAGTCCCGCAGTCGCGACACAGAAAGTGCGGGACCACTCACCAGATCCACACGAAGTCGAAGCGTAGAAGTCCGAGGTCAGAATCCCGGCGCAACAACGATAAAGAGAGAGACAAGAGGCTCTCGTGAAGGAACTGCGGATAGCGTAGGAAGCAACGCCAGCATCGCATCTGGTCGAGGTGGTCGTACCAGACAAGCTACTCGAACAGCTGCTATTGAACGAGGTAATATTTCAGTACTCTAGAGCTGAAGACCTGAGTTGACTTATTCATCAGATCTTTCCATCGTTGCAGAAGATAGAGAATCAGAGGAAAGTGACGAAGTCGATGACAACGACGTACAGGGCCATCCTTCTCCAGGAGCAGCATCGCAGATGTCTGGAACAACGGCTGTGACAACACATTCACAGTCACAAATCGCTATGATAGATCCGATTGTCTCGGAGGCGCTGGTTGATCTTTTTGTTCGGTCCGAGAATATCATAGACCTACTAATACCTTCAAATCTCACGGAAGAAGGGGTTGAAGAAATTGTCAAAGAACTTCACACTCTGAAATCAGACAGAGCGAAACGACTCAAGCTACGCGAGCAAGATTTTGACGCGACGAGAGCGAACTTTGGCAGCGATGACTTCATTAACAGGAGCTTCTTGCTCAGAAGGCTTTTGGGCAGTGATGAGCCTGGTCCAGGAAACTTTCGCCCCGATGCTATTGTCTACACAGCCAACCTGGCGACTTTAGTCAAAACATTTATGGTTGCTCAACAGAAAAGCTCAAAGACCGTCAGAAGTCTGCTGAGTTTTGAAAGTTGGTTCTCTGACTTATTCGTTTACAAGTTCGACGAAGAGACTGAATACGGCGGAAGCAGATTGCTCGACGAGAGCTTTCAACTCTTGCTGGAAGTCCGGACACAATTTGTAATTATTGATCTTCAAGCGAAAAAGGATCAAGATGCCTTTGATCCGGACTTCATCCTCGCCTCTGCCTTCTACGCACAACCAGCACAGCGAGAGGAAACCCTGAACCAGTTTGACGATATCACTACTAATGGGACTGTGAAAGGCTTTTCTCGTGGTCCACCGATATCCGAAGAGCAGAAAGGACTCGTATATAACCGAGTTAGCGACATCAGAGAGTTCTTTCGTCAGAATGAGCAAGCTATCGAAGACGGTGATGTGGTTGACTTTGATCAGCTAGAGAGAACTTTTAGATGGTTCACATTTCTCACTGATCTGGCTCAATGGGTTCGATCCCGCTTTCAGGAACTTTCGGATAACGTGAAGGACCAAGGAGGTGCCACCAATATCATGGTGGATTTGCTTGGAGTCATGAAGGAAAGTTTTGAAAGTCAATCCGAAGTGAGCGCTGAGCAGAAGTAAGTCTCTTTTCTCGTTGCTCGTTGCTCAGCTATAATTCGGTGAAGACTTCTTTGGGATCACATTGGCTGATTGCAAGAAGTGTCGATAGTACTGCCCTGTTGCTGGCAAACATGAAAAGATCAGGCGGGTTGACCTCATCAGCCCCATCAAGAGATGCATTTGCACCATCCTCCTCAATCCCGAAGCAGCCCACAGCTCAAGCTCGTCCCCCATCTGAAAATCCTGCTGACTTGGATGATGGCGGCGATCAAGGGATGCCGGATCCGGTACATCAACGTTCAGTCCCCGAATATGCAGAAACCTGGCGGCGGCATACGAATGAGAAAAATAAGGAGAATCTCGAGGCAGGGAAAATGCCTAAGAGGACTCTTTTGGACGCTCAGCCCAATGCTCAAAGAATTATATTTGACAGTCAAAGTGATATGCCGGACGTATCTTCGAAACGACGTCGCACTCCAGTCGAAGAAGAGGAGGAGGAGGAGGAAGAAGAGGAAGAATTCGAGGAAGATCAGAGGATATCTAACCCTCAGCGTAGAATCAATACCCAGACAAAGCGCCGCCCAACCCTTCCTGCTCCAGAAAGCTCTAGTCCCTCGAAAAGAAGGCGAATCGATGCAGCGGCCAACCAGCACGCAGAAGGAAGTGGTGGCGCACGTCGGAGACAAGAACCTGCTGAATCCAGCCGAGCCCCCGATGTCAGAAAGCCTACTGTCAATGCGCTCCCTCGACCATCCAGTTCAAGGCAAGTAAGGGTCAGCGATGATGAAGATGACCCACCGAGGTCAAGTTTTCCTCGAAGGACAGCACGGAATGATACCGCTCGGTCAGCTAGTGATAGGATGAATGTAGACGACGATGAAGAAGACGTCGATGCGCCAAATCCAACTCAAGTTTCTGTCGTTGCTCGGGAAGAAACAGCCCGAAGTACGGCACGACGCAAAGTTGCCATGAAAGAGTCCAGCAAAAGACGCACACCGTGGTCAGAAGCTGACGCTCAATTACTCGTGGACTGCATTGAAGAGTATGGATGTGGTTGGTCCACTATTAGCAAGGTTGAGGGCTGGGAATTTCACCGCGATCAAGTCGCCCTGAAAGATAAGGCTCGCAATTTGAAAGTCCTTTACCTAAAGTATGTATTGAAGTCAAGTCATGTTTGTGTAGTACTAACATCGATTCAGGTCCCGCGTCCCTCTACCGAAGAACTTTGACTTTGTCCGTCTAGGAAGGAAAGAAATCCTTGCTGTACAAGCAGTCATACCTGAATATCAACCCGAACCTTGGTGACTTTGATGTCAGATGGCTCCTTATGGACTGCTGGTGGCTGTTTTACATTTTCTTACCTTATACCCATACAGCTATTTTTTTGGTCGGCGTTCAGGTCATTGGACCTTGGTCCTCTGCTTATGAAGGTCTTGCTGTATTAGAAAGGCAACACTGTGCGATGAGTTTCAATGAAATCGCATTTCGATTCGTGCATCATATTCTCCAAGTTGCCTAAGTCTAGTTGCAGTGATAGAATTCTAGAAATTACAGTATTGGCTAATGTGATCTCAATAGCCTCTACTCCAGTCTATATATCTTATCGGAGTTAGAATTCTCCCACCAGCCAAGCTAGCTTTCTTTAAATTATTGTATCATCAACAATGTAAAGCTTATAGTAGACCATGGTCTCTCTAGCTCTCTGCCAGCTGTACGAAGTACTTACTAAACAGATGTCCCGCTTAGAAAACGATTCTATTCTAGAAGCTATGAAGACATCGGAAATACACAGTCACACGTCTATTGTACATGTGTAACATCAAGCGATTGCTTCTGCTGTGTAACTGCGCACGTTGCTGCATCGTACCTCACGGGAAAGCCGTCTTCCCGTCGTGGAACTCGTCTAAATAATTCCCAGCCAATCAGCATCGCAAACGTACTGTCGCAGTAAAATAAGGTTTGTCGCGCTAAATGGGAGCTTGACATCGTCATAGGACCAAAAGGGTCCGGGTCTTGTTTTGCATCCATTGATGGAGCTGTGCGCCTCCACGTTCCAAATTGTATCTTGGAAATGTCCCTTCGTGCAGGTAGCAGCTGAACATCTCTCAGAACTCCATGCACGAGCTGGCTCTGCATGATCTCCGATTCCTAGCCTCCGCTCCTACATTAAGTCCCTGCATCTCCTCTCTTCGAGCTATCCAAGCATCCCGGCCGATCCTTGGAGAACCCTGGCTTCAGGGTCCTATTCGCAGCCGTGTCGAGGACCCAAGATTAATGCTCGATATATTCACGTTGAATTGAACCGCCTTCTTGGCATTCTTAATTGAATGGACAAGAACAAGATGGCAATGAACGGGATGGAGAAGATGGACGAATTGGAGAAGGGGCAGCTTCTACCGGTCCAGGAGTCGAGAGATATGCCAAGAGAAGAGAGGGAGGCGAATTCGAGGATATACTATAAGGTCTGCCGCCATAACTCTACCTTTCTTAAGCATTGAGCTCAAGAATTTTTCTAGATCATGCTCGCCGTCGCTGTGTTCATTCTGGTCTGGCATAACCGCCTCTTCACTTGTGCCAGACCTACCAATTACGCACGTCAAGTCGCAGGAGTTCCTCGGTATGTGCTAGATTACGGTAAGTACAACTATCCTATAGTCTGCAAGTAGTTTGCTAATAGATATCGTAGCCCCTCTAGTTTATCTCGACACAAGAGAAGAATTCTTCCCTTCCGACATGTATGCCCAAATCACGAACACCCATCCTGAAATCAACCTCACGACCATCGATAATCCTCCTGAACCTCTTACCCTTTCCAACCTCCACAAGTTAAATCGATATGGCCGTAATGGCAGAAACGTCTACCTCACATCCAACATCCCCGTCACCTCTGGCCCCAAATGGCTCACAGGAATAGTCCCCGATTCAACCGGCAAAACAAACAACGCCGTCAGCGCCGCAATAATTATCAACGACCACGGCTCCGGCCTCGTCGACGTCTTCTACACGTACTTCTACGCCTACAATCAAGGTAACACCGTTCTCTTCCAAGAACTCGGTGATCACATTGGCGATTGGGAACACAACATGATTCGTTTCGAGAGCGGCAAGCCGCTAGCTATCTGGTACAGCCAGCACGGCAATGGCCAGGCATTCACGTACAACGCCGCCGAGAAAATCGGCGTTCGTCCCATTTCTTACTCTGCGCGGGGCAGTCACGCGAATTATGCAATAGCAGGCACACATGACCACACAATTCCAGACCTCAATCTGCCCGCTGGCTTGATCCAAGATTATACCAGCAAAGGCATGCTCTGGGACCCGACTCTCAACTCCTATTTCTACAACTACCTCGTAAACACAACCTCCTTCACCTCCATCAACGACAGCCCTGTCGGCGCGATGCTGTTCAAGGGTAAATGGGGCGATCAACAGTATCCGGAAGAAGACCCGCAACAACCGCCTCCGTTCTTTGGCTTCTGGAAGTATGTCAGTGGACCGACGGGGCCGTGGGACAAGCAGTTGAACCGCACGAAGATATGTCCTGAGAATGGGCTCCTTTGTATTATTAGGGATGAGTTGGGGCCTTAGATTGTAAAGATTTGGAGGGGTATATATTTCTTTCCGGCGTTTGGGTTGGATCGGACTGGTTGGGGCTTGGGTGGCATATATATGATACCACGGGATTTGGTTGGGTTGGGTTGGTAGATAGACTGGATACTATAGCTTGAGTAATGAATGAAAGTTCAGATTTTGCGTCCTTCCCTATTCTTGAGATTGCCCTTGAAATAGCTCGCTTGTTTGTGAAGGAAGTAAATCGAAGGGGGTCTTCCTTCCTCGAATAGAAACATACTATTTGTGACTAGCACTCTGAACATGGAATCTGGTGTTCGGGTGAGCATTATTCTTATATGCAATAGAGCACCGACTGTTTGTCTGGCAAGTATTCCTTCATGAGGACAAATCTTCTGGTCATTCGTTATATCAATGTCAATCCCGTCCTCGAATTTCAAGTCTCAATCAATTTACCTTGACTTTCCAAAATGATAATCCTCAAGTGAGGCGTTGATTATGCACTCCGCGCCCACTGCGCAGATTGCGCGAATGGCGCGATTTGCGCATATCGCGCTGCCAGCGCATGCATCCAGAACGACGAATGTATCAGAACAAAGTTTGAAAGCTTAGTGTACATTCATTGTCAAGTGTTGTTTGCCCACTTTGGACTTGCTTTGCTCCTGATGGGAAGGAGACGTTAATAAGATCAACCAGATTAATAGTAACGCATATATTGCATAGACCAGATTTCACATCACAGCAGAAAACCAAGACACATCACAATAATGATATATACTCACAATTCAAGATTCCGCTACTCATCTCGTCTCATCTCATCTCTAATCTCGCTCGCTCGCTCGTTCTCCTTCCTATTCACACACAGCGTTCCCAGAACCAGAAGAAAAAAAGTAGAGAGAGAGATATAAGATATCTAAACGAGTGTATTGCGCCTTTCGCTGTGCTCCAATCCCGATCCATCCACCCAAAATCAAAATCAAGAAAGACCCCCTTCCTTCAATTCAGTTTCCCTATACACCATACAAAAAGCCTACTAGTGTTTGCTTGAAGGTTTAGAAATTACAAAAAGGCGGATTCCTTCGGGTCTGTCTATCGATCGCGGTCCTCTTCCTGTTGTGATGGCGCGGGTCGCGTGGGAGAGCTGATGCTGCCGACTATTAGGCTGCGCCAGCTTGAGGGGCGGTTTGTCCTTCGGGGTCGGGTGGGAGAAGGGGAGATGATGCCTTGCTCGAGGTCGTCTTGGCCGTCGAGGGTTTGGGGGATGGGGAGTGCGGATGATTGGGAGGGATTGATGGTTTCGGCTGCTTGGGTTTGGTAGTCATCGTCGCTGTCATCATGATACGGTTCGTAACGTGGACTTGATGGTGATCCTCGCGCGAGTGATCGGACGACATCGCCTTTACAGATTGGACATGTCCGTCGGCGTGTGGTTAGCCATGGTGTACTAGCACATGTTAGCAGGAAGTTGCTTTGATAGATCACAGGTGACTTACATGCAGTCGGCGTGGAATTCGTGGCCACAAGGTAAACTCATGACACGACTGACACCATCGACATACTCTTCCAAGCAAACCACACATTCGACTTGCTTGCCCATATGCTTCTTCCATTCACTCGACTCGCTAGCATTCTTCTCATGCTCTGGTGCTCGAGGAGGGATTGCTGGAATGTGTAATGGGTTGGTATTGACACGCACAACGTCCCCAGGCTCTGGAACACCAGTTGTAGTTCTTGAGCGTGGTCTCGGTCGTGAAGAAGGAGACTGCTGGAGAAGTGGAGTGGTGACGGAAGAGCTGGTGGGACTTGGAGCTCTAGGAGATTGACTACCAGAAGCTATTGTCTGATATGTCCTCACAGGTAATCTCTCAACAACAGACTTTGGTGCTCGCCATCGACGTCGTCTTATGCGAGATCGTATTAAGAGTAACGCGTAGACAACCGTCAAAGTGACCAATGGACTCACAACCAATACTAAGAGGGTATCAAGGAATGGACTTGCTCCACTCGTTGGTGTGATAGTGACCCACAAACCCTCGTTCTCATCATCATCGTCCCCTTCCTCCTCATCCGAGTCTTCGTCAGTGACGCGGTGAGAGCCTGATGGTAAAAACTCAACATCCTCTTCGTCGTCTCCGAATATAGTAGTGAGAAGACCTTTCGATTTGCCATCTGTAGACGACGTTTCTTGATTGCTGTCCTTCGATTTCTCTTTATCATCGGAGGTGCTTTTAGTATCGTATTCACCACTTCCCGGCGTGATACTGCCACCACGAAGTGGCGAAACAAACTCAGGAATTTCTTGGAGAGCACCTCCTAGGTGCTTCTTGCCGGATTTGGTCGGTTGCGGAGCCTCGTTCTTATTTGCTGTGCCTGGCTTTCCATTACTTGCTGGTGTTGCAGCTTTCCCGTTCTCTGTCTCGGTGTCCTTGGATCCAACCAAATCAGGATCTCTCCAGTCCTGGACACCGATTACAAAATCATCTCCAGAAGTCGCCTTCGCACCTGGTTTAGTCTTCGATGAAGGCTTCTTGGTTGGGTTTTTCTTGTCTGTCTTCTTGCTCGGCTTCGTCGAGATCTTCTTGGATCCTGATTCGTCATCATCCTTCCATTCATCTACTAGAACCCAGTCTAATTGGCCACTACTTGGTGGTCGACTGCTTTCTGTCTTAGAGTCACTCTTCTTCGAGCCCGAGAAAAGTGATCTCAGCCAGCCATGCTTCTCAGTTGTGATGGCTGATGTCTCCTCTGTCCGACCAGGAGCTTTCTTGTGAGAGACCTTAGATCCCGCACGTGCAGTGGATGTGGATCTTGTTGCCGCAGAAGTAGGTGTAAAGGTTGGATGAGACCCATGCTTCTTTGACTTCCGTGGCTTATCTGTATGCTGGACCTTTAATGCAGGTTTGCCATTCTCGTCGATTATATCCTCGAGAAAGCTTCCAGAACCAACCAAAGAGGACAAGAGATGAGCCGTAGTTCTGGAAGTGAAAACGGACGGAATCGAGATATTTGAAGTATCTCCTCGAGCATACATCTGTATCAAAGCCCCTCCCTTCTGATCATCACCCACGATTAGAGCAATTGCCCCTCTTCGCTGTGCCCATTTGGTTTTCTCCACAAATCCACAACCCCCACGGCTCAACAGAACAACCTTTCCTGCAATTTCGGCCCCTTCCTGTATCGATTGTATATCTGCGTGATCTCCCTTTGACTCAGCAGCTGGCTTGTCCGTGGACTTCGATACAGTTGATTCGGGCAAAGGATGGTGTAAATAATCATCGGTCCCATCATCCACGGAGGGTTTCGGCTTAGCATCCTTTCCGTTGGAAGATTCTTCCTGTAATTCAGAGTCGTCACCGAACGGACCATCCTCATCGTTTGACCTCTTCTGAGACTTCGACTTGAGGGCAGCCTTTGCAGCATTGTTGTCTGTTGCTTTCTTGAGCTCGGCGGCAGCAGCACCGGTTTTTGCATAGCTCTCCACCCAGCCGGGGACATCACTACAGCCCAATTCTCCTTCTGCACTCGCACTCACAGTTCCCTGGCGGACATTATCATCTCCAAATCCACTTCCTATCCACACTTGGCCTTTCATCCCATCTGACGGCAGTGATGGGCCGTAGTCCGCCGGCCGAGCCAAGAAAGCAGTCGTGTTATCGTTCGTTAAAGTTATGATCGCGTTCGGAGGAAAGAGAGAGAATGGGGCTCTGAAGGCAAATAGCGATTGAATGCCGGTCCTCGGCACCGCTGGAGATGAGGTCGCGACATTGTGAGGAGGATGCGAGGACCGCAGAGAAACGAAGGTCAAGATAACAGTGGCCACGAAGAAGAAGCCTGCTATGAGGATCCTTGGTGGTCTCATGATTCTGAAGAAGTCTTCGAGATGGCGTAGCCGGAACTTAATCAGCTCTGCGGCTGGAGGAAGAGAGAAGGGATCGCATCCGAAATCGTAAGGCGTAGATGTTCGTCAATGGAAGAGGTATTATGCCATGAGCCGTCGTCAAGAGATTGTGAGAGAGAGAGGGAGGTCGTTGTCGATTGATTTGTGAATCGAGTTGCCTTGGGTTGTGGTGGTGTGGCTCAGGCGGGACCAAGAGGGCGATCAACAGGGATGCGATTGTGGCTTGCTTTGACAACTCAGACGAGACAGGATTGGTTTGCAGGCACCACCGGGGGATCAGAAGATCATAAGTACCAAAATTCTCCATCAGCTGTTGTTGATGTGTGATGCTCATAGAAGATATGAGAGCGTCAAAGGAGTGACAAGTCGCTGTTGCTCTTCATTTGCCTAGCTACTCTATCAGGACCTGCGTTGCAAATGCACAGTCCTGCAAAGCAGGAGTTAAAAAAAACAAGCTTTCCGGATCACGTGAACTCGACTCTTTGGGACCGGCTCAGTCTCATGTTACGAGATCCCCTCAAATATTCGTCCCAGAAACCAAGAAGTTGTGCATGCAGCTTTCGCTTCAAGTCATGCATCCATGTGAATGACGATGAGTGTCTTTTCAACGTCACAGATCAGCTGCAGAGTAGAACTGCTATTGTCTCAGGTCATTCGGCCTGTGCGAGACAAGTGCTCACATTTCCCATGATCATGAACGTATAGATAAGGGCACGCATGCCTCAAGTATATCTTCGTGTATTTTACGTTGCGACGCTCGAAGTACACTTTCGGTCTGGACAACTGAGAAGTCGAGACTTGAGTCGTGTACCTAGCGTTATATTTCGAGCTGCTTTTGTCGACGTCAACGATCGAGACTTCTCGCTAGTCGACTAACGTCCTCAGCCACCGATGCAGTTTACAGTACAGCCGTAGCTTCTGCTCCGGTCTACGGGTCTGAAAATCGTTCAGCCCTCTCTGCTGTCCCGTGTCAGATCAACATTGTCAGTCAAAGTTCTCGAGTCCTCTTTCCAATCATATCGTCGGGGAAACTTTTACTAGTCGTTGGCGTCTAGGAGAGGCGAAGAAGATCTTCTCAGATATTCTACGAATCCTCCGGATGACATTTGAATGGCGTTCCCGATCTGGATTGTCCGGCTATGAGCTACCACCCGCTTTAAGCTATGTTACCATACAAACCTCCACTAGGAGACAATCTTGGGTGAAGACTACAAGCAAAATGGCTTGATGTCCTTTGAAAATCGCCCAGACCTGCCGTTTTGTGTGCTTCAGCCACACATTCATTGAGGCGTACAGCTTCCCAAGGCCGTCATCACCATCTCTAGTGCTTCCACTTCTCCTCCCCCTCTAGATCTCCCTAGATTTGCTCGAGGCTTGAGAGCACTGGTCTCGTCCATGACGTTGCTGAAGCTCTAAACCTTATTGTTCTGCTCTTTTCTTGTTTTGTTATAACACTGGTGTTATTGCAGTTGAGGTACATTATTCCTTGTCTCTTGCCAGGAAGATCCCCTGCTCATTCGATCTCATTCATTGCTTTTCTTCCCTTTACATTTGTACATTCAAGGGTCTCCTTTCACTCTCGGCAGTATGAATATTAACGAGCCAAAGAGAGGCGGTGGATTCGCCATCCCCTTCCTCAACACCAACAAGAGGAAGGAGAGGGCAATCCGAAGGAAGGAGAGCTTCAATTCTCTACGATCAAACCGCATTCCGTTCTTGCATCACCTGCCTGACAATGTATTCTACTTCTCATTCAAATCTGCGAGTGATACTGACAAGTGCTAGATCCGCAACCATTTCGTTGCTACCAGTGCTGAGTTTGCTGGCACCACCCTGTTCCTCTTCTTCGCATTTTCAGGGACACAGGTTGCTTTGCTGGCATCGCCCGCGAGTACCACCAATGAAGTCGGTACGCTGAGTGATCCTAGTCAATTACTCTTCATTGCCTTGAGCTTTGGATTTTCTTTAGCAGTCAATGCTTGGGTATTCTTCCGAATCAGTGGTGGTCTCTTCAACCCAGCTGTAAGTTATTAACAAATCTACTCTGAATAGAACCTAACAGTGTCAGGTAACGCTAGGAATGTGTCTTGTTGGTGCACTACCTTACATTCGTGGTATTTGTCTTACGGTCGCTCAAATCCTGGGAGGAATCACCGCAGCCGCAATCTGCTCAGCCCTCTTCCCTGGACCTCTAACAGTTCGCACCAATCTCGGCGGTGGTACATCAGTGGTGCAAGGTCTTTTCATCGAAATGTTCCTTACAGCAGAATTAGTCTTCACAATCTTCATGCTTGCAGCAGAGAAGCACAAAGGAACATTCATCGCCCCAATCGGCATCGGACTTTCCCTCTTCATCGCTGAACTCACAGGTACAATTCCCCTTTTCCGCTCTTGATGTCATCAGGACACTTTTATTTCATATAACCTATGTTGAGAACAACTTATAACAAAAACGACAGGCGTCTACTTCACCGGCGGATCCGTGAACCCAGCCCGCTCCTTCGGCCCCTCAGTCGTCTCCCATCAATTCCACACCTACCACTGGATCTACTGGGTCGGACCCATCCTCGGTTCCCTCCTCGCCTCCGGCTTCTACCTCTTCATCAAGATGCTCGAATACGAAACCGCAAACCCAGGCCAAGACCGCTCCAAAGAAGAAAAGGGAGAGCACTTCAACCCGGACGCCCATGCGCGCGTCTCCTTCGCGGCTGAAGACTACGCTGAGCAAGGCATGGCCGGTCCGAACCCGAATGGGAACCTGAGAAGAATCGGGACCCCGAAGGAATATGGTGCTGAGAGGCGACCGTTCTCGGATTCGCCTGCGCCGCCGCATCCTAATGATCAGTTTGCGGGGTTGGCGGATGGGGGCATGCATGCTAACGAAGTCATCAAGCCGATGGATACGAGGGGGTCGGGGTCGGAGCAGACGTTGGGTGGGAATTCGGTGTCTCATACGGGCACGATGGCGCAAAAGAGTGCTATCAAGCCTGGTAGTAGGAATGGGGTTCCAAGTGGTGGCAATGAAGGCAGTCTGAGGAATAATACTTATAATAATATGAATATGGGACGGGGTTTGCCTGGTGATGAGGAGTTTTATGATAAAGCTTAAACGAAGGGGAATAAGGATTACGATGTACACGACTTTGAATTTTATAACAGCAACGAAGCGAGGAGTTTGGAAATGTATATAATTTACTCACTGGAATTGAATAAGGAACAACATAGTGATTTCTTCACCTTACGGACAATGCAATTGTCCCTCACAAAGCACCACTCCTCAACCCCCCACAAACACTCCCCATCCCAGGCACCAAATGCCCCTTAACCAACACACTCCTCTCGCCCCCCTCCGGAACCAAAAACACATACCTAACCACCAAATCCCTCTCCTCCCTCACAACATGAATAACGCCCTCTCCAGCCGCCACACTCTCCCCCCTATGCTCAACCCCCAACAAAACCTTCCACCCCTTCCCCTTCAACGCGCTCCTTTTCCACGCCCCCTCATCCGGTATTTTCAGGATCTTAGTCGAATACCCGAAAGCCACCCTAGGACAATCGCTCAGGTAAACGCCCTTCCCGCTCACGGCGCCGTTGGTTTGGAGGTCGGTCCCGGAGAGGATGCGGAGGCCTTGGACGAGGATGGCCCAGAGGCGGTCCGGGTTCGTGCCGTGGAAGAGGATGCGTTTTTCTTGCGGGGGGTTGGAGAAGAGGGCTTCGCGCTCAGGAGTGCTGTTTGCGAGGAGGAATTGGAGGGTCCCTGGGGGGAGGGAGGGGATTTTGAGGGAGCCGGTTGCGGTTAGGAGGTAGGAGCGGTGGGAGGTTAGGGTGTAGGTTAGGAGGGAGGATGTTTGGGTGTCGAGTGGAGGGTTGTTGGATAGTGGGGGGACATTGTTGAGCTGTGAGAGGAGAGTAGGTGGGTCGGTGGGATAATTTGGGAGGAGTTCTTTATTGCTTGTTGAAGCTGCGGCGTGGAGACTTGAAAATAGGAGGTCGGTTACCAGTTGGTCTTCAGTGAGATGTGGGAATTTGACTTGAGGGTCACTATTTGCGAAAAGGTAAATGCATCTTGGCAACTGGCACGTTGTGGGTTTGCGGAGGTTGGTGCAGAAAGTCCGGCCACATTCTGTACAATATCTCCCGATGTTTTTCAAGTGGTGAGTGATGATCTCGTGGAGCTCTGGGAGCGAGGTGAGGTCTTGACCTAGATTCGAACCTGGGAGGCGCCGTTGGAGCATTTTTGTTAGGTTGTATTCGAAGGGATTGCGGAAGGAATTGGGCTGCATGCATAATGAGCTCGTTTTGAGACCACCAAGGCGACAGGTGTTACTCCATGGGGAGACTTTGCCATCTATGTTATCGAGCAGGCCACCTAGAGTTCTATCCTTCGATTCTGGCCCAAGGTGGATGCAGAATCGATCAGGGGTCGTTTTATGGTCACACAACTCCAACAACAGCACGAAACTCTGCAGGGAACCAAGCCCCAAAGCCGTTCGCTGTATTTGAGTGAAGTGTGTGAGCGGAAACAGAATCTCAACCTCCTTCTCACCAACAATCTCGACTGCATTCAGGACTTCCGGTGGCATACTAGCCAACACATCTTCTGAGTGCGGACCATCCTCAATCCCAATGTCCGCCAACAACTCAACGACTCCTTGCAAATCAACAGTTTTCAACGACGCCCTGAGAGCAGCCAGTCGTCTTGCCTCATGTAGAAGTTCAACATATTCCGAATCCAAGTAATCGGCAGCCAACACAAATTTTTCGTCCCGCGAAAGATTACCATCAGCAGAATGCAGGAAGACAGTCTTCAAGCTCCCTCTATCCCCAGCATGGAGTGAAGGATCGGGTAACCAAGCTTCCAAGAAAACCTGGTGGACATGCGGAGAAAGGTCGATTTCTGATAGATGCTGGATGCGAGCACAGACTTCGATTCCAGAAGGACTTAGATTGTTGAGGCCAACCAAAGCATTGCGGACTTCTGCTGCATTACTGCCATCTTTGGACAGACGCTTCAATAGCGATACCCTTGTGGCGGTGTCGGTTTTGTCACTCTTTGAACGTCGCGCTGGTTTGAGGGCGTTGAGTATTTCCTGGATACGTGCTTGTATGTACAAATGTTCGGCTGCTGCGAGAAACAGACATCGGCGCGCATCTATCGAATCCGGCGTTTCTTTAAGCAGATTAAGTATGTCAGTGTAGGGCACAAGTTTTCTGCCCCAATAAAGAAGTTGCGGCGTAAAGATAACTGGGGAAGGCGGCCCAGGCGAGAAGGTACAATTCGAGTCGCTTCCATACAGCCGATGCAGATTCTGGAGGTATAGAACCCAGCTCTGAACGGTCAAGTGTTCTAAGGTATATTGAAGCAAGGCTTCTCCTTCCTCGACCATCTCGTGTCTCAGCAAGGTAGTCCAGTGAGTCATATCGACGCTGAGAGAAGCTGATGCAAAGAGGTCTGCGAACGCAACGCAAGACCGCTGTCGATTATCGAGGTCATCGCACACAATATGCCAGTAGCTTTGCACAAAGCTATCCGAGAGCGATGGGAGCTGGTTAAGGCACAAAATTCGAAGGTTAATGGTGATAGACTTTGGTTCCGACACAAGGCAAATCGCAATAGATCGCCGAGCCGAGTCCTTGCACGTCTGCCAGAGGGACATCAATGCTTCCAACATGGATTTCGAATCATCGTCAGGAGTCTCAGGTTCTCCAAGGATACGACTGCTAATCATTGGGACAAGTGTGGACGTACTGGTACTGGCACGAGGACTCATCTCTAGACTGAGGTAGATACCACGGAGGATCGTACGTTCATATGGTAGAGGCCAGGTATCCATAACTCTTAGCATATGGGAATACTCTGCGCACGGCTGTAACCATGATGCTTCTACAAGGTCTAAGCGCAGATCGAGTTGTTGTTCAAATGTCATGACATTGGTACCAAGCGCTTCAGCAACGAACATGAAAGCCAACAAGTGGCTACGTTCTTCTTGAATCATGTCTTTCACAAGAGGTCCGAAGTCGACGGCAAATACGTCTCGTAGAGTACGATACTTCGGGTTGGCATTCATTTTTTTGAGCAGCCATTTCACAGCATCGATTTGCGTCTGCTTTGAAGCGCCTCGTAAGAGATACGCCTCAGCTATTCGATCCTGGAATCGATTAGCCACATCATCTAATCAGCCACGAGAAGTCTTACACGTATGGTTTCAAATCCCACACTTGTCAGAATCTCTATTAGATCCAGTTTCCGCCTCAAGATATCGACGCCTGTCATCAAATGGAAGAATATTTCCCTGTCCTCTGGACGATATGTAAGGCTCTTGTCTGCTAGACGAAGTAGTTTCTCAGCCATGTATAGGCATTCTTCGTGAGTCTCTCCATTGAACGTCAGAATTGAGCTTGTCCGACGATCTTTAGGCAGCTTATGGTCTGGTAACGACTTCCCGAGTGTCTTTCCGTTAGAATCGAAGTCTGGACCATCCAGAGCGATAATACATCTGAGTTGTCCTTGTAGAGTGAGGTTCAATTTGCCCCATTTTTTTATTCGAGCGACGTTGGGTTGCCAACAAGCCCAAGCACGCCATGAGGGAAGTTCTTGGTCGAGTAGCGTCTTTAGCTTTTGATGATGTTCGTTCGACTTGTTGGGTAAGTGCTCAATTTTAGAGAGCCACTCTACTACTGTGTGAGCTACTGACCAATGTCGACTGTCCCTAAAACCTTGTAACACGGGACGAAGGGACCTCAGTTGCTGTTGATGATCTGTCAGCATTTCTATGTTCAATAAGAATGGTAAAGACGTATACATGAGGGTTTAACATAGTGTTCGAAATATCTCTCCTTTAGCACCACTTGTGATGCTGCACTTCAAGCTACTTCTGGGAGTTTACTTACCATCGGTACAGCATACATATGCAAATATATGAGCGACTGCTTTGATGTCACCGAGAACACCTCGACCAATTCATCCAGCTGTTTGTAACTGGCGAGGGTATCTTTCTCCCATAATCTAAACGCTTCAAGGCCTTCCTCTCTGCTCACAGCCTTACTAACCTACTCCACGAGATTTTGAGGTCAGCATATCCGCAATTTACATGAACTGTCGAATGTTACCTCGAAGGAGAACACTCACGATACTAGCTACATGAATGCAACTCAGCAAAGCTCTGATACCATCCAAATTTTTGACGGAACCAAGAGCATCAGAGAACAACAAATCCCTCAAAGCCTTCGCTGAAAACGCATGCCCACATGCCACTATCGCTGCAGGTTTCCATTCGTGCCCCGACACGAGCTTCCTAAGCAATTCATCATCGCTTTCTGTGGTCTTGGGGCTCTTCTTCCTTGCGAGATAACGATCGGTCACTTGACGCATCTGACGCCATGGCTTTTGCTCTGGGTTGAGGTCTTTGAATGGTTTGTCTTGACTGCCTGGGGGTAGAAGCTTTTCGATGTAGTTGTGCCAGCGCTTGCTTCGGGTGTGACCAAAGAGTGAGTCGAACATGGTACACTCCCGGAATTCTCGGGTTCAATGGCTTTGTGGTGTATGGGATTGAGGCCGGCAAGGCTGCCAAGCCTGGTCTTTTTCTGGGCCCAGAAATCGGGTTGCCAAAATGATCAAGTGATAGTACATTCAGAGGCCACTAGAGTTGATAATAAGAAGAATCAAAGAAACAGGTTTGATCGTTGATAACGTTGAGAAGTGGAAAGAAAGATGGCGAAGACATCACGGTGAAGCAAGGCTCTCTCAACAACGAGGCTCGGGAAACACATGATTTGAACAAAACAGACCAATGACACTTTAGACGAGAAGCGAAGCGACAAAAACGGTGGGTTATAGGCTGCCACGTCTGCATCATGCAAGTTATCGGGGTGCAAAAACCCTACGAGTGGCTGCGATCGCGGACTCCAATCAATGCGATTTGAAACATGAACGAATTGATAAGCTTTTGCAGATTTGAAACAATGAGCAGGTACATTATTGTGACTCAATACGGAAGGATTCAAGATTCAGCACATGCTACTTCTCACAACGCCTGATCTAAGGCTTCCCCAGCTGAGTTATCGGGATTTCTTCAGGTGGCTTACAGCCTGCTCCATTAGCTGGTGAGAAAAATAAAAATGTTTTGGACTGTCTTACCTGTGTCAATAAGTCTGCACATTTGTGAAAACACAGCCGCAAAAGTGTTAGTACAGTACAGCTAAAGTTGGTTTTGCTCCGAGACATACCTTGTTGCCTTGAGCATCCCGCACAGCCTCGCCAATTGAGGTATCGAAAGCCATCCCTTTGCCTAAAGTTAGCACCGAATTCATCGGGGATTCGACGATCATGAGTGATAGAAGGAGAATTCGTACCGGTGTGGCTATCAACTGCTGGCACACGAAGCTTGTCAAGTGCTTCCTGTTCCGTCACTGGCAACGTCGCCAAGTAAGCAATGAAGGTTTCGAGAACCTCACGGCTTTTCAGTTGATCCTCGCTCATATCCGCAAGGAAAACCTTGGCCATCTTATCGAGCTCATCGACAGTCTTCTCGCGGATCCCAAGGGAGAGTTTGCTTTGCTCGATCTGCAATGCAGCCAGGTCTTGGCCCAGTGGGTGTTGGATAATGGCACGAACGTCGTCAGGACTGAACATTTGCTTGCTGAGAGGATTTCGCATGATACCGCCGTTGCTCTTGATTGCCTGTGCCAATTCTTCCATGTCCCATCCATACCCATCGTCTGTGACCAAAAACTGAGCTCTTGGGATGTCACTAACCAGATCACCATACATGGTTTCTTCGCTGTGGTACTTCCGTTTGAGAACTTCATGTTCAATATGCATCATAGCCGTTGATGGATGCTTCTTCAAAGCGTCCGGTAATGCAGCACTAAGTGCCTGCGCTCGTTTGACAAGAGCCTCACGAATAGCATCATTGTCACCAGCCGTAGTTCGCGTGACATGAGAACGTAGCCACCTAGCAACATCCTCAAGATCCGAAGCAGCGACATCAACAGCCTTCTCAGGATCCTTCTCCATTTGACGTGCAATCCCCCGTGCCGAACCCGGCTGCTGCACCTTAAGAACCGAAGATACACGGCCGTTGACCAGCGCATTCAGATCCGGATCGTGAGCCTCGAACCGTGCTCTCAGCTCCGGATTCGTACTACCGGCAGGAGAACTGACGAAGTTCTGCAAGAGACGAGTCTCCTGGAGCATCTTCTTGGCGCGGAGACGGAGACTTTGGTAGCCTTCGACCATTTCCAATTTCTGTGCTGCGACCTGAACTGGCGAAGGCCCCGATTCTGATGCAGACTTATCTGTGGCCTTTGAGGACGATTTCTGTAAAAGGTCCCTGGTCCAAGGCTCCTCTTCCAAAGCAGAAGGGTCTAGGGCTCTCAATTGTTGCAAATTCTCACGGGCGGCGTCAGTCCATCCAGAGTGGTAGCAATGTTGAGTGAGCAGTTTCCGAGCCTCGAGCGCGGGTGGGTTCCTCTCGATCTCGCCGTAAAGCTCGTTGAGGAAAGTGAGGTCGGGCTCTGACTCTGCCATTGCGATCGTGCCTAATGTGAAGAATTGTTGATTTCAATAAAACTTGAAAATTTGAATGAAGACGACTTTGTCTGTTATTTCGGGTGGAAGCTGCGTTGTTGATGGCAAGGCTGTGAGGTGCATGGTGAAAGAGCAAGCCACCTCAGCAGGCAGCCACAGCCCTTTATTCGTGCCCATTGTGTTGTAGAGGACATCGACATCGGGCGCATAACTTAAAGATTGGAAAATTGTACTTCAGACAATGAGAAGTCGTAGAATATGGAGATCATGAAGGGATTCGTTTGCAAATCTTTCGAAATGAACTTAAGGAGGAGCTATTTAAGCTCACCCCTGGTTTCACAGGGTGTCATTATCAATCGAGATTTCAACTTTAGTCTTTGACGCTTTTCCATACATCAAGAATCGACCTCGATGAGTAGATTCAGTATATGGTTTTCATGTTCAACAGAGCCATCCTTTCGACAGACATATCTGAGAAGAATCGTCACGTGCGTTTAGTCACTGTTGTAGTGTAATCATTAATCGACAGTCCACAGACCATCTTCATTATGCATTATCTATCATTTCGTAATCCGACGCAATGCGGTGCCATATAACGGGGTATGTAATGCTACGAAAAGTATCATAATCCAGACCAACCGGCCCCTTTTCCCTCAGCGCCAGAAATGCATTAAGCGAGGATGCCATGCCACACCCTATATATACAATACTCGAATATACAATGATCAAGAGATGATCTATCCAATCGTCTCCAATACCCACTTTCTCACTCCCATCCAGGCCTCCATCCAGACGCCTTGGTCATCTAGCTCATTCAAGACCTTGCCTCTTGGCACAGGGAGATGTCGGATGGTCTCGATAGGTCGCTGGCTCAGTATTTCTTCTTCGCTGAACCAATTCCCGTGTAGGCCATAGGGTACTCGTTGCGGAAGATGAACTCTGCAAACAACCTCCCTCATCTCCCTGGCGTCTATGATCCAGAGCTCACTCTTGGCACTTGGCCCTGCATTTCCATTGCAATCGAGTTGACTTTCGTCGAAGACATAGGACAGTATCCAGCCATCGTCTTCTGACGTTCCATCTTGACGAGGCACAAATCGAGACTCTTGAGCATAGAATCCAGGAGGGAGTTTAAAGATCTTGATTGGATCAGAGGGATCATGTGAGGAGAGGATCTCAGGTACGGTGCGAGTATCGACACAGCCGCTTAAAGGTATTGGTGGAGATTGCGCTGCACGATCAATGAGAGCAGTGGTATCCACTTTGACGAGAGAATCGATCTTGACAGCACGGCCAAGTGCTGCGCCGAATGTGCTGTCTGAGACGGAACATCCATAGATGTATCGCGCATTTGACATCGAAGCGTCATCTCGAAGAGAAGGGAATTCGAATGGGATGGCAGTCAAAGAGAACTGGTGAGAGATTTTGTTCTCAGAGCCAGACATGTCGAAACGGTAGTAATAGAGTCGACATTGCTCCTCTTCAGCAGGGTAAGTAACCTTTCTGCTTGGTCTCGGGATTGGTGCTGCTACGTCTCCGGCACTAAAGACCAAGGAGGCACTTGTCAACCTACAAGCCAGCATGTTGACTGCTGTAGTCTCCATGGTGTTGGTCAAAGGGTTAATTGATACCTCATCCCATGTATTTGCTGTGTGAAATATACAACATGGGTTCGTATCGACCCATCGAACGGCTTCGGGATTCCACCTCGGGAACACACCAAATCTCGACCGACCAGCAGGATCATAAGAGACAACCGGCTCATTACGAGCGAGATTTCTAGGGTCCAGAGATAGAGGAAGATCCATAATAACAGTATGTGTAAACGAAACTCCGAAATCGTGCATCATTTTCGCCGACTTGATGCCAGGGACCGCCGCATTAACGATTCGAGGTTGGGTAAGAGAAGAATTTTGCGTACTGGGTATAATGGAATAATATACAAATGGCGCTAGAAAAGTTGAATGAAAAAGTATGAGTTCCTTTGTCCGAGGGTCCACTCGAGGATGTGCGGTCGTCCACTCTTTCATGAAGCTGAGAACGCCCTCTCCTCCAAATACATCTCCGGGTATTGCTTCCGTAATTGGCTCTCCCTCTGCCTTGCATCCATCGAACCAACCGATTGTCTCTAGGCCAGGAAGTGAGACTCGCAGTGGTGGTCCACTTTCGCAGGTTGCCAACGCCCTCCCATCGTGATAGAGGACACCAGTATTGGCAACACTGATCTTTTTGATTGCTTGTTGGGAGCCGGAAAGATGTGAAAGGAGAGCGAGAAGTAACGTTCGAAAGATTCGAAGGATGATGCGGGAAAGAGTCGAAGCAGGGTTAACAAGTGTAGCTATGCTTGGGAGTATGGGTAGTCGTAAGGATGGTGTGGTAACACTTGATAGATATGCGTCGGTAAGGAGGTATGCGTTTACGAATTCTGGTTGTATTCCATTCTCCGTCCTTCTGAAAGCCACCCCACTCAACATCCCATCTCCGTCGAACCAATGTGCATCTCGTCCCAAGTCTTCGTTTGTAACAGGATTTCCACCATTTCGAACGTACTCGCCGCCGGCAAGCTCGTCAGGTATCGATCCTGCGTAGGTACAAGGTGTAAGAGGCTGCACCTTGTGAATGGGAGCAAAGTTGCCGTGCAGGTATGGATGAGGTTTCTCAGATCTACTCTGCTGCTCATTGACGAAAGTCATGAGTGAAGGTTGAATAGAGCAGTGGATGGTCGAGATATTGGCGTACACATATGGATGGTATTTTGGTACAGTCTCAGGCAAAGAAAATATTCAATGCTATGAATGCAAAGTCAAGCAAACAATGGCACACATCCGAGCTATGCTACCGTGAACATGTTCTGAGTGGCTATGATGAAATGCTGGTGAGTTAGTATCTGGAGGTTGTGCCGGCCTCGTCGACGATGGGTGAACAATGATCTGGAACATCTCGTCGGAATTGCTTGCCAAGCTCAAAGGCAAATGTTAGTATGTTACGATGCTGGTAATGACGACAAGCTCTCCCCTCTCAGGAAATGACGGAGGACGTTTTGGGCCCTGCAAGTCGAGAACAGGGGGGAGCTCGGTTAGGACTCTAATCCCTGTAGATATTTTATCACACGCCAATCTACACTTTACCATGACAAACGCATCCAACTCTGCTCTGCTCATTTGGAGATGGACACCATGATGCGACGATGGCCCCGGCACACAAGAAGGCAACTTGAATCGAGCGGCACTAGAGGATGTTCTGACAATGCTTTGTTGCCTCGCTGCTTTTGTGTAGAAAATCTCACTCCTCACTCCCTCATCGTCATTGGAGAAAAAGAGGGGCCTGCATGTTCCTGACCCAACCACCAGTTTTCGAACCACACACCACCACACCACCTTCAAATCACATCTCACGCTGCTCACTTACAGCCTCGCTTTCGGCTCTCTCGGTTCATCTGAGTGGTCAGCTAGAATCCTTCAATTGCCAGGTCGAACATAATTGGGCTGCCACTTCCGAGGCTTACTCCAGCCTTCTCTTACTGCCAACTTCGTGAAGCTTGAGGTCTCACCTCACCTCACCACGAGACATTGCCATTGTCATCCAACCGCCATTGTTACTTCGTTTCTCCTTATCTAGCAATGTCGCATTCGCTCTGCAAATTATGATAACGACGCAAAGAACACCAGCACAATCATGGGTTTCGAATATGCACTCGTGTAAGCGGAATCTCCGAGCTCTGTAGAGAGCACTGTTGATTTGGTTCACAGGCATCTCAAGTACACCATCCCAGTGGGCATTGCCCTGACAATCGTTTACCGCCCTTTTCTCAGCCGTATAGATCTGTACAAAGTTGCCTTTCTCATCGCAATCGCCGTCGTCTCAACCATTCCCTGGGACTCGTACCTCATCCGGCGCAAGATTTGGACATACCCACCACACGTAATTATTGGACCGACTTTTTTCTCGATCCCAGCAGAGGAGGTGTTTTTCTTTGTTATTCAGACGTATAATACCACTCTACTGTACCTGCTACTCAACAAACCTATCTTTCAGCCAAGCTGTCTGGCACGAAAACCTCGGGAGGCCGCCATTCTTTATCGCAATGTTGGACAAGTAGTTTTGGCAGCATGTGTCTTGGTTGGTGGGCTTTTGGTCTGGAGAGGAGATGAAGGAACGTACCTTGGGCTGATACTAGTCTGGGCAGGACCATTTGCTCTGCTGCTCTGGTCACTTTCGTCCGATTTCCTAGTCAGCCTTCCATACACCAGCACGGTTGCACCAATTGCAATTCCGACTCTCTATCTCTGGGTTGTAGATACAATTGCGTTGAGAAGAGGGACTTGGGCTATCGAATCCGGGACGAAACTTGGGATTCATGTGTGGGATGGCTTGGAAATTGAAGAGGCAGTCTTCTTTCTCGCCACCAATACTCTCATTGTATTTGGCCAGGTCGCATTTGATCATGCACTTGCAATTCTCTTGACTTTTCCAAGGCTGTTTCCGACTGTCCCAGAGTTGCCATCTCCCATACTGTTGATGCGGGCACTTCTAGCACATTCTTCAAAGTACGACGAAGAAAGAGTAATTGGGATTCGCCAGGCTGTTTCCAGGTTACAGAAGAAGAGCCGGAGTTTCTACCTGGCTAGCGCAACTTTCTCTGGGCGTCTTCGGATTGATTTAATTCTTCTGTAGGTGTAATGTGTAGATGGTATTTGTATCATACTGATTTATTTAAGGTACTCTTTCTGCCGTGTTGCGGACGACCTCGTAGATAACGCTTCTACTGACAACGAGGCGCGACAATGGATTGGGAAGCTCTCACACTATCTTGATTTAGCGTATGCTTCTAAAGAAGCTCGAATCGTTCAGAAGCAACCTCATTTACACTCGTACATCACGGAGAACTTTCCCGAATCATCGCAATCTGCTTTGCGACTACTGCCCACACATCTACTTCCTTTCGGACCTCTATACGATTTACTTGAAGGATTTAAGACGGATCTAGAATTCCACGAAAGCAAATTTTCAAAGAAGCTTCGAGTGTTTCCTATTGCTAAGGAGCATGACTTGGAAGTTTACTCAGCTAGGGTTGCCGGTACTGTGGCAGAGTTGTGTCTAGAGTTGGTGTTCTTCCACACTTATTCAGCTACCACAACAGCTCAGCGAGAGCATTTAGTCCGCGCTGGAGGCAGAATGGGAATTGCACTACAATATGTTAACATTGCGCGAGATATTGCCACAGACGCAGCGATTGGGCGAGTATACTTGCCAATATCATGGTTGAAAGAGGTTGGCTTGGCCCCGCAGGATGTGCTTGATAATCCAGACAGCAATGCAGTCGAAAGATTGCGAAGTCGATTATTGGACAAAGCCTTCGGTGTCTATGGAGAGGCTCGAATCGCCATGTCTCAATTACCATCTGATGCGAGAGCACCGATGAGAGTTGCAGTTGAAAGCTACATGGAAATTGGCCGTGTGCTGAAAGAAAAGGGCTATAAAGTGAAAGCTGGCAAGGCCACAGTACCAAAACTTAGAAGGTTGAAAGTTGCATGGAAGGCGTTGAATGGGGCATAGATAATAGATAATGATAGATACCACTCAGCTATAAATATATTACTGATAACATATCGGACATTCGACATCGGATAATATCAAGCAGGGGTCAAGCTGATGCTCAGACCACTTTGTCCCACCTACGCGAGACAAACGTCATGATTGGACACAAGCGAGAACGGGAGCTACCTCCTTCAACATGCACTAAACCTCCATTTCCAGACTCAACATGTGAAAATAATTCCTATCTTCCAGCCAGTCTCCGTACTGTGCAGCTTCACTTCACTCTCAATCCTCAACCCTCCTCTCTATGGCATCCAAACAGAAGAAAAGGACAGCCATCATCGTCGGTAAGCTACCCCGCCATCCCACACCTCACCTCCACCTCACCTCACCTCACCTCACCTCACCTCACCTCACCT